TATATTAAGTTGAAGGTTAGACTATATTAAAGTTAAAGGTAATTAATAGATCTTATTATTAATACTAAAGAAAAAGTTGAGCTAAAGATTTTATTTAATAAGAATAGAACTTTTTAAATATAAATATAGTTCTGATAGTATGGAATTTATATATTTAGAAGAGATAATAAAGACTTTTTAAATTGATAATGATTTAAATTCTAGATATTGAAATGTATTTAGTAGTTAAAAAAAAATAGTTACTAGTATTATAAGAGGTCTAGAATTCTTAGTATTAAGGTCTAAAATGGTAGTAGTTACTATGATTGAGACAGCCTATTTAGATATGCCTAAAAAGCTTATTATTGTTATTTATTATTATTAGTAAGTAGATATATAAGCTAGGAATATATAAAAATAGATAATAGATCTGAATTTAAAGATAGATTGTTCTTATTAGTATATTAGAGCTGATAATCTATTTAGATTTAAAGGTATAGTATATATACTATATAATTATGCACTTAGGTAAGAAGTCCTGTGAGTCAATTATGATGATCTATAAGAAGGTTATTTCAGTGTTAAAAGGACATATAAAATAATATTGTTAAAATATTTCTGGTGAGGGCTTTATAATGCGGTTTAATATTATTGTTTAATATATATAAAGTGCTAATATAATTATGTGTTATAATATAAAGAATATAAACTGATAAAGCCATTACTAAAATTTATAAAATTTTAAGAGTTAGTTATCTTAGATTTTATAGTGAAGCTTCTATCTTTAAATTAAAAAAGAAAAATGTACAATGCTATTATAGTTATTGTGGAACTATTGATAAAATATATTATATATAAACTTATGTCTATTATTATATTAGTAAAAAAACTGGCGGAGACTATATATGAATTAATGATTAAATACTTTACTGTACTTAAGAATATTATAAGTAATTAAGCAATGATATTTATAGTTATATTTTGGAAAATGCTCTATTAATATCTTGGTATAAGAAAGAGAATTAGTATAGTTTATTATTCTTAAACTGATAATTAAATAGAATGATAGAATTAGATATTGGAATATTATCTTTAGTTATATATTAATTTGTTATAGGATGACTAGATATAATGATTAGTGCTAGCTTAACATATATATAATAATAGTGTGTATAGTATTATTGGGATATTATCTACTGAAGCATTAATAGGCTTTTGGGGGGATATTTATATTAATATTGATTAGGATCTTCTAGGTATAGGTTCTAATAAAGAAATCTTGGGGATAAAGAAGGATTGAATACTGGCAATTGAATGGGTAATTTAATTATAGGTTAAATATAAAGAATTTTAAAAGCTATTAGAGGAAGTATTAGAGAATTAGTTTAAATATTTTAATAAGAAATGCATAGCAATATAGTTTTGAATTAGTAATAAGGTAATATTATAAATTATAAATATCTATCTTCTAGATAGGAAAAAATTAAAGTTTAATTTTAAATTTATTGGATCCTTCCAAATACTAAATATATAGAAAATGAATGTATATAAGCTAAAAATGTTTCTATAATACTAATAATTATATCTAGTATTCTATGTCTCTTTATTAAAATTATTTAAGGATATAGCTAGAAATAAAATTCTATCTAATAGTCTTATTATAAATAATATTAGAGAATATAAGATTAAAGAAATTTGTATAAATAAAGGCTTTAAAAAAAATAAAATATATTTTGTTAAGTAAGCAGGCTATTTTAAAGAAGATTGTATGTGAGAATCTAAGAAGAATATTAATAATTATACTATATTTAAAATTTACTTTTAAAATTGTAAGATTATTTATAACTTAAAATAAAAAAGAAAGAGATAAAGAAAAATTTAATTTATAGTAGTTAAGAATAAATATAGGATTTATTTTATATTATAAACTATTAGTGAAGGTTGTTAGTTATAAAATTTAAAGGGAATTTATATTATATAATTAATAAAAGCTTAGCCAATTAATTATAAAAGCTGAGAGAATAAATTATGAGATTAAGAGCTTAAAAGCTTAGATATAAATATCTGCCTATGAATAGGCTTAATAAGGAGAAATAAAAAAGATTTTTTTTTTTTACTAAAGTTAGCAGGGTCATTAGCTAAATATATTAACTAAGAATAAAAATGGTAAAGATAAAGCTTCTTTAATAAGATAATATGAATTATTATAATTAAATGCTTTTTAAGTGGACTAGGTTAAGTTAAGATTATATTTTTGTTATTAGTTTTAGTATTAAAGTCTATCTTAACAGTATATTTTCTAGATATATAGTTTAAAGCTTTAAGTGCTCTATTTAATACATAGTATTAATTACTGAAGTCCTCTATTATTAAATCTTGATAAAACTTGTTAGCTAAAGTCTTTAAGCGGTCTAATAGAGATTTGGGGTATTATAAACTATTAATATTAGTTATAAAATAAAAGATATTTAATAATATAGATGCTTAAACTAGAGTATAAATATATATTTATAAAAATATATTTATGCTTAAGTGTTTAACAATATATATATAACTAAATTATAATATTATAATAAGTATGTTACTGTTTAATACAGTTATGAGGATTTAAAGTAATTTATAATTAAAAATAGATTAAGTATAGAAGTTTATGTAGAAATTTAACTATATATTCCTATATCTTATTAGTATTAAAATTTTATATATAGAATATTATTACTTATTTTGCCCTTTGGAGATGCAGGAGGCTAGAAATTATTAGATATAGTACTAGGAGTAAGGACTACACTAAAAGGCTTAATTAGAGGATCTTTAGAAGTATATAGAGGTTTAGGCTATTTATTTATTTATATTATTAATAACTATATTAATATTTATCTGATTTTATGATTTATTTTGTATAGCTAATTTATCTATATAGATAACATTTTTGTGAGATACTTTGAATATAAGAATGAATCTAAATTAATGATAGTAAATTATTATTATGTTAGTGTTTTCTCAAATATTAGAATACTGCTTCTAAAGAGGGGGATAGCTAGAGTAAGTTTAAATTATTAAAATTAGATATTCTAAGTTAACTATTATACTTAACTATAAGGTAATTAAAACCATCTTACTATTGCCCCAAGTATTAAATTAATATAGAAAAAGTAAGAAATTAATAATATAGAATATACTAAATCTATATTTGATGAAATTTTAATAAAAAAATATAGTATTAAGATAATACTTACTATTAAGGAAGAAGATGAGGCTAAGAAAGAGAAGGAAAAGAAAGAGGAAGTTAGAATAAGGAAAATAAAGATTTATATATATTTACTACTAATATTAATCTTAATTATTTCTTATATATTTAATCCTTTATTTAATACTTATTATTTACTTTTAATTTTTCCACTAAGAATAAAGATTTTATTATAAAACTTAAATTATTAATTCTATATATTAAACTTTATAAGCCTATAAAGTTTTAGGCTCAGGGATACACCCTTATAAAGAAAGGGATAACTGTAAGATGGAATCCTAGATAGAATTAGGAATAGCTTTAAAGTATAGCGGGCATATAATCTTACCTAGCTTCCCGCCGCTAATTGGACTAGCGGCTTGGCATACACTGCCTTATAACCGCAGGTGGCCTTAGGCCTTCGTGAAGCAGCGATTAGCTGCTGAGCATATGTGTATATACGTTATATATATTCGAATCTATTCCTAGGCCGAAGCCGAATCCCAGCTACGTTCTTGCAACCCCCGTCACAGGCCCCCTTCCTCCTACTTATACTTCCTTCCATTCCGGATACCTGTGGGCTATCTCCGTTGTGTGCTGGTGCCTAGTAATCTAGATTTCTGGAAGGTTCCAACAATGTAGAATACTGGCTGGCAAAGGCCATTTACCCTTCTTGATATCACATAGATCCTCCGGCAATCTGCAGCATGAATCAAAACACGGGGTAATCCCCACAAGGCATATCTAGCCCCACATCTTCCCTGCATGTGATTCGTCCACGGGAGGCGGCCCGCGGGTACTTCCGCAGTAACCGCATGCCGCCAAGCCAAATCGTACTAGGCCGTCACAAAGTGCTCATATGAAAGCGCCGTTGAGAGTTGGATATGGAATGGGATTTACTATGTGGATAAGGAAGCCTTTTTAAAAATCCTTCCTTCTGTGTGTCAAGAAACCTATACTATCAAAAATATTATGGGAGGCTTTCTGCATGCTAGGATTGTATCTTATAATTCTGAAAAAGTGCTATCTCAATTGCAAATTAGTGTTGAGAAGAGAACGCCACCTCCTTTATTAAGGAGCACTACTTGGAGCCCTAAAACACCTTATAACGCACGTATGTTGGAACGGCAGGCTACCTCTGTTAAAAGGCTTCTTAATATATCTTAGGCACTTGATCAACTAATTAAGGGCTCCTTAATGATAATGCATAATGCTGCTATTCTAGCTAAGGAAAATCATGATTTACGCGATTCAGTTGATTAACTATAGAGACGCTGTGGTAGGCGTATAAGAGCCCTTCTAAATGAGGGTATTTTGATGGTTTCTGAAGGTAGAGAGCTGGCACAGTTGCTTGATGAAGTTGATGACCCCTCTCCGCTGGTTAATCAAAATGACGCTTTGCAGGCACCTCGCCGCGCACCTCCTAGATGTAGTAATTGCTGGCAACTAGGGCATAAACGTAATAGGTGCCCCAATCCTCCTAGCTAGTTAAATCTATATTTTTCTACTTCTATATATAATTTATAAGGGTTGAAAAAATAATGTGGGTCCTCGGTGTCCGGTTTACTCGGGAAATACGTTACATAAATGATTATGTATCATTTGTAGAAAGAAAGACAAATTGAGTTTTAGCTTTCAGCAATGATGTCAGGTGCAATAATAAGTATATTTATACTTTACAATGCCAAAACTGCCATTGAAACACGAATTGACTCATCCTGAAGATGCCCTAATAATTGCAGCTCTATATATATACAGATCATCGGTCAGATACCCATCCAACCAGAGGACGCATCTAAACCCCAAAAGCCTCCAAATTCTCAAGCAGCGTTTTGACAAACTCCGGCGCACGATCCACAAACTGCCCGCGCGGTATAAGAGTCACAATAATCCGCATCATATTCGACACATTATGCATCTTCTCCTGAATATCACTCGTAAACTTGGCATCATTAACAAGAAACATGGCATCTTCCTCCCTGCATATCTCCGCGAACCGATCCCGCAATCGATACTTTTCCGTGTATGACTCGTCGCCCGGTTTCGCATTCCACAGAAACGCGCGCACGGGATCCCAGATCTGGAAGGGTACGGTAGATGCGAATTCCCAGTCTAAAATGCCCGTAATACGGTTCGAGGATGGGTCGTAGAGCATGTTGGCAAAGTGTAGATCCTTGTGTGCAAGGCGGATTCGGGTGCGGTCGAGCTGCGCGGCGAAAGTGGGTAGGATGTTGCAGAAGGCGCGGAGGCGGGGGAGGTGTTGGCGCATGAATGTGAGATCCTTTTGGACCGAGGCGGCGTGTATGTATTTCTCCATGAGGGCGATGGTGAAGTTTGTGTAGGATGTGAATGGGCCGCGGATGTTAAGTGTCTCAAATGTCTCGTCTGTGGTGGTGAAGTAGCGTTTGACGTCGGGGGTGAACCAGAAATGCTCGTCTAGAATCGGGCCGGATATGATATTTTCTGGGTTTGTGGGCGAGTGCATTAGGCCGCCGATCTGGGCGAAGGAGTGCTGATGAATCTCGGCAAGGAACTTTAGTAATTGCCTGCAGATATCGTCGAGCTGTTCTTGCGTCAGGGAGTCGTAGACGTCTGATAGGGTTACGCCAGGGCTGCGAGTCAGGACGATGTACTCGCGATTTAACGGGTTGTTTGTTGTCGTGTCATAGCAAATGACAGATGGCACTGGGATGCTGGTGTGTTGTGATATCCAAGAAAGTGTGGCCGCCTCGTTCTCTGTCTTGATTGCAGGGACATGGTCGCCGGAGATGCGAAGTACGAGGTCAATGAATGGTGATGAAGTATCATATAGTGTCTTCAGCCCAGCTGGCAGATTCTTGGCTTCGTATGTGAGGATGTATATGGCATGAAATGCTGCGCTCGCTTTGAGCGAGTTGATGGATGTTGGCCGTCCAAGCGAGATCGTGTCTAGCAGTGCCTGGATCTCTTCCGGCTTGAAAGGCGCGGGGAGATATTCCTCTGCGCCGCCCATTTGTCTATTCAATTTATTGGAGTTTTGTGTCTGTAGGGGGAATCAGTAGCGGCATTCAATTCACAGACAAGATATTTGGCCATTACTACACAGAGGGTCGACGACCGCCGTTGTTTATATGGCCTTTGGCTGGCTGCCGCTCATTCGCCCGTCGTAGATAAGCTCGCATGAGATGGCACTAGTCAGCTTACGATCTCAAGACGACAAATGAGTCATGATTAGCACTAAGTTAGTCAGTTAGTCTTGAATGTGGAGACGATAATACATTTTAAGCACGTGTATAAAAAAAATAAATAGAGTTGATTCTAACTATGCCTCCCATCACATCGATCATTATCTTGCTAAGATCTTTTATCACATACAAACAAAAATTGGTAGAACAGGAGAGGAAAATTGACGTCGACAGATATGAAACAAGGAAGACGGGATAGAAGAGTAAAGGTGGATTGGGTATAAGGTAGAAAGCCAGGTCTGCGAAGAATTGCTCCTGTGGTTTTTATACGAGAACGAATCTGTCTGATAAGAAGAGAAAATGAAATAGATAAATAGATAAATAAATAGGAAGGCACATCCCGCGCTACAAGTCAGAATCAGAATCATCAAGGGTATAAATGACACCATTGCAGAATGCAGGAGAGAGAACTTTCAAATCCAAAGAATATTTTGAACGAATAAAGGGCAACGCAACTTCTTTTATCAAAGTTATGTTTTCACTTTCTTCCCACCTGCGTCCGCTGACACTCCGGGATCCGAATTCTTGCGTTTCTTTTCCGCTTCATCGTCTCGCGCTAGTCCAGGCCCTGTCTGGGTAGCAGGCGTGAAAGGCAATGGGCTCGGCAGAAGGCTTGTATCCGGACCAGTGCGTCCAAAACCCCACTCAGGAAAGAAACTCGAAGGAGAAGGGAGAAGAGCGTCCGAAACAAATCGACTAGGCAGTGCTGAAATCGGCGTCTCCATATTTTGATTACTACTGCTGCTACTGCTTCCACCGTAGCCAGTCCCATTTTGCGTGTTGGATCCAGGGGGGGGTGGACGCGCAAATGGATTAGGCGGGCCTTGCGCTCCAGCACTTAATATAGGCCCCCCTGCAGCACCTGGAGACGGTGGAGGCAGTTGCACAACTCCGACAGTACTAGCGTCGGGTGACTTTTTAGTAATTGTCGAACCAGTCTGAGCCGTCGAATCGTGAGGAGAAGAATCTCCTGTAGCACTGCCGCTGTCTGATTGTTCACTTGGAATTTGCACTTTAAGGCGAGGCTTCGGCCGCGCCGGTTGTTGCGAGTCACTTAAGGAGGGGGTTGACTGTGATCTTTGCGGTGCTGTTGCAGCCCGAGTTGGTGGTGGCGGCGGCGGCGGTCCGTTCCTAGGAAGAGGAAGAGTTTGGCTTGAGGGGGCGGTCGGCTTTGACTCTTCTGTTACTGACATGTCATGTTGAGGGGATTCACGCAGATGCGCTCTGCTTGAGAGTATGTGACGAGAGAACACAGATGTCTGATCGTCGATCGGCGTAAAAATGCTGCGCGATTTGGTTTTCGAAGACGAACCCCCCTCTGCCTTCGGATCATTGTGTTGCTGCGTACCTGCCGGATCAGGAAGAGCCAAGGAGGTCCTGTACTGGAATTGCTGAGAATCCTGCGACAGCGAAGGAGGCAGAGAATGCCGGCCCTGATCTTGTATATACTGAGCATGCATATGAGGCATTGATTGATGCTGAATTGTTGGTAAGCCATGGTTGGGTAACTGAGGGGCATGCTGGTGGTTTTGCGGCATAGCTTGAGCCTGTGGATGAGCGCCAGGGTGAGGCGGGTGAGTGAATTGATGGTATTGGCCTTGCCGCGCAGGCTGGTTATTCATTTCCGAATTCGTATTGGGGTTATACATGGACGGATTTGGCATATAAGCATAGCCGTTGGAATTTGCAGCAGGCGGAGGAGTAGCGTGCGCTTGGTTATGCCCACCATACTGTGCGCTCACGCGGCGGGCATGATTTCGCGAAGAAGGACGAGAGTTATTCTGAGGTTGCGGGGTACCGTGACGAGGGACATAAGCAATTCCATTGGGTATTGGAGGTGATGCAGAGGGAGCGTGGTTCACATGTTGGTAACCAGGTTGGTTTTGGAGCTGGGGTGGGATCGCATTCTGAGTTGAGGGTCCCATCTCCTCGGCAGTTACGTCCTCGTCATCGTCCTCATCGTCATCGCCTCCGCCGCTAAAGTCATGCGGTCCTTTATGTTCATGGGGAGGGCCATACTGTGGTTATGTCAATTATACAAAGCAACTCAAGAGCAGTAAACAGGACAAAAGCGAACGTACGTATTGGTATCGATGCAGAGTTTCCCTAATATCGCCTGAGGAGAATTCATACAGCTTTTTATTGTGGCCAAAGATAATGACGGCGACATCGACCGAGCATAATACAGAGAGTTCGTGGGCCTTTTTGAATAAACCGCCTTTTCGCTTCAAGAATGTCCTATGGAGGGGGGCAAAAACGTCAGCTATGATAGTATATTCCCGGGGGGGGGGGGGGGGGCAAAAGTCATGCTTACACAGAACGATTGCGGTCATCCTTGATTGCTTTGATCTCAATTTTCCTCCGACCCATCGTGCAATCAATTAGAAGTAGAAAATTTCAAAATTCGAACAAGCAGGCAAGCGCGCAGAGTAAAGATGCAAGTTCGCAGGGAAGATGCGGTTCGACTGAAGCTGGCTAGGCTGCGCGTCGAAGGATAGTATGTGGGAGTACCGCGAGATCGCATGCGCAATCAGATTTATCTTTATCTTGCGCGATTATAATTGTCGCGTAGACAGCGACAAAGAGCGAAGATCAACTTCTTTGAATCACCCGTGATTCTGCACAAAGGACGAAAGAATTCAAGGCAGGCCCACCGTGCAGAGCAAAGATGTCGAATTCTTCACAGTGGGAGGGAGGGAGCGGCGAGAAGAAAAGGAAAATACGCGACAGTCGGCGATGGCGGGCGCGGTGGTAGTAGTATTGCTATAGTATGTTCGGCGCGGCGCATGTAAAAAGTCTCGACGATCTGGAGCGGACTAGGACGAGCGGCTTGACCAGAAGAGCAGCGCTTGGGGCAAGCAACGCGACAATGTAAGTGGACCAAGGGCCGACCAAGCTCTCAGAGCTTTGATGGCAGATGGCAGAGGCGGAATGCGATGGAAAGAAGAAGAGGTGGAGGAGGGGGCAGATGCAGTAGTTCTAAAGATAGAAAGAAAAGAAACGGTGGGAGGAGGTCTTGGGCGGAAGGAAGGGGGGAAGCCAAGTTGGCAGGCCGCAGCTGCCCATTCAGGAATCAGGAGACGGCACGGGACACTAGGCCGTGTTTGGGCTAGTCCGAGCACTAACTCTGTGGGGTTAGTTGACAGCTCTTGAGCACTTTCTCTAGCTAGCTAGCTAACGTTAATCAAGCTAAATAGGTAGGTAACTTATCAGAGAACCAAGTATGGGGTATATCAGGTACGGTCATCATTGGATCTTTCAGATGCGATTGTCAAAGCTGCAGCGATAACCTGACGCTACAGAACTTGGGCGAAGGAAGGAGGTTACTGACTATTCCGGTTAGCTCGTATGTACCCTCAGGAATCACACTGCATAAGCGGCAAAGACGTCGAGCAGCGCGCGGCTAAAGGATAAAAAGATGCTATTTTTGGCTTCTCTGCTAATTTAGTTCATCGAATGCTGCTGGCCAATAGGCACCGTCAATGGCTCGTCTCCATTCAACAATGCGCCTCATTCAACATCAGAAACAGATCGATCTATTCAAAACTGCCGCGGGATGTTTCAACAAGACAAAGCGATCTATAATTACTTGGACGTCCCGCTACATATATAAATATGCCTTGACGAACATTATTTCACTCATAACGTCAATCCTCTTTGTTCAGAGAGTTGCCTATTTTTGCCTATTCTCTTTTCCTCAGATATTCTTCACATTGCATCTAGAAGCTCAGCTCAAACTGGCAGTTGGAACCAAATGGCGCCCAACATAAGGCTTCAGGAAATCTGCCGATCCCAGCGGCACACCCTTCATACGCAGTATCGAGTAAACAACCTGTAGATGAAAAAAGAAGAACGGAAGCCCATACGAATACAAATACTCCTGAGCATTCGCATCCAAGCTATTCCCCTTCATCTCCCCAGCCCTAAAATCGATGCGCACCCGATTCTCGGTTCCACTGTTAAGTTGATCCGGAGTAAAGGTGTCTAGTAGGGCAATAGTCTTCTCGCAGCGCTCAATCAGTTTCTCGACGGTATCCTCATTGTCCGGCCATGACTCGATAGACGAAATGCCTGTCACACGGACCATGGATGCCTTGGCGATGTTGGATGCGACTTGCACATGGGCTGGGAGTGGAAGCATGTCTTCGATCAGGGTTGCCTTGATGATTTCCTCGGTTGTTTTTGCGCCATAGTGCTCAATGGCTTTGGTGAGGATGTTTTTGAGCACGTTGAGTCCATTTTTGAAGACGGGAACGCTGGCGTCGTAGAGAGGGGTGGCCATGGTGAGAGGGCTTTTGATGAAGGGCTTGTTTTTTCTTTCTTTTGCGTGTGAGTTTTCCAGCAGCAGCAGGGGATAGATGGACGCTTTTATTGCTTCATCTTATCGCTTTGGTCAGATGCTCACTGCTAAGTTATCAATGTTGATTATAAATCAGCGGTTGAGATTAAGTTATTTAACTTAACATAGTTACTGGTTAGTTAGTAATCCAATGATAAAGTACCCTCGACTATCTTATTGACAATGATTCTAGAAGTTTCTCCAACGGATGAGGTTGTGAATTTGTAGACGAAGATAATTACTCGAAATGTCGTATTACGTGTATCAAGGCAAGTTGGACATTGGGTCAAATTCGAACTTCAGGAAAACCAATTCCATGGCTTGCCCTCGAGGCAAATAAACGGTGTTGATCAACTTGATTGTATCTAAAAGTAGATATTAATATCAGATAAAGCACAGGCCAAGGGTTGCTCATGGCCGCCTATTCCTAATGAATCGGCGGGGCTATTATATATATATATATGTGTGTGTGTGTGTGTGTGTCGATAATAAATAGCAAATATTAATGGAGTAGACGCCTTGTAGACAAGTAAGCGCTAGATGCTTAATTAATACGTACTGAGCCTCATACGTAGAGATGGATGAGGCTCGGAACGCTCCTTCAGACTCTGAGAGTCATAGCAGCCCACCAAGGTAGTTGGAATCATCAGAACTCACGATTGACACCAGCTTGTCTACCCAAAAATACACGGTACAGCGAAAAACCAGGCCGATAGTCTGATACTTGGCATTGTGCACCGTGCGGCCAATCACAGCTCGTGCGCCCGTGTTAGTCAGGGGCGTAATTTACGGTGTGTAATACATATATGGCGCCGGGGTAACGCTCCTGACCAATCACACGGCAAGAAAGAATATCTGCTCTCCTTGCTTTCGTTTATTCAATCTGCCCTCGACGTGTCATACGCCACGGTGTCGAACAGACAACCGCTGTCTGCTGTGGCGGATTAGTCCTTGTCCAGAAATTAAAATTAAACTAGACCGCAGTGGCTCTGGCGGAGTAACCTGGAGGGGCTTAAGTTCCTGGAGGTCAGGGCTAAGGCTTTACTAGTAGTAACTTAGCCCCTGAAGTGAGAATAATTAATTATACGCATTGTCAGTCTGTTGGATAGAGCCTTGTCTTATTTTTCTTCCCTTTCTCTCTTATTTCTCTTTTCTTTCTATGGAATAAAAAATTTTCATCATTCAGCAATCCCGGTTTGTCGTCGTCGTCGTCGTTGTCGTTGTTGTTGTTGTTGTTGTTGTTGTCCCCCCCCCGGCCCGCTCTTTCCCATCATCGTCACTCGCTCTGAGCTGTCTGCGTCGTGCAGTGTCGGGCGGTTGCCGTTGCTTTTTCCCTCTTCAATCTGAACTCAAGCTGCATGGAAGAGCTCAAGACTTTCGTTTCTTTTCTTTAATTTCATTTATCCATATAAATTTATACAAAAACCCATCCATTCCTTAGCGTCAGGTCGTGACGGGCCCTTGACATCAGTCACACCCTCATCCAAAAGAAAAACAAAACACCGGAAAAAAAAGGAAACCTCCGCCAGCTTGCTATGCGCCTACTCCTCGCCAACCGCTGAACAAAGGAACAAAGGAAAAAAAAGGACATCCCATTAGAAAAAAATAAAAAGACAAATCGAGGATGCCCTTTTTCTCTCGAGTCTTTCGGGGCAAAGACTCCAGCGCCAGCAAGAAGGCCGCCAAACAGACCGCCGCTGAAGACACGCCAGCCAAGCCCAAATGGACCGACGCATATCAACGCACCGACGTTGCGGCTGAGGAGGTGCAGGAGCTGCTCCGGGGATGCACGCAGGAATTAAAATCGCGAGGTATGTATCTCCAGTGCATGCAGAATTGGCTCGCTGTGTGTGGGACTGACATTGTCCAGGTCTCGACATCCCATTCCTTCTGCTTCCCTTCCGGCCGAGTTCCGATCCCAGCGCGGCGCGAACGTTTATTCGAAATTTCTTCAATGCGGAACAGAGAGGAACCCCGATTCGGGGCGAGGCGCTCTTGCAAGAGCTACGGTTGACGGAACCAATGGTACTATTAAATACATCTTCGATCTGGTTTGGCGCGAAGGAATATTGGGGCTAATAAGGTCGCAGGTTCTGTGCAGTGTCGTGAAATGGTGCTGGAGTAGACTCCCTGGAGGAGTAGTCACCTGGGAGGCTTATGAGCTCTTCAAAGTCGGAGAGCAAGGTACTTTTCGTGATCCATCCCTCTACCCATCCTACGTAAAGCTAAACCCGTTCAACTAGATTCGGACCTCGCCCGCGACGCCTTTAATACATTCATTCCAATCAGCGTGGATTCCGACGCTCGTACCAAGATTATATTCGATTTTTTCGATCTACTCTCCGCGATTGCTGCCCATGGCAAGTCCAATGGACTGGGCGGACGAAAACTGTCGAGATATGCCGGCTGGTGGGCTTTTGAGCACCATGAAACCGGCAACGGGTTCGAATCTTCTTACAAGAGTTGGGCTACGTGAGTGTTTTTTTGGGGAACTATCACCGTCCTAAAACCCACTATATCTAATGCCATATTTAGGGCTGCCGATGCCACGAGTCATCTTTTCTTTGCCTATCTGCGCTCACTCTCTCCAGACTCGGTCCGCGGTGTCAACGGCATCTCAGCGCTTCCCATTGCTCTCCAGTCTCTGGTGCAGGCCACTGAATACCCCCCTCAAACTCCGAGTTTGCTGCAGTTCTCAACGACCAAGGTCGTGATGATTGTCGATACAGTCTCTCCAACACCATTCGCATTGTTGCGCCGTGCAAAGAATTTTGAATACCGGGATAGCGACCGCCATCTCCAGGAATTCACCGAGTTTGATGATCCCACGCAGGCGTTGACGGACGAATGCCAACGAGTCCTAAAAGCGATTTCAACGATCAATCAATCAGCGGTGTCCACCACCAAGACCTCGACTAGCCTGCGTGATGCGTCGTGGTCTCGTTTCGAAGACATGGGTTTCGGCGCTTCAATAGACTCAGACCACGATGATGAGACTGACGACTTGACGAGAACTGGTCCTACGGAGCTGCGCTCTGCGCCCCAGTCTCGCACCAACGATTTCGCTCGCCCGACCACGCCATCCTGGGCCGACTTTTTATCCTCGGGATTCGCAGACGACTCCTCCGTAACCCGTGGACCAGCATCCCTTTTACTGCCCCCTGACAAAGTTTTGCCGCCCATTGGAACGGTGCGAGGCCAGAGTTCGCAATCCCACAAACGCACGCTAGACACCGAACCAAACCTGGAACCAGGAGAGTTAGCTAGCATTACCGTCCTCGATCTGGATGACTCGTTCTGGTGGGTCTGGATAAGCAGTCTGTCAGGCGAGGAACCTTCATCTCGAAAGGCTGTCTTTGGAAGATGTGCGTTGCTCGAGACGGTGATTAGCGGAGCCAAGTGGTTGGTGCTAGAAGAACAGGTTAAGGGAGCCGCCTCAGAGCCTGAAGAAGGAGCCTACATTGTCGAGAAGAAGCGATTCTTTAGTTTCTCAACGAAGAAGAAGCTTACCCGCAGCAAGTCCACTGCAAAGGGGCCGCTCGGTAACGCACCGTACAAAAATAGCAGTAGCAATAGCACTGCTCGTGCTAGCAAAACAAGCATTGGTCCAGATCAGCATGCACGTATCCAAGCTGCGGCAGCAGCTTTGCAGCGAAAACAGCGTGAACAGGAGGAAGACCAGCAGCGCGAAGCCAACGGCCGTCGAGCTCGGAACGAGGACTCGTATTCGACCAAGACTAACTCGATCATGACACAATACACGGGCTTGATCCCAGAAGCGTCATCGGCGATGAAGTGGGCACGACACTATGATAACCATTACGACAAGGACCAGCTGAGATCTGCCTACCTTAGTGACAGTCGCGCCGGCACCGGTGCACCCGCCGAGTCCTTACTGCCGCCGAATGGACAGCGATCGATGTCGAATCTTTCCCAAAACACTCCCCAGTCCGAGAAAGCCAGCAACAACGCAACGAAATCCCTGCCATTGCCTGTTCCTCCTAAGGATTCGCCCAAGCCCGCCAACGACGACGCCGCCGCCGGATTCCCAGAGGCTGCTGCTGCCAGCACACCGGAAGCTGAGACGAAAAGGGAGGCGACAGACGACCAGCAAAAGAAGCTCAAAAAGAAGCCGGTTGCCAATTCAGCACTCAAGGGCATCTTCAGCAGCACGAAGCAGCGGGCGGGTGATGATTCTACGCCCAAGAAGGAGATTGGCATCGACCCGTCGGCTGTTGCAGCGGCACGGGCTGCTCTTGAAAACAAAGTCATGTCTCAGGAATCATTGCCGCCAAAGTCTCATACCACAGGCCGTTTAACCAAGAAGCCGGTTCCAGAAGTTGCTATACCTGCTGCCAAGCCTGAGGAGCCAGCTGTCGAAGCCGTGTCGCCAATTTCAGCGCCAGCAAAGAACGAAGTCAAACCGGCCACGAAGACCTCAGAGCCCGAAACTGCATCACCGACGTATAGCGGCCCCCCACGCACTCGCCGCGAAGCTGAGTACGACGCCCTTTCCCGGATCGACACCAACGAGCAAGCAGCGGCAGACCGAGAGTTCTCGTCCTTTGATCAAGGGCCATTGACCGAGCAGCCAGCCTTTGTACCGGAAGAAGAGAGCCCCGTCACGCCCGTTGAGCGCAGCTTCCCCTCCGAAGACAAGGACAAGGAGACGGTAACGACTATTACTGCTGTTCCAACTCGCGATTCTGCAACGCCGACCGGCCAAACGCCAATCAAAACGGGTGGCAGTCCAGATACGACGGCTACTGCCAGTCCGTCATTCCAGGATCGATGGGCGCAGATCCGCAAGAATGCGGCTGAAAAGGCAGAGAGGGCCAGCAGCGAGGAGATTCACAGCCGGACCAGCCAGGCAGACGATGGAGACACGAGCGGGGAAGAGAGTAAGTTTATCCATGAGTATACTGTCGACGAACTGGAATGAAATCGAACTAACGTTTGTTTGTGTAGCGATTGAGTCTCGGGTGGCTCGCATCAAGGCGCGCGTTGCTGAGCTGACTGGCAACATGGAGGCGTCGCGGTGATCATCACTTCCAACCACTACCAATTTCGAAATTACGCTTGACGAATCGATTGAATGATCGTCTGTCTTTTTCTTCAATTTACCCCTATTTTCTTGCTTAATACTTCTTTTTATATTTTTTTTTTTCTTCTGTGTATTCTGATTTCTACAATTCCCCCTTCAGTTCCGTCCGTTTAGTGCAGCAGTGCAGCTCGAGATTGATATTGTCTTATATCAACATACCCTTTTAGTTTTTAGTCTTACTCGTCATCGCTTAGCTAGATAACAATTCCATTGATGCAGATATACTACTACTATATGTATGGACCGGACAGTTTTAAGGTATGCACGTGGCTGGAGGTTAACTGGATTAAGGCCTTCCCTTGCGTCCAGCCCATCCAGGTACATTTATTTAATTCTATTAACGATCAACACACACTGCATGATAAGCATTTGATGTGCCTTGTTTTTTTTTGTTTTTTTTTTTGGTTTCTTTTCTTTTTTTCTTCTTCTTATTGCTTATCTGCCAATCACACAGGGCCGCCTCCGAGCCCGTGAGCGACGGTCAGTTACGTACGGCCTGACGACTGAGACACCTCAGCCACCGTCCACCATTGGTCGGCCCGGCCTTTGTACGCGTGGTCCGCGGCCAGGAAAATGCTACAAAATCTTCTCCTTCTCTTCTCTTCTGTATCCTCCTCGAATTCTTTTGGCCTGGAACCACGCTCCAGAGAGCCTGACTGCTATACACTCAGCGGACTGGATAAGGTGAGAGACACTTGACAAGACATAGTATAGTGCATGTCAGACTGACCGCCAGCCTCCGCAATTATCTCTTATCGCAGGACTGCACAGACACTGTCAGACAGCAAGCAGACTATCGTTAATCGCTGGATCGATATAATATATCGATAGACCTATCTCATCTACCTCTGGGACCTCTTCAGGAGTCTCATATCATATCGATATCCCTCTTGGCACACGCTCAGTCATCTCGACTGCTGCTAATTTCGCTCCACTGGGTCCGCACTTACTACTACTCATAATCTCCCCAAAGGCGATCATCGAGCCTAGTTAGTGCCTTGCCTTATTAAGCAGATTTTTTGTGGAAACAACGTGAAACAAGGTTGGAAGGCAATAATAATAATAATGGACCCTCCCACGTCTCCCTCTTCCTCCTCGCGCCCGCACCGCCGCGGCATCAGCTTCAGCGGCAAATCCGACAAGTCTCGCCGATCCAGCAATTCGGGCCCCAAGGTTTCGCTGACCGAGACCGCCGAGGAGAAATATCGTCGCTCGCTGCATACCAAGGCTGATCCGACGCTCGCGATGAGTGAAGCCCAGCCAGGTTTGTTCTGCTTATCTTGACCTTGCGGTCAGCTTGCAATTGAGCTAATGGATTGGTGACAACTAGCCGTCGTGGCCCTGGAAAAGTCGAATTTGGGATCGCTGCGTTCGATCCAGCATAAGGATCAGTATGGGAATATTATCAGTATGTCGATGTTCGACCACGGACTTCTTTTTCAAGCGCAAGAAAAGTAAGAAATGGTGCTGACTATGATCTAGCGGACCCTGACCTGTCCAACCCGACCCGTCCGCGATTCGAGAGGCCTCTGGACACCATCCGATCGTTTGAAGCTGCAATTGATGGGAGCTACCATAGTCGTCGCTTGTCATACGTGACGGGTTTGTGAATACCTCGATTTTGATCTCGTACATCAGGCTGATTCTGGTTTAGAGGCATCTCCGAGCCGACCTGGCAGTTACTACGGTAAGTCTACGCGCAAGCCTTGAACTATGAATCACTGAAACTGACTCGTACAGGCGGCAACGAAGCAAACGGCTACTCTCAAAACAACAATAACAACCAATATGGCGGATCACGCTCTAACCGTCCGCGCCACGGAAACAGTCGCATAAACTCGGAGTATGCCAACTACGGACCAGGACAAGGACAAGGGCAAACCTTCTACCCAAACTCCACCTACCAACAATCCAGTGACAATTTCACCGCAAACTCCGGATCCGCAAACACGGATCAATGGGGCAATGCGACAGATCCCAGCTCGGTCAGTAGCTCGTTTGATCGATTGCAGCAGCAGCAGCAACAACAACAAAAATACGGACAGGACTACTCCTACAATAACAATTATAATGGAGGCGGTCCGCCGCCACCTCCTCCGCATCAACGACAATCGTTCAACCAGAGCGGCGGCGGGCCTGGGGGTATTAACCCTGCGCTCCCGGCGCCTGTCAAACGGACTATGGATGACGATAAGAAAAAGCGCGGTAGCTGGCTCAAGCGGAGGTTTACCAAGGATAGGGACTGAGTTTTCTTGTCCGACATCAGTACATACGATATACATACCCCCCTTCCCTCTCTCTCTCTCTCTGTGTGTGTGTGTGTTTGTGCTATATTATGCGATGCTATGAATTATATGTCTGTTATTTGTCTTTGGTGGGATTAGTTAGGTTTGGCTCGGTTAATCCCGGGGGCGTTCTACTGTATACTTTCTATACATTACATATCTGATGAACTGTTTATCTTCAACCCTCAAAAGCCGATTCAATCAATACCCAGTAAATTATCCTAACGTATCCTAAACTAACCAACGCACATGATATCATACCATTATCCAAATCCGTAGCATACATAATAACTGTATATAAGATCTTGCATTACTTCCTGCCCAACATCTTCTGCTTCAATTTATCCGCCAACCCCGTCGGCGTCCCCGTCTTTTTGTCCTTGCCTTCATGCTTATGGCTCTCGTCGAGATGGACATTTCCTTGTCCGCCGCGCTACGCATTCATACACCCATTAGCCAATTCATCATAAATCATCGATAGATACCTGGGATGGTGTGCATACGCCAGTATGATAGTCCCCATCCACGCTATTCCGTATCGCAATGTCCGGAATCACCTCGCTGTCGTGCGCCGTGCCCGGCGTCGAGGGCCGGATGTGCGGTGAGCCGATGTTTCCTGCGCCGCCGCGCTGCATACATACATACTGATCAGCTTTTTTTATCTTGATTATTGGGAGGTTATAGGGGGGATTGCATACACCAGCAGAATAAGCGCCATCGCCCTGATCGCCTGTCGGCCCCGAGCGCACGATTTCGCCGTCCACGTACTTGGTTGAGTCGGCGCCGATGTTGCCCTGGCCTATCATTCCGTATTAGATTGATTGACTGCATGCGCAGAGATAAGGATATCCGTATATAATGACAGACCTCCACGGCCGTGAGAGACGATGGGCTCTTTTCTGGATTCTTGGGAGCCGGACATTTTCTTTTTTTTTTTCCTAGCGGATGATGGGTGTACAAGTGTAGATACTAGATACCTTTTATAGGTTGAGAGCCCTGAGGGGTGTTTATTATATAGACGCGGGCTGGGGCGATGATGTTATCGCTCAGGGCTTGGCTCAGATCGCTTTTTAATTTGTTTTGATGCTTTCGGTGCTTGTGATTGGCTGGGGCGCATCTTGGCGTTTTTTTTTTTTTTAACTGGTATATACTTTTTACTTTTTAGGGAACTGTTATTGTATTTTTTTAGTCGGTGTATTTTCGTGTATCTCGACGTATTTATTGACGTCATGTGCCTTTTTGTTATGTGTTCGCTACGGTATGATATGTATGTATGTTACGGCCGATAAGAATTGATGACTAAAATCGTATCGTGATTTGATTGATGCCTTGCTAGTTAGGCTGAATTCTTGACTCTGGACACACATCCAAACACTAACAATGACTAACGGTTATTTCTTCTCCTTCGACACCTGCCCACCAGTCGTCGGTAGGCCCATGAAGATCTTGAACGAGTCGTATCTGCTTCTGTCAGTACCAGTCATCACGACAAGAATAGAGGGGGCCATACATCATCCATTGCAATCCGGTCTGAGGTATCAATTAGCACTCATACCATGAAGAGCGGGAGCAAGAGAGAGAGAGAGAGAGAGTATATACCAGAGTTCCAATCATCACAATCCTCACTGCGAGCCCATTCCACAAACCGCCGAATCCAATGTCCTTATAAATGCGCGACATGGCCGCGCCAAACGCCTCGCCCGGCTGTCGCGACGCATTGAGCTTGCTCACCATTACATCAGCCGGATGCGACACAATCGCGCACAGAATACCAGCCAGGTAGCCACCGGTAAACGCAACGCCTGTCTGCTGGGCCTTGCCGTAGTCCTGCTTCTTGCCGGGGAGATAGCCATAGATCATTTCGACGATGGTCTCGAACGAGGCAAACTTCATCATGGTGTAGGGGATCTGCCGGCCCCAGAGCGGGTAGAGCCCTTTAAACAGGCTGTTCGACGTATATTAGCATTAAACACAACCAGCTCAGCTCAGCTCTGCTCTCTAGAGTAGAAGGCGTACCCCCCAGTTCCCTCTTTGGCAACAATCTTATTGATGCCGTCAAAAGTGCCCGTAGCAAATGGGGGCATGCTCGTCTGCGTGCGCACTTTGACGGCTTCAAACGGACACAGAGCAATGTCTGCGAAGAACTCGGCCGAAGCGCTGGCTGCGAGATAGACGCTCGTCTTCCAGTGGACGGCTCTCTCGGGGCCGACTAGGTCACTGTAGAAGGACTTGAAGTACTCGTAGCCGCCGTATTTGAAGGCTCCTTGTGCCTATTCCAGCTGAGCCAGTATACCTAGGTTGTATATATATATATACATATATAATACAAAGCGAGAAAGGGGGGGGGGGGGGGGGGGGGGGAGGGGGAGGACATACGGAATACCCGAAAAACGTCGGGCTCCAGCCAGTGAATACACCGCGCACACCTTCGACACGGTATATGGTGCGCCATGCTTCCACATTGCCCTTGTACAGGCCAGGGTCAACCTGGCGACGGCATTTGACCAGGTCCAGCGGGGTGACCGCGGTGTGAGTCAGGCCCTGTGTAGTTATTTATATATTACTTCTCTCTTCTTCTTCTCTGTGGAAGCCCCCCTTGTTTATATTATACTCACGCAAGCCAGCAATCCACCAAACGTGCACGCGGCATAATACTTGGGCGAGAACATCTCAATGGTCCCCGTTTTGGCCTGGGCCTGGCTACTCATTTTCTCGTAGGCCTGGCCGGTTTTCTGCTTGACGTCGTCGAGGGCGCTCCACGCCATGAACGGCGGCCTGTTAGTAATCTGCATCGTTTCCTGCGATGGACGAGAAGACATTTTTCTTTTCTGTTGTGCTGTATATATGTGTGTATGCGTGTATATGTGTATATTATTACTGATGGGTTTATAGGCAGCAATCGCTCAAATATCAAGCGAAAGACTCCACGTTGTCGATGGATGAAAGAAAAGAGATACAGTCGTGGTGACGTCTTCAGGTGGCAATCCGAATTCGGGTTGTTGTCCGCCCGCAGCGCCAAGCTTCTCCTCACACAAGCGCAAGCACAACCTGCACAAGCTAGCTTTTCACGCCGAGAGCTTCGACCTTTCACTCAAGGAAGAGCAATAACTGCTGCTCGACATGGCAACATACTCATCAGTCGGCGCGACCCTGGCCCGCGAAGATCTCACGGACCACGCCGCCGCTTCCTCGACGCAGAATCTGCATTCGTGGTCTGGCAAATATCGCGGGGTACGTACTTGCTCTTAAGAACAAGAGTGTAGTACATATCATTGAGCATACTAACGAATATAATGATAATAGGCCACCGTCGAAGACCTCGACCCCCCGCCAGCCCTCTCCGTCTCCCCCAACGACTCCATCGCCTCCGCCCAACTCGCCGCCTACGAGCGCGACTACAGCCATCTCACCGTGATATCCTCGAGCACACGGGCGCTAATCGGGTACTTGAGCATCCCGCGCTTGAAGACGCTTCTCCGCGAGGGCAAAGTGCAGGAATCCGACCCCGTCAAGTCCGCCATGCAACGCTTCAACCGCAAACGCTCAAATGTCTACCAGGTGATTACCATGGACACGCCGCTGGAAGAGCTGGAGCGGTTTTTCAAGGGGGAGGCCATGAATCCGCCAAAGGAAGGGATGCCGGCGGCGCATCCGACGACGGGTATGGGCGCGCAGGATTTCGCGATCGTGACGGATCCAACGAGGAAGTTTGTGTTGGGTGTGGTGACGGAGGGCGATTTGCGGGAGTTTGTGAGGAGGAGGCCTGCTTGATTTCTATTTTGCTTGATACCCTATACTTATATTATATTCATTGAAAAACAAAAATAGACGAATTGCATGCCACAAGTAATAAAATACATCCCTTTAACTCTGCCGGAGATTGTATGAACCTATTGCCCCTTCTTCTCCTTCCTTTTCGCCTGATCCTCCTTATCCTCCTGCCAGGCCACGACGACATACGCAATCAGAACCACATTGGCCACTAGAGCAGCCAGACCACCTGCAAATGTGGCGTTTCCTTTTGCATTATCAGAACGGGACCTGACTGTTGGACACATGGAAAGTAAAGTGTAAAGCTCACCACTGAATATAGTCTTGATACTCAAGAAATACGCCCCGAGTGGAGCGCAAATCATGGCAAATGTGAATGCGAGGAGTTTGTAGATCGTTTCTCTGCATTTGTGTATATATATGTATATATACTTGGTTAGTTGTACATCTCAGCTAAGCGGAGAGAACGCACGCTGGCACGGCGGGAGATGTATCCGAGATGGTATTGTCTGATACATCTGGCTTTTCTTCGCTCGAGGCTGAGCTGGGAATGCGTCGATTGGGGTTGGAATGGCGACCGGGGACGACCATTTTGGTGTATCCTCTTTTTGTAGTTGGGTATTGATGGTGGTTTTGGTTGTATTTCAGTTGAATTGATGGCAGAATAATTGATGATGCAAATGTGGTGGAGAGCTAATTTGTGGAGATGGATGTCGCTGATTGGTGGGATCCCATAATCATATAACATAAGACATTGGGAACTACGACGAACTGCTGACGGCAATCTACTTTTTTTGAAAGTATCTAGTCTACTTGAATGAGATATGATAGCTGGGTATCGGAATTGTATGCATCAGTACAGTATACATGAATCGGAAACGCTGTCTCCGGAGCTCGCTCATGTCGGGCCAGTCATAAACGAATGGCACAGCAGAGGCATTGGTTTTTTTATCATATTTTGATTTTTTTGTTTGCGCAGAAGAAGTATTCCTTTATAACACAGAGATCCCCGTAAATAAATGCGAGAAGATAAAAAGTCTCCGCTGTTTTCTGCCCTTTTTTTTGCCTTTCCTTTCCAACTCCATCAAATCACCGTCTCATACCAAGCCGTAGCATAGCAGCAGAGCAGAGCATCTCGCGGCCCAGTACGACGGAATAACCTGTGTGTATATCGGTAGGAGCAAATAAATTATCTTTTGAAAAAAGATCTTATTTTTTGGTGTGTCGAGAACCCGCCCTCATTACATTAACAAATAAACACAGAAAAACATGAAGCACCCCGGCTTGCCGATTCGCTGATTTAGATGTTGGAAGGGTAAAGCATGATGCGGACGGTGGCACCGAAGGTCTGAGGAGGGAGGTTGTGTCGGAATTGAGCGCGGACGACGCCAGAGTTGCCTAGATCGAGTTAGACGAGTCTCTTCATGTCCATGTGAACGAAATTGTCAACGCACCATGTGGCCGGGTCACCTTGCCCCAGATGACGCGGATTTTGGTGCCCTGAACCTCCTTCTTTCCCCGGTAAACGAAAGCGACCTTCTTGCCGAGGTAGAAGCTGCGGGAAAAGAAAAAGTCTTAGTAAACCGTCCTGCATGTCCATCACATTCCCATTCTCATTCTCGGCGACTCACTTGGCGGCATTGATATCGTCAACACCCTCGATCTTGATCAAGCTGGTGTTGGGGTTGGTGTTGCGCTTTCCACGCTGGTAGCTCAGGTGGCGGCCCCTGTAGAACAGTCAATAATTGATCACGGCGCTATGCATTTGTAAATGGAGAAGATTGGTGGCGGGTGGTCGCGAATCGTGTACACGGGCAGAGGCTTACTTGACATAGACTGCGAATTTGTTAGCAACGATTTCGTCAATGATCGATCACCATCAAATCTGCTTGCGACTCCAATCCATATCTCATCGAATCGGGGAAAACTCACGTCTGTGACCGTGTTCCGAAGGCATCTTGACGGAAGATTTATCTCTGAGCAACCGGGACAAACAAGAAAGAAAGTCGTGATTCAAAGGCAACGCTGACCGGCGAGAGTCAGAGGAGTGTCGGTGGTTGTCGTCGGGTCGGTCTGTCGCTTCGGTAAAACAACGAAACGCACACAATTCAACGGATGGAAAGAACACACTGGTGGCGCTAGTCCCCAATCGGGCTAGCCCTAGCGAGGGTTAACCGAGACCCCGTGACTGGAGGCTGGCGCGATGCCTGTTTCGGCGACGAGATGGCGGCTAGCCGGATGAGGCATGGGCGGATCTGGGCGCGACACCGCCTTTCGTTTTCTGCCGGGCCGGCGACGCGGATGACATTGCTCCGGACGTCTTTTTGGGTTTGCGAGTTTCTGGAAGCTCTGTCTGATTAATCTGATATGTATTTTATCCGCGTATTGCTCGTACGCTCTGCCACGGCGGGGTTAGCTACTCGGCCTTTTGTTGAGCACGCCGTGACCGTATATTGTCCGTATGTCCGAACATCGCTCGCGGCCTATACATCTAGCTTGTGCCCGCGGAGGTTCCTTATCGACGCTGCACTTGCCATGAGCATGCGGAATTGAAGGCAGCGTCAACTAAAAGTAAAGAGTTACATAGTACGTCGTTCCAACATCAGCATGCATACGCACATTGTCAGCCAGCCAGCCGTGACATCAGATCCAGGCCACTCCCCATTGGGGCCTCGGTGACGTCTATCTTGAAGAATCTGCTAGCTGGAAAATAGAAAAAAAAAACAAAAAAACAAAACAAGATATGCTGTATGTAGTTCTGCACCCATAGCAGGCCAGCTCTGTCGTAATGCCGTATATAAGCAATATAATAAATAAATAGATTATTTATATACGTAGAATGGACAAATGAAAGACCGATGACTATTACTATTATATGATGAATACTCTCAGACTGGCGTGCCCCACCAGCGTAATTGGCCCCGTAAGTTACTGCTTCCTTCCTTCCTTGCAGCGTCTCCGCCGGAAGTTGCTGGATAAGCAAAATCCCATCGTCCCTCCGCTGCTTTCGCCTTTCGCCTTTCTCTCTTCTCCTTCTCTCCATTCATTCCCTACCCCAGACCTATCGCTGCCCGTTTTCCACCATGTCGAACACTCTCATCCAGGCCGAGCACGGCCAAACCGCTGGGTAAGTCTATCAGTTGTGTGGCGCTTACATCACCTGCTGCTGCTGCTGCTGCACCAAGCGGGGGATCCTCCCGCCGTTCGTTCCAGAGGGTGTCTATTAGAGCCTCTGGCCAACATGCCCTCGCGCCCGACTCGCAAGACCCCTTCTGTTGTCAATCTCTTCTCTTTCTTTCTCGCTGCTCTCTGCATTGTCGCCAGCTGGTGGATTGCGACCACGTATAAGCCGTCGGTGGAAGCTAACATGACGTCTCCAAACAGCTCCGTGGAACTAAAGGACGACACCGTCATTGTCGTTCTGGGTGCCTCTGGTGACCTGGCTAAGAAGAAAACAGTACGCAAGCTTCTTTTCATAAATAAATAAGCCACTGATTACGATTCAAATATTGACCATCTGAATACAGTTCCCTGCATTGTTCGGCTTGGTATGTAGACGTCGAACCCGACCATTTTCGGACGAATCAATCTCTGACTTGACACAGTACCGGAACAAATTCCTGCCCAAGGATATTAAGATCGTGGGATATGCCCGTACAAAGATGGACCACGCCGAGTACCTGCGGCGGGTGAAGTCGTACATCAAGGTGCCCACCAAGGAGATCGAAGAGCAGCTGGAGAGCTTCTTAAAGCTTTGTACATATATCTCCGGTCAGTATGACCAGGATGACTCTTTCATCAACCTCAACAAGCACCTGGAAGAGATCGAGAAAGACCAAAAGGAACAAAACCGAATTTTCTACATGGCTCTCCCACCAAGCGTCTTCATCACTGTCTCGGATCAGTTGAAGAGAAACGTCTACCCCAAGAATGGCGTTGCGCGAATCATTGTGAGCTAATTCTTTCCTCACGTTCGGACGAGGATTACATCTGACTGGTGGTGGGTTCATTAGGTCGAGAAACCCTTCGGCAAGGACCTTCAGAGCTCTCGGGAGCTGCAAAGTGCCTTGGAGCCTAACTGGAAGGAGGAGGAGATTTTCCGCATTGATCATTATCTGGGCAAGGAGATGGTTAAGAACATCCTCATTCTTCGGTTCGGTAACGAGTTTTTCGGCGCTACCTGGAACCGTCACCACATTGATAACGTTCAGGTACATAGCTCAATTTCCACCTGTCCATGTTAATCCTGCTAATTCTTCGTAGATTACATTCAAAGAGCCCTTCGGCACGGAAGGTCGTGGTGGTTATTTTGATGAGTTTGGCATTATTCGTGATGTCATGCAAAACCGTACGTATTGTTGTCTCTATGATAGAAACCTCATGCTGACCATCAACGACAGATCTTCTCCAGGTTTTGACCCTGCTTGCCATGGAACGCCCAATTTCTTTCTCTGCCGAGGATATCCGTGACGAGAAGGTGCGCGTATTGAGAGGAATGGACGCCATCGAGCCCAAGAATGTCATCATCGGTCAGTACGGTCGGTCGCTCGATGGCAGCAAGCCTGCATATAAGGAAGACGATACCGTCCCCAAGGACTCGCGTTGTGCCACATTTTGCGCCATGGTTGCCTTTATTAAGAACGAGCGATGGGATGGCGTTCCCTTCATCTTGAAGGCCGGAAAGGGTGAGCTTCTTACCGTTATTCTATTTGTGGAGAGGGAAACTGACACTCTGCAGCCCTCAACGAGCAAAAGACCGAAGTCCGTATTCAATTCAAGGATGTCACTTCTGGAATCTTCAAGGACATTCCACGAAATGAGCTTGTCATCCGAGTGCAACCCAACGAGTCCGTCTACATCAAGATGAACTCCAAACTCCCTGGTCTTTCCATGCAGACTGTAGTGACCGAGCTGGACCTCACCTACCGCCGCCGCTTCTCTGATCTGAAGATCCCTGAAGCCTACGAGTCGCTTATCCTCGATGCTCTGAAGGGAGACCACTCCAACTTTGTCCGTGATGACGAGCTCGACGCTAGCTGGAGAATCTTCTCCCCTCTCCTGCACTACCTTGACGACAACAAAGAGATCATCCCCATGGAGTATCCATATGGTACGTTGATAACGTTATACCTTGTGGTTGGTTTTTTTTTTTTTTTTTCTAACAAGCTTGCAATAGGCTCTCGAGGACCCGCGGTTTTGGACGACTTCACCTCATCATTTGGATATAAGTTCAGCGATGCGGCAGGCTATCAATGGCCCCTTCACTCCGCGGCTCCCAACCGGTTGTAGACCATGGGGGTTTATGGAAAATGAAGATATTGAACAATGATACGTATGTTGAAATGAAAATGAGATCATAAACAAAGAGGGGGTCTTTCTTACTGTTTCTTCTATCCCCATTTTGTTTTTTCTTATATGACGTTGGGACTTTCGGGACGATCCTGGTGCTCGTTATCCGTTGAGTCTTGTGATTGAAGAGAAAACTTAGAAATGAACCTGTCCAGTTCTGTTCCTCCAAAGTCCTGTCTTGCGTAATGCTACAGATGTTGGAGTAGACGAGTTATATACTATACGATATAAGAGTAAGATTTTGGGTCACCAGTTAGAAAGTGGCATAAACTTCACCTGTTTCCAGTTGGAATGCAGTAATACTTCTTTTCTTTTCTGCTATTATCTATCAAACCCCGAGCTTTTGGGTAGCCCCTGACCGGTGACTGGGCTGGACAGAAGTCCAGCCCATTCTGGAAGCGGCAGCTTCAGCACAGACCCGTTTCTTCATTCCTCCTCGCCTCATCTTAAATTAATAGTCCATGCAACCATAGACACACCTCTCCATTCGCAATCTCGCTACATAAAACTTGCTTCTGCCACTTGGGCTGAATATCAACTGTCAAGAAAAGTGCAAGGCGATCAAATTAACTAACTGCAGATCGCATTACATACGACTCGCCGGGCCGCTTCCGCTTTCTTTTTTTGCGCGTTTTCCTTTCCGTCTGCTCGAGTTCGATCGATTTTGCTTCAATTGCATCTCTTCAATCGCGCACATACTCGTTACGTTCATTAATGGGGTAGCAAGGATTCGGTTTATCGGTTACGCGATCGTCGTCATTGGATTAGCACAGTTTCTTTGCTGCAGGAGGATTTCCCAGTGATCGATATACCATACGACTACGACGAACAGTCCCTCTGAGCCTTTACAGGAGCAATTCGAGCAGATTCCTTTCGTTTCAGAGTATAACACGCTAAATGCGATAGAATAGGAAAGGGATGAGAGCCGCATCATGGACCGGTACACCTTCTATCAAGGGCAAGTCGGAAGCGACGAGGATGGCGCTCTTGACATTCAGTCTGACGGGCGTGTCGTACGTGAACAATGACCAGTGAACAAATCATGGTGTTAGTCAGTCACTAACGGGGTAGTTTTAAAGATTCACATGGGGTGTTGAAATGTCTTGTATGAACTGAACCCCCCCCCAGCCCCCTCCTCTGTATTGATTTTTTGGTACCCAAATTAACAAACTGTCGCTTTCAAGATTGCACTCCGTATCTCCTCCAACTCGGCCTAACGAAATCCCGCACTTCGCTCGTCTGGATTGCCGGCCCCTTGTCCGGTCTCATCATCCATCCCCTCATCGGAGTTATTGCGGATCGCTCGCGGTCGAGATGGGGCAGACGGCGCCCGTTTATGCTTGGCGGAGCGTTGGTAGTCGCTTTTTGCCTGTTGTTGCTGGGCTGGACGTCGGAGGTGGTTGGGTGGTTTGCGCATGATATTGAGAAAGTAAGCAAGCATGTTTCAGATAAAAGATACAGGATCTGACAGTTGCCCTTCGAGGGGAGGAACAGAAAAGAAATTATACTATTGCCGTTGCGGTCTTGGCTATTTATGGGGTTGATTTTGCTATAAGTGCTGGTGAGTTGGTCGTTCTGGTTCCTTTTTACTGTGTATATTGACAATCTTCTAGTCCAGGCGTGTTGTCGAAGTATTATTGTCGACACATTGCCCATCTCCCAGCAGCAGCTGGGTTCGGCATGGGGTGAGTTTATTCGCCTGAATATTTGGACGCTTGGTTTAGGGCTATCACCTGACCATTCGAATGCTTGAATATGGGCTAATGGATCTATTAAGCAACTCGTATGCAGGCAATCGGCTCCCTGATAGCCTACATCGTGGGTTCGATGGATATGGTGACTACCTTTGGCACCAGATTCGGTGATACCCAATTCAAGCAGATGACAGTGGTGGCCGCTATTTTCTTGGTTGCGGCCGTTTTGGTGACGTCGTATAGTGTCAAGGAGCGAGTTCTGATAGCAGCGAGGTACGTGATACTATTGCTTCATTTAGGGCTTCCATATCTAATAGATTTTCAGAGGTGCGGATGAGAAGAATGGCTTTTTCCAAGTCATAGCGCAACTCTATAGAACTACAATGGATCTGCCACCGCAGATTCAGGCGGTTTGTTGGGTGCAATTTTGGGCATGGATAGGTATGTCATGTCTTTTCCCCGAGAACCCTTCGCGGTGGAGCTTTTTCTTTTCTAAAGTTGTACGTCTAGCCTGGTTTCCATTCCTTTTCTACAGCACGACTTGGGTCGGAGAGACATATTTTCGCTATGAAAATCCCGAGTCAGTGGCGAAATCCTCCGACACGCTTGGTGATGTCGGCCGGTTAGGCAGCTTGTCGCTTGTGATTTTCTCTTCTGTCACATTCTTAAGCTCTGTCCTAATTCCCTTCGGCGTCCGCTCTCCTGATAGCAATTCCAAAAGGGCCAACTTCACATCACGCCCTCCACCGCGAATGGCAGCACTATTGCGCCGATTCAAGAAGATCCGTCCCAATTTGCAGACTGTATGGTTCCTTTCCCACCTCGTCTTCGCAGGAACCATGATATTCGCACCCATGGCCCGGTCTCTGAAGTTCGCGACTTTCCTGGTTTCAGTCTGCGGTATCCCCTGGGCTATCTCAGGTTGGGCTCCGTTCGCCTTTATGGGAGTTGAGATCAATAAACTGGCGCTAGAACCGCCCTCGACTCCTCTCCCCACAGCGACAATGATCACATCAACCACTTTCCGTACACATGGCTACCGGCCCATAGACAGCGTTGAACGCGACGTTGAGATGGACGTGCTTCGCCTGAACCACCGCACGGGTGACGAGGATAGCGATGACGAATCCTCCTCTGGAGCAGCAGCAGGAGCAACTACAACAACAAGCGATATCGCATCTACCGGTGAACTCGCCGGCATCTATCTTGGCGTGTTGAATGTTTACACTACACTACCCCAATTCGTCGGCACGTTTATCAGTTGGATTGTCTTTAGCGTCCTTGAACCAGCACTACCACCTCCGCCTGAAAACGACGACCCAACGCAACCCATACAAGGAAGCAGAGATGGCACGTGGATGAACCTGGATTCTGACGGCCCCAATGCTATTGCCGTATGTCTTTTCATCGGCGCACTTAGCGCTTTGGTTGCTGCAGAAGCTACACGGCGGTTTAAAGCGGTGACAGCTGTGCGCCAGCTACCAATCTATGATTGAATTTTCTGCCTAACTAGTACTTTGTTGATGATGACATTACACGACAGATTATGTAGATCTATTTTCCTTTTTTTTGAAATTGCTTTCTTTCTGAGGTACATATCATACGCATTTGAGCAAGGCGCTTTTGTTTTGATACCCTGTTTGTTGTTGTGCCTAGTACCTTGATATTGAACATATACCATATATAATCATTGCATTTTGGGAGGAATTTTTTTTGCTAGTGTACATTTGGGGGGTTAAGTCTAGATGGGTATACCTAGGTAGGTGACAAGACGGAAGCAGATAGACCGTTGTTTATGCGTGAGTACATATACTCAAACAGATAATTTCCCTGCTATCGTGTCTTCAGCGTGGCGAACCTCTGCTGCCGCAAGATATCGCTGCGGTGATTGTTTTCTCTGCCACTCGACGCGAGTGCGTCGTGTTTGTAGGTACCATCAAGTCGGAGCAGCTACTATCCATAGGCGGCCATGTATTTGATATTGAACATGTATTATTGTTGCATTCAATAATATTTACTGGTACTTAGGCGGAGTTTGGCTTTTATGATCATCACCAGACGCATCCCCTCAAAATGCAACTTCGTAGTATGTTACAGTATAGCTAGATACGTTACCAAGCTATACTGGATAGGTAGGTGACCCTATGATAACTAGTATAATCAAATATGAAGCATATTTTAATAAACAGAAAGCATATATAATGCTCACACCACAGATATTAGTCATGTCATAATGCCTTGAACTAATGAGACTAGAGAATGCAATTCCGAATAATCGAATGTTGGAAAATATACTGTGTAGGCGTTCTGTTCATTGCTGTAGTCAGTCACCTTTCGCTCGCCTTTATGTTGTCCTGCTCACCTCTTCTGAATCTCTCCTCAACCACCCCTCATCAGACAAGACACTCATGGCAGCTCTCTAAACCTTCACACACTCGAATCGTTCTCTATTCTTCTCTTATCTTCTCTGCCTCTTTTTATCCCATTATATTCGTCAGTTTTGCTCACTCAATCAATGCAGTCACCAGATTCCATCTTGCCAGGTCCTAGAGTGCGTTTGACTCTGGGACCATGTCGTTTCGAAGGCATCTTCGACTGTCCCTGTCCTGAGGGTTCAGCGTTTGAGCTCATCAAGAACCTTAGGCCCGATATGCCCTGCAGCCGCTGTGGGCATATCCTTACTCTGCACAGAGACCACAACATTGGTGAGATGGCCTCTATCAGCGTGGGCTCTCAGCCTCAGCTGAAAGTTGAGCCTATGAGCGACTTCCAGCCACTCCAAGTGCCTCTGGAGCGTGGTTCGAGCCATGACACAACACTCCTGGGACCATCGTCAACCTCAATCCCAGAATACGCTCAGGTCCAGCCACATCCAACCGTGATTTGCGAGAGACAGCAGACGGTTTCAGAGATCTTATTGATACTCGACAAATACAGATCCGTATTTATCTGGGGCATGCCTCGCTCTGGAAAGACAACATTGGCTTTTCTACTTTATGAGCATCTTTCTAGAAAAAACGAGAAAGTTGTTTTCATCGAAAGCTGGCCGGATATCCGAAAGAAGCCTGAGGAAATACTGTTCGAACACGCTCGCGTTAAGTACCCGGACATCTCAGGTGAAGAAATCTCAACTCAGGACTTTATCTTTCTAGTTGATGAAGCCCAGGAGACTCTCACGAAACAAAAGTCCACCTGGAACGCGCTCATCAAAAACCTGATCAATCTGAACAACAACAGCAAAGGTCCCAGATTATGTCTCTTCAGCAGCCAGGGCATGTTCGCAGAATACAACAATGTCTTCGCAACCATGCCGGAGATCTCCTATCTAAAAACACACGGAAATGGGAACGGTGGCGCCAGTCTGTTTTTCACTGCGTCTGAATTTGAGACCTTCCTCACTCAGTGTGGCTCGATACTCAGCAAGGAGGCTGCAGAGCATGTCTTCTGGCTTACTGCAGGCCATCCGCTGCTCACCCAGTTGATCCTCGAATACGTGGACATGGTATGTCTTATGAACCTCAAGCATATATATATATATAATCGATTCTTACACCATTTTCTTCCAGAACTACAATCGAACAGTCGCCACCCTTCGAAATTTAAATTCATTTCCCCCAACAACAACTGTTTCTCCTCTCTCCCAAGCCGAGACCTTAGTCATCCTGAACAACGACGATCAGCTATTCACTTACCTAGGTGACCACATGTATCCCGGCCACTTCGCCAGAGAAAACACAATTGCAATTGGTGTCTTCAAGAAACTGCTGAGCGCGCCTGAGGGCAAGATATTATGGAATTCGAAATATAAGACTATCGGGAAATGCTTCGTGAATGGTCTTATTTGTCATGAAATTGACGCGAATGATATTGATATCTTCAGGTTTCCATCTCCGCTGCATGCTAGGTACGTAATCCAATCTTTTACTGCCGTGTCTGATGAATGGTGTGACTGACTTTGTTTCGGGTCTAGATGGGCTCAGTGGTTTCATAGAATTGAGCCGGGCGTTTATGCCGGCGAGTTGACTCCTTGAGCAATGGCATGGCAATGGGTATGATATGCGGACTTGGATCTTGGGTAGAGCTATGCAAGACAGCTCGTCAGCTTGAAACTCTTCGTCATATGTCTGTTTGAGTGGGAGAGAAACTGGGCGAAATGTACGATCAGGGATTATTTTTGTTCTGTTGTTTTTGGGTTTTTCATGTAAGAGAATAGAATCAGTCATCGCTCTTTTCGAATGGCCTTAAGATACTCCTCTGATACTTAGGTAGTGCTACTTGCCGGCATATATGAGTCATAACGTGTCTCGCAACAAGTGGACCAGCCCTTGAGAAGTTTATCAAAGGAACCTTAGAGTGGCATCTCAATAGAAGCTTGGAAGTCAAAACCTCAAGCTTAGTAATATCCATAAAAATAATACTGGATTCTGCCAATTTATCTTATATGAGAAACGACCTTTTTTAAACCTATAACTTTCTTCTTATTAGAAAACGGATGGACGAGATGCAACTTTTAGCGAGGTAATTGACATAGTCATGAGAAATTAAATATACATTATATAGGCTTGTAATAGTAATAGTCATAGCTATATCTTTTCCTGGGATGATTTATGTATTTTCTATATAAACGACAAAAGGCTTATGTTTTACGCAGTTTAGTGTAATGCGTTACTAACACTAATGGGTTGATATCAAGGCAGCCGATGAGTTGGTGTAGCATTCTGAAAGCAATCCTGTTAAATCCTTCACTTTCCATCGAAGTAGGACTTTGGCCACTTTCAAGGGTAATATGGAAAACAAATGGGTCTCTCAATGCTTCGGCAAACTGCTGGTTGCGGTCACTATAAGTGCCGTCGAAGCACTTTCGTCAACAAATCCAATTGTAAGCCAGTAATAGTGCCTCCCTACCTCCAGACGTAACGTCCGAATCAGATCGTCTGAGGCTTGATAGTCCCACGTAGTTCCGGCGGAGTTGGCCAGGCGTCCCTGCTTTGGTGGGTGGTATGGATTGCCTGATATTTAGAAAACATTAGTCTCGAAAGAAATAAACCAAGCTGATAGTAATACCTGCAGGAAATTCAACGGCAATGCTCTTTTTTATTCAAGGCTGGGGAATTCAGGAGAGAATTCTCACGAAGATGTCTATTGGGAAATTTTGCTCGGTGTCCAGTCTGTTACATCCTATCATCGAGGTTCATTTTCCCTGTACTTTTGGCTCTAATCCTAAAAGTTCCAAGCATGTATTTTATATAAGCTTTGATCTCATAGGTGTGAAAGTATACTAGCTATGACTGTCTAATTTGCCTTAACTACCTATCGTGGCGCAGTCATTGATATGCAATAATATTATCTACCATGTTCCACCGTAGTATTTTACAAAATTACCGTCTGTTAGGACCCCCAAGTCTAAGATAATATATTACACTAGTATGGGCTATTCGTACATAAGAATACAGGTTTCATATCACGCACATAGAAATATAAACAGTGGGAGTTTCTAATAAAGCAAGCCATAAGATTGGTCACCTGCTACCTAGATAGGCAACCGCCTAAGCTTGCATAAAAGACTCCTCTCTATCCGAATAATTGTGTCACCTGTTGCTAGATACAAATACTATAAGACGCTTGATCGTTTCGCTATCGAGAAAGAAATACGTTCTCCGCTCAAGACGGCGAGTCACTTCAAACGTCCGTAGCGGCATACCGCTGCCACGGTGATATGCTCTGTGCCAAAGGGGGGATTATGCTGAAAGCGTCGATGGTACGAAACCGATCTTCTCAGAACAATAGGTATACAGCAAAGTCAAATATATCGCTCGATTGTATTTCTATAAAGCACCTGGACAAACCCTGGCCGCCACAATGCTGCCTCAAACATCTACTCCTACGGCAAACTGATTGGCTTGCTCAATGGCCAGGGGAAATTCAGTGAGGAACAGCTCCACGAGATTCTCAAAATGCTGAAGTTCTGACTCGATGCACTTACGCAAGCCGACGAACTTTCCAGGGTCACGGGTGTCGCTAATGAAGCTTTCGAGGCGTTTTCTTTTAACTCTCGTAATAGGGGACTATCAGAAGAACAACGCAAGCTCTATTCACTCGCAATCCGCTTGATGGGTGAAAAGCGAATAGTAGGCAAACAGACTGGGGAACTTTTTTGGCGCAAGCTGTTGCATTTCCTCGCTACTTGTTTGGCCAAGTTCAGAGTCGACGAGAATGGGATCCGGAAAAGAGTCAAACTGGCGGAGGACCATAGGCGCGCACAATCAGAGGCTATATCGGTGGTACATTATAGTCTGACTAAAGATAGGGAGGTGATACGTCGCAGCGACCTCTTGCTGGACAAAATGAAGAGTCTTGAATACAAGGTCCGGGCGGTCTTTCAGGGCTAATGGCCGGGCTTCTTCTGGCTCCTTCATTACTTTTGAAATAGACGCTTGAAGTATTTTGGGCCTCTGAACTCCGTATATATCCATTTTATTCATCCTGATTAATAATAATGCTTGACCCTACGAATTTACCCAAAATGGAATGTCTTAAATGTGAGGCTTTTTAGGGCTTCTCGCGGCATACGTGGAGACTAGACCGCTAAAGGACTAGCGACGATCTTGACGATCTTTGATATTCGAAGTGCTTCTTTTACTTTTGCTGGAAGTAACCATAATAATTAATAGCAATAACAAAGTTAAAAAAGATATTATGTATGGCTCGAGCACCATTCCTGTAACGCCTTAGTCTCCACCGACGGATTGTGTGACGATGAAGTCATCGACCGATAGCTTATACATATAACTATCACACTCGCTGCGTATCGATACATGTACAAACATCACCACTACTCACTTCTCACTACTCACTACCTACATACCTGCCTAGGTACATTTTTTCTAACAATGGCACCCAAAGTCCTCATCGTCCTCACCTCCCAAGCCACCATCCCCAAAACCAACCACCCTACCGGATGGTATCTCGTAGGCCTGCCTACCTTACCCAGCAAAAATGGCTTCCAAACTGACCTTTTGAAACAGCCCGAATTCGCCCACCCCTGGAAAGAGCTCCATGACGCCGGCATCGAAATGACTATCGCTTCGCCCAAAGGTGGCGAAGCGCCTCTCGACCCAAGCTCTGTCGAGGCCTTCAAGAACGACCCAGTCTCAGCCGAGTTCCTGAAGAACCAGGAATCGCTATGGAAGAACACCGTGCGTCTAGCGGATATTGTGCCGCGCACAGGCGAATTCGATGCCATCTTCTATGTTGGTGGACACGGTCGTAAGTTCCTTGCCCCACTCTAACTTCTTCTTTGATATGTTATCGTGAAGTGAAGCTCATATATGTACAGCCATGTTCGACCTCGTCAGCGACCCGATCTCCCTCTCTCTCATCCAAACCTTCGCAGCAGCCCGCAAACCCGTTTCGGCCGTCTGCCACGGCCCCATCGTATTCGCCAACGCGACTACGCCGTCCGGCGAACCGCTAGTCAAGGGCGCCACCGTAACAGGGTTCTCGAATGTGGAAGAAGAGCAAGTGCAGATGGTCGAGGCTATGCCGTTTTTGTTGGAGGACAAACTCGTCGCGGCCTCGGATAGCACGAAATATGTAAAGGCTGAGCAGCCATGGGGTGAGAAGGTGGTTGTTGATAAGACGTATCAGCTTGGGGGACCGTTGATTACGGGCCAAAATCCGGCGAGTGCGACGGGCGTTGGGAAGGCGTTGTTGAAGGCTTTGGGGTTGTGATTTCTTCAATTTGGATTTCCACGATGTGAATAAAATATGTATTTAATCAACGCTTTTGGGGAAACTAAAAGCTTAGTCTAATTAATATGCAATGGTTTCGAGATAATAATGGCTACATCTTGTAAATATAGAAAAAAACAAACAAACAAACAAAAATAATGAATCAACCAAAACGCCTTCTATGCACGCATGCTGCTATAAGCTGTGACAGTTCTATCCAATGAACCAAGTTACTTGGTATCGCCCTTCAGGTCAGCCGTGATCATCTCCTCGACGACCTTCATGCCGACCTCTTCGCTGCGCTTCGACTCCGCGGCATCGTCACCGACAACTCGCTGATCGAGAGCTAGCTTCGTCTGTCCCAGGGCGTAGATCTGTTCCTCAATGGTGCCCTTAGTCACAAGTCGGATCACCTCCACTTCCTTGGTTTGCCCAACGCGATGCGCACGGTTCTCCGCCTGCACGTCCTCCTGCGGATTGAAGCTGGAGTCGAAAATAATGACCTTGTTAGCGCACGCAAGATTGATGCCTGCACCTCCAGCTTTTGTGGACAGCATGAAGACTGGGATCTCCGTCTGCTCGTAGAATGCATCGAGAATCGACTGGCGGTCTTCAACGCTAGTGCGGCCATCAAGGCGGAAGAAGCCCATGTTGAGTGTTTCGAGGACATACTCCAATATATCCATGACGAGGGTGAACTGTGAAAATATCAAGGTCCGGTCGCCATTTTCTTTGAATCGTTTGAGTAATTCGCAAAGCTTATCGATCTTCCCGGAGTTCATCCATTCCTGATTCTTCAGAGCGAACGATCCGAGAGACTTTGGATGCTTCACGCACATGGAATGACACTCGAAATCATTGTATGCAAGCAATTCTTCAAAGATGATATCGGGATCTGACTGCGACCACATCTCCTCCTTTAAGCACGCCTTGGCCATCTTGCTAAGGACTTTCTCGTCATAGAGCCTGCGTTTCAACAGGGGGTGAATCGCTGAGAAACGCAGTTTCATTAGAATATGCGCTGACTTGTTCCCCGTCTTTGTGCCCGCAGCACGATCAGCAATCATCTTGCGAACCTCCTCTTTCTCCTGCTCGTAGATCTTCCGCTGAGTTTCGTTGAGTTCGCAGTACTCAACTTGAGAAATCTTGGGAGGCAAGTCGATAACCTGATGCTTTTTCCTCCGAAGCACAAAGGGCGCGATCATAGACCTAGCACGCGCAATACGTTGAGCGGATAGTAGTGTAGCGTGCTCTGAAACATCCGTAGCTTTGGCCTTGTTCGCAAATATCGTTTGCAAGTCCTCTTTGTGCTTGCTGAAAATATCCGGCAACATAAACCCAAGCAACGAAACCAGCTCCTGTAGGTTGTTCTGCAGTGGCGTTCCGGTAAGCAGTAACCGGAAATCCGCAGGAATCCTGACTAGTTGATCGTAAATTTTGGATTCGCTATTCTTGAGCACATGTCCTTCATCGAATACGCAGACGGAGAACCCAACATTCCTTAAAAATCGCGAGTCTTCTTTAGCCTTTGCAACTGTATAAGTTGTGATCACGACATTCACGTTTTCCCTATCATCGTCAATCGCAGCTCGAATCTCAGCTCGCTCTTGTTGTTTGGCATAATAAGGCATAACATTGAGGGTAGGGCAGAACTTGTTGAATTCGCGGAGCCAATTCTCTAGTGTGGATGAGGGCACAACGACAAGGTGAGGACCAGTGATTCCTTGTTCATACAAATGCGCAAGGAATGCAATGACTTGGAATGTTTTTCCCAAACCCATGTCGTCGGCAAGAATACAGCTCAGTTTCTTGTGGAATAGCAGTGATAACCAATTGATGCCCACAATCTGATAGTTCTTCAACGTCCACTCATTCGAGATGATCGATGGCTGAGAAACGAAACGCGATTTTCGTCCACCATGAGCCACAACATCATCGCCGTCATCGGTCGTCGGGGTGCCGATTCCTGAATCGTGATCCAACGAGACGAGATCTAGTTCACCGCTTTCTTTATTTCCAAACATATCAATGCCCCATTGCTTCATTTCAGCCGCCAAGGGCTTCCCAAGACTTTCACAATGGGCAACTAGCGCATCGCAGGCCTCGTAGCCCTTCATCATTTCAATCGCCTTGTCGACAACCTTGTCGCCAATAGGCTTCTTGGGTTTTCTGGATTTCTTTTGGGTAGTCGCTTGGTTTTCGATATTCTCGCTGGCCGTTACAGATCGCACCGCGTTGAGAGAGCGGAAAGGTCGTTGAGCAAGAATTGTCGCTGCAATAGACTCAGGTGTCGTAGCCAGATCTGCAAGAGCTGGTGCAGTGCATGTATTTATGAAGTCGAGCACCTTTGTTTCAATACCACTATTATCTTCATCGGAACTAGCATCCTCATCGGACCCAGATTCGGCAGAAGCCATGCTTTCCTCTTCGGGTGAAACATCTCTTTTCATATTTTTCCCCCGTATGAGTCGACCTTTCGGTTTAGACGTAGCGACTAGAGGGGCCGGCGAGGCCTCTGAAGAAGTAGCGCCAGGACGAGGCCCGCGTATCAAGCGCCTGCCTTTGGCGGGCTTGGCTTCCTCATCGTCAATAACCACAACCTCCTTCCTCTGGACATTGGCCGTGTATCTCTGCGCAATCTTCTGTTTGGACTTGATATTCTGCTTAGCTGTATTCGCTGGCTTGGTGGGATATGTAGTTAGTTCGTCTGGTGATGACGGCATATGGCTGGGATCTCTCTGCCTGGCGAGTTTCTCAGCAGCGCGGTCAAAATTCCCTGAAAATTCTGAATAGGCCTTCAAGCCTTCATAAATCGAGAGCGAAGGAAAAATAGCTAACAGTCGTGTAACGAAAGTTCTTGGACGATAGTCCTCAATGTCCTCTATCGCTTTGATATCATCACCGTAATCGACGGGCATGGCGCGCGATACCGTTGTTTGCTTTAATTTTTTAGACGAATTGCGATCATCCGTTAAGTCCACATGGTCGATTAGCCTCTTATTATTGCCAGGCTGATATGCAAAACCCGCTGCAAAGTCCTTAAATGTCTTATTATGGCCAGAGCCCTCCTTGTTGGAAACTGGCGACTCCATTATCTTTTCCGGGCTCTTGGATGATTTCGTCAGCAATCGAGGCTTGATATTCACCAGGGTCAACTCGTCGTCGTCAGAAGAACCGCCGGCGTAGTTGGGGCCTTCGTCGTCACTCAAAACCTGTGCGCGTTTCTGCGGAAGAGAATTTGTCGGAGGGCGATACTGCGTGCCACTCGGGGCCATCAAATTCGCCAAGACGCCTCCTCTGCCAGGTCTGGAAGGAGAAGAAGATATTGGTGGTGAAGACGCAGCAACTTGAACAACGGAATTGGGCTCGTTAGGAGTGCGTTCGATAATCTGAGTTGGCTGGGTGAAGCGCTGTGAGAGAGGCGTTTGCTGCTGGGTCTTGGGCGCAATGAGGACAGTGGCGACAGTTTCTGCTGCGTCGTCCTCGTCGTCGTCGACATTCCTGCGGAGGCTGGGGGTATCTGGGACAGACTCTTCCATGACTTGAAAAGAAAAAACTAAATTAAATGAGCTGTATCAACACATGAGTCATAATGCAGCACGAAGAAAAAAATATCAGACAACAATGAAAGCCAAAATGTACAGCCGAAGAAAACGAAGAACGAAGGGAAGGGACGATCGAAGCTCCCCAAGAAATTCAGAGATTGGATTGGATGGCGGGACCCGTCTTAGCGCGCGCAGGAACGCGAAGGCGCGCCGCCGCCGTCACGTGTGCCAATTATTCTTCTTTGGGAACTACCATGACTACGCTAACAATCAAACAATGCATTTGTCTCATAGGCTATATAAGATTATAGACACCAAAGAATTGTTCAACACCAGAAGATGCGGCGATTATGTTTATGAATATGTGCAAAGCAAATAAAACCCGGGACCAAGCTGAAAAAGGATGAAGCCGAAACCACCACGGACGCCCACCAGATGAGATTATTTAGAGTAGAATCAAACCGTTACCCCAGCAGTCTGTTGTGCGGTGGAAGATGCAGACAGATCAGTTTCAGCCTCAGCAGGCATCTTCGGCACACTCGCACGACTGGAGTTTGTTCTAATAGGACCAGGCCCCTGCTTTGCAGCTGCCTGTTTCTGGCCTTGCACGGAGCTGCCAGCAGCTCTAGCGGACTCGTTGTTCTCAATTGCATCTTGGACTGCAGAGGTTTTGTCGTCTTTACCTTTGCTGATAGTCTCCCTCGTATCCAGGCCAAGAATTTTATCAGTTTCCATTGCTGCCGGTATGAGATCGTCATATTTTAGGATCTGACAAGCATCCAAATAGTTCCTGCACTGCTTGGTTTGTTTGAACTCTTTATCCTTCGCATTGACCATCATATTCATCAGATATTTGGTGTTTCCAAATCTATTCTCCACTCGCATGCACTCCTGTATATATTCGCGAACAACATCACGCCACGGCAAAAGCCCGCCGTCCTTTTCCGACCGAAAACATGACGAGTTCGACTCAGCTGCAGTCGCAATCATGGCACCGTCCACATCATATTCGGCCATTAACGCAAGCGCCTGATCTCGCGAGGTAACATCGCCGTTCATGACGCACGCAACACCCGCCTCGCGACAAACAGTAGCAATCATTCTCAGTTGGTCTCGAATGGCTCGCTCTCGAGGCCGCATTGGCGTTGTGCGACAGTGAATCGTCAAGCCCGTAATACCTGTGGCCACCAATCGAGTGACAAGGTCCTTCGTCATTTCCGGCGTCTCCAGAAGCCGAATCTTGACCGATATGCCTATCTCGTAGGGGGTTCCAATTTCACGCACAAGTGCCTCAAGGATGGAAACAAGTTTGTCTGGGGTTCGTAGCAACGCTGCTCCCATGCCTCCGCTAGTGCTGAATGGTTTTGGGCAGCCCGAGTTAACGTCTATTCCCGCAACGTCCGCGGCCACCACCTTGGCCGCCTTGACAGCGAGCTCCGGTGACGCCGTGCCCATTTGGAATATAAGTTTCCCCTTCTCGTTCTCCGGGTCGATACGGTATAAGACAGATTCCTTCTGATTATTGGAGGATATGCGAGTAAATTCGATGGTATTGGTCCGCGGGTTGACCCGTCGAGCGGCTCCCATTATGGCCTTGTCGATGGTTTCAGGGCCCCAGACGAGATCTGCTCCATATTTCAGCGCAATCAAACGTGAGGGAAGTTCGCCCGATCGCACCATCGGCGCAAGGACAACCTTCCCGCGGTAGTCGACCCCTTTGGCGGGGATGGGTACATGAGGTGTCGAAGTCATCATGCGGCGAATGAGCCTCAGCATATCATTCTATGCAGTGGCTCTGTTCGTGCGCTGTGCCGGGCGTGTAGTTGAGTAAAATCCAAAGTGGTGTTTGGGTGGCTTTCGACTTGGAAGTTGAGTCTCGGCGCAAAAATGTTGCAAGGCGCGCTAATCCTGATTTGGTTTAAAATGGTTATCTAATTAGGTACTAGTGCATTTGGCCGTTTTACTTTTAGTTCAATTATATATCAAGCATACTCAATTAATAACCAGACAAAACAGAAAAAACAGAATATTATTTATTATATATAAATTGTGAAATAATCTGGAATAGCGGCAACAGTCAAGAAGCAAGTTATAGCAGGTTAACCAATCTACTAATGCCTGTTACTACTACTAACAAGTACTGCCGATTTCTCTGTAAACGCACTTAATCATCATCAATGTTGGTATAAACATTGTCGGCATCCCGAGGGTCATGCTCCTTATAGTACTTCATAATTTCCGCATCAGTCTGCGAGTGCGTAACTTCGTAGCGTGTAATTGGTGCTAATGGGATGCCATTCTTCTCCAACAACGCAAGACGCTCCTGTGTCCGCGGCCGGGTCTTGTTGATGCTGTAGACGCTGATGCGGTGAGCTGAGTGGGTGACGTGCAAGCCCCAGTTCCAAGCGGATCGCACGGTCAGTGGCTGTGTGTTGAGCGCATTGTCCCAGCATCGGCAGACAATCTCAATCCAGCCCTCGACGTCGCAGGGCAGATCGATCTCCCAAGTACGCCAGGTCCAGCGTCCTTTCTTGGACATGTTCTCGGGAGCCACTTCATACCATGAGAAGCCGCCGTCAGCAGACAGTTCGACACGTTCGGGCCAGCGGCCACCGCCTGAATAGGCCCAGCCTTTACAGTGGATCTTGCCGTTGTGCAGGATGACGTGCCCTTTCCACGGCGACATGATAGCAGAGCTAACCGGCATCTCCTGGATTTGGATGCCGTCCGTCGGCTTCTGGTTGTGCTTGCCGATCTGTTGGTTGAAGTAAAGGTACTCTCGGCTCTGCACGGGGGCCATCGAAGGGGTTTCGATTGCCTTGATACGGTAGAGCCACTTGACGCTGCGAGCGCCGATATAGCCCAGGACGACCACACGAAGAGGGAAGCCATGGATTGCGGGTAGGGGCTCGCCGTTCATCTCCCAGGCGAGTAGGACTTCGTTGGCCTTGACCTTGGACCACGGTACGCTGACTAGGTAGTTCATGACCTCCAGGTCCTTGACATATGTTTCCGCACCATAGAGTTCAAGGTGCTTGCCGCCATTGACAAGGCCGCCACAGTCCTTGATGAGCTTCTTCAGACTGATACCACGATAAGTGGCTGTGCCAATAGCTCCCTCAGCCCACGGTGCCTGAGGTACCTCGTCTCCCTGGCCCGGGTACAAGGTGATCTGTTCGATACGTCGGGTGCCGGAGCACTGAATCGTGACTGTTTCCACGATCTGCGGGAACCGGGATTCATCCATGATGTCATTAAGCGTGTATCTCTTGGGAGTAGCCACCAGTCCATCTAGGGTAAAGTAGAATTTGTCCTTGTCGATTATGGGAATACCACCGTGGTTGCGCACAAAGTGGAGTGGATTAGGAGTGATTGACTTTGCAGTCACTAGGCGCTTGGGTGGTTCGCCGTTGTAGGGGAATTTAAGCAAATGCAACATGTCCTTGTGCTTCTCTTTGAGAACAGTTCGCCACGAATCTTCAGGAGCGTCGGCCAGCTCGCCACCAATGGCATGATGCCATTCCGTGAAGTCATCGCCAGGCAGCACCGGATTCGTGCCTGGGATCGGGCCGGTCATGTAATCCGGCGTGGGCGTGAAGGTCTGGGAGGTAAGGATCTTGTGTGCCTTGGCCTTTTTCTCTGGGTAAGCTTCCCATTCGACATATCTATCCTGATGGTCAGTTGTCTGTCTTTCTTCTCACGTTCTGAAGAGTCGTAGTAGGCTTGCCCTTTCCAGCCATCCAGCTCGCCGGCAAACAGCTTATTACGGTCTCCCACAGCATCGATGGCTGCCTGGTCTTTCGTGATGGGCGGCGGGTCAACAGGGTGTATAAAAACAGTTTTTGATCCAGTCTGGTCAATGATGGGCAGCTTGGCGCCTTGCATGCCCTGTTCGATGCGCCATTCGTCGGGACGATTGTTCGTCTCGAGCGTTGTGGCTTTCGGTCGTCGAGTGGTTTTCGTCCCAGGCATCTTGGGCAGAGATATGAAGTTTCGTTGGTCAGAAGGTAGCGGGTAAAATGTCAATTCACGAGCTGAAGCCAGGGAAATTCCGGGCAAACCTAGGGAGGGGAAGGGAGGGGGGCACCTATTTAACATGGATCAAGGGATGGGGAGGGGTGAAATTGAGAATGGGATACATCATTCAAGACATTGGCCAATGGCAACCGCAGGAAATGCCTCGTTATCGACCCAATTAGGGCATGCAGGGTGCACGCAACCAATGGTAAATCGTGCGCCACAGCTCAATCGTCAGATTTAGCTGTCATTTATAGTTGTATGGGACCCTAACTTCCTGCCATGTTTAGCTTAGCGTGCACGGTAGAGGTGTGACTGCGTTGGCCGTACGTCAGGTGTCCAAAACGGGTAATACTACTTCTTGCAGAAGAATCCCTGATTATTCCCTAGCCCCGAGAATAGCCCACCAATTGCTGTCCAGACCCATGCTGGTTGTTGTCAAGCTTTCAATTCCATATTTATTTCTATTAATTCGGCCAATCACCAACCCACTTATCCGGGGCTAGAACTTGCCCAAGCTTTTCTAGTTCAACTGCCAACGTATCTGCGGCGGTGATGGGACTCCTCGCATTCAAGGAATCTGGTGTATGCAGTTCGATGTGATTTTGTGGAGATGTATGTACTACGTATCTTGTGTGTCATTCAAGATATGGCATATGGACGACTAACGTTACATCTTGAGGATTTTAAATGCTGGCAGACTCCGTGCATAACTCCATGACATCACGAGTTTATGCATCGAAAAGGCAAGGGCAAGTAAAGTCACGTGCTCGACATGGTCCCTTGCTTGGCGCTGATTACTAACCCTATATATCACGTGATTTAGCAGTCCCACGTGACCCGTATATTTGTCCGTCAACAAGACTTTAGGCTATCTTGAACCAGCCATACCAAGCAAAGTTCGGACTAAGATATTCAGTAATTATCTAGCATTTTCGCTCGTGGCCCATCTAATATCATATATTATCCATGGGGGAAGTACACCAAAATGCAAAGTCAAAGTAGACCGCCGTAAGGGTTAAGGGGCGCCCCTATTTCTCAGGAACCGCGGATCTGCTCACAATCCCTATGGCAGAACCAAAAAATTTCTCCTTTGTGTTCGTTGAAGCTCTGAACAACGCACGCTTTGTATTACTTGATACATTCCTGGTCTGGATTTGCTTGTCATAGCACAGGCCTTTCCCAGCTATTGGAATTGCAAAGTGCTTTCCTGCAGCACAGCTAGCTTCAATTCCTGCATCTCACCTCGGCCTGGCAGCCACTCATCCCGAGGGCTTGGCGAGTCCTGCTTAACTGCGTTGCAACGTATTATTACTATCATAAAGGCAGGCATATATATATACAAGGGAAATTCTGCCCGATGTGCGTCGCTCAGCGCATTGCGTGCGCTTTTCCCTCGATCAACAGGCCGGCGTTGCTGCGGCGGACCCAATTGGCGACCATGGCTGGTTCTGCCTCCCCCACTGCTCGTCCCCTCTCCACCGTTTCTTCTTCTTCTTCTTCCCCTCTCTCGGCAGGACAGACACAAACACTTCAATTCCCTGCTCGCTTACCCTTCCATCCAACAACCATCACCTCGTCCACACCTCAGTCTGCAGCCGCACACCGAGCTGCCCAACTAAACAGACACTTCAGCTCCTCCGCGTCCGCTCTGTCGTCGGACCCCGTCAACCCCGCCATGTCTTATTCCGTCCGCAAAATCGGCGCCGTCAACACTCTCGAGCACCGCGTGTACATCGAAAAAGATGGCGTCCCCATCTCTCCTTTCCACGACATCCCTCTGTATGCCAATGAGCAGCAGACCGTTTTGAACATGGTCGTGGAGATTCCTCGCTGGACGAACGCCAAACAGGAGGTAAGAGCGGGGTTCTTCCTCCCCCCTCCTTTTACGATGGAATTATGCTCTGACAGTGATGGCTGCTATCACAGATCTCCAAGGAGGAATTCCTCAACCCAATCAAGCAGGACACCAAGAAGGGAAAGTTGCGTTACGTCCGCAACTGCTTCCCCCACAAGGGTTACCTCTGGAACTACGGTGCCTTCCCTCGCGTGAGTCACTCAACAGAAGCAGAAAGATAGCATTTCACGATATTGTTTCGACTAACCCACAGAAGACCTGGGAGGACCCCAATGTTGTCCACCCAGAGACCAAGGCCAAGGGCGACAACGACCCGTTGGACGTTTGCGAAATCGGTGAACTTGTTGGCTACACCGGTCAGGTCAAGCAGGTCAAGGTTCTCGGTGTTATGGCTCTCTTGGATGAAGAGGAGACCGACTGGAAGATCATTGTCATTGACGTAAACGACCCTCTTGCTCCTAAGCTCAACGACATCGAAGACGTTGAGCGTCACCTCCCCGGCCTTCTGCGCGCCACCAATGAATGGTTCCGTATCTACAAGATCCCCGACGGAAAGCCCGAGAACCAGTTTGCCTTCTCCGGCGAGTGCAAGAACAAGAAGTAAGACCCAATCCGTGAAACAACAAAAGGAAACTGACATTGGGACCGAAAACTAATACCTCTGTTTTAGATATGCGCTTGACGTTATCCGCGAGTGTTCCGATGCATGGGAACGTCTGATTGGTGGTAGCTCTCCTGCAGGAGACATCAGCTTGTAAGTCATTATGGTTGAGAGACTTCTAACGGGGATCCAAACCACTAACAAAACATAGGGCCAACCTCACCAACACCACCTCGAAAGATCTTGTTGACCAGAGCGCAGTCTCCAAAATCCCTGCCGGCGAGAACCTGCCCCCTGCTCCTATTGACGGCAGCGTCGACAAGTGGTTTTTCATCTCCGGTGCCGCTGTTTAAGCAAGCAGCACTTGAAATTGCATCAAGCTCGTGGAACAGAACACCCCGAGCTTTTTCAGGAAAAAGAAGAAGAAGAAGAAGAAGCAACATACAAATTTGTCTTTGAGTTCATATACCTCTTGTGCATGGCGTAAATTTTATTGATAAGCATCTACTGAGGGTCTAGAATCATTCAGTAGGAACGGGGCTAGAATGGTTTCCCATCCATTTGTCGCTAATGATCGCCATGGATAGAGAAAAACAAAAATCAGAGACCTGATCATGACTTTAAAACGAAGTCGCTCAATGTGCAAGCTTGTACGTAGACAAGAAACAGACTTCGTAAATTTCAAAACGCTCTCTCTTAGTCGCCTGACAAAAAATTGATAAAAATATAATATACAAAAAAAGGCAAAAAATATTTCACGCCTTCAGACTCTGCTCTCGCTCAACGACCCGTCCAACTCGCGCAATCTCATCCAGCACATCACCAATCTTCATCTTCCGCTTGCCAACCTCCAACTTGATCTCCTTCCCACCTTTGAAACCAATCGTCATCTCCGGCAATTGCGTAGAATTCCGCGGCAGATGTGAAACTTTTATATCGATATGTGTGGGACTGCTGGCAGGCGCAGTGGAAGGGTTTTGCAGCAGATTAAGAAGGATTCTGCATGGTCGTCCGAGCGGGGAGAAAGGAGAGAAGGCGGTTCGGAAGGAGGTTATGGTTTGGACGGGGATCGTCATTTTTCTTTTGCTATTTCAAGTATTGGAGGCTGTTATGACTATGTTAGTATTTATGTTTCTCATAGGAAGAACGCAAAGAGCGAGTTTCCCCGTCATTGAACGAGTTAACGTACTGTATGATGCGAATACAATAAACGGCTTGGTAACACCAGAACTCAGTGGCAAGACCGCAGATGCTGATGTATAATAAATCAGGAAACAAGACTGTCCGTATGAAAAGAAAGGTGGATTAAATTTATAAAGCCGTTGTAAAATGTGAATTGAGCTGATGTCGTGGATTATTTGCTTTGCGATGCGGAGGGAAACTTTCCACGTGTGTTTGCTCGGAATGCAAACATCCAAACAAGTCGCCGAGAGGTGGCAGCTTGGATGTCACCACCAATTGCCATGTTTCTTGTACATCGCCCCTTTTTTTATAGATAACGTTCTCTTCTCGGTGCAGAGTCGAAGGGATTATAATAAAACAACGAAAGAATATCGGCATGCACTGAATACCCCCACTCGCAAATAGGTATTGCACTACGGCCTACATTAGCTGAGCAGCTTAAATACAACATGTCTATACACACCCTTCAAGCCCGCCTGAAAGACACGGCCAGCTCCCTGGGCGAAACGAAACCTCTCATAGAGCGACTTCGAAACTTTACACATGCTATTGGACAAGGCGACGAGGCGCGCTTGGAGCTCGGAGCCGAAATTCATTCGCGACTCAAAAATGTGGAAGACGAGATGGAGATTCTGAATGTGGAAGTTGAAAGTCTAGAAGAGCCTGGCCAGAGTAGAAGGAAAGGGAATGAAAACATGGAAAAGAGCGCCGAGCGGAAACGAGTCATTGGTCTTGCTGAGAGACTGACGGCTGATTTGAAGAGGTGTGTTCACCCTACCTTTTATGTTCGTTTCAGACGAGCAGGCTTGGGAACGTTATCCCTACTTATGCAAATTTTATGGACAGGACAAGAACGGAATTTCGTAATGCGCAACTCCAGGCCAACCGCAATGCAGAGACTGCGCGCAGAAAGGAACGGGAACTGCTGTTTGTACGATCTAGCGATAGGGACGAGTCGAGAAAAGGGACAAATAAATTCACGCAAAACGACGTTACGATCAATGCATCGAACGATGTCACGGCTGCCCTGAGAAGAACCCACGAGCTTATGCAGGCGGAGCTATCCCGTAGCCAGTTTGCTCAAGAGACTCTCGGTATGTTTACACTCCGACATCGTCTGACAGAAGTTGAAACCTAGACTGATATTGTCAAAAAATAAAGAACAATCAACCGCTGCACTTTCTTCCCTTTCAGAGTCTTATACTAAACTTGACACCGTCTTGTCCTCCACCCGAGCTCTTGTTAGCTCCCTCTTACGGTCTCAAAAGTCTGACACATGGTATCTCGAAACATCGTTCTATCTACTTATTGGAACTATTGCATGGCTTCTTTTCCGAAGGATACTTTATGGACCGATGTGGTGGCTTGCATGGATGCCGGTTAAGATGATTTATAGGTTTGTCGCATCTGTCTTTGGCGTGGCAACGTTCTCAGGGTCTGTTGCTACCACCACTTCGGCCTTGGTTAGTGGTGGTACACAGGTAGCAAATGCACATGCTGGCACGGAAACGGCGACAGCAGTGATAGAAGGCAAAGACGCTCCAGTTGTGGTGACTGCCCAGGGAAGTGATGAGGATTCCGTGCTTGAAGAAATCAATAATATAATCGCAGACGAACATCTAGACGCAGAACAGGGTGACGAGGGTGAGCGAAATCCGAAGAAGAGAATGTGGGAAGAGCCTGAGCTTGTAGAAAGGCGAGATGAATTATGATTATGCAATTCGAAATATGAAATATGAAAATAGCAATGTAAATATTCACTGTATTTAATTTTTCTCTTCGTTCAATGCCTTGTACTCCGTAGAGACTACGTATTGGGCTTATCGACTGATAGAAAACGGCGCTTGTCCGTATCGGGCAAAATGATAGATTCGCGACATGGGCAAGAACCGACGCGTCTCTTCCATCTCCGCGTTTCGGGCTTATTGCGACTGCACACAATTGAGAACGACAACCCAGGGCCTTCTAAAACGTATCTTCTTCTTCCCGTCGATACTTGAGAAAGCCCAATTCCAATGGCTGCAAATTTTTTCAATAACAAAGCGCGAGCTGCTGCCGCCGCAGCTTCAAGCAGCTCCAAGCAAAAGACATCAGATAATGCAGCAGAACAGTCGCGTTTACAGCCCTGGGTTGAGAAATAGTATGTTAAAGGACCGAATATGCTTTTAGTTTGAAGAATAGGAAGGGGGAAAAAATTCTTTTTGCTAATGCTTCGTTTAGTCGACCCAAATCTTTGGATGATGTCGCAGCACAGGATCACACCACGACCGTTCTCCAACGAACATTACAAGCCTCCAACGTATGTACTAGGTTGTTATTGATATGGAAGTTCAAGTATCTGACTTCGTATAGCTTCCACACATGCTCTTCTACGGGCCCCCCGGAACGGGCAAAACATCCACAATTCTCGCACTTGCCAAATCCCTCTTCGGCCCTACACTGTTTCGCACGCGTGTCCTCGAACTCAACGCCTCCGACGAGCGCGGTATCAACATAGTCCGCGAGAAAATCAAAGACTTTGCTCGAACCCAGCTTTCACAACCCAGCGGTCTAGATGCAGCATACCGCGAGAAATATCCCTGCCCACCTTTCAAAATCATCATCCTAGATGAAGCCGACAGCATGACGCAAGACGCCCAATCTGCCCTCCGTCGCACAATGGAACAGTACAGCCGTATCACGCGTTTCTGTCTGGTTTGCAACTACGTCACTAGAATCATTGAGCCGCTGGCTAGTCGATGCAGCAAGTTCCGCTTCAAGGCGCTCGATGGTAGCTCGGCGGCAGATCGGATAAACGAGATTGCGCAGGCGGAGAGCTTAACGTTACAGGATGGGGTTGTCGATACGCTGATACAATGCGCCGAGGGTGATCTGCGTCGAGCTATTACCTATCTTCAAAGCGCGGCTAGACTTGTTGGCGCAACACAACGAAAGAAGAATGATGGGGATGACGATACGGAAATGACAGATGCTGACAATAGTCAGTCGGGGATTATTACGGTGCAGACTATTGAGGAGATTGCGGGTGTTGTTCCGGACAGTGTGTTGGACAAGTTGACGCAGGCTATGCAGCCCAAGAAAATGGGTTCGGCTTACGAGGCAGTGGCAGCAGTCGTCTCGGAGATTGTTGCTGATGGTTGGAGTGCCACACAAGTATTAATTCAGGTATGTCTTTCTCTATCTGTATACACTCGTATCTACACCGTTGCCCATTTGGATTTCCCCAACTGACTGCTTCAAGCTATACCGCCGTATCGTCTTCAACGATGCAATCCCTGACATCCAGAAGAACAGAATTGTCATGGTCTTCTCGGAAATGGACAAAAGGCTCCTCGATGGCTCGGATGAGCATCTATCAATTTTGGACATGGTGCTACGCATTTCGGGTATTTTAGGGTCTTGATAGTCAAGGTAGTCAAATTAATATAATTTCTGTTAAAGTGGACTTGATTTCGATACCGTGCAGTTCGATACGTATGATATGTGTTTGTTTGGAAATTTGAATGATGTTTACTGATCAATGGAATTGAATTTGCAACTAAATAGCATGTATGGATGTATCCTAATCTGGTAGAAGCAAGAAGCAAAAAAAACACGAAATGACGAGAACTATCCAGCATGTTCCTTTCCTTTCATTCAATTCTTGGATGCTGTCCCATGTAGGATGATCATAGCCTGATTCATCTCCAGTCGAAGCAGAGAACACAAAATGATGAATCCTGTCCAGCATACCCCTCTAATATCCCCAAATCAAGTTCATTTCCATTCTATTTCTTCCGTAGGACGATCATCGTCTAATTCCTCCTCAGTCGAAGTCTCATCAACCTGCCATTGACTGCCAAGAGGATGACTAGTCGGAAGAAGCACCATAGCATCGTCTGAAGCGTTGTCATAACGGGGTCTGTCTTCTGCAGTATAATAGCCGGTGGCGTCATAGGTTGGAGCGCTGCGCGGGATGGTATTTGGATTGCCACGGTCATTAGTGTTGTAAGTGGCAGTTGTATTGTAGTCCTGCATAGCGTCGTTTGTTACTGCTAATAACCGTGTGACAGGGCTCACGGAGTATTGCCTGTCATTCATAGAAGGACCGGGATCCTGCACGCTCTGTAGAACTGGTCTAGACAGCTGGTATGGAAAGTCATTCCAGCTGGCACTGGCAGGCGTGTAGTATTGCTGTCTAGAATTTCGAGATTGATACTCAAAAAACGTGATATTCTGTTCGCTATGCGTAGGAGGGTAGTTGGCTTGTTGGTCACGTAGAAACGGTTCAACCATCTGATGTTGAGCAGTACCATGGACTTTTGGGTAGTAGATTGCAGTAGGATTAACAATCTGTCTTCCGGCTGGATTACTCTCCAACCACTGTTCTGGAGCAACAATGTCATCGTTTTCACAACTCATTGCTTCAACTTGAGCAAAACGGTGATCTTTGCGCTCTAGAGCCGCGCTGTCATCCTGTCCGTCGTTTGTAGAATCATCCTTCTCCAATCCCTGTTCTGGAATAGGATCATCTGCAGGAGTGGCATTCTCTTCTTTAGCTGCCTTCTGCGGATGACTAAAACTCTGGCAATGGACAGTCCAGACTTTGTGTTTCAAATAGGTCGTTCGCGTGTGCTCATTACTGTCAGGATCAACGACCACCCCGACTATGGCAGGGTTGATGTTTATCAAGACTCTATCACCTCTTAGCCTGTCCGCTGCATTATCCGGTCTGCCCATTGTTGCCCTAAAATCAAGCTCCATTGTATCTGGGTCGAACTGGGCCAAGTTTGTCCGGTATTCATATGACACGTGAGAGGGCTGGCACCACATATGGTACGCCAATTCCCTAAACTTGCGAAAAATTCTTCTCAATTCTTCACGCTGTTGTGTCTTTCTGTCGCCCTGGGGGCAAGAAAGAACATATCTTGCTGGGCTCTTGAGAAAATCAGTAACTAGCGAGGATAATCCCGTGTCATATTTCTTGAGAAAGCCATTGCCACGCTTTTCATTTGCCCATCCCGATTGGGTCTCTTTGGAGGAATAATCGGGGATCATGATCGGCTTGAGTGCTTGCAGCGTGCTAGTCATCCATTTCTGGTTTTGGTAAGGGGAGACTTTGTGGGACGTTAGCTAGATTAACTCAGGAGAGTTGTTTGGACATGCTAATACGGACCTTTTCCTAGCTCCGCGGCAAAACTGTCAAATTTCTCTTCATAATTCCCGACTTGCAAAAGTTCATGCTTTGGCCTTGCGTTGTGATCCTTCAATGCCTCATCGAGGAAGATAAACCGTCTCTGGATTAGATACGAGCAGGTCCAGGCGAATAAGAACCCCTCCAGAAGCATGTACGCACCCTTTGAAAGGGTTTCTATAGCTGAAAAATCATTTTCGGCGAAGACGCTGAAGTATATCGCCGAAACATCTCTGCATTCCGACAGAAATTCTTTCTTTTTAGCGTCAGGCAATGACGAGATCTGCCTAGTAATGCCGTACTTTTTGATCCAGTTTTTGATATCGCGGTTGACGTTCTTGAACTCTGTCTCAATCTTGGTGAGGTCCCATATCTCTTTGCTTCCCCTTCTGGCATTCAGGATAGATTCAGTGGTGACTTTCACTAGTTGTTTCTGTTGGTCCTTGGATTTATTCTTCCATTTTCTAATCTCGGCTTCTAGCTTCTTAATGTCGTTCCCCTTGGACGTCGGAGAAGCCTTGCCTCGAGTATCGGGACGGGTTTTCTTCGAAGGTTCATAGGAAGGATCGTCTTCATTGTCGTCATTGTTGTTGATGCCATTCTTTGAATCCATCGTAGGAGATCTCTTTCTTTTGCTGGTTCTTCTTTCCGTTTGGGTATTAGAAGGCTCTGTAGTGCCCTCCTGGGTAGTAAAACCAGATGAAGTAGACACCATCTTGAGAGACTTTCTCATATGACCGCACTAACTACAGTAGGTTGAGAGATGATGAAGATGAGAAACACTCTTATATCCCTAGAGAACGAGTTAGTTGCCTTCGTATGAATGAAAGGAAGGTTTTCTGACCTAGTCAAGTTGGAGCCTTGAGGCTGTACAGCAGTAGCAAGTGAATAGAATCAGTTCAAAGTGCTCTAAGACATGGCAGGGTGGGGGATCATTTGATATGCCTGGTAAAGCCAAGATCACAAAGATGTTGAGAGCTTGAGGAGCTGTTGAGGATATAGGAAGTTGTAAACAGACGAGGCGAAGATAATGAGCTGCGAGATGACAAAGTCGCGATGGGAACAGTGAAGGTAAATGTGAATAAGGGAAGGTGAAGGGAAAAGGACGAAGGGAATCGGGAGAAGATCTGGAGAGGAAGAGTGAAGGCGGGGGGGAAAGGATGAAGCGAGGAAGGAATCAATCAGTCCGGGTGATGCCTGAGGATCACTTGACTGTCTAAGTGAGAGTAGCAATGAGCTATAATTAACTTACATGAGAGATCATCCTTCATGCTATTATTATTACCTAGATATACTCCTACAGCCCTTTCTACCTTGAGCACAATAATACAACCCACCATATTTCAGATATCAGTCAATAGACGCCTCTTTTCCTTATATATCCCGCCAAAAAGCTATTCAGACCTCACAGACAATTCTCCGCTCCTGGCAAGCCGAATCCCACCACTCATGGCACTAGAACCATTGCTCATAGTATCTGATTCAGATGACTGCCAAAGATGGTCACCAAGACGACTGCCAGCACGTTGAGAAGCGGGGCTCGAAGTCGAAACACTTCGAAGATTGGCGTTCAATGGATCCGAGGATGATGCACGAGTAGGAGTTGTAGTACTGCCTTCGTTGACGCTACTATCAAGCTCATATACCGTTTTCGAAAGCACGCTGGAATAAGTTTTAAGAGGGCTTCCGCGGGGGTTGGAATCCAACTCGGTTAATGCTGGGGATCGTGTTCTGTCCACATGTCCAAGGGGGCTTGTTTTATGTTGTTGTCCTGACAGATTTTGCTCAGCAATCTGTGAAGTCTTGGGGCCCGGGGGGGGAATATATGTATATAACTCACTGTAGTAATCTTCAGAAGGCTGGCTCCAGCTACTTGATAGATTATAATCACTATCCTCCTGGAACCCGGAGAATGTGCGTTTATGTGCCCGTTTCTCATTGTTGCTGCTATTCAATGTTTTCGACGTTTTTCTCCTTCGACAGCACAGAAATAGCATCAAAAACAGGGCCATGATGCCCACAACACCACCGACAGAACTTCCAATGAGAACTGCCTTGTTATTGGATGATGTTGATGTCTCGGAGGGGGTTTGTGTGGGTGTATTGGTTGAGGATATTGCCGCTGCTACTGTCGTTGTCACCACATCCGTTTTTCCAATAGAAGTACTCAACGAAGCCGAAGATAGCGAGGAGGACATGGTTGCTGTGGCCATCGTGACGGTTTGGTCCTGGTCAAGATCAGATAATGACCTTGTTGCAGAAGTCTCAAGCGCTGCTGTAGTTTGAGACGATAGAGAAGACGGCGCAGCGGACGCAGTTACCGTAACGGTCTGCTCCTGGTTGCTAAGACTAGTTGAACTGATGGACGTCGTTTCCGATGTCGTAGACTGAGACGAACCACCAGGCTGATTCTCGGCAGGACAAATCCCATCGTCACAGGGGTCCAAGGAGCAACAGCCCGAGAATTGGCCACTGATGCTGCATTGGTAGAATTGATAGGGAGGAGAACAGGTGTTGACCTGGCGCTCAAATAGGAACGACTCATTCATTCTGAACCCTTGATCAAGTCAACCTCCTTATCCTCGATGGTGAGATGTTTAGAGGAATATGTCGATGTTAGAGTTGAAAAAGTCTAGACGAACAAGCAAAAGAAAACAAAGCAGTCTGCCCAAATGGTGACACAAACATAAAGCACCGTGCACTTGCCAAGTTGAGTTTGGTAAAACATGTGTGACTTGAGGGAATTTTGACCAAAAGAAACAAAAGATATCCAGAGAGCTGCCTGTAGACTGTCTTTGGTTTAGTTGATGAGGTAGACGTTGTTTGTCTGGGTACATGAAATAAGATGTGGATGAAAAATCAACAAAGGCCTAGGTAGTGGTGGTAGTGGAGGTAAACAAACACAACTGCGAAAGGAAACTTTGAGTTGCTGGCCTAATAATCACTTAGAGACCTGCATACATATCAGAGAATACCTGAAGAAACCTTTGGATAGATAAAACAGCTGAAAAGTTATTGCTTCCAAAGTAACTACATATATCAGTTACATGCTGCACATTCTATATACGCCAACAGTCTTTCCAGAATGTAGGCCTGTATATCTTTTCTTCATCATTCTGGATTCGTCCATCGCAGAATGAGGCTTTCGAGTATATGAAAGGGTTCTTGTAACAAGTGAAAAAGCAAAGCAAAATCGGAACATATTATCAAGTTTTTAGTATACACGCTTGAAGGGCGGCACAGGCTTGCACTCGCTCTCATCCAGGGTCTTATCCTGGACAGCACGATATGTAAGGTCAACCTCGCCGTGAGGAGTCTTTTGGTAGGTAAGAGTATGCTTCATCCAGTTCTCGTCATCACGGTCAGGGTAATCCTCGCGGGCGTGGGCACCACGAGACTCCTTACGGTTAGCAGCGGCGTGAGCAGTTTGTGTGCTAGATCCCATTAGTTATATGTCATCAAGCAGAATCCGTGGATGGGTACTTACGCGCAAGTCAAGAGGTTGCGAAGTTCAAGTGTCTCAACAAGATCAGAGTTCCAGATCATGCTGCGGTCCTTGGTGCCAACCTTGGAGAACATAGCATCGACTTCCTTAATCTTTGCGACACCATCGTCCAAGCTCTCCTGTGTACGGAAGACACTGACATCCGTCTGCATAGTCTTCTGCATAGCATTGCGAATATCAAAGGTAGAGTGAGGACCCTCGGCAGTACGAACGTGGTCGAGATCCAAGATAGACTGAGCACCTGCGTCGGAACTGAGTTCCTTGTGAGGCTTTCCTGGGGAAGAAATGTCGCGAACACGGTGAGAAACAGCACGGCCGAAGACGATCAAATCGAGGAGCGAGTTGGCACCAAGACGGTTGGCGCCATGGACGGAGACACAAGCGGCCTCACCACAAGCATACAAGCCAGGTACAGTCTTGTCATTTCCATTCTCATCCAAAGTAACAACCTCACCAGTGTAACGTGTGGGAATACCACCCATGTTGTAGTGGACGGTAGGAAGAACAGGGATAGGCTCCTTGGTGACGTCAACGCCAGCGAAAATAGAAGCGGTCTCCGAGATACCAGGCAAACGTTCGTGCAAAAGTTCAGCTGGCAAGTGGCTAAGCTGGAGGTAGATGTGATCCTTCTCGGGACCAACACCGCGACCCTCACGGATTTCCAGTGTCATGGATCGCGAAACGACGTCACGAGAAGCAAGATCCTTAGCAGTAGGGGCGTAACGTTCCATGAATCGCTCACCCTCGGAGTTGAGGAGGTAACCACCCTCACCGCGAGAGCCCTCGGTAATCAAGCAACCGGCACCGTAGATACCTGTAGGATGGAACTGCACGAATTCGAGATCCTGGTTGGGAAGACCAGCACGAGCGACCATTGCCATACCATCTCCCGTACAAGTGTGGGCAGAGGTGCAACTGAAGTAGGCACGTCCGTAACCGCCAGTTGCGAGGACAGTGTGGTGAGCCTTGAAGCGATGGAGAGTGCCATCCTCCTGGTTATAGGCGATGATACCGCGGCACTCGCCGTCTTCCATCAAAAGGTCCAAGGCGAAGTATTCAATGAAATAGTTTGTGTTGTGTCGTAGGGACTGGCCGTATAATGTGTGTAAAAGGGCATGTCCAGTACGGTCAGCAGCGGCAGCGCATCGATAAGCCTGTCCACCCTTTCCGTAGTTTTGCGATTGACCACCGAATGCACGCTGGTAGATGCGTCCGTCTTCGGTACGCGAGAAGGGGCAACCGTATCCTTCTAATTCACGAACACTTGCTGGCGCTTCTCTTGTCATGTAATGGATCGCATCTTGGTCACCCAACCAATCCGAACCCTTCACAGTGTCGTACATGTGCCATCTCCAGTCGTCCGCGTGCATGCTATAACCAACCTTTTAGAAAAAATCCCAACGCGAACAACTCGAGAAATCTCACGCATAGGAAAAACCTACTTTCCAAGAGCTGCATTGATTCCTCCCTGGGCAGCGACAGTGTGGCTTCGAGTGGGAAACAACTTCGAGACACAGGCAGTATTGAAACCAGCTTCCGCAAGACCGAAAGCCGCTCGCAAACCAGCGCCTCCGGCACCTACGACGACGGCATCATATTCATGGTCCTATTCCCAATTAGAATAAAGATTTTTTCTTCTCGCATTTTTACAAAGAAGACCTACAATAATAGGATACTTCGATGCAATGGGGCCACTGGCCTCCTTTGCACGGAGAGGTTGGGAGCCGAAAATGCGAGCTTTGCGATTCGTCGGTTAGCAGTAGACCTTGTAGACGTGGATCGGACCTTCTATACCAGCAGGCTTCGTAGAGGAAAAATTCCGTCGTTGATCTCTAAGGGCTCTCGAGATCTAGAAGTTCGACAACGAAGTCAGCTTTTGCATGGGATTGACGATAATCGCGAGGGGCTGAGAGAGATCGCATGAGACAAGATCTACGTGACAGACTGCTGACCTTTGACGCAGGAGCCAAGCTCCGCAAGCTCAACGAGCTCATGATGTTCCGTGTACAGGCAAAAGAAGCAGAAGCCAATTCGCCCGAAAATAGACGGAAGAAGGAAGAGTCGCGACGCAGAGAGAGGAGATTTCGACGGGTTTGCACAGGATGAGGTGGTTGTACTCTTGCCGGTAATTGCTGTCGGTTGAGCGAACGGGCGCCAGGCCGAGAGGCTAGTTACATAAGCACCCATGTGTTGCCGAGCCGACCTGGGCCAATCAGCGTGCGCGCAGTGGTAATCAACGCCCGGAAATCGGCGGATTGATTGGCTGCACTGGGCGTCATCACGTGCGCCAGTCTGGATGCCGGAAAATGTAGGAATTCTACGCCAGCGGCTATATGCCAGCCGAGATTTAGACATGTTATGGCCTTATATTTTGAAAAATGCATGCATGCTATGGAATAATACATATATCTGTGCCCAAACAGCGCCATCTAACCAACCGACCATCGCGCCCTAGTTGTACTGCATATATGTCGCTGTCGAGTTGAACTTGAGGTTGCCCTTGATCACCTTGTCTACAGCAGCTAGGAAGTCCTTCTCTGTTGCGACCTTCCGCCGAGCACGGATAGCGAACATACCGGCTTCAGTAGCGACACTGCGTAATTCAGCACCAGTGGCATTCGGGCAAAGTCTGGATATCAACTCCCAGCGAATGTCCCGCTCCACAGACATGCTCTTGGCGTGAATACGGAGAATATTGGCACGTCCTTCCATGTCAGGCAGCGAGAATTCAATCTTTCGGTCAATACGGCCAGGACGCATCAACGCAGGGTCCAGCGTAGATGGACGATTGGTTGCAAACATAACTTTAATGTTGCCACGCGAATCAAATCCATCCAGTTGTGTAATTAATTCCAGCATAGTACGCTGAACTTCGTTGTCACCTCCGGCACCATCGTCAAAACGAGCTCCTCCAATTGCATCAATTTCGTCGAAGAAAATGATGCAAGCCTTCTTGGTTCGTGCCATTTCGAAGAGTTCTCGAACCATGCGAGCACCTTCTCCCACGTACTTTTGCACTAATTCGCTGCCAATTACACGGATAAAGGTGGCGTCTGTTCGGTTTGCAACAGCTCTTGCGCATAGTGTTTTACCCGTACCAGGTGGACCGTAGAGAAGCGCGCCTTTGGGGGGATCGATACCAAGGTTGACAAAGCGTTCAGGTGACAGCAGTGGCATTTCAACGACTTCTCGTAGTTTCTCGATCTGTTCTTTGCTTCCACCAACATCTCCATATGTCACATCAGGCTTGTCTTCGACCTGCATCATCGTAACACTAGGGTCGATCTTCGGGGGAAGAGGAAGTAAAATCTGGTACTTGTTGCGGTCGACACTAGACGGGGTATCAATAAAAAAAATTCCCATCTCGACGCCGTGCAGGAAAACCTACCCAACTCGCATGCCTTCTTCAATATCCGTAGGACTAACCCGCTCGCCAAGATTGACGACGAACTTCGCGATTTGTTTAACATTGATGACGTATTTGGTTTTCTCGGGGTCTTTCTCGTCCGTAATAATCTTAGTGCATCGTGCTACCTGTAATGGCTGCTCCTCAGCCATGCGCTGTCGGTCGGCGGCAACATCCCATAGATGAGGAGGGGCGAGACCGGTGTCGGATTCCTGAGGTTGAGTATTTAGCAAGCGTATTCATCCATCGAGCAGCCTTTTATAAGTACCTTCACACCGATCTTCTCATTCACGCTTTGTTGTTTTTCCTTGATCTGTTTCTCGAGCGTCTTGAGGGCAGCAGCATACGGAGCGGCGCCATATGTCTTGAGAACTTGAATATCCCTAAAATCACGGTTAGCAATCCGATGAAGTCAAACCCTCTAGTGCAGTGGTGAAGTACTCGTCGGTCAAAGGTGTGATCTTTTTCTCCGGAACCTCTTCGTCCGCGAAGTTCTTCTTGTACTTCTCCCAATCGGATCCCGTAGCACTGGGCATCTTGACGGATGCCGCAAAGGCGTTGGAGGCTGGAGATTAACTAAATTTCAGGCCGGACAAGCAAATATCCTCGATCGTAAAGCTTGAGGCCAGAAATATAGGAAGAACTGCAGGATGAGGCGATGGCAGTGAGTGTTGTGATGAAAGCAGATGGATGTATGCGAGAGCTTCAGCAGGTGTTCCCTTGCCATTGCTTATCTCAGAGCTCCGGTTGAGGTCACGTGAGAGTCCTGCCGGTCCACTAAACCTATTGCTGCAGGGAGGATTTGTAACTGACAAGGCGGTGTGCGGGACTATATTCTGCTCCTAAGGTGATATCACACTCTCTGACCTCAGAAGAATTAATTCACTGTGCCTAATGCAACGCATGTTATGGGACTACGGGCTACATTTGAAATTGTTGATGTCCGTAATTTGTTGTAGGTATTTCTACTGCTATGAGGACTAGTCAAAGAAGTCTGACAATGAGCCACGATGGAAGAGGCTGGCTCAGGTAAACATGGATTCATTGTGCTTATTACTTCCTATGAGCTCGGATTGGCCTTATAGATACTCAAGGTATCATGTACATATGATAGTTATTTATTGGGTAAGTTGCATTTGTTGTTTCATCATTCATATTTTATCAATTCTAGATACTCTATTCTTGATCTAGATCCAATTATGAATTCACCATGTACAGGAACAGAGCATAGCACTCTGAGCTCATTAGGCCATTATCAACTTACTGATACCTAAAGTCATGCATGGGAGCAGTAACTATGTACACACCATGGCTAACCAACCAAGGTAGAGACCCTGAGCTGTCAAACAAATTCCTATGTCTGAGCAGCGAATCCAATTTGAGGACCAGCGGCATCGAAGACAACATACTGTGTCTTGAGGAAGACATCTCCGAAGATAGCAAATCCAATGCCACCATTGGATTGAATACCTCCGTAGCAGGATCCGTCTCCGAGGTTTTCAAAATTGATAATATCACCAGGGACAGTAGCGGCGTAACCATTGACGATGATAGCAAAATCGGGCAAGATGGTGTCGCAGCTGTAAATGTATCCACCAGCGGCCTCATCATCGGTGGCACCTGGGACCTGTGCGTAGTATGCCGCAACGAGGAGATCATCTAGGAGAATCAGAGTAGTACCTGTGTCTAGGAGAAGATTAGATTCCGACGAATGACTGTGATGAACAGCGTAAACTCAATTGATAAGAAGAACAAGGGGAAACATACCAGCAATTCCTTCAACAGAACCTACAACTTCCTGGCCCCCGATAGCGTAACCATCAGCAGTAAACTTCCAGTATCCAGGGTCTGTATCGACACTAGTGTATGTGAGAGCACCAGTGTACTTTGTTTCATCAATGTATCCAAAGTCATATGTGCCTGGTGCACCATCTCTGAGGTAGGCAGCAAACAATGGCAAAGCCAAGGAACTTTGGACATTGGTAAACCACGTATTCTGTGCCACAGGTGAGACAGTGTTTAGACTGCTGAAAGCGAGACCGATCAACCCATCGTTCGAGAGATCAGCTGTAAAGGACTCGCTAAGCGAAGTCACAGCTTCGACAGCTTGTTTGGTATAAGAGATTCCACCGACAGTGACGATATCTTGGTACACGTCACCCTCGGCGTAGGTCTCGTCTCCAGGGGTACCGTATTCAATATCGAAGCTGTATCCTACCATGAGGGTGGCAGTGCTACCTGGGGTGTAGTAGGCATGGCCAAGGCGTTCAAGGGCTGGGGTCTTGGAAGAATAGACCCATCTGGTGTGTGTGTACCTTGGTCAGTCCCCTAATTCAATATATATCAAGTGCAAGGAACCGGAGAGGTTAAAATGTATAACTTACAGATCAGAAGATCCAGTGTCAAGATCTAGAGTGAGCTGGCTTTCTCCGACTGTCACAGGAATGACATACTCGACTTCCTCATAAGAAGTCGCAGATACAGAACCAGTGGCACCCAGAGCAGCGGCAGAGGCAACATTAGATGGTACAGCAACACCGTATTTCCTGTAAGCCTTGGCCAAGTACGATGCAGGAGAGCTTGACTGGTTTTTCGGAACTGCAATCTGACCAATTGAGAAGCTTTTGGCAGTTTGGTTTGTGGCAGTGGGAGCCGCTATAGCAGCAACTGCGAACGAAGCAGACAAAAGAAGAAAAAGAGTTTGAGACATTTTGAGCAGGATCAATTGTCTGTTCTGGTCTGGTGGAAGTGATTCATTTTCAGAGAAGCAGGAGAACATCGAAATATTTATATTCTAAGCTTTGTCTTGCTATTTCATGATTGAGAGGCAGAAATAGTTTCCCTATTGAGGTACCTAAGTAACCAACTGCTTGCTCCATTCCTATCCATAGATGGATGTGATGAGCCTGACTAGGGATACGAGCTTTGAATTTATCATGGACCTATTATAGCACGAAAAAGCGATGTCACGTCAAGTAAACTCCATCTGATTTTCAGTGTCTACAATGCTGATACGATAGTCTCTAGGGCTGATTAGCCCTAACCGATAGAGCATACGTGCTAATACAGTCTACGTAACATCACGACTCACCTGCATAAATTATTCGGCGTTCTCCGTGCAAAGGTATTAGTAGTAGACTGATATTAGAAGCTCGTAGCTCGTGTGACAGTTATATACGTAGCTACATGACTCTAGGAAACAAGATACGGCATCCTTCCGAGGTCCCGAACCTGCACGCATTGCTAAAGCTCCAGATAATAATGGGTAAAAAACATCTAAGCTGTAATACAACATCAATAGTACGACTGCGGAGTACACAGAGCTACAGAGCACATCCAGCAGCAATTCCAGACTCATAGAATGGCATGCCGTAACGTAACCATGATATCTAAACTTTGCGTGACTTGTTTCCAATGGAGATTATCTCTCACATGCGTGAAGAACTAGATCCTTTGTCTTCGGACCGTTCAACAAAAGATTGGAATAGTGATGCGCACTCTTATTCTTCCCTTGATGGTGCCTCCACCGGCCCAATATGGTAATCGATGCGACGACGGATAATCGAAAGTGGCAATTGATGCGAAGGCCAGCACGTATTGGTAAGAAAACCCGATCCCACTCTGGCTAGACTCTGAATTATTTTGCCACTTTTGAGTGGGAACGACTAAAACAGAGCACTGATTGCGAGATCCATACCCCAGTAGGTAGCACGCTACTGTATGCACTACAACACTTCCCTTACTATCTCGGCCCGGACCCGTGGAAGGCTGTGATGTGAAGATCATTGTTGAGTTAGACCCGAACTTATAGTCGACTTTGGGCAGTCTGATATTCAAGCTTTTTTGAAAGTTGAATCCAATAACAATGCCGGGCATAATAGTGGGCCTTGATGTGGTATAAGCATCTGGCAGAGACCCAGGTATCACTTTTATCGAACGATTAGGTATACATGTAGACTATTCTTTCTAAGTTTATAAGATGTCTGCAAAATAGCTGATCATCCTGTTTTTAGTTTTTCTAGCGATTACCAACGTATTGGATTGCTTGAACGTATGTGTAAACTTCTATTCAAATATGACCTTATATTAAGTGCTCATGATAATAATTTTAAATAAGCTCTCGCAACAATTATGTAGCGTCATCATCTTCGTTCATTAGCAGGTTAATACTGTGCAAGGCCACACGGAAATGTATCACCCTCGCATCACGCCGCTCACGACCAAGTCGTGGGCCCGAATGTACCACTTGCTGGGATGGGTTTCAAAGGCGTACCTTTGCCGTCAATCGTGGTGCTTTGGACATTGTTTCCCCACCAACTCACCGATATACCGGGAAAGACGATGGCAAAGAAGATGATTACGGCAGAGATGGCTAGCCCAGAGTCCAATGCGGCGGATAAGACATAATTATACTGCGAAAGCAGTCAGTGACCAGTCCCAAAAAGGACGAAGGACGTGCGAGACTTACTTTTGCCCACCACTGCGAGTACTTGCCCTTGATCCATTTATTGAAGATGAGCGATACCGCTAACGCCGACGTGTAGTTTATGCCTGTCGCGGGTGGCACGTTACCAGTTCCTGCAAAGAAAATCGGCCAGTGTACATTTCTCAAGAAGTTGTTTTCTGGCCACCTTCTCTGGGCAAAGAAGGTCACAACTGGCAGCAGGGCTCCGATCCAGAACAGGTGTAGCAGCCCAGAGTATATCTTGCCTATACTGTAAAGTCGTGATGGTCCGATAGCGCCCCAGACAACACTTGACGAAAAGTTGACTTGGCCCTGAGGGCATGTGTACCCGTTCGACTGGTCGGGACTACAGATGTCCTCCACGTGATGCAGCATCCAGAGCAGGACGCCATTCTGCGTCAGTGAGCCGAGAATGCATGCGATCAACTGCGCGGTGAAGAGTGTGCGGCGTGGGATCTTGAGATATAGACCCAGCTTCATGTCGCTCGCGAAGAGCATTGCCTGGCTCAATCCTGTGTATGCGTAGAACTTGAAGATGAGCAATACGATGGGCTTGCCTGGAATGAGGTATCCAGAAACGATCTCTCCAAGCACTGTCAAGACGTTGCTGTTCAGGTTGGCTACTGCGTATACGGATCCCGTTGGGATGAGATACAAAAGAGCCATTCCAAAGGCTAGAAAGATGCCCCAGACGGGCATTTCGGTGTGATACACCTCCTGCACCATGATGGTAAGAGCAAGGACGATGACAGTCAGAACGGCATACCACCATGATGGCACGTCTCTGTAGCACTCGATCAGGCGGACGTGGATGTCCTTTTTCCGGTCAGGCTTTAGGGCGCCGAAAATATCGCGCCAGTAATTGAGAAATATGAAGATGGGCACGCAAGTCATGACAGCAAAGGAACAACCGTACGAGAGAGCAAATGTAACCGGCATGAAGATGGGGCTATAGGCCTGATACGCCGCCTCGAGGAAGTTGCCATGCTGGTCGACAATGCGGGTTGCGTTGTATGTCTGACCGGTGTTGTCGTATGTTGAACTTCCGGAAAAGGGAAGATACGCCGTGTACCAGGTATTAGTGTAATAGAGAATGGGAGATGTCAAGGCGAATATGATTACCCAGCCGGCGAAGACGTTGGCCTGTGCCCAGAAGGGAACGACTAGAGGTGAGCCGTTGTAGGCAACTTGAGACCAGTCGAACGTGAGAGGCAGGTAAGCAAGCCCAGTCGACATCCCAAAAAGGTTATTGACTACTGTATTATCTGTAACCCGAAACTGTCAGCTGCTTGTGTATGTGGATTTCAAGCGACAAAGACTCACTTGGCGCAGCCCAGCAGATGAAGGCAAACGTACTAAGGCCCGTGAAAAGGAAACCGGGGAGCCAATACTGCATTACGCATCAGCATGACTTATAGTTCTGAAAAAGTATATATATGCGTTTACTTACCCAGCAAAAGCCGATACAAAAGACAATGGTAAAGAATCGATATCTTGAAATCTTCCACCCATTAGCTGGGGGATTCAATCTCGAGTGCAGCGTTTGAAACAGCGCCGCATTAGCCAGAGTTGACGGCCAAATCATTTGAGGAGGTTCAACAATGAAGCGATAGGAGAGGCCCGCCATGCCTAAGCCGAATAGCTGCATTGTGAGACCGAGGAGAAACTGGTATGAGGTTGGACTTTTCCTATCAAAGAATGTAGGCGCCACTTGGGCTTGGATGATATCTGTAGCCCACGATGGTCCAAATGCCAGGTTCGACATGATGGTAACGACACAATGCTCCTTGATGTTGAAGTAATGGTCAGGGTTGATGGTCACATCCCAACGGCCGAAAAGACGAACTGTCTTCACAGGTAGGATGCGTGCCAGGGTGGTACCGACAGGGAAGGCGAGCAATTGGGCCACGAGCGAGGAAATGGTCACGGAGGGATACCGCATACTGAAGAATTGGTTGATACCCGTGCCAACCATCGTGAAGACGATACCGACAAGCCACATGCGCAACGTGTTGACGGGCGTCGAGTGATCGTCCGTGTTGGGTACATTGGCGCGAACCTCGGGGAACGGTGAGTTATCGCTGTCAATGGTATACACATCCTCAACAGTACCAATGGCGGGGTCGAGGGCTTTTTCGTCGGTACTCGCCTCGATGTCATCTAGAGCACGCGGGGAAGAAACATCACCTTCCTGGGTGGAGTCCGTCACCTCGACGCCTATCTTCTTGCTTCCGTTTGAACCCATTGAGAGGGTATGGATTTGTAAAGACAACAAAACTATATAGACGAATAGGTAGGGAGAGACTGCAGCCCCGACCTGGGATATCTTGGTGAAGGCACCCGACAAGCCCGCGTCTCGAGATATATATATGGTCCATGGCCGGGAATCGCACGATGCTCGTGCACAGATAACGGCATTGTGCCATTCAAGCCGGCTTTATCTATGTTGGCGCCAGAACCAATCCAAAGGTCCAGGCGATCAGATCGTGAGCCATGATCAATCATGAAGACAGATGCTTTGGTTGGGAGAGAGGAAGTTGATGGAAGGTCCACAAGCCGACGCGGAGAACTAAGCCCAAAGAGGAAATCCTGCTTTCCAGGGATCGGCGTAGCCTCGTGTGGGCCCGAGAAGGTCCAGGCGAGCGAATCACAGCTCAGGGCATCCGCTATACAAACAACAACGATACCTATAACTTCTCTTCTTCAACGAATGCAATCTCTCACTGGGACATCATAACAAGACAAAACACAGACATCATGGCACTCTCAAAACACTCCTCGATCGTGATCATTGGCGCGTGAGTAGTTATCGATCTCTTATCCGCTAGCCCAGTCGTACATCTCAACTTACGAGTAGATCTTTGTGAAGCGGGACATTTGGTATCAGCACAGCTTTCCATCTGGCGAAGCGTGACTATACCAACATTATATGCATTGACCGCCACCCCTGGCCCAGTCCAGACTCAGCAGGCTACGACCTCAACAAGATTATCCGTACGGAGTATGAAGAGGAGCTCTACACCGAACTGGCCCTTGAGGCTTTACGCGCCTGGCGACAGCCCATGTGGGATGGTATCTTCCATGAGACGGTGAGTTAGCCCTGTGAGAATTGATCGATCATATCTGGACCCTAATCCTTGCTCGGACAGGGCAGAATAACTACGACGAGCGGGGATCCAGAGGCTGCTAAGAATTTAAAAGAATCCTACGAGAATCTGCAAAGGGCTGGCGCAGCTGCCTCCATTGAGTTCGTCGAGGGCAAAAAACAGATCGTGAAGTTCTGCCCTCAGCTGGCAGGCGCATCAGGTCTGGACGAATGGAAGGGCCTTTGGAATAGCGAAGCTGGCTGGGCACACGCACGCAAGGCGTTGGAAAAGATGGCGTCAGAATCGGAGAAAATGGGCGTCAGGTTCGTATCTGGCCCCGAAGGAACGATGACTGGACTGGAGCTTGATGCCACCAACATGTTGCTTGGAATAAGGGTCGCATCGGGAGACATCATCAAGGCTGATCGATACATCCTATCGACCGGAGCAGCATCTCCGGGATTATTGCCCGACATTTTATCAACCCAGCTTTGGTCAAAATGCTGGACTCTTGCTCACATTGAACTCACTGATGAAGAAATTGAGCAATGGAAAGGCATCCCAGTCGTCGACAATATGGAATTGGGATTTACGTTTGAGCCTGATCCAGAGACCAGTAAGCTTAGCTAGCCCATCTCTCCCAGGGTGCGGATGTCATGCTGAATATATTTATTACAGAACTTATGAAGATCTGCAACGCCTTTCCAGGCTATCAGTGCCGTCAGGGCGAGTACACTGATCCTGAGACCGGCAAGAAGACCATCTTCTCCGTGCCACGCTATGCCAGCGACCACCCCGAGGACGGCATCCCCGCCGAAGCCGCGGAAGGAATTGAGCGTTTCATTGCGGCCGTCATGCCGCAGTTCTCAGGTCGTCCACTCATACAAGCTCGCGTTTGCTGGTGTACCGACTCGCCCGATTCACATTATCTCATTGACCGCCATCCCCAGCATCCAAGCCTGCTTTTGGCCACAGGCGACAGTGGCCACGCCTTCAAAATGCTCCCCATCATTGGAAACTACATTGCGGATGCGCTGGAAGGGTCTGAGCAAGGCTTGAAAAAGGAGTGGAGATACGGTGGTCGAAAAGAAGTCAGGAATGTAACTAGGCCCGGGACCGAGGTGAAGGACCTTAGAAGTGTTCTAGGCATCCAAGACGTAGGCGATATGTCGAAGTTGTAAATCACATAAGTCATGCAGTTTCCAAGTAGCCTACAATCATTGAAGATTAGCGAGCGGCGTTTTGTTTGGCTCTTTGACCCCCTTCTGTGTGGGGCAAGAGTCAGCACCCTGATAGACCCTGATAGGCCTTCATAGACCCCCCGATAAAGCCTCCTGTTATCTAGTCTGGCACACGCTTAGCTAGCTTTGACCAGCCTAAAGTCAATAGATACTGGACACAGTCAATATCAAACCATGCCACGTCGTCGACCTCCAGAGCATAGTAGCTGTGTCAAGCGGAGGGTCCGCACCGGCTGTAAAACCTGCCGTGCGCGGAGAGTCAAGTGCGACGAGAGCAAGCCGCGGTGTCAGAACTGCTTGCAACGGGGTCTTGCTTGCGACAATAGCGTCCAGCTAAAATGGGAACAGGAATACGAAAGTCGCGGTCTAGCTTTTGGCCGGCAAGGCAGATGGAGCAAAAGCCGGGTACCGCCATCTGGTGCTGCTGACCCGGTGATGGAGTGGTGCAGCTTTCCAATAGTGCAGTGCCGTCATTTTATCAATTTCTGCTACGGTGACTTCGACGACGCCGATGCAGGTCAGGAATGTGATGAGGATCTGATAGACGATGTCGATATTGGCGTGGTTGGTGCCGGGCAAATGATTCAATCACCAACTGCGTATCCAAACCTAGCCAATGTCGACGCTCATCTGCTGGAGTATTACCTGACCCGGCTTTGTCCTCTGACAACATCCTCTCGCCGCGTACCATCTCCTTTCGCTGAACTTGTTATTCCCCTTTTCAGCATCCCCGGCCAGGATGATATCCTCCAGGCGGTCCTGGCATTGTCAGCTCGTCACAGGAGTGCCAGCGATCCGCAATGGTCTCGCTCCGCCATGACGCTGAAGGGCGGCGTCATCACCTCTCTTCGCAATAGGCTCCTCGACCCCACGTGGAACCCACAAATCCTAGTTGTGATGATGTTTCTATGCCTTTACGAGATTGTTGACAACTGTGACCACCGCTGGGTGATTCACCTAAGGGCCAGTAAAGAGGTCATTCGACGAAGCCGGCAGCTCGAAGAAGGGAGACGAAGCAAGGAGGACCTCGGTGCTCTGACCGAATTTACGGAACGCTTCTTTGCTTTCCAAGATGTTATCAGCAGGACGGCTTGCGGAAGCTCAGCTCTCTTTGGAGTTGAGTACTGGGTCGATCGCAGTCAGCCAGAAGATATCGACTCCTGGATGGGCTGCAGTCCCTCCCTAGTAAGCATACTGTGCCGCACTGTCGAAATAAGCCGGTTAAAGACCCAGGATCATATACCCCGCGACATCCTCGAGGCGGAGTCTGCGGAGCTAGAGCAGCGACTGGAAGCTATGCAGCTCGAGACGGAAATAAGCCCCCTCGACAATGCTCCGGTCTTAGCTGCAGAGCTCAAGCGGAAATCTGTGCTCATATATCACCATTGCGTCCTGTACGACGCGGGCCCATCAACACCGTTCGTCCGCCAGCTGAAAAGAGAGATTCTCGAAGAGACATGCGAGCTCGTTGAAGCCGGATTCGCTGCCGGACTGGCATTTCCAATTTTTGTCGCTGCAGTAGAACTGCACCCCACAGATAGCCAGCTTTTCTGGGACAGGAAAAATGGCGAGCTGGTAAGTGGGAGACGACTGGTTTTAGAGACGCTGGAGGCCATGGAGAAACTGTCACTATCCAATATTGCACGGACAAGGTCAGTCATTCAGAAAGTCTGGCGCATGCGGGACATGTCGCTCGACGAGGATTATGAGCCTCCTCTATCCCGAGGAGAGTACATCAACGACTGGACTGTTTTTGTGGGTCCATACAGCTCAAATATAAGCCTATCATAGGGGGATGGAATTATTTGCATCTCTGAGACGCAACAACATTTACAGTGGAGGCAGAGTTTGACTATCCCGATAAATGAAGCTGAGATCCGGGGCACTTATTTCCAAGTCTTGATATTACCAAAGAGTGCTGATGCTTTGTGCAACGCAAACTATCATTAACCCAGATCTGATTATAATCCTGAGAGTCTCGTTAGATGTCTGTCATTATGTATCAGCCAGAACCGTTCATGTCTTCTGCTTCGATGAAAAAGACTCTATTAATGACTTCCCAATTTATGCGACAAATCCATACGGGAATAAACTCACTTTTCTAATCCATCAACATCAGCACTATCACAAGTACGGACCCGCTACTGTCGACGAAATTTTTAGGGGTGGTAAACCTTATTGTGCTGGGATTCACGAGAAGAGTGTAGGAACAATTACAGCGGTAAGAGCAAAGCAGGTTGCGAGTGTTATCCAGTGAAAGCGTCTGATTGTTTATTGGTTTGTATAAAGTCTTCGATGAATTGCATCTGTATGCTGGCTCGAGTCGTTGCCGGGACGAATCTGAAGATGCGACTTCTTTACTCCTATTGGAACAATTCACTTCGATGAGAGCCAGACTCGAACGTATATAAGTATTTTTCAAGCCATATCAAAGTTTTAACCAACAGCTTAATTGCCATGATCTATAATTTATAGCAACGTAGAACGTAGTATCCGTGACATCTTTTAGAGTTAGACGGCTTACTATACGCAATGACTTACTATACATCTTCGAGAGCCTGGCTGTAAGTCATTGAATATAGTGAGAAAAGTATCAATGTGTTCCTGAATAAAATAATATATTACTGTAGTTGTATTCTAAGCTAAAAGCATATAAGACGAGAGATTGTACACAAAGTCAGTGGCCGTATCATGGCATATTAGCTAAAATCTAGGCTAGACATATTGAATAATGAGCTTAATATTCAATAATTGTAGTCTTTAAGAGTGCATATTCCCTTTATTCTTCTTTTTCTCTGGTGAGGATCGATACTTGAACTAACCCTAATTAACCCTAACAACCCTAAAGCTTAGCTTCGACGCTAGCGTTGGCCAAGCATCCAAACCACCACCGCCGGCAGAACTGCGAAATTCCGAAAAGAGCGGCTGCACTTTAATTCTGCTGACCACCAACCCACCAACATCTTTATTCTTAGCCTTATCTCCAAGTCTTGAGATTTCGGAGTCAACATGGCTACAGCAGCGGCTCCCCCCAGTGGCCCTGGCAATTCTGCCTTCAAGGTACGTGGCGGAGATGTCATGACGCTGAAGCGGGGGTTTACTAACACCCTCACCAGGATAAGGCGAAGCCAATGGCAGTGCGGACTGCGAACATTTTGGCAGCTCGAGGTATGTGCATTTGACTCGTTTTCCATCGATAACGTTTTTGATTTACAAGTACTGACAAGTCTGCAGCTGTTGCCGATGCTATCAGAACGGTAATTCTTTTCCATTCACCCCGCAGAAATAATTCATATCCTAACGGCGTCTAGTCTCTGGGACCTAGGGGAATGGACAAGATGGTACGTCCTCATGTCTACTCATCTATACTACATGTAAAACATCTTCTGACAGAGCTCTAGATTCAAAGCGGAAAAGGAAATACGATTATTGTGTGTACCCCGCCTCCGTTTCGCCTGACTGACGCTGACTGCCCAAGACCAATGACGGAAACACTATGTTGAAAAGCATGAGCGTGATGCATCCCGCAGCGAAGATGCTTGTCGACCTTAGTGCTGCACAGGATATTGAAGCTGGAGACGGTACCACCTCCGTCGTTGTTATCGCTGGCAGCTTGCTTGGTGCTGCGGACCGACTGTTGGCAAAGGGTGGGTTATAAGGCTTGGAGTCCAGAATCATTAAAGAATATAACTAATATAACCAATACTGCAGGCATTCACCCGACGATCATATCCGAATCCTTCCAAAGAGCAGCAGCCGCTGCCGTGGAAATCCTCCATGATATGTCACAACCTATTTCTCTTTCAGACCGAACCACCCTTTTGCAGGCCGCATCCACTTCCCTTTCGTCCAAGATTGTTTCACAATATTCGAACCTCCTAGGTCCTATGGCCGTCGATTCCGTCTTGAAAGTCATTAATCCCAAGATTGCGAACAATGTTGACCTGCGCGATATCCGCATCATCAAAAAGGTCGGGGGTACGATAGAGGACAGTGAGATGGTAGACGGCTTGGTATTGAACCAGCCCGTCATCAAGAGCGGAGGCGGGCCTACAAGGATTGAAAAAGCCCGGATAGGATTGATTCAGTTCCAACTCAGTCCACCCAAGCCAGATGTGAGTTTCTTGCGGTCTCTTGTTTCTCGCTTCCTCTAACTCTTTATCAGATGGAAAACCAAATCGTCGTCAACGATTACCGACAAATGGACAAAATTCTGAAGGAAGAGCGCCAGTACCTTCTCAATATGGTAAAGAAGATTCAAAAAGCCAAGTGCAATGTTCTTCTTATCCAGAAGTCCATTCTACGAGACGCAGTCAACGATTTGTCGCTCCATTTCCTCTCCCGCCTGAAGATTCTTGCTGTGAAGGACATAGAGCGTGATGAGGTGGAATTTTTGTGCAAGAGCTTGGGATGCAAGCCTATTGCCAACATTGACTCATTCACTGAGGATAAACTGGGAACTGCAGATGTCGTGGAGGAAATTCAATCCTCAGGTGCTCGTTACGTCAAGGTCACAGGCATCAAATCGACCGCTGCCACAAGCCAAACAGTATCTATCGTGGCTCGTGGAGCGAACAATCTCATTTTGGATGAAGCAGAGCGATCTTTGCACGACGCCCTTTGTGTAATTCGCTGCTTGGTGAAGAAGAGAGCACTTATCGCCGGTGGTGGTGCACCGGAAATCGAAGTCGCCAACATACTTAGCACAAGGGCCCGTGAACTATCAGGCACCGAGGCTATCTGTTGGAAAGCTTTTGCCGATGCCATGGAAGTCATTCCAACTACGCTCGCGGAGAATGCCGGTCTGAATTCGATCAAGGTGGTGACTGAACTCCGCCATAGACACGCTCAAGGTGAGCGTAATGCTGGTGTCAGCATTCGCAGTGGTGGTGTGAAGGATAATATCACAGATGAGAAAGTGCTGCAACCCCTGCTAGTCAGCACAAGTGCCATTGAACTTGCGGCTGAGACGGTGAAAATGATTCTCAGAATCGATGACATTGCGCTATCAAGGTAATCGAGACTAGTGGTGAAGGCAAAGAACAAAAAAGTTGGGCTGTTTGTTATACGAGGCTGGCGCATCATGTAAAGAAAAGGTGTTAAGATCGTCTGTTATACCAACATACTACGTACCTGACTGTAAAATGGCTAGCAACCCATAATAATTACCTAAATTGGATTCTCGCAATGATTATAACAAGTTATGTGTGATTTTGATCTCACGAAACAACCTCCCTCTAAACAGAAGGCTTAGGGCTTTCCTGTGATGTATCGCCGCCGATGCCAAGACTCGGCGCTCCGGCGACCAGCTGGCGATAGTTGGAGACGTCATTCCTGAATCCTCGACAGCATTCGTTACAATTAACCGGTGGCAGGCTACGGGGTGTTTTCACTGCCGAGCATCATGAAAATTGCTTGTTTTACGCTTCTCGTGCTTAATTGAGACCGTATATTCCTTCGACGTTTCGCAGACTCTCGACACGGATGCTCCCAATGTTACACACCAAATAGGTAGGACACAACGCAAGCTTGCGTCGCATCCATGGCTCGGCACGACGGGGATCCTGACCAAGAGTTTGTACCTCTTACAGACAGGTCACGCAAAGCATCGGCTTCCTTCAGTTCGACGGATACAATGTCTTCCGACGGATCACTCTTTGGCGACGACACCGACGCTCCCGAGACCCAGAGGTTAGTGCAGAACACCCAGGAAACAGCAGTAGCAACACCGGCAACACCATACCGGGACATTGAGGATGATGCGGAAATTGAACGAGGGAATGATATTTTTCAGCATGCGAGAGAGAAATCGAAACGAACTAGCGGCACTCGAATAGTCTGGATAGTAGGGGTGTTGTGTGTAGGCGGCTGGATGCTGGCTTTTGTCCTGTTCTGGAGCCAGCGCAACAATAACCTAGGAACGAGCTCATCAGTTGCGGCTGTTCATGATGCCGACAGTGCAACTGGCGCTACGAGCTATGGCAAGCCGCTTGACTTGGAGGGCATCCTATCAGGTTTCTGGTCCAGCAAAAAACATTCGATTTCTTGGATTGCGGGCCCAAATGGTGAAGATGGGTTGCTACTCGAGCGTGGCCAAGATGGAGAGAAGGCATATCTCCGAGTGGAAAATGTCCGCAATCGTCAGGAAGATACCAAGGACGAGGAAGGCTTAGTTCTCATGAAATCCAGCACTGTTCAAGGCAATGGCAAAATTTTCGTGCCCTCTGAGACATGGCCGAGTCCAGATTTCAAAAGCGTGCTATTGCTAGCTGATATGGAGAAGAATTGGCGGTATTCATATACGGGTACCTATTGGCTTTTTGACGTGGAAAGCCAAACAACGAAGCCTCTTGATCCTGATGTTCCCGAAGGACGAATACAACTCGCATCGTGGTCTCCACAGTCAGATGCTGTAGTATTTACGCGAGGCAACAATATGTATATTCGAAAATTGGATTCTGACACGGTTACGCAAATCACGACGAATGGTGGCAAGGACTTGTTCTACGGTGTCCCGGATTGGGTCTATGAGGAGGAGGTATTTGAACACAATAGTGCGACTTGGTGGTCCAATGATGGCAAATATGTTGCTTTCCTTCGCACGAATGAATCCATGGTGCCGGAATTTCCGCTGCAGTATTACATGTCTCGACCGTCAGGAGAACGTCCACCCCACGGCCTTGAGGATTACCCGGATGTACTCCAAATCAAATACCCCAAAGCTGGAGCCCCGAACCCACGTGTCACACTTCAGTTCTATGAAGTGGACAGTGGTGACGTTTTCTCGGTTAACGTCTCGGGAGGATTCCCAGACGACGATCGTCTCATTACTGAAGTTGTCTGGGCTTCGAAGGCGAATGTCCTGATCAAAGAGTTCAATCGGGAAAGCGATATCGTACGTACTGTGCTCGTTGATGTTGCCTCAAGAACCGGCAAGCTTGTGAGAGTCGATAATTTTGCACAAGACGATGGCGGCTGGGCGGAGATAACTGAATCGACTACATTCATACCCGCAGATCCAGAAAATGGCCGTCTAGATGATGGTTATATTGACGTTATAGTGCATGAGGGTCATGACCATTTGGGATATTTCTCGCCCTTGGACAACCCCGCGCCTATTCTTCTCACGTCCGGTCCGTGGGAAATTGTAGATTCTCCGCCTGCTGTGGACCTGAAAAACGGTATCGTCTACTTTGTTGCGACAAAAGAATCGCCAACTCAGCAACACGTCTACAGTGTCAAGCTCGATGGCACAGATTTCAAGCCAGTCACTGACGTTTCAAAGCCTAGCTTCTACCATGTTTCTTTTTCGAGTGGTGGTGGATATGCACTCCTAAGCTACGAAGGGCCTCACATCCCCTGGCAAAAGCTTATCAATACCCCAAGCAACCAGAATGCATTCGAAGAGATTATCGAAGAGAATCAGGAGCTTGCCAACAGAGTTGAAAGATATGCTCTGCCTGCCGAGATCTACCAAAACATCACTATAGATGGGTTCACGTTCCAGGTTGTTGAACGAAGGCCGCCGCACTTCAACCCCATCAAGAAATATCCAGTTCTTTTCTACCTCTACGGAGGCCCCGGTTCGCAGGAGGTCACTAGGAAATTTACAGTTGATTTCCAATCATACGTTGCCTCCACCCTGGGGTATATCGTGGTGACAGTAGACGGCAGAGGAACAGGACACATTGGCCGAGCAGCTAGAACAGCCGTCCGAGGAAAACTTGGCTATTGGGAGGCACACGATCAAATTGAAACAGCCAAAACATGGGGCAAAAAGCCCTACGTGGATAAAGAGCATATGGCCATCTGGGGCTGGAGCTACGGAGGCTTCATGGCTCTCAAAACACTGGAACAGGATGCCGGCCAGACCTTCCAGTATGGCATGGCTGTAAGCCCCGTCACCGACTGGCGGTATTATGACAGTATATACACCGAGCGCTACATGCGCACACCCGATCATAACCGCGATGGGTACGAAAGAAGCGCAATCTCGAATATGTCGGCATTGCAACAAAATGTCCGGTTTTTAGTCATGCATGGCACAGCAGACGATAATGTTCATTTCCAGAACACATTGTCTCTACTTGATAAATTGGACATGGCGAGCGTTGAGAATTATGATGTGCACGTCTTCCCGGACTCGGATCATGGTATATATTTTCATAATGCGCGAAAGATGGTTTATGACCGTGAGTTTAACCCATCCTTGCCGTGACCCGTGCGGGTTCCAAGACGAAAAGAAAATTTTGTTTTTTTCGGAGAAGCTTACGATATACCAGGTCTTTCTTCTTGGTTAGTAAATGCCTTTACAGATGAATGGCATCAGGTTGGCAGTGCTTTACCAGATTCATAGAATCCGTTCCCGCAATATTGATACTTGTATTCTCATCGCCAATGATACGCGTATGTTAGTAGCCATCATGTTTTCATATCATATATGCCAGTGCGTGCCTCAGCATCCAGACAGCGGGTCTGTCTTTAGATAGCATATCATAACCTGAGCGAGGTGTTTCTGGGTAGCCAGTTGTGTTCAGAAATGATGGAACTTTGCCCTATGCCCTTTTTAAGAATGAATAAATATATAAATACACATATTTTTTCCTTCCCCATTCAAGCAAAAATATCCCAACCATTAAATTCATGCACAAACTTCACTGCCGCTTTCAAATAGTAGTTTTCAGGATCATCCCATGTCTGACCCAATTCTTTCAAGACACGCAAGGTCAGCACGAAATGTGTATCGTTTGCATGCGGACCCTTGACTGCTTGCTGCGCGACCCAACGCCAGTCTTTATCGTGCAAATCATATGCAACAACCGGCTTAGATAATTCGATTTCTGGCCGTAACCGAGCCACGTAGATTGCTAGAGTCGTCAGCCACCACTGCTTAAGAAGGGATATAATGAAATTGTTGGGCGTTTGGGGCAGTATTATGCGGATGGCGTGGCTCATTAATAGCGGATAGAGGAGGCATATATCGTGTTTGCGGCTGTTAGCATTATCTGGTTTGGATCTGTTTATTTTTGCTCCGAGGAAAAGTGCCACTGCAGCAGCCTGGCTATCACGGAAGGTTGCTGTTGGGTCCTGGGAGATGATGGTCCAGGCATTGCAATGATTGAGCAATGTGGCTTCGTGGTCACGAAAGATATTGCTTAGATTTTGTTCTCTGGGTGTCCCCAGGACGGTGGTTTTAAGTGTCTGGTCTGCTCGGACTCGCTCGAGAATCTCGAGAATGGAAGAGCTTTTGTAGGAGGGTTCGGCTTGGAAGTAGGCAGCTACATCAGAGTATTTGGCAACGTTGTTGTCGTGGTAGCGAGTCGCAACAAGTGTGAGCGCTTCCATTGCGAGGTCACGACTGGACATTTGAAAGGCCAGCGCGAGGTGTATCAATGGTTGTCCCACTGACAAGTTAGTCAGAAGACACTTTCTGGAGATGATCGTTATACGTACAGCCAGCAGTGATCGAGCTAAATAATGGTTGGTTGTCCGAAAATAGGAATTTCTGGACGACTGATTTCCAATCATAGCCCTCATCCACGAGGTTGTCCTCAAAGAAGTCTAGGAACGCGCGCTCATATCTAATGTTTGTCAGCATATCATTACAGAGCCATAATCTCAAATTGGCATAAATGGGCACAAACTCTTTCTTCCCCAGATAATCCATCCAATCACTGCCAACGACTTCCCCAGGAGCCTCTTTCCACGGATCTAGCGACTTGGACTCGACTTCATATATTTGATTGAGGACCGCATCGTCAGCGCCAAAGAGAAACGCGGAAGTCAGATGCTGGAGGCCGTTAGCCCTGTGGCTTGTACATATGAAAATGTAGCAAAGGTGAAGATCATACATGGGCTACATTGTTGTGAGATGTCCCACCAACCCATAGAGAATTGTTAAGGTGATTTAGCTTCAAAAGATGCTTCAACGACCTGGCGGGTTTCTCCACGGCATTTTCGAGATCATGGGTCTTGGCAGACGGCACTCGAATCGAATAGTTCGATCTCGATGGAAATATACTGCTCAAAAGCGAGGCCATGTTTTCTAATTTATCAGTTGGGCTGTTGGATTGCATGAGGATTATTATGTTGGGGAACAGCCGATAAGATAAAGCCGCCTCCGATAGCGATAAGGATGGCGGCTGTTTGCTCTGTTTGCCTCGCACATCTACGTACCTTCTGTCCCTGGATGCTTTCTTTCACTTTCACGCCACTGCATCAATCAGTGACAGCCCTGCTAGACAGCAAATATCGAGACAGAACCATGGGTCGCTGATTGCCACGACTTGTTGTACACCTTGCCACCGACCGCACTACTGCAGAATGCCGGAGCTGCCTGCCGTCTTCCTCCATGCAGAACTTTTGCCAAATGTTCGCCAGCTGACACTACACGTCTCTCTCCCCAATTCCCCCTCGGATATTGATATTAGGGAATCTTCAATAACGCTGTCAGAATCTCGTCGCGCTATCACAGTCTTCACAACTTATGGCAACAATGATGCAAAGCATGAGTTAGTGGAGACGCTCAAGCTACCAGTCAGAGTCACCGACGCGTCGAGACGAAATCTAAGTTTCGCGGGACATCGTGTTGATACCAGCACTACTACCAGCGGAGATGCACAAAACAATCAGACCGCCGAATACTCGTTTAGGTTGCAGGTTGATGCCCACGACATCGACTTAGTAACTACAAAGCAGGGCTTACAAGAAGATGAATATGTTCCCTGGACCGCGAACGATATGTCTACATGCGTTTCCTTGCATTGCAGGTTCTGCAAGGAATTGATAATCGACGCCTTGAAAGAGTCAGACGTGGCCACATGGCAGTGGAAGGATCTCCCCAGCGCCAACTGGGCGGAGATGATGGATTTCTGGCATTGTCACAAACCCGACGTGCATGTCGACGCGAAAGAGCAACAAAAAGCCATCGAGGACCAGACTGCATCAGTCAAAGGATATGGCGCTTCCAACAGAGTGGTTGCTAACCCCCGGACTGTACTTGTTGATGTTGCCTCTTTTTTAGTGGCCAAAAGTGACTGTCATAATATCAAAACGGTAAGTGCATATACACTCCTGAGGATTATTTCAATACAGTCTTTTCCTTGTCTCTTTTCGTCTCTTTTTCCGGTTACTGTTTTTGTTTTGCCTCTTCGTAGTCGATTGTTATGGAATACCATACCATCGGGTATAAAAGAAGGAGACTCCGTCGCTCCTCCCACGACGAAGTCACCGATACAAATGCCCAATACGAAAGGCCTTACTATCTCTTCCCTAAACACATTTCGCTATACAAGGAGGAAGTTCTTCAATCTTGTAGTCAGATTGTATGTGAAAACGAGATCGGTTAGGAAAAAACATATCTCTCCATTCTAGTATGATACGATATCCTCCTGCATGGAAATTGGAGCGATGGATTCCGGTCTACTGCAATGGGAGCTTGCTCTTTCACGACCGTTTTCTGCTTCACATCAATCTAAACCAAGCTCTTGATAAACTGACTTGTATGGGGAAAATGGTGGGATAGAAGTTTGGTGAGCCTCCTGTTTGCTTTTCACTGCGATACCCGGAGAGTTGGGGTCTGCAGCGATTTTCTCAGGATACATGCAGATAAATAGTTTTCTTCCCTTCAGCATTCAATGAAATTCTTTTCTTCATGAATACAACGTTTCTACCCCTTTCGTCTGGCGTGTGTATATTGACTGATTAAATTTCCCTGAGTATAGCTTCAAAAACGGCCAACCGGGAACTCCCCCACGAAATCTACGCTGTTACACGAGGAACAGAAAGCGAAAAACATAGCATGTTCTGAATGCGGCGCAATTTTAGGCATGGAGGACCCCGTCGCAGAAGGGCTGAGATTGTACAAAAACAATTTTTCTGCAAGACAGCTTGCAACAGGCTCCGCAGAAGAACCGGTATATGAAACGTATGGAGTTGACGTTATTACCAGTGCTCAACTATTAGATCTCGTTGATCATGAGGGTGTACGGCGATTTGTTATCCATGCTGGTCAGTCGGATGGTATTCTGGTGAGTGTCATGTGTTTTGTCTGTAGTTTGATATTAGAGGAAATAGACTGACTTTTTTGACCAGCTTTGGGCTTTTAATCCTGACCTCCGCTACTCGAGCTCTAGCGCAGATCATAGTATTGTATCTAAACGTGCCATGAAGGTTCTATATCAGAATGTGTCTGACGTTGAGGGAATTCTCGAGCCTGATAATGGCGCACCAGCGCCTCTGTCATTGGAAGAGTTGTTCCTGCCTGAGAACATCTATGACGAGCTGGCGCAGGCGCTGCAGTACAGCAATCGCTTATTACCGGTTTCTGCAAGGACCTTTCGAGAATGGAATGTTGCACTTCTGGGTCGTCTCGAGAGGGACGCGTGATGGAGGGTGATGAACTGTATGCTGTCCTATGCATGCTGATTGTCGAGCAGAATCATATGGGCAGCCCGTCCAACATGCAAAGCAAATATTTATTATCTGTGCAACCCAACTTGAGAAAAATGAAAAGGAAATATCGATTTACCGTTGCACATAGCAGCAGTACTACCTGTTTTATACGGCAAGGGAGACAGACATCCATCCCTTGCTCCATGCACATACCCGCCACCATCTTTCAAGCTTTTATCTACGAGTGCTTGGACTACTTGGCGAAGCTTGAATTATTCCCCTGACTAAGTTTGAAGCTCAATAACTTACAACAGGCTCACCTCATATTTGGCCTGTTGTCTACAGAGAAATGTGGCCATGGATTCCGGTTGCGAACCACTGATTTATTGCCATGAAAAAAGTGTATGTCAAGACGACGACTTTCAGGCATCGTCGTTATCAATACTCAGAGAACAAGAACAGCAACAAAAAGAAGAAGAGGAAGGCTTCTACTCCTCACATTATCCATGTTCCTATCACATCGAAGACATCCAAAAAGTTTCAACAGACGAGTTAAAGCCTATTATTTCCCGCCATTCGATATCTAACGACACTAATACAGACACAAAACTGCCTGCTCCAGGGCTTCTCATCTCCTATTCATCATCTCTTACCAAATCACCGGCTGATATTCCGACGACATCATTCTCACACCACGACACATGGGGTAACGCAGACGAAATCCCGACACGCGTGCCAAGCGCGGCACTCGAAGAAGAAGGAGGATTTCCGCCGTTGATTAGGTGTCGCGACAACCCTGCCATGGGGCGGTATCCTGATGACTTTGTCGTGGACATTGATGATTACGATGGCGATGATGACGATGGCTACTACTCTGTATACGACGACGACTCGGTGGTGTCAGAGTGGTCCTCCTTTCTGACTAGTATCGGCAATGAGGCTGAGGTAGACAATGAAAGCAATCTGTCTTACTGCGGGGATAGCGTTGATAGCGATCTTGAGAGCAAGGAGGGTGAATCCTGGTGTGTGATTTCGCAGGCGAGTAGCACCACGTTGCCACAGCGGTATACTACTTGTAAGGAGGAAAAGTCTGTCTTGATTGGATGATGCCATGTTATGATCTGGGTAGTAATTTTTCTTCTTCTTCTAATTGTTGTTTTATTATGGTTATTCTCAGTGATAATCTTGAAATATTGTCATTGTCTCATTTGATATCCTATCTGTATGTCATGGTTGGTGCATATTTGAATATAGACTCGCTATGCCTCAAAAGCAGTCTCAAACGGAGGCTCAGCCTGGGGGGTGATGCGCGCGAGATGACGTCGCTGGCCATTCTCCCAGTCATACAAGGCCGAGTGTGCAGTTACACGATTCTGAAGATTCCAAGGTTAGATTTCATGAACTTTCTCAGAGAGTATAGCCGGAGGGTATGAACTTACATCCCAAACAACAACCGTTCCAGGAGCCCATTTGACACGGATTTGCAGATCTTGCGACAGGGCAATGTGGTCGAATAGAAACTTAAGCAAGGCGTCGGATTCTTCTTTCTTATAGCCAACGATGTAGCGGGTGACTGATACACACATTAATATTAGATTGTGTGGTTCGTCATGGACAGAGATACTTACATTGCGGGTTGACATAGAGTGCCTTCTCGCCCGTCACAGGATGAGTGCGCACAAGAGGATGCTCATGCTTCACAGGATCTCTCCGGACAGTGCTATCTCTCGCCAACGCGCTTTGGGCTTGTTCAAAGCCCGAGTGCACAGCCTTGAGTCCGTGAAGCCGCTTGCGGAATTCAGGCGACAGACGCTCGTACGCCTTGGCCATGTTGGCAAATAATGTATCACCGCCGCTCGTGGGACCGTCAAGCAAGTACAGGAATGTAGTGCCAGGTGGCTGAGCTTCATAGGAGACATCTGAGTGCCACGTAACCGAGTTTGTGTGCTGGTCCAGAAATGACTGGAAGGAGTTATCGTCTGCTCCGCGGTGCACGAGGTGCACCTGTGGGAAGCCCTTGGGCGCTCCGGAGGTAGGGTGAATGTGGTGTCGGCCAAAGTAGCCACCAATCTCAAGAGCCTTGTCGATGGGCAGTCTGGCAAAGTCCTGGTCACGGAATGCTGCGGTTGGGGGGTTGTTAGCAGATGTACTGATATGCATGCTGTCGACGGCCACTGTGTAACCCAAAACGTACCGACAACTTTACGTTGGGCAACAAACAGAGCGAGCTGGTCCTTGCCGGCATCTGAGAGCTGGCTCAGTTGCACGCCGCGAACCTCGGAGCCAATGTATGGAGTGATCTCAATGGTTTGCGCCTTGTCTGCGGGGAGAAGGTCCTTGAACGAGGGGTCGGCATCTTTGCCGTGGTCGTGGTGTTCAAAGGGCGTCCAGGGAGGGTATCTATCAGACGAAGTCAGTGCCAGTATACGATTCTCAAGTGCCAATATAACGTACTTGACGCCCTTTTCGTTGTCCCATACGGGAAGGTAGTTAGGGTACGACGCGGGAGGCTGGGCGGCTGTGCCCTGGGTTTCAGCAATGCTGTTGAAGCCCTTCCTGCCGTCATTGAAGAACTCCTTGTTGAAGTTCTCCTTGATATTATCAGCCTTGGTAGCAGCTGGTTCCCGGATGGGGAGGGCTTCGACTAGAGCGGGGGCCATATTATCAGACAGTCAATGTTCGAGAGTGACGAACATTGACGATAGTCAAGCCCGCATATCTCCTACTATTAATACGCCGGAGTTTAGAGTCACACACCATTGTATGCGTGGATTGCATAATCATCGTTCATCGGATGATCAGCTCATACAAAACCGCCGGTGGATGGCGCAATTTGCATGGCGCTTTGCAAATTGCGTTGGCCGTCAATGCGCTTATCGTAATTTTGTTCTTGGATTTGCGATAATATCCACCTGTTTAAGACTAGTCGATCATGACTCTATCGCGGAGAGCGGAGAATAATTGTATTAACTAGAAAGCAGCCTAATAGATTTGAAGATTCTCCTCGGAGGACGAGGCGGAAAGCTTGACTAGCCCTAAGAGCCTGCATTAGGCAACGATCATGTATGCGTTTAGTTACCGTGCTCAACCTTAGTCAAGATACTACTTGGTGACGGCCGGCGTTGTGCCAGTTACACGCAGATAACCCTAGCTCCATCTCTTGGGGATTGGTCCAGCTAAAAGTTCTGAGAGACCTTCTATACGTGCTGTCACCCCGATCACGACTGGCGGAAACATCAGATTCTATGCGTTCTCGACCCAACCCTCTCTTTCCAGAAGGTCTATTGATTCTCTGAAGACCGAACCTCCAACAAAGCTGTCCACGGAAGAAAAAACGGAGTGGAGTGATAAAATTTCCGCTGTTGTCCAGTCCCTCAGTGAACACCCCGACCTTGAAGTCCCGGAAAGGCATACACAACTATCAGGCCTTCACATTGTGAGCAAATCCACGAAATCTGGCCCAATATCAGAGAAGCGACACTCAGTCTGCTTCGGCGTTTCCACTACGCAGCCAAAAACGATGCTCTCGAAGATGTATTAGTATTAATTAGGCCACAATGCCGGCACTCATTGCCCATGTGAGGTAGATTAATCTCGATAAGAAATCTGTTTAGATCTTTAAAAATGCACGCTATTGACTAGAATCCCCCCCGCCTTTCTGAACGGCCCGATCAATCCAACAATCCCACATTTCCGCTTTCAGTAATTAATAGATCATATTGTCTGGTGAAGAAGTACGTATCTTCTATCGTGAGGCAATAACGTCAACTGCAGGCTAGTTGCGTGATCGCACGCCACTGCCATAACGTCAACCATCCCTGGCAAGTCGCAATCACAGTGCGTTGACCCGCTGCCTGCAGACAGATACGTACATGGCTTCTATGTGTTTATTTGAACCCTACGAGCAATCAGAGGACCATGGCCTATCTCCATGCGGTTTAGCGCCACATGGGAGCAGCATTCTGGACGACGATCAGGGCTGGAGTGATGTCTCCAAGAGTAAGTATCCCAGATAAGAGCTGCATTAGCCTGTTTACTAATGGAGAGCATGTCGTCGTGGCGAGGACGTTGGTTTTTTATGTTTTTTCTTTTTTGCTTTCTTCTTTTCTCTGCTTCCAGTTAGTCGCCCGACTCTCCGAGGTTTGTTCGAAAGAAGATAACAAAATGTCTGGCAAAGAGGGCATCGATCCTGTCTCAGGCCAGTACGTCGTAGGCCCAGGGTCTGACAAGTCCGACGCAGAAGCCAAAGTAGCTACCTCGGTCAGTCCCGGTGCACTGGAAAGTCTGCGACAGCGAGTCGTAGGAGTCGATACCACCTTTGATCAGAGTGAAGACATCCGCTACTACAAACCCATTGAGTCTTATGAGGGTTTCCACCGGTGGGATCCCGACTTTGAATGGGAGGAATGGGAGGAAAAGAAGATTGTGCGAAAGGTGAAAACAAAATCTTTTGTCTCCTGAAAACATCTTGCATATGGATCAGTATGCTAACACCATGTTGACAGATTGACCTGCGAATCTGTACCTTTGCATGTCTTACTTTCTTTGCTTTGCAGTTGGACCGAGGCAACCTGGTCCAGGCTACTTCGGACAACATGTTGTCTGACTTGGGCTTGAGTACTAACGATTACAATACTGGGAATACCATTTTTTATGTGTGCTTCCTCTTTGCCGAATTGCCTTCGCAGCTCATTTCAAAAAGAGTCGGACCGGACCGCTGGATTCCCATCCAAATGGTTTGCTGGAGCTTGATTGCTGCTTGTCAAGCTTTCCTCCAGGGTCGTGGGTCATTTTTCACTTGCCGTGCTTTACTAGGCCTGTTTGAGGGAGGGTTGTAAGTAATATTAATCGTCTCTTCTGATCCCTTGGTGATGCTTTGAAATGGCAAGCTAACAACTGAGTTAGCATCCCCGACACCGTCCTATTCTTGTCCTACTGGTACACCTCAAAAGAGCTCCCTTTTAGACTCACTTGGTTCTGGACGGCCTTTGAATCGACGGCCATTATCGGCGCTTTCCTAGCCTATGGCTTCCTCCACATTCCCACCAGCAGCGGGACAGGACAGTGGCGATATCTCTTTGCTCTGGAAGGGCTTATTACCGGCGTCATTGGGATTTTTGCCGCCTTTTATATGCCCCCATCCCCAACACAAACCGCCGGACGGTTCCGGGGTAGGAAAGGCTGGTTCTCCGAGCGTGAGGAGAAGATCATGGTCAACCGAGTCATTCGCGACGACCCCAGCAAGGGAACTATGCACAACCGACAAGCCCTCACGCCGAAGCTGCTTCTGGAAGCCCTTTACGACTATGACCTGTGGCCAATCTACCTCATTGGTCTTGTCTGGTTGATACCTACAGCCCCGGCCACCAGCTACATCAGCTTGGAGTTGAAATCGCTTGGATTCGGGACGTTTCAGACAAACTTGCTCACAATCCCAGCATATGTCATTTTCATCATTAACTTACAACTCTTCACCTGGCTCACGGAGCGGTTTAATGACCGCATGCTACTCGGTGCAGTCGCTGAGATATGGAACCTGGCTTTGCTGATTGCGCTCGAAGTCCTCCCTGCAGATGTGAGCGCATGGTCAAGATATGTTTTGATCATTCTGATCATTGGAAGCCCGTACTTGCATGCTGCCATTGTGGCCATGACTTCGAGAAATGCTGGCTCCGTACGGACACGCACTGTCGCATCAGCCATGTACAATATGACGGTGCAGGCCAGCAATATCATTGCGGGAAATGTCGGTTTCTTCCCTCTCCCTACCTCCCATTCATAAAGCGAGTCTTGACATTAAAAACCTAGATATACCGATCCAACGACGCACCCCTTTACCGCACTGGCAACAAAGTCCTCATAGCCATCACTTGTCTCAGTCTTGCATTGTTCCTCTTTGCCAAAGTGTACTATGAAACCAAGAACCGGTACGTATTGACTTGACCTGTCGATTCATTCTGAATAGTCTACTAATCACATTCCAATTGGTAGACGACGAGCCCGAATTTGGGATGCGATGAGCAGCGAAGAGCGAGACGCATATCTCGCTTCTAATACGCACTCTGGAAATAAGAGGTTAGTTAGCCCTGCAATGAAAACGGCTGTGCTTGCCACGTTTCAACATTGACGCTAACTAAGTGGCTATCTGCAGACTCGATTTTAGATTTGTTTCGTAGACTGGCTGCTACCTAAGAAGACGATGCTACTTACAACGACAAGATAGTCCCATATCCATATCTCGCATACTTTTTTGGTTTTGATATCGCCGGACTGATGTTGTGCCTTGTTGAATGCATAGATCAGAAAAAGTTGTCCGTTGATATTTATGTTAGATACCTCTTCAATGCACAGTGATATATATATATCTATATTTTTGTCTGTCTCGTACCCTAGCTTTCTTTGACATGCCGCCAATGAAGATGCCCCCTCTTGGTAAATATCAATGGTACAAGACGCAGGCTGTAATATGTCGAATATAGCCGAAGGATAATAGCCTCCGGAAGCTCAAGCTCCGCAAGGTTGTCTAGGTCAATTATGGTGATAGTTAGTTAGTTGTTCAGCAGCATTCTATCGTATCATCATTTTCATTCGTTATATACCAAGTCACTCGCCAATTACATACTCACACCCCTCTGGCCCAATCCAGACTTCATGGACCTTCCCTGCAGGTACATCGATTCTATCCCCCACCCCGAATGTCTCCTTTTTAACTTCGCCATTGTGCTGTGTGGCGTTGTCCTTTGGATACGTGATGGTGAAGGTGCCCCGCCTGATTAGATGTGTTGTAACTCCGCTGTGAGAATGCGGGGAGTAGTGGGCGTTGCTGTACATGTTATTAGAATTTTTTTTTTTTCCAATGGCTATTGCTAATGAGAAAAGTGTATATACCTTGCGTCCGTCCATGTGAAGACATGGGAAAACCCCCACTGTTTGACCATTTGTTCACATTCGGCACGGCTGTGGATGTCATATTTTTGTGTCGACATTTTGAAGCTTCTCTTTGCACGATGCATTATCACTAGAATGATAATCATTAATCTGACTTTGACTTTGATATGACGTTGAGTTGCTCCACTATCTTGTTCCAAGGTTATTCCCGAGCCCAAGCCCACTATGTATTCAGGTATCAATTTGCTTGTTTGGTTCACGGTTAGGACTGGTTATAGGCACTGACAGCTTGAGGCAATCAACCGTCTCGATAGTTATCAAGAGCCAAGTCTGGCATGTTTGGATAATGCGCATGTTGTAGTCCGTACTCCGTACATCCAAATACTTTTGGGCATGTCTCAACTGCATGCGACGTGCGTACTAAACTCCATACATGATGATGACCCACTGTTGCCTACCAAAATCTATACGAATTCGGTTTAGCTTTTGCACGCGATCGAGATCACTTCGTTTCGGCATAGTTCCGGGACGGTGTAGCTCAAGTTGTAGGGTAGCAATAATAATCAATGGGTGTACACCGTTCAGTGTTCTCGTTACCTTGTCTATTTTCGGGATTTGGTTCGGTCTTTGCAAGCCATCCATCCGATTCAAATGTGCGATAAAGTCGACGGCTCAACCTAGAATCTCCGTGCTATAAACGACCCCAAAGCCCGAGAAGACAACAAAGGTGAGTTGCAAACCTAGTTTTAACACATGCTCGAGATCATGCCACTGTTCCTGGTTCTTCTAGAGGAGTGATTCACAGGAAGCCGGACTTTGTATAAGCAGCTTTTTCGAGCATCGATTCCAGCTGAGATCTCCATTGTTCGCTTTCATCAAGAATTTCTACCTTTGTATTCATACAGTAGGCGGTATCCAACGGTGAACCGGGCTTTACGCCGATATGGCCTCTCTTTCCGGCATTGCGACTGTGGACACTAAGACTACCGTCAAGTCAGCCTGTCGCCATGATTGGTATTTTTCAGTACTGAGAACCCAGTGTTAGGCAATAGGATAGCATCGCACCCAAGCGAAATACCAGAGGCGGTTGGTCACTTGCAGGCTGTAACAATTGCAGTCCTGTTTGATTGTTCCTCAGATCAAGGTATTTATGTCGGAATCACCCTCCACCAGACAAACACGGCTTGCCTTCTGCCCTTCAGACTTATCGCAGTCGCGCGTCTGCTTAGCATGAGACTTGAAGGAATGTTGCGTCGCTTCAAGTAATACCAAGGCTTCTTGAGTTCAATCTTAACACGGCTCCCCTGGGCTAATTCGGTTTTCACCACGCGTGTAAGTCGAGTGTCCAAGCCACAAAATACGTTGAGGAGCTCCTGACCTTACCTCACATAGGGGCTTCCAATACCAAACCGGGCAGAGAAAGGAAGACACAAAAAAATACCAAGCATTTCTCGCAGAACGAGGCTCGATCAGTCGCATTATTCGATGATGATGGCCTTCACTAGAAGCAGAACGCGACACGAAAACGAGAGAGAGGAAGAGTGAGAGTACTTACCCTCGAGCGCTGGGTCGCCACGGCCGGATGGGCAAGCGCCTGCCCACCTGACTTGCCGTTCTTCATCATCAATTTTTCATTCTGAGAACCTCATCCACTCCTCCTCACTCTTGTTACATTACCCTCGTGAGCTTTTTGAACAGATCATATTCCTCTAATAACCGCAGTGCTACTACCATTTACCAATATACTTGAGGAAAATGGCACCGGAGAGTTGATATCTTCATTATAATCAGACGAAACATTCAAACATATGGAGCCAACCAAATGACAAAATGTGTGCCAACCATGCTTGTGATACACCATGCCACAACCTAGCACCTTCAATCACCTCTCATGACAATGGCTATCCATAGATGCGCGCGTCCCGTGCTATTCCTCCTCTTCTGGGCCGAATATATCCTCGTCGTCTGCTGCACTAGTAAGTATCCTAGCTTGCTGGCATATTATATCCCGAGTCATACAGTCTTTCAACAGAGAGCATTGAGTCCCACAGATGTGGCACGTCTTTCCAGGAATGACCCAGGTCTCTTTTCCTTGTGCATCGCAGGTCTTACAACGTACACCGGGCATCTTGACACAGAATCATACTAATCAGCAGAGAGAAGAAGTGACAGCAGGCCGAGGTCAACTCACTGGGACAACAAGAGGAGCCATGTCCAAGGTGAAAATCGGCAATGGAAATCTACGATAGCTGCAGGGCATATGGCCCTGAACCATTTCAGCTTCGAATGAGCCTCCGTGCAAAGCATGAAAGGTATGCATCATGGCAATCGGCTTGAACTGATATACTCGTGGAATGTTATAGGATTAATTTTGAAAGAAAGAAGTGTTACTCGTTATGATCAAAATTGAAGTGGAATATCAGATGGTTTATATACGCCATTGAGAGGGTTGCTCAGTCACTGAATCAAGTCATGGAATCCCCACCGCCTCACATACATGATATTTTGAATATTGATATTGATTCAACTTACAATGTGGGACAAATCCCTGTTACCTCGCATTGCATATGTTCAAAAGTGTGCATATACAGTCCACGCCGTCCAGCTGAACGTATGTTGGGTTGCTTCGGTTGCGACCTCGCTTATTTCCGAGCCCAATGCAATGTCAAGATGCTCTAGCGGCGTCGATTCAGCCATTATTATTAGGTGTTGGTGAAAAGGTGTCTAACGATCGAAGACTAGATCCCTCACTAGTGTTCGTTCTTCGAGACACTGTGGCATCGCGTAGTGCCGACAACAACCACCAACCTATTGATGAAGGGAGCCAAAAAAAAATATTAGAGAAGATAAAGCACAAATTGAGCTTCTGATAGGGTGGATACCATGCATAACTGCTTTGAATATCTCCTAGAGGTGAACAAGCTCGACTAGGTCGAGAGGACCACTCCACCGGTCTCATTCGGTCTGCTAATTCAATTACCTATTCTTTTAGCGTTGACAGAATTTGTTACAATTGGCCACTAGGCATGAATGGAATTCTCATGGCATTTGACTAAGCGTCGCAGATCGTCTTGTTATCTATGCCATCTGTTTAGATACAGAACATTGGTCAATCCATGACTAAAAGTTGGACAAAGAAAAAAAAAGAAAAATCCGCCGCAGACTATGAAATTATCGGGACGCAACTTGACTTGATTAATGCTGGATATTACTAAACCTTGACTGAAAAGAAGCGGATATAGAAAGCCGAGAAGAAAAAGGGTTGATGGTCAAGGTGAACACATGCGCACAAGTTGACTACAATATCAAGTACTTAACTGGCGCATCTTTTGAGTTCGACGGTGACAGAGATTATGCTGCATTTTGGGACTGACCTCAAATCAATTCGGCCAATTAAGTCCTTGCATCAAGGGGTATACTCCATGTGTGTCAAGAGAACCTTTTGTTTGGATGTATGAGACTATGCTATTTCTCCGATTTTTTGCTGTCCAACAGCACACAAATTCTCGACGGCGGCAAAAGTGGCGCTAAGCTACAGTGCAATGTGGGTGTGAAGCAGACCGTGGCTGTATCGGCAACCACTCGGGTTTATTTTCCACGTCATTCACGAAAGACGATTCATTTTTAGAGATTATGCCGACCTTTTTATTCCAAGCTTTAACTGGAATCGACTGTCTATGGTACTTTCTGTTGGGATGGGCCAGACAGGTTATTTCAGAGGACGAGCTCGTCCGTTTCATATTCGATCTTCTACGATACCTGGGAACAATTAGCTACTTCGTGAACTGTTTATTAGCTGAAGCTAAACACAGTTGCAGTTCGGAGTGAAAATATTAGAAGGTAATTCTCGGGAAGCTACAACAACATTGATGACTTCAAGCTTGGAGGGATGTGGTGCCAATTTGCACTACGTCTAGGAATCAAGCAATGTGACGGAATACCTCGGCACCATCTGTACTTGTACTAAGCTTGCCTGTAAGAAGTCTCAGCTTGATGGGCCTAGTACACAATTAGTAGGAAATGACATGAATGACACAGGGGGAAGAGGGGAAAGTGAGAAACTTCCGGAGACTAACAATGCACTCCAATATCTAGTGCCAGTTCATTTCTGACGCATGATACAAGAGCTAGCAATCGTCAAGGCATACTAGTCATGTATGTTCTTAGTTTGGGCAGCTATACCGGCGTCAGATACAATCTGCATTGCGTAGGTAAGGTGCAGGCTAAAACTAACCACGAAGAGGCAACACGATTTTTAGGATGTCATTTCATCATAGTTGCCTATCATTGGTAATAACGCATATATTCGTCATCTACACTGGCTACTCAGAGCATGCATATTGCATTTATTTTCTGGCCCTGCAGATAAAAAGTCTCGATAGGGGTGCCGCGACGCCGCTTCACACCGTCTGACTAGAAACACTCGCAATGAAGGAAAGTGACCAATAAGTGTGAGACTGCCACCTCCATGAAGGTCAAGACTTTCCTACCACCTAAAATTGTTTTCGTTTTTGCTCTCTAATTCGTTGTTTAGCTCGTTACATCCATCATGCTCTGGTCTCATTAGCTTTCCCACGGAAGGGTATTTATTATTCTATAGTGACAATAAAATTGTTATTTCCTTTCACAAATGATGATCGATAATCCGGCAAATTCACGATACCAACCCGGCTCATTGATGCACCTCGCACTGACCAAGCTGTGCCTAGAACAATATACTTTCCAAATCCACGAGGCAAAGCAACCCGACAAAGCAGGGTCCGCCGACTATAACCAATGATGACACTATTATACTATTTGGTTTAATGTTCTAGTGGGCAACTATAATCGGGTGAATTAAGGCAGAGTGAATCTCCGATGTCGAACCCACTTGCAAGGAGTATTTTCCCTTTCCATCAAGCCCAACGAAACATACTTCCGGCGGCTCATCAAGCTATGTTGTCCGTAACTCCGAAATTCCTCTAGCACTAACTATGTAGCGAATCCAGTGATCGTCTTTGAGATACACCAAAGAATACATTTTTGAGTCGACCCAATCGGATGCCACTCGGAGCGGGTACGGAGCTGCTAATGAAGGGACTACCGACTTAGTTTCAACTGCGTTCCATGGTTCGATCTGCGGGAAAGGTGAAGGGAAAGCACCCAGCGTTACATGGTACGACTTTGTCGGCGGTTCCTTTGCATAACAGACTCACGGTGCAGAATTGTCTAATCTACGTGAAGGCGAAGGCCAAAGCATCTGAACCGACCTTCTCTTGTCCAGAGAACGGAAGATGGGAAAAGAATTTTGATAGGTGGACACTGCATAATTGAGGGAGCTGTCCTTGACGGTGTCAGAATGGCTATTTCGATAAGAGACTAAGGGGTGGTGAGCGGCAGGAAGCTGGATCTCCTGGTATGATCACACCCCGTTTAGGGTTAGGGCCTTGATGACATCTAGAACGAATAGGAAGTTGAATGAAAAGAACATCGCGTAGCACGGCCTTGGCAGAGCTTTATTTTTAAAGAGCGGTTGCGAGATGCTCCTTATGTACAGTCTAAAAGCCCTTTTCCTTCGGAGTCCACTATCCGGGATCCAGTTTACAGCTCACAGTTTAGCTAGTATGAAAGTCTACGCGGTCTTTGTCTTTCTAGCGTTGATAATACATTTTTTCCAAAAGAGTCTTCAGTCGAGATTGGTTGCTGTCCATATAGAGACGCGAGACGTGCATGGAGGATGTTGATAGTTTGCTTAAGGATAAAGCCATTATCTGAGGACGCACTGCTAGGATAAGTAACGACTTTCCTCGACTAAAAATGCAAGAACGAACACCCAAATTAAGACAAATATCAGGCGTCCAAAAGAATGCGTGGCTGTGAGGGCCATGGGCTCCGCCGACCATTCTACGGCGTTGTCGTTGACCAACTTGTGGTTATCAACTAATATCGGCCACCTGAACCCCCAGGTCACAGTGTGGTAGTACAATTAGAAAAAGCAATGGTAGCGCTATCATATTTCCGTGTTTAACTGATTGGTAAAATGATAATTTCTGTCCATCGCCAGCGCAGTGCTACCGCCCTTTTTGTCTTCTGCGACACTAAGTTGGCTGTTCTCTGCACCTTCATCTCACTTTACTAAGCGCTATTGCCGGCTCTTTTATCCTAAAATATCTTATCAACTCTTCGAGAGGTGAGCCGGATCAGAATGCTATGGACCCTCCATTCATTGTCTTGTAGGGTTGATCATGCGGACTTGGGATAAGGTAGGTCCCAGACCATACTTCCCGGGTCATATTCAGGCTGCTAAGGAGTCGACAGACAGCAATACGACAAAGTACTTTTGACATGGGGAGATCGTTCTATACCTTCGAGTACCAATCTTACAACCGTAATTTCTGAAGAAGGAAATACCGCCCTAGGTACCGACGTTGCACAATCGACCATTATGCATTGTATACAACCCTCAACCGGCAAGATAGCATAAAACCCCATTGATTGCCCGTTTGATCTGTTTCTTTACTTCCTAAATTTCATGCAGAGGACGAACCATAGTCCCAATTTAAATCTAAACCGCATAGCCGGCTTGCTCTCAGATGACGCTTGACCATTCATCCCTAAAACCAATCGGCTTCTACATCCGTGTAGTGGATGCTACAAAATGACGATCTTAAATCAGGAAATTAAGTCACATTGTAAATGTATTTAAACACTTGACCTCATGATGTAGTCTACTGGGAAAAAAAAAAGAAATATCTAGCCTGCCGCCTCTTTTAAAAACCTGGTTCTCGGTAACATGCAGGTGGACAGCCGAAAAAACTATACCTCGCTATTTCCATTCATGTATTTCAGAATTTCCCGGTTTTTCCATGGTTGTAGTGCATACGACTGCATGAATAGACATACCTGTATCTGGGAATTTCAATAGAAAGCCGACCAAATGAGTTGACCTAGATGATGGGGGCTGTATTTTCCCAGTCAAGATGTACACTACTTTCGCATTCTTTTTCATATTATCTTCGCTCTTGTATATAGTCGAAGATTTTATTTCGGGCCGATGCAGCAGGTCACACCTACGTACTAAGGATAGATTTTATATCCGGAAAAAGAAAGTCATATCTTTTGTGGATCTGCAGGAAGGCTGTAAACATGAACTCTTCTTACATTAATCTTTTATGTACATATATATATATATCCATGAATATACTTCAAAATAAAGCACTTGCACGCTGATATCATCTGCAACAATCGTGATCAGAGTCATGACTTCAGGCTGCACCTAGATAACCAATCCCGCCACGCCACATGGACGAAATCGCCCTCAATAAACTCCTCAGTGCATGAACGATAGGTGCTAATCTATTTGTGGATCATATGTGCCGGTCAATGGCTGTTCGACGAGATTGTTCAGAATCCCAGGCCTATCGAGGAATGGGAAGAGAAAGCCTGGAGAGGAGGCCCGCTTTATACATGGCCCATTGTTGGGATGGACAGGGGGAAATGTTGGCAGAACGGGTTTACTGCCGCTGTCGAGAGCGCTTCCACCACTGACGAGTGTAAACAGAACACGCTCAAAGCTGCTCGTCTGATGAATGCTATTGCGAGCGAGTGTACGTGGTGGATCCTCGGGCAAGTTCCCTTTTTGCAGTTCGTTGTAGGCAGCGTTGATTGAGTAAGAAATTGTATGTTAGGTGTTTGGATCATGATGCTCCTGGCCCATCTCGAAAGATAAACTTCATCCACCGCGAGATCAGCAGTAGCATGATTTGCATGATTCAAACAAGCTGTCGCTACTGAATAATATTTTGGATTATGCTTAAAGATTAACTAGCTAGGGCTCTGAGTCATCCAATAAAGAGAAAACGTCGCTGAGAGACGGATTTCCGAATTCCAAGCCCGATACATATCTAGTCTCCTGTATCCGAATATCATTGAGGGAAATGAAGCCTTCTGGACTGTTCTATAGACAATACAATGTAGAGGTAAACGAAAGTCAAAAAGCAGTTTCCTACTTCCTATTGTGGCAACTACCCCTCTTATGCTAAAGTTAACCTAGGGCTAACTCGATCATGTGCTTAATAATTCTACGTGTAACTTAGTTAGTTAACTAGTTAACTAGTTAGTAAGTTATCTAAGTTCGGACTACATTAATCTATGTCGTTACGAAATCAGTGGCATATGAAGATAAAATATCCATCCGCCTGCCATCCAGATCTTTAGCAGCGTTCAGCCTAATCGCAGTTCACCATGGCAGACCAAACCGAACCAGTGCATTTCTTCGATCTTACGAGTGCTCTTGAAGGTACCCAACTAGCATACATACATACATACATACATACATACATACATACATACATACCCCGCCATAGCTCAGTCCAGATCGCTAATAAAAAAGCCAGGACCACGCCAGTCATGGTCGCCCAACACGCTCAAGACTCGCGCCATCCTCAACTACAAGGGAATCAAATACACGCAGTCATGGATATCCTACCCGGACATCGCGCCCATATCCAAGGCCCTCGAGATCCCCGCCAACCTCAGCGGAACCGTATACTACACTCTGCCAGCCATCGTCCATAAAGCCTCCGTCTCCTCTAACCCGCACGGCGCCATGCACGACTCCTTCCCCATCGCTCTTCATCTGGACAAGGCATTCCCCGCGCCCGAATATCCCTCCATATTTCCCAACGGCCAGGCCAGCATCGCGCTCGCAATCGCCACGGAAAAGCTTCTAACCGCGTCCGTTGCCAAGTTTGTGCGCATGCTCTTTGCCGGAGTGTCGGGCATCCTCGATGATAGAGGGAAAGAGTACTTCTCAGACACCCGTCTCCCGCGCTTTCAGACTCGATACCCAGACATACAGTCAATGGCGGAATTGCGGCCCGCGTCGCAGGAAGAGTGCGACACTATTGTGGCGGACACGAACAAGGAGCTTCAGATTTTTTCGACTTTGTTGGAGGGCCAGGCACAGAATGCCGGTCCGTTTCTGGAAGGTGAGAAACCTGCTTATGCGGACTTTGTGCTTGCCGCGTATCTTGCGTGGTACGAGAGGTCGAATCCGGAGGTATTCGATGCGCTTCTGGAGAGTAGTAATGGTTTGCTTCGCAAGCACTGGGAAGCATCGCAGCCTTTTATCAATGGTCAGGGTGTGACTATAGACTGGGCGGTTCCCAAGCCCTAGGTAACAAACCAATATTTTCACTCTGAAGTACATTATAGTCTGACAAGTGTATATATTTGCTTATAATACAATAGATAGAATGTTCTTCAATGCAGCCAAAAGAGAAAATGAATAAAAAAAAATGCCGGTGACAACAATGTGCGGACATATCTTACAATCCACGCAAGAAGTTGGACTCGCGTATACCTTTCCTTCTCGCCTCCCTGGCGCTCTTCGTAATCTTCTCTGTCTTATCCAGGCCAGCCGCAGCTTGGGCGATAATGTCCTGGGCTCCGCCCTGTTGAGCATTGTAGTCGGCAGGCGTGATATCCGTAGATTGCTCGTGCAGTGGAATTTTGCGGGGCTGGGACGCTGCCAGTGCAGCCATTTTCTTTTCGTGGCGCTTTCGTTGTTTCTTGTTGAGAGCTTTGAAAAAAAAAAAAAAATCCTAGTCAGCCAAAGAGCAGAGTAAGAGTACTGGATAATAAATTGGTAGAACATACAGCTAACATCAACACCACCGGATTCATTGCTCTTCTTCGAAGCTCCATCGAGTAAACCCCACAGCCAATCTGGATATTCATGATCTTCCAATGCAACAACCTCCGGCTTGTTCTTGATATAATTGAGGCCTTTCATCACGCTTCCCGCGACAAGGCTGCTGGGTTCGTGAGCAACAGCAGCTGCTTCAGCAGCCGCACCGGCCTTGCCGGGGTTAACCCACTTGGGAGGCTGCGGGACGCCATCTGTAGGTGTGCTCAAAGGTTGGGAGACGCCCGGCGTGGCTGACGATATGGCAGATGGGAAGGAGACATCTCCGGCACCGGGCTGTCGGGGAGCTGGGGGAGAGGACATGGCGGGAGTATTAGGCGTGTCTGTACTCGCGCATCGAGATTGGGTCTTGAAAAGAGCGGAGGACACGCATGATGAAGGGGTGCGAATGGTGTGGTGCTGAACTTGGATTCGGGAGAGAAGGTGAGTACGACAGCGTTGGCAGATCATCGTGAATGACGAGGGATTGCACTGCAAGGCTGGCAATTCAAGGTAAATTAAGAACTCAAAAAAGAAAAAAAGGTCTCGAAGCTTATATCGGTCAACAAGTCGCAATGGTCAACATCGAGAACAATGCTTTGCAATGTTCTGCCAGCGAAAAGTTGCGGAATCAGCTTTGCGGAATGGAAAACTAAGTCACGTGCATCATGACTAAGCACGTCGCCCATTCACCGCGTCAAAAGTGAAACGAAGATACGCGATATTCAATTAATGTGCTATGCTATCACTAACTCGCCTTGATTAGGTTTCTTACAGTTTCCACCGAATCAATTTCTTCCTCGCCGACCGCTTTCCTGAGAGCCTCAACCGTGATGTTCCACAACGTCTCCCGCTCCTTCTCATCTTTCCCCAAGGCCGTATATTCCTCTGGCGCGCATCCCTTGTATGACCTCAAGACCGAAAAAATAGGCGACCAGAACTGTGCATGTGTACCTTGTTCTTTCACAAGTTTGCTGCCAGCCAGGTAAACCTGCGTCTTCGCAGAATCAAGCGTGGAATTCCCAATTGCGACATCCAAAGCCGAGCGGATCATGCGCTCCGCCGTTGGGTTGACGGCTGCTTGATGGCCAGTGCCCAATGTAGTGCCAATGGCATTCCCCGGGTGACAGCTGTTTACGTAGACATGATTTACGTTACAATTCTGGCGTAGACGAGTGGAGAACTCGAGTACCGAATATACCGCTGCTAGCTTGGATGCGGCGTAACGCGTAAATGCATCTGCGATATCTTTCAGTGTCTGCCCATCATTCGGAATGGGCGTTGATAGCTTGTCGTAGTCTAGCTTGGTGGCAGCCTTTTTGTATGCATTTGAGTTTGTGAAGACAATGCGCCCATCTTGAGTTGTTTCTGCGGTGCGAGCGATCAGATCTGGGGATGCAAAGGCGTCAATCATGGAAGAAAAGCTGCAAAAAGAAAGAAAGGGCGCCCACCTAATAGCCCCATCATAAATGCAAAATGACCCAAATGATTCACCGCAAACATCGTATCAAACCCGTCTGGGGACAGTTTCTGCATCGTCGTCATCGAGACACCTGCGTTGCAGACTAAAATGTCCAGTCTTTTTTCTGTCTTCTTGAATTCCTGAGCAGACTTCCATGCGTCTTGCATCGAGCTGAGATCAAGCTCATGGAATCTGATTCTTTGTTCTTCATCGTAGATATTACCGTCAAGTGCGTTCTTGTCCAGCAGTGTCAGTCGCTTGCGCGCTTCGGCGACGCCGGCTTGCGTGCTTTCGCTGCTGCGCGAGGCTATGTAGACTGTCGCGCCTTTGGAAGCTAGGTAGATGGCTGTCTCGAGGCCGATGCCATTTGCGCCTCTTGTAGTCCGAGATACATGTTAGTAGCTAATTCGTTTCTTGAAAACACCATGGGTTTCTTTGGTAGATGTGAAGATAAGATGGGTTGTTTACCCGGTAACGATTGCAACTCTGCCGGTCAGGTCCGCAATGGAGGCGAGGAAGTCTTCTTCCTTCATCTTCACAATACAGGAATAGCAAACAGTGCAGAGGAGATATTCTATGAATTCGTCCGAGCTCTGACGATCCTACGTCACTGGAAGGGACTGGTGGGGCAGTTTTGCAGTAGCCCGATTTGGCATTCAATATCTACCACATTCAGTTCTCGACGATGCATATATAATGTTCATGCAAGTATATTCTGCTAGATAAATGCTAGTAAAGCGACATAATTTACAAAGATCCCGACTCTACGGCCGTCTTCTCTCTGATTTCTTCATCAAACACCGGCTGCTCAACGGCAGCCTGTCCAACGGCAACTCCATGAGTCAATTCCTCGAGGCCATGGCGCGGACCAGTGAAGTTTTTCCTGCCGTCAAGTATCCATTGGAACAAGGAGATAAGGAGGACAATGCCAAGGGCAGCAACGCAGTAGTCTGGAAGAAAGTACCAGTCAGAAAATGTCTCCCCGTGAACAAAAGAAAGGGAAGGGATTGGGGAACGTACTCATGTTGCTTGCTGTCGTGGGCAGGTCTGGTGGGAACAGGAAGAGAACTGTAGTGAGGATGATATATACAAGAGATATCTGTAGCAGTCAGCACTCTGGCCATTAATACGGTAGGATTAACAAAAGACTCACGATATTCGCAATCCAGGCAATTGGCTCAGGCATCTTCCACGGACTGTGAGCAATCATCTTACGACCACGGAGAACATTGATCAAAATAGGCATTCCGTAGGAGATATCGAGCGCAACGACGGAGGCGGAGATGATGGCATTGAATGCGCTGTTTATCAAGTCAATCAATTTGCCTCACTTTTCAAAACAGAAAGGTTTAGTGGAAATACCTAGAAGAACCGAGGAAAATACAACCGAAGATTATGACGAGAAGAGTAGTCAGGTACAACGCATTCAAAGGCACGTCCAGCTTTTTGTGCACTTTAGCGAAAAACGGGGACGCCGGGAGACCGCCATCACGAGCAAAGGCGTAAACCATGCGGCTGGAGGTAGTCATGATAGTGACAGCTGCGAAAAGCAGACAGATCAATGGGAAGCTATTCACACAATCAGTATCTGGCTGTGGTGGATGTCGGCTGCTCAAGATTGTGATGTGCTTACATCAGAAGACAGATAGCGCCGGCCTTGTTCTGAGTTGCATTATAGAGGATCTGTAGCAAAGGGCCAGCGGAGGATGAAATGATTGTGTCTATGTTGCCCGGTACGAAGAGTAGGACGACGAGGAAGATAACGCCAGTGAAAGTGCCGATGCAGACGCAGTAAACCATGATCTTGGGTCCTTCGATGGCGGCATTTGGGATTTCTGTGTTTGTTAGTATGATTTGTTTTGCCTTAAGGGTTGTCACTCTGACCTTCTATCATATGGGCCACGGCATCCTGTAATAATATTAGCATGGAATCAAGAAAGGAAGTAATGAAGCGAGGGCCTTACGTATCCGGTAACACCAAGACCACCTTGAAGCAACTAATCATCACGTTAACACTTCTTCCAAGCACGAATTGGTAGAGTACATACCCCAAGCAGCCAGGCAATCCCATCTGGCCAACCGGTCTCATTCAAGAATTCGGTGAAAACAAATCTGCCAGAATATGATTAATAAAAATAATAGGAATATGAGAATGGATATCTACTTACTTCCCAGAGTTGTAATCTGGTGAGGAACAAGCCAATACGGTGATAGAGACAATGACAAAGCCGGCAATAGACCAGATAACTAAACCATTGCATCGTCAGTATCTTTAAAAAAAAAAGGGCAGTCTCCATTTTTGTACGTACAAGCCGCTCGGGTAACCATCGGGAGGGTAGAGTTCATGAGCGCGTTAATAATGAACGCGGCGATGTTGTATCCGATATATATCAGGAATTGGTGCCAACGTTCAGAGACGTAGCTCTATACCCTGTCAGATCTGTTTCATTCCCTCTATATGGTATGATCTTCGGTGTTATGTGATACATACCGGATGCATCAAATAGATAACTCCAATGATAAGTTCACTGGCCAGAAGACCAGCGGTAGCAACGAGGGCAACCTATCAATTACTTATTAACAAACATCTTTATTCTCCGGTGTGTTGCAGACGTACCCATCCCGCGACATTGATCCAGCCAGTGATCCACGAGAGAACTGGCACCCATTTCGGCCAGGAGACTGTTTATATTTAGCGATGCCGGTATTAAGGGCGAATCATTTACTTACTAACTGCAAGAAAGGTTAGCTGTTTCCAATCAATAAAAGACCATATAAGAACCAAACTTACCAGCGACCCAATGATATTGACCGCCCGCACTAAGAACACACAATATTAGACTGGACTCAAGACCGCAACAACAAGAACACAATAAACTCACGTAGGATATGTAGACAAAAACTCGGCCAGCGAAGCAGCAATGCACAAGTTGCAGAAACCGGCGGTAACCAGACCTAGCGACAAGTACCTGAGTTAGTATAACTACAGAACTCTCGCAATTTTTATGGTTGACGTACCCCAGACGACACTTGTACTCCCTCCCGACGGCAGACTGAGCGACAAACTGGCTGAAAGGGCAGTCCATGACTATGCGATCGACTCATCAGCTTTGGACTTTCCATTTCCGGATCGGCAAATTGTTGCCATGCGAACTATGTCTTGCTCGTGTTTCAGGACGAGAGGGCGGGCGCTCTCACATTCAGAATGGCAAAAGCAAGACCCAGCATTGACCTGCAATAGTTCATTCACATTAGCCCGTGTCCATACTTTCGAATCAAGATGTGATTTATATAAATTATATAAAATAGGTACTCACAGCATAGAAAAGTTGCGCTGCAACTCGGCCTTGTGGCCCAAGGCAGCCAATTGCGCATCATCATCCACTCGGTCCGGCATATTGAAAAGTTTTATGTCGAAATATAATGTAGAGCAGACGAAGAGAGAAACAAAAACAGAAACGAGAGAAAATCCTCCAGCTAAGCTGTTGTTATAACCCCAGCAAGCTAGACTCCGACCAGGCAAGTCGGCGCGTTGCAGTCTGTGATTATAGGATTGCATTACATGTACCCTTTACCCATCAGGATCCATAAATGGCAAGCTTCTTATCAGCGATCCGCCCTTGTAGTACGGTTCCAACTTACGTGTGGGCTGTCCTATAAGATCCTAACTAGCAGAGTCGCACTCGGCACTCGGTGCTGTGAGCCAATCGAAGCGCTTGCTGTCGGAGCTGCGGGCGTATTACATGCTGGCTAGCTGCGCACGCCGTACTCCGCGGTGGGACGAACCATGTATACGAATGCATTACTAAAGAAAACACCATGGAAATGCATGCATGGATCTTGAGAACTTGACACGCAGGATATGAAGTAGTAGATATATGATATTTCCCTGGGAAGAATGAGAAAGAAAAGCGACCCGATGTGTGGTTAATATATATTTATAGTTATGCAGCTGGATTATGCTTTTGTGGGGGCGGCGCGCTAGTGCGCCACCATTTCTTCTGGAAGGATCATCGAAGGATTTTAGTGAGATCATGACATGTGGTGTGCATGACAAGGATATATAATTAATTAGAAAATTTGTACTGTTCTAAGATATAGTATATACAAACATTGCGTAGCCTCGTCAATCCACATCATTCGACCTCAGATGGTCCGTTCTCACCACATAATCATCCTCCATGCCATCCACATCCGCCTCTTCGCCAACATCATACGCCTGAGAGTGCACACTCTCACCACTGCGCGAGCCCGGCTGGTATCCGTCAAACGAAGAATCCGAGTCTCCCTCGCCTGCAACTGCCGGCTTGCTGCTCTTGCCTTTGCCGCTTCCAGACGCTACCCGCACAGTCTTGTTTCTATTATTACTACTGGTAGACGACGTAGTGGCAGTAGTAGTGCCTGGCTTGGGGGTTATGCCGCTGCTTCTATAGGCATCGCCATTCACAACAATCTCGCTGCCGGGACTGAGACCGTCGATAGCATCGGCAATTGTTCGAGGTTGCGATGATCCTGTTTCCTGCGTGCTAGACGACTCGAATGATCGACGGATGCGTTCGAAATGCTCAAGTTCCTTAGCGCTGTTTATTGCTAGTTAGCCAGATTGAACCACGCATCTGAATACTAACTAGGGGTAGTACTAACCTAACACTAGCGACAAGTTCGTCCTGCGCATCCGTAAAATCTTCTTCTGTCACCATAACAGCAATATCATCCGGCGTAGCAAGATGGTCGAAATAATACGCTGTGCTCACGGGGCCATCTGGCAACGCCTTGATCTTCTCATCCACACACGTCGCCTGTCGCGTAATGGCCTTGAGCATCGCATCCGAGCACAAAGCATACAGGTCCGCACCGGTATATGTGAAAGGCAATCGTTGCGCAATTCGCGCCAGAGAAACATCCGGGCCAAGTGTGAATTTCCGAGTAAGCGCTTCCAAGATCTTGGTTTGCTTTTCGTGTGTGTCCGACACGCCCAAGTACAGCATCTTATCAAAACGGCCGGGACGCAGCAAAGCGGCATCCAACAAGTCGGGTCGATTGGTGGCGCCAATTACGAAGACACCACCGCCGTTTTCTTCGCCGCCGCTCATGCCATCTAATTCTGCAAGAAGCTGACTGACAATACGGTCCATAACTCCACCACTATCGCCCTGGTTTCCTCTTTTTGGCGCTACCGAATCAAGCTCGTCAAAGAACACCACGCAGGGACGCGCATCCCGAGCTCGCTGGAATACCCTGCGAACATTTGCTTCGGATTCACCAATGTACATATTAAGCAGCTCCGGACCTTTCACGGAGAAGAAGTTAAGTGAGAATTCAGTAGCAATAGCCTTAGCCAGAAGAGTTTTGCCAGTTCCAGGAGGTCCGTAAAACAAAATTCCGCTCCGCTTCTTCATGCCCTTGGCAAACAACTCCGGCCGCTCAAGAGGGAGCTGTATGGTTTCCATAACAGCGTCCTTCACATTGCTCAACCCTCCGACGTCATCCCATGTAACGTTCGGGATCTTGGGCGCACCAATCGCATCTGCGAAATTCTTTCTCGCAGCATCGACGGCCAGATCAAAGTCGGCTTTTGTGACGCATCGCGCTGCATCACCGCCTGCCAATTGGACGTCGCGGAGGCTCACAGAGCTGTCGATAGCATGACGATCATTCGCTGCTCGAGTGATCTTTTCAAGACGATCAAGTTTTGCGAGAGATGCGCGTTCGACAACGTCCACCAAGTCGCCGGCTACAAGGGCAGCTGTCTTGACAGCAACGGCGCCAAGGTCAACGTCAGGAGATATCTTGATACCAAGATCAATAATTGCATTGTGTAAGATGCCCTCTCGTTCTTTTTCTTCGGGCGCGGTCATCTCCAGCTCGTGCGTGAAAAGACTTCGGACTGCTTCTGGTATCTTATCGACGTCGGTTGTTGTTGCAATGGCCACACGTGAGTCTGCAACTATCTCTTTCATAGCGATTGCAATTCTATCAGCGGTGAGTACATCAATATGCTTGATGACTAGAGCTGTGGAACTAGGGCCACAAGCAAATGCTCTCTCCGCCCGAGCTTTCATATACGCTTCTGTTTTGACATCCCCACCATTCGCGCCGCCCTCTGTCAGTATGTCGTAGGCATCGATGGTAAAAGCATGAAGGCCAATGTCTGCACATGCACGCGTAGCCAACGTCGTCTTTCCAATATGCCTCTGAGTTGATGTGAGAAGGATGAAAACTGGAGGCATGCCTAGTTGTATAGCTCGAGGGCTTGTTGCGGCTGTTATTAACTCTCTAACACGGTTCTGAATAGGAGATTTGGAAAATTTCGGCAACTCTGTGATTAATCCATGGGAAAGCGGCACGTCGCTATGTGCTCGAGGGAGACATCTAACTCCAAGCCAGTACTCCCATCCGCTCTTCAAAGTCCCAGGGATCCTGCTGATTATACTACCCGCCTGTGCCATGCGTGTACTTGATGAATCGATAATGGCCACCCCGCCCCATTGGTCGTCTCCATCCTGTTCTTCAGGAGACGGCACGATGACCTGTCCAACCTCGAACCAAGCAACTCCCACCTTTCGAGATGCGGTATTCTCATCATGAGACGAGTCAGGGGCATAGCCAAGCTTTGAGGTCAAATCATCTTCCGCATTGCCACTCTCAGACGCCTTGACGGTAGAGTAAATAGCTCTCCCCAACCCCTCATCGACACTGATTCCAACAAGGTCCCCATTTTTGACGAGTCGTTTCTTGGATTCAAAATATCGTCGCAGACCAGCAAATAGAGCAGGTTGAATGGAACGATCCGAGGACAACGGGGTTGATATCTTGAGAAGAGTCACCTCTTTAGCGACTGGCGGGGACTTGCTTGAGCCTGGTTTTATGCTTTGGTGTACCCCAGGCCGAGCCGAGCCATGCGCTGATGCGAACGGCAGAGGCGAGAGTTTTACATATTTAGGATTGTCTAGGTTGTTGAGAAGTAATGGTGGCAAGAAGACCGCTGGGGTAAGGCGCTGCCCTGGCAGCTGAGAGATGCTTGACCGTCGATTCGACGACGGGCCGACAGCGTAACGTGGTTTTGGAGACGGCAAGCCAGATATCCCGTATACTCGGACCGCACGCCAATTGCCAGACTCTTCATCACCAAGACTCAAACTTCCAAGCGACAAGGACGCAAAGGGATTAGCCTGAGGCTCTTCTGTGCCCTCAATGCGAACCCAGTCACCAGAGAAACAGCCAACTTTGACAAGGGAATTGACATCAACATAGACAAAAGAATCAGTATCATCATCGTCTCTGGGCTTTGGATGTAGTAATTCAACCGAGACTCGATTCAAGAGACCCTCGGCTTTGAATGTTTTGCCCCCGACGCGTCCAGGACGAGCAGTACCAGAGGTAAATGTCGATATAACCGAACCCGGAGTATTAGCCCCATCCATACGGCGGCCACCCGGGCGCGGAGTCATAGCAGACATGGCCGACATTACCCCTGAAGGTTGCTGAGGTAATTGAGGAGCTGCTAATGAAATCATATCATCCAGCGAATCCTCCGAGGAATCATGATCGCTAGCCGCGGATAGGTCGGTCTCGGAGTCGTCTGGCGGAGAGGTACTCTCTATGTCCGTACTACTCTCCAAGGCGCGATCTTCCGCAGCCGAAAAAAATTGCTCGTTTGCAGTATCATCTGCCTCTTCTTCTGTCGCAGGTTTAAATAGGCCCTGTCCATTCAAGGTGTATCCCTTGTGATGGCGAGCTCCGTGGGGACGAGATTGCACCAAAACAATCTTCGTAGTAGGAAGCAGTAAGCCCTGCGCAACGGGTTCGCAGAAAGTTATCTTGGCCGGCGGGGGCGGAGCGTGTGTAATGGGATGCGACGGTAATGGGAGAGGAAGTATGTCTCCAACGTGGACGACTTTTTGATTAGACAACGCCTCGCGGATGGCAGCAGTCAATCGCTCTTCTGCCTCGGCGGCTGCTTTCTTCGTATACCGCTTGGCCTCCATTGCCTTGCCACCTTTACCCCATATCCCATTGATTCCTTGCGCACGAGTATTGAATCCTCCGCCGAACTTGCTTTGCACATCGTCTAGATTTCGGAGTAGATTTCGCTCCACGGTAACGTAGACGGTTTCGAGATGAAGAGGAACCACGTCTAGGACTCGGATTTCCAAAGGCCTTGATGGTTGGATGGCATGGCGTGTAGGCTCGAGCTTGGCTAGGGTTTGGAAAAAGGACTGCAGGTAGTTTGCCGAGGCCGGGAAGAGGACGGTGGAGTGCGAGATTGGGGCGACTTGCGAGCGCTCAGTGGGTTGCACTTGCGCCGGTATAATAGTCCATGGTACATCGTCAAGGGCATGGTATTGCGGTGTGTAGGAAGATATCGCGATATAAAGCGGTCCATGGCTTGGATACTTGCTCAATCCGGCTTCTATAGCTGGTTGTTAGCGTATGTCCATGTGAGTAGCTTGGTAAGATTCCTAAGTTCCTACCAGTTAGGTCGATGCTGGGAAACAGATCAGCCACCAGATCATCAGACAGTACAGCAACATCTCCGCGCAGATGACCGTCGAGAATCAGACGAGCTGATACTGGCCGTCGTGCGCGTCGTGTGCGTCGTGCCCTCATGGCTCTGCGCTGTTTGTGGGCGGGAACGGCTTGAGCCATGGCGGCAGGACACCAACAACGAACTAGGCTTCCGGTTGCAGATGCAGATGCTGATGGCAGGAATAAGAAACAAACTCCTCCATCTCAGCTCAAGCAATGGAGTGGCGCAGACGAGAAAGTGAAGATGAGTCTCTCCGGGGTTGCGCGCGGCAGCTCCGCAGCAGTCACTGGCACTAGCCGAGGTCCGATGCTGCGAGCTGATTGGCCGAAGGCTCTATCTATACGACAACCTCTATAACTATACAAACTATACAATTATAAACAACTTAAGACTATGATTGGAATGATCAAATACAAAATCCAGAAGCTTTGTTACTTTCTATTATATGCCTTGCATGTTTTCAGCATGCTTAATCCCATACAGAGTCCCCCAATGTCTTTCATTTCTTTACACGTATGTATAATTCAAACATAGAAAGAAGGCTGCATAGAAGTCAGACCTCAGGTTTCTTAGTCCGAGTGAACAATTTTCTACTCTCAGGCATGCATTGTACCTAGGTAGTATTATGGATATATTGGCAAACGCGCTTTCGATTACAGAAACTAAACCTCACATTCGCTAACGATATCCACTTACTACCTTACGAACTAGCTTAGACAGTGCATATCAGCCGTCTTGCAATGCCTTCTCTTCCCGAGAGACGAACATTGAAGGAGCAAATTGAAACAGCGAAGTTATTCCACATTCACGTTCGGGCTGGCCCTAACCTTGGAAACAGACGAGTCAGTTTCAGCTAAGCACAAGGAATCAGGCTGCATCAGATGACTCTGCAACCGACGTCACGCAGCAGACTTATGCAATGTTCCTCGTCCCCCGACTGGGTACTGCTTAAGCGCACTGTCAATCTCATTCACCGCTGGAGAGAGAGAGACAGCCAATGCCAGTTTAACAACTCTACATTCCGAGCAATGTAACGACGACGAGGCCAATCATTTGTATGCATGCCTCTGATCTGACGTTAACATACATAGAAAGCACAGGTCAGTCAAATATCGATGCGGCATTACCCGAAATATCCGGCTGCAAGAGGGCAGCTTTTCGTCCTTTGTCATGGCTGTTAATATCAACCATCAATGGTATCGAGTGAGTGTCCGCTGGTAAAGACGAGTAATGTTATCCCCTGCTATACAAAGCTGCTTTTTCTTTTCGCTAAAAAGCCATTGGTCTACATGGGAACCAGTCTATTGGTAGACTTACACGCACCATCAACCCGGTAGCATATCGGAGACGTTAGGTTATGCCTAAACATAAATTTCATTCGCCATCAATTTCCCCTTATCGGACACAAATATGCGAACTCCGACTTTGGTTGGTGATTGAGAACACCATAGCATCAGTGAAAATCATGGCGGTGAGCACTGTTCTTCATCATTGAATCAATCACAAGGCTCAACAACAGTTCCATGGCATCCCATTTGCTATTTCATGCTTAAGAGCATATAATTAGATGCCTCGCAGAAGCCTCTGTCAGGGAAAAAAAGATCTTTGCTTAATTTCGCCACTATCTGGTCGACCAACTAGTGTGCATCGCAACCAGTTCACAATGCAGTGTCCTTGAGAGAGAAGAGAAAACCCAGGGAGAAAAATAGAAAATCAGCGTGGATGCCCGATCCATTGCTCCGGCTCTTTCTACAAGCTCCACGCAAGCACTGCATGGTGTTGAGTTCAGCAATCGCTATCTACATAACATGGAGCCCATGAACTCAGACGAATGAACATCAAACTGTGTGCTCGTCAGATGACTAACGAGATCAAAATCATGTTCCGGGCTATTCCTGGCGGTTTATAAGCTGGTTGTGCAGCAGAATCAGGAACATATGAACATTAGTGAAGCCTGCTCGACCGAGATATTTTCTGTTTACTTCGAAGCGGGTTGAAGTTAGGATTCCTAATCGGCTACGACGATAATATCACCTCGAACTGTTTCTGCTTCAAAAGAGAAGAGCCAACATAAGTGGTTTGTACGTTTTGGGGAAACTTCCTGGACAATGTACTAATAATAACATTGGCCTAGTTTCTTCTTGAGCGTGTTCCACGACCCGTCAAACTTTCATCATGTCTGTGCCAGGACCAATTTTCTTTTGCGTATGTCTATTATTATTCCAGAAATGATAATCTCACAACTGAGGTTTTGAAACTCGAGTAGTGTCAATGCCACAACGGCCCTTCGCTGCTTAGTACACATGCGAGCTGCATCTCTTGCAGTCACCCGTTGTGCGGAGACTGTATAAATCGGACATCTGTCACTACCAAGCATGAGAATGAAAGCAAAGACAGTCCCAACAAGCAAGGCTCGAAATGATAAGAGATTAAAACTCGGGGACGCGGCTTCTTGTCAATCAACCTCAAGCTTTACTTGAAGCTATAGCGACTTTTAAAGGTGGTGGATGCAAACAATATATTTATTTTATTTCATAACCTTGTTTTCTCTTCATCAATTTCAATGTACACAACCATAGCCACTTCTAATTCGTAGATACATACTACCACTCTCCCCCATTTTCAAAAAGCAATATCTTGTCGTTGATTCTTCCGCCTGTATGACGCCAGAGCCGGGAGAGCATCTTTGTGTCCTTTAACTCAGTGTGGACGCTAGCCTTAAGCATAAAAAAAAAGGATCGATCTCACCAAATTCATAACGTTACCTGGACAAGCATAATCTCAGCCGTGTTCATTCCCGCCGGACGCGGCGTATAATCCAAATTGCGATTTCATGGCCGAACAGCGGAATGTGACAATATTCAGTCGGCCAGTTGGCGGGATTGAATGTATTGAGCACGTATATTTGCTTCTGTGTCGTCGTTGCCGCTGTGGTGTAGTTCATAGTCTGTGAGGACTGGGACCACTGTTCTGGTGATGGTGATCCACATGCTGCGCAAGAGCATCTGTCGATGCAACAAAACCATTTATAGATGGAGAAAGTGCATGAGTATGCGATTGTAGAAGCTCTTGCAAGATGGTTGGAAGACTCGACGACGAACAGCCATCTCATTCGAGGATCTACTAATATCATGGAAAAGCCAGGCCCAACGACGCTATATAAGTTGCAATACTGGAAGCTCTCGTGTGGGACTCTGTTAGGCGCGAGACATTTGCGAGTATGTATTCACATCTTGTGGGCCGGATGATACTGGATGGCGTTGTGGATAGTGATCGCCATTATGCTGGTAAGTGAATTATTTTTGTCCCGATCTGACACAGGGCTGCTGTAACCCAGGGACCTGAGATGGAAACCTCAAAGACGCAGATACCATCATCAAGCAATTCAGTAACTATTGCTTTCAAGCCGGACGTGACAAATGCCACTTATTCTCTAGAAAAGGCCCGTGATAAACTCCTTGCTTGCTTGATATTGTCGCACTTTCAGAAAATAACTCTCAACCTGAGGGATCTGCCCACGCACAGGAGATTTTCACCTATAGTGATGTTCAGAAACGCATTCAAGATTCACTATATGAGCCCTTCGAGACATTTCATACACTCTCTGAGGCACCATATAACTTGGGTTAGGGGTATGAGAGCATCTAGGATCATTGCGAATTGAAAGCAAACGGCACCATCATAAGATAGTTTCTCTGATACTGCCGATTATGCAGAAGAGGCGGTTTGAGCTATATTCTGCTCCGACGGTCTTGGTCAAAGTAATACAATTAAAGCAGGGTTTGTGGAATATTGGCTGAAGATGATGCGTCACGAAAGTATTTATCTTGGGGACCGGTGGATCCAAGATCTACTACTCTATCTTATTACAAAAATTAAGATCTAACGTTGAAAAGTATGTCGACTTTGCCCAATTAGCTACGTTCATAGACATTAACCCTGTTTTGTAAAATGACAAAAAGATAATTCACAGGTTTCCTGGATCAGGTCTCCTTCAGCAAAATTCAAAGGGTGTAAGCCATACGCTTTCCGTTCCATATAATGAGAAATAACGTACGGAAGAAACAAATGTTAGCAGTTGTCACTTTTCAATGCTGTCCCTTTGTACTACAAAAGCAGTCCTAGGATATTTTCAATCCGGCGTACTTCCAACTCCTGGGTTGTTGTGCCCGGTTTACGATATACCATTTGATCTACCAGGCCACAGGACAGAATCTCCGATGGATGTGGGTGACTATTCCCTGCTCAAAGCTTTGCGGTCTATAGCGAGTCAAAATGTGGTGAGAGAGGAACAAAAGGGAAAGGAAAGGAATAAGTACTGCGTTGGAGAATCCACGCATTATAATAACAAAACATTCATTTCCCGCCAATAACGACTAAATAATACTTCTCTGTAACAATCTATATTTTTCTATCTAGATAACATGCACCATCTAGGGTCCTACGATGTAGGCTTGTTGCCGGCTCCGTGGAAGAAGAAGAAACAAGCATCCACTTCATTTGTTGATGGTTTGATTCCGAGGGAGGAGTCTGACCATTAGCGGTTGCTTTTCCCAAAATGCATATGCATTTTGGTCCATCCAATCAATTTGAGGCTCAGCAAGTTCCATGTCGAAATTGAAGACCACCTTACAAAGGATCAGGCGCATTTCGATGTTGGCGAGACTGATTATAGGCGAAGAATAGATTAGTATGTTTGGTCCTGAAATGAAAGTCTTGATAAGCATACTTGCGGCCAATGCAATTCCTAGGACCGAAGCTAAACGGCTGGAGTACTTCTTTTCTATCACTTATAAATCGTGGGTCATCCAGATGCCGCTCGGGGATGAATTTATCAGCGTGTCTAAAGTTGGTTTCCGAATGATAATTTGCGAAGTGAGGTATTGATACAATCGTCTTGAAAAAGAAGTGTCAGTGGTTGATACTGAATGCAGAGTCAATACTCACCCCGCCTGGGAGCCAGTCTCCAGCAACAACTTCGCCTTGTGCGTCAATGATACGTGGCAGTCCAATTGGGACAGGAGGATACATTCTCAGACTTTCTGTCAAGACAGCTCGAGGGTATGCTAGTCGGTTGCAGCTCTCGAGGGTAATTTTTTCTTCGGACTTGAAAGCATCCCTCACTTCTGTCTTGAGCTTGGTGAGCGCATCAGGATTTTTCAGTAGGAGATATACTGCCCCCGAGAGAAGGGTAGCAGTGGTTTCGGAGCCAGCTACAATCAAAACTTCGGCATTAGCCTCGAGCTCGCGTTGAAAGAAGTCTTTGGTGCTGCTCGAGTCTTTCAAAATTTTGGCGAAGAAATCTGGACGATCGTTCTGCCGTTTCATTCTGGCTGCAATCTTCTCTTTGATAAATCTGCGGTGATTATCTCTGGCAGCCAAGAGGCTTCTTGAAATGAACATTTCCGCGATTTTGGAAATGCCCGGTATGCGGCGAGCCACACTCACCTAAGTTCCAGCCTTAAGGCCTTTGAAGATCATTTCTATCCATGGATGATACCTAGAGCCTTGGAGGCAGTTGAAGGGCTCACCAAACGCCAGGTCTCCAATGATGTCAAAGGTCGTGTAGTTAAACCAGGGGACCAAATCTACCGATCTGGCTCCATTTTGGGCCACATCGTGCAGGCGTTGGATTAAAAGATTCACATAGCTTCCTATGATAGGTCCCTGGCCACGTAGAGAGCTTTCTGAGAATGCATGTGACAAAAGCCGACGCATGCGGGCGTGATTAACATCATTCGACAAGATGATGTTTGGGTAATCGTCGATAGCCGCTTGATAGAACCGTGCGTCTTTTTGCTTTTGACCGTGGCCCGGTCGAGTACCATAGATCAACTTCCAATCCTCTCCATCTGTCATGATCGAGAGCTCATCTGGTGCAATCCGAACCAAAGGTCCATATTTCCGGTGCATGTCTTTGATCTGTTGATGAAGCCGACCAGATACTACCATGCGGTAATAAGGAAAACGTGTCACTGCCATAGACTTGGGGCCTGGAAATCTAGCTAGAGGGTGAAGGTAGACATTGTATATAATGAGACCAAGGGAATAGAGAGGCCCCTGATTCAGACCTGGAGATTAGCGAGTTTGATATCTAGTTTGAGAAAAGCAATAGTTAGGCAGTACCGATGCAAGCAACAGAGCCAACAAGGCTGGCTGCAAAGAAAACGTTTGAATCACCTCCATGGCGAAGTTAAAGGGAAAGAAGAAGGAAAAAAATATGTTTGAGGAAGATAATAGAGGCCTTAAGCTGCTGTGCGCTGGGTTATTTATACATAAATAACTTCAAGGCCTAGTTCAGTACAATACTTCAAATAATTCCTTGTTATCCTGATAGCCAGTGGACTCAGACTACCACACCTCAAGATCTACATCTTGCAATGCTCACCGAATAATGAAGAGGGCCAATGACGATGCAGAATAGAAAAGTACTTGTGCGAGTTCCGGAATTCGATATGGAAACAGGATCAGATTGTCCTCAAAAAACAAAATCCATCGTTCTATTGTTGTTAAGAACCGAGTTCAACTTCCTAAAGTTCCTATCTAAAATATGTCTCAACGTTAAGTCTAGAATCCTTTTTTTCGACTGAAACTCTCCCAAAGGAAAATTTAAGGCCGCGGTGAAATACACCATCTTTACTCTATTTGGTGCATAACTTGGCGTACATCGAACAAAATATTCCAACTTACATGAAAGCTGAAACGTCACTAGCGTTAGTTAATATGCTAATCAAATGCTTGTGCCAGCCCAGATAATAAGCAAGGTGGTATATAATAAGTAACAGGAAACAGCTGTCGTACAACCATAAAAGAGAAGATGTTGATGTGTTCATGGTAGACGCGGTTTTGCAGTCGTTAAAGACACCGCCACAATCAGGGCCAGGCATGCATATGCATGTGTATGCATGCAAGCACAATAGAAGACAGTTGTTCACTTTTTGTGGAAGCCTGATTGTTAATTCACCAAGGGGGCTGTCCACAAAAGATGTACATATTTGCCATTCATACCAGCAAAAATCAACGCTATCACCTACCTAGGTAGGTAAGTAGTGTCGAAAATGGCACCAACAAGATATTCGCCCGACTACCTAGATATTCTACTAGACAGTATTATAACATGGAACACCTGATTTTTATATTACCCAGTCTTCCCACTCTGCAAAAGGTAGTTTACTATTCGATGGAAGAACAGTGTACTGAAGTTATTGAAATCAATAGAAATTAGAGATCAATAAGATACAGTAGAGAAAGGAACTAATGCTATGATAAATAAATTACCTTATGTATCTAAGCCTCATCATGGCCATCATAGGAGATAGGCTACTCTGTTCGAGTGGACATAGCCAACGCCTAAAAGACTATATTGGCTCTCTTTTGTGTTTCCTAAGTAGTCCTGGTACATACTTAGGTAGTGAAGGAGCGGGATATGCCTGATCTTAGTAGGTGACGTACAATATAGCAGCCTTGCTGGTGCTCACATATCCTGCTGCTTCTGGGCTCGCAGCAATGAATATTTTAGCTATGACGGCCACCTCCGAGCAATCGATCTATACCCTTGAAATGTAAAACGACATGTTTATGTTCTGTAAAGTCTAAAGGTGTGAGAATTCCCTGTTGTATCTTCAACCTGGGAGCTTCCCGGAGTGGGAGTGGGCACATGTAGTAGATTCCTCTACAACAATAGGTACCGATTCCAATAAGAACTTAATTCCCATGATGCAGCGGGTGTAGGTAGGGTGCTTCGAAATTTTAGGTGGAAGCGAGGGTCGTATCAGGCATTGCGAGAGAAATGATAATCGTCGACGGGCAGGAGGAACATACGTCATGTATCTGAGTTGTTGCATAGTCTCATGCAAAATTACTTCAACTTCCAACGACAGCAGGTGTATTCGTGGATCCATTGTCCGGCCTTTCAACCAAACAACAAGGGCTGTGAGATTCTGGTGACACTGGCCGCAGCGGAGGCCACCTCGTCTCCTTTTCAACGAAACTCGGATTGATTTATAGTGTTGACTCCCCGCCGCGCAATCTATCTCCTCTTTGCATGTGATTCTCAAGATCTGGATCTGAAATCTGCATTCCTAAGCTGTATTTGGTAGTGGTTTACCCGCCAATACGACAAGCAGCAGCGGTGGCTGTTGGCAAAAGATAGTAAATCTTATTATTGTGGTGACATAGAATAAGGACGTATATGCGAAAATTAATTCGGTGACCATGATATGAAGTTACATCTACTCTTTGTATAGAACGAAACGGGTCTTAGGACTAGGGTCAATCCAAATGGCTGGCCGTGTTGAAAACTTAAGCTGTCTGTCGAGGTATTTTAGCCTGGGGGTCCCTACCACCTGAGAATAGTCATAATCAATAGGTTTAATGACAATAAACATAAGGAAGAAGAAGAGCTAACAAGGATATCAGCTAGCATCTTGGAAAACAGATCACCTTATAGGACAAGACCGTCTCTGAAGGCAGACTACGCGAAATTTGTATTATAAAGCTTCCAAACTATGGTAGAGCACCTGAGCAGTCTTTATACATAAGGTATTTATAAACAGAGGGGGCTCGTGACGCAGAGATCTCCCTTTGTAGCTGATCGTCTATTATGGGCAGCTCATCATCTTACCATTAAGTGCTAGAATAAAATCAAACATGCGGCCTAGACCTATCAGTTGGTAAATGTGCCCTTACAGCTCACCCAACCAAGCCTATACCATGGTCTTGGTTGGCATCGTGGAATGCAGTCAACCTAGTTGATTCCGCGCTTTGCGCTGAGATATTAAGCTATTCAACTTAGCCTTGTAATCACCGGCAGGACTATTAACACAAGCGTTTTTGCTTGAAATTCCTTTCTCGGCCACTATAGTCGCAGCGAGTTTTGCGACGGATGAATGGTAGTTTTCCTTTGGTTAGAAGTCTCTATTGCCCTTATATGGTTCAAACATGATATGCTGGTACGTTTATCAATTCTGGCACAATACACAGTCAGGATAGAATAGAAATTCTCTAGTAGGATTGGTAGAGTGGAAGGTCCGGCTCTGATGGCCGCAGTTGCCATTCTGCTTTTTCCTGGTAACATGAAGAAGGAGGCCCTAAGTCCGGAGACTTGTTTCCATATGGGTTTCATGTTAGAATGGAAGAAGCTGCTCATGCGTACCTATTTCCCCTTTATTCCATCCAAGCCATTCCATCAATCCTTTCTTCGTTTGTTTCCCCTTAAGTTTTAAGATCAAACTCCATTCTGATTGCTATCTTCGTTAATAATCTCGGCCGTTGTTTGATTCTTCTGGTTCAATGTCGACGAGTTTTGTTAGCACGATTCGAGCCAGCACTCTTTGACTCGAATCGAGAACAATGACCTCTCAGTGTATCGAAGCCGAACCCCCGGCTCTTTCAAGTCGTCATCGAGGCAAGTGATCGTATGTACCTTGTTACAGTCTGAGACTTCTGTCAATGATGAAACAATACCTCTATTTGATGCTTAGCCTTTGCTGATTGGAACCCTTGCACTATGCTAGGTAGGCTCCATGGCTCGACGATGAAAGTGGAAGGTTGAAACTTACCTTAGTTCATACCCATACGACTTGATTATTGTACGAATAGCGAAAGTGGTCACTTATCGGAAGAAGGGAACTAAAGAAAAAGGCTTAATAACAAATTTTTCGTCCAAGTTGTATACTTAACTGTCTCCGAACAAACGAGCAGATTTAGTTGGCTTCATCAGTGTAGGTTGATGCCGATATATATCCTCATCAATGACATTAGATAATATAAGAAATGGAGAATTATTATGGGCATGTATTATAAAGTTCTATGAATAGTGATTTAGATTAGAGCTTATCCCGAGACTCGTAGTGTGGAGAAAAGAGCAATTTCTCGGACTCCTAAGTTACTTTCTAAAATCTATGTAGATTTTTGTTGATCACCGAGCGCCTCCTCCGGTGGTCCTCTATTAATCAATTTTTCACAGGCCACCATTATATACCAGCATGCCATCGGCGACGGGGTATCTGGGCTCATTTTCCACATTTCGTTCTGTCTGGTACTTTCATTTGCCTAGTCATGAAAAAGTGTCAGATTACGGGCATCAGGAAAGCAAAGAGCAGCGGTAGATCTTCTTATCCGGACTATGAATGGCGCTTACGGAACAGGAAGGCTTATGATGATGCTAATCGAAGGAGATGGGGATAAGAATTTGTAAAATCGAGTGCACTGGTTTGCTTAGCTAAAGTCATGTAAGGTAAGAGCTCGAGTCCGGGAATTACTCGCTTTGCTTTCGGGTATTATCAGCAAGACTGCATCAGACCGACTCCTTGGACTACTCTTATTTCCCAATATGGAAAGACTACACTTAGGGCTGCTGCGAGTCTGTTTTTTTCCGCGGTAATCACGATACGATATCACAATATTAATTACACTAGAGCCAAAACGCACTAGTGCGGCACCGCTTACTAATTCTGATAAGGACAGAACAGAAGAAATTATTGGACGACAGCGAGGGCCTCATGTACGAGCGCTTTTATACGAACATGTCAATCTATCTGTAATAGGCATAAGACTGTAAATTTGTGGAACCCATAGAAGCAGATCCAAGCCTGTGGAGGCCCGGCCCTGCGCCAGTAACTCTAGAGCGTATAGAATAGTTGATCTTATCGCAACTCTTGGCGCCCTCCCTCGGATCTTCCGTGCGTCATGCTGGAGGGAGCCGCAATGTCAAGGTTACTCTCCAACAACTCTTCACCCTCACGCTCGCCTCACGTCCACACGCGGATGTGAGGGATCTATGAGAAATCTCAACAACGGAACAGGTGCTGGCAACCTCGTATAAGATATCTCACTTCAGCCTTCTTTTGCGCATGCAAGCGACAACGACTCCCCCGCCGAGGAACGCGTCTTGCCTCAATGTTCTCAGACCCGTACATGGAAAACCCATCGCTCGAAGCGCATCGCCGTGTTATATATTCTATACGGAAAGTTTCTACATAGCCATCATATCCGAGAAATCCGCCTTATCTTTCTTTCGGCTGCCGCTCACTGCGCGTTCTGTTGGTGCGCCATGGCTTCACAAGCGGCCATGCTCTTGGACCCAAGGTCGTATAGAAAAAAGATGGCGTCGACTGGTGAGTCACCTTTCGCTTGCTTGGTTTATTGCGCTTCGTCTTGCTTTCAGTGAGCTCTTCTTGCGCTCAACAGCATCTTCCCCTCAAATTCTTTCCCTCCCTTCCATGCAGTCCCTTGCGATCCCCAAACCCCGCATTCAATGATTTTGCGCCACCGATGAACATCGCTTACACCTAGAAGGCCCCAAACAGCACGAGAAAACACAAGCGAGCCCTGCTACTGCGCCAGTCGGTGCTAAAAGGCCAACGATGGCTCATGAAATCTTGAGTCCGCGTTTACATTCTCCCTCTGTCAAATCTGACACAGCCGTTTCGTCTCCTCAAGGTGACGACCACAAATCAGAGTCACCTTCTACTTCCAACATGGCTCTGAGCAATACTGGTGACGTCCAGTTTGAATTTATCAATGGTGATGAGATCTCTAGTGAAGATGACGAAGATATCGACAGAAAGCGCAGCAGGGAGGTTGAAGATCTGAAAAACGAGCGCAACTCTCTGATCGAGGAGATCTACAGTGTTGAGCGTCGTGAAGACCAGCCTAAAAAGCGCTTGAAGACAACTGATACCGAGGCCCCGTTGGCCAAAAGCAAGTCCCAGTTCGATGTCTCCGGGAATAGTGGTCTTGGTGATTACATGAAAGACGGCAAACAATTATCTCAAACCGCCACACAGGTTGTGGATCTTACTACGGGTGTGTATTCCCCTTTGTCTGTTAATATCCATATCAGATTACTGACTGGCTGAGCGTAGAATCGCCTAATGACGACGAGGTCGAAGTTACTGGTTCGGTGGATTTGAGCACTCAAATCGTATGCTACGGCAAAGTTGAAAATGCAATGGTTCAAGCGCATATGGTACCTAAGCCAGCCAAGAACAATTTCTTCGACGACTTCTCGCGTGACTGGCCTAGTATCAAGCTGGGCACCCATCACGTACCTGGCCAATCGAATCGGATAGATGTTATTGATCCTCACGGCCAGTACTTCGGGGCAGTCGATGCGAAAACAGCTGCAGCCATCGTGCCTCTGATGGATACACCGGGCTCTGAGATTACTATGACAGCTCGCCTTGAACTTCGGCGCAGAATGGCAGGCGAAGAAGTGTGGCAACCATGCTCTGCGAAGTATCGCGCTTCAATCAACCTATTCGGGCCGAGGAAACATGCAGAAATGGTTGGCCGTTTCTTGAGCAATGCAAATGTCTGGTTGACCAATCCATCTATGGTGAGCCAAGGAGTAACAGTCTACAATCCTCATACAAAATTGAGACGAAATCAACCAAACTATGGTCCATCTCCTGGACCTGGTTCCCGTTCGCGACCCGTCACTACCTATGAAGTCCGCACAGCTGAAGAGATTAATGACGCTATTATGAAAATGTTCGACCAGCTCAAGTCTACGGAAAATATTCCGGAAATGGAGCCGTCCCATGTGATTCGTACGCCGCTTCTCCGTCATCAAAAACAAGCCCTGTGGTTCATGTTAGAGAAGGAGAAGGACCGCAGGTATGGACTCAAGGAAGAAGAAAACAACTCACTGTGGCGTGTCTTTTACGATCCCAGTGGAAACAAACGATATCGTGAGATTATCAGTGGGATGACTCTCGATCAGGAGCCTGCTCAGACGTATGGAGGCTTGTTGGCTGATATGATGGGCCTCGGCAAAACGTTGAGCATTCTATCTCTCGTCGTTGAAACATTGCCAGAGTCCAGAGGATGGGAAACTCGCTCGCCGCCTAACGACCTTGTGCGGCGCACTCCTGGTATTCGTAATGCCAGGACAACACTTCTTGTTTCGCCTCTTAGTGCTGTCAACAACTGGGTTTCTCAGATTAAGGATCACCTAGATGAGAAAGCGATTTCTTATTACGTCTTTCATGGTCCTTCGAGGACTACAAATGTCGAAGAATTGTCCCAATACGATTTGATTATCACGACGTACAGCACAATCTCCAGTGAAATACATGGCCGTGGATCCAGGCGAGGGAACAGCCCGTTGCTTAAGATGAACATGTTTCGCATTGTCCTTGACGAAGCACATGTAATTCGTGAGCAGTCCGCACAACAAAGCCAAGCAATATTCCGTCTGAACGGGCAACGCCGCTGGTCTGTTACTGGAACGCCTGTTCAGAATCGCCTTGACGATCTTGCATCTGTGACAAAGTTCCTTCGACTGTATCCATATGACGATAAGTCCAAGTTTTCTGCTCACATTCTTAGCCGTTTCAAATTGGGTGATCCCAGTGTTTTCGCGAGCCTCCGTGTGCTTGTGGACTCGTTTACGCTACGCCGCGTTAAGGACAAGATTGATCTTCCTCCCCGACACGACAAGATTATTATGCTGGACTTCTCCGAGAAAGAAGCTCAACTACATGAATTTTTCCGCAAGGAGTCTGCCCTGATGATGAAGATAATCACAAATGAAAGCAAGAGTACTATGGGAGGTCGGATGTATCACCACGTGTTGAAGGCTATGATGATTCTTCGTCAGATTAGCGCCCATGGGAAAGAGTTGCTCGACAAGGAGGACCGCCAACGAATGAAAGGTATGAGCGTCCATGACGCCATTGACCTTGAAGAGGGAGAAAGTGATGATCAGGCTTGGGCAATCGACAAGAAGGCCTATGATATGTTCACCTTAATGGAAGAATCTTCGGCTGCTGTTTGCGCGATGTGCAATAAACCACTGGTTGAAAACAATCCTGAGACTAGTGCAGGGGATCCCAAGAGTCCAATGGCTGTAATGTTCCCTTGCTTTGACGTTCTCTGTCTTGATTGCTTTGGCCCGGTCAAAGAAGGGTTCGTAATGCAGCCGCAATCATCTTCGGAACAGACTCGATGCATCACATGCGAAGGTTGGATCCCTATGACTTACTCTACAATTACCCCAGCCGGTCTAGAACAGTATGCACAAAGCCAAGCAGAGGCCAAGACCAACCGCAAGCGGGCAAAACTTCTAGGAGAGTACGAGGGACCCCATACCAAGACACTGGCTTTAATCGAACAGCTGCAGAACACGGCAGAGGAAAGCGCCAAATTGGAATATCAACCTCCAATCAAGAGCGTTATTTTCTCGGGTTGGACGTCCCATTTGGACCTTATAGAGATTGCCTTGAAAGACAATGGCCTAGATGGATTCACTCGTCTTGACGGAACAATGACTCTTGCAGCCCGCAATCAAGCATTGGCTAGTTTCGCCAACGATGATAACATCACCATATTGCTCGCAACCATCGGCGCTGGAGGTGTTGGACTCAATCTGACAAGTGCATCTAAAGTATACATCATGGAGCCTCAGTACAATCCGGCAGCCGTAGCTCAGGCGGTCGACCGTGTCCATCGGTTAGGTCAAACTCGTGAGGTGACCACAGTGCAATTCATTATGAATTCCAGCATCGAGGAGAAGATATTCGAAATGGCCAAGAAGAAGCAGCAGCTAGCCGACGACAGCATGGCTCGTGGGAAGCTCGACAAACGTGAAGTCCAAGAGGCGCGCATGCAAGCCTACAGAAGCCTCTTCAGGTAATCAGTGTGTTTACCAATTGGATCGATCTAGTTACTTTTATTTATTATTATTTATTTCTTTTATCATATCTTTGGGTTGCCATCTGTCTTCTTTGCTTTCTTCTCTGCTTACATCTTTTTTCATGGTGTCAAGGGACGGCGCTCTGGCTTGAATCGATACCCAGTTGACTTTCGGTCAACAATATGGATGTTTTTCGTTTTTCTCTTTTTCTTTTCATCATCCAAGGTTCAATGAGAAAGAGACGGTTAATGACGGTTGAGAGATCTACGTGGCATGATAGACATGTTACTTCGTTTGACCTCTGATACATTTCGTTTTTTCCATGACAATTGATATATCGTATTGCGGGTTGACATTATGTTTTAGACAGCACATCTTCGTGGTTCCAAGTGACTGAAGATCGGGATGCAGCTCTAGATGACTGCATTTTTGATTCGGTATACAGGATATGGACGCAAGTCCGCCGGATATTATCTAGTTTTATATTTTATCACTATAATGAGAACATCTTTTATTTGATCTATTCTTTTTTTTTTATCAAAGTAGCTGGCTGGCTCTGGGGTATCACGGCATTAAACACATGTAAATAGTTGTTAAGTAAAAGCAACAGAAACTAAGCTCAATTCAGACCGTTCCTCTCCTGTCGAGAGTAAATGCCTCTCTCGACAGCCCCCAATACCGATTCAAGCCTCTTCCCCAATTTCTTGAGCTCCCGTGCCTTCTTTTCTCTGGCAAGTTCCACCTGTCTTAGCTCACTCTCCAATTCGCGAATTCGTGCTTCTTGCTCTGCTTCCGACGCACCAATGCCCGGTAATCTTCCGATTAAATACTCGATCTGCTGTTCCTTGATGATCAAGTCGCGCGCCAGTTCCTTCTGTCTGAACAGGAATAGCTGCGGCGAATCCGGTTGGGGTGGTTGATTAGGATCTCCTTGGCCTGGTGTCAGAGATACGGCGCCCGCTGCGCTTGGAGGTAGTGTCGATGTCTCTGCTGCTGCGCTGCCGGCGGGTCCCTGTGACGGCGACCCTTGGCCTTGTTGTTGTTGCTGTTCGGCGTTTTGTTTTGCGGCTGCGCCGGCGGGCATGGGAGCAGCTGACGGCTGGTTACGCGGGATTTTGGCGAGAGGCGGCATGGCGTCAACTATGCCGGCGGCAGGCGGCGGGATGGTTGCAGGAACGTGGTCATGGTAGGTGCTGAGATAGCAGAGAGTGGCATAGAATTGAGTCGCGAGCTGTGATGTGCTTTTGTTAGACGGGCGTTGTACGTCCGGGAAGGCTTTGATGGATTTACCTGGTCGAGACATGTTTGGAGCTGGGTGAGGATGTCAGCCATTGGAGATGCAGGGTTGAGGTATTCTCAAGAAGAAGACAATATCGTGAAATCGGGCAGCTGGTGAATGACAGTAGTCAAAATTGTGCGTCAAGTGTATGGAGGATGGAAGAAGGTGAAGCTGCTGCCAAGTGAAGTGGAGACTGTGGGGGACACCTATCTTATCCGCCTGAACAACCTCAAATTTCAATGTCTTTGATCAAATTATGACTCGAAAGGAGAGAAATGGTGCTACATACGGCATCATGGGCTCTATCAACAAAGAGCTTCTCTCGCTCATTTTCATCTAGTCGCGTTCTCCAGGAACTGAGTCCATTTACTCGCCGCCTCTTTAACCTCCCCGAAGCTCCGCCAGCTCCATCGCAGAATCACCGTGATTTACAATCGTTCTTAACGTATGCAAAGGACAATGTGCCAGAAATCAGCACTACGTTTGTTGGCACTCGCTACGAGTATACCGTTCAGTCTTCTTTACGTCGATTCGCGTTTGATTTAACGCGCATCGGCGGCCGCGACGATGCAGGCATAGACCTCGTGGGCACATGGCACATCCCCGGACGAGAATACGCACCCATTCGCATTGTTGCGCAATGCAAAGCGCTGCGGACGAAACTTGGCCCGAACCTTGTGAGGGAATTGGAAGGCGCTTTTCGTCATTCGCCCATCGGCTGGCGGACTACTGAGAAGTTGGCTATGCTGATTAGTTCGAGGGAGGCTACGAAGGGGGTCAGGGACACTTTGACTAGGAGTCCATATCCACTGTTCTGGATGATGATGGAGAGTGACGGCGCCATAAAACAGGTTCTGTGGAACTCCAAGGCGGAGGATTTGGGTTTGGCAGCGCTGGGGGTTGAGGCGAGGTACCCCCAGGTTACTGCTGTTGCTGATGCTGATACTGCTGCTGATTCTGCCACCACTTCCGATGAGCGTGCGCGCCCAAATGTCGTATTGACGTGGGATGGAAGCGATATTCCTGATATGGAGCGCGTCGAGGATCGGATCTCCCGAAAAGAAGCCGAGTGGCTGGCTGGCTGGGGACGCCAGGGCTTGTCAGAGACACAAAAAGGTGAGTTTTTGACTCGGCTGGAAAATTCTTGTCCTGAGCTAGCCCGTGGAGGATTATTTGACGATGTCACGGGAGATTATGAGGCGAATAAGGAACAGTTTCGGGTATTGCTCAAACAAAGATTACAGTAGGAAGAGAATAGTATTAAAGTGGCACCTGGTCCAAGAAGAGGAAATAAATAATGCACTTGCTTATAATCGAAACTTTCATACAATGGAGGCACTCCAAATCAAACTTCCTACTTGAGCTTCGCTTCAATCTCATCATCTGAACGCGAATCAGGCATCAATCGCTCAACCTCTAGCTGCACGACATGAAATCCGAAACTCAATTCACCCACCAACGTCTTCGCATCCCTAGAATAACAGAATAAGACATTAGCAATAGTGGATTCGCGAACAAAAGTCACTTTAATGGTCAGACTACAAACAGGGAAACTGTGTAATGAAGATATACGTCTCCAAAATTAGATCAATCTGGAGCATGTGATGGTAGGGTAGAACAACATATAATTATTTAGCAGACAAATGACGAATGGTTTCAATCATTGGAATGTTACGGAACGAATGAGGGCCATTATCCTTTCAAGGCCACGACGTGCAAAATTTCTTGACTTCTATGCTTTTTCAAGATCGTGAAGATAAGATCCCAGGGATATATGCATCTTGCCGGTAAGCGATGCCTGAATGTGTATTATTGAGGGTATATAACATAAACGACACGTTTCCAATCAACGCCAGTTCATAGCCATCGTTAGATCAAATTGAACACAACCACTAGCCTTGCATGGTTTGCCAAAAGTAGTTTGCATAGAAAAATCGAGAGAATTTCGGGTCAATGTTGACAACATGAACGTCGCCTTTGCGACTGTTGCGGATGACAGCTTTGTTGTAGTTTCCAGCCTCGTCGGCTTCAACGTCAATTCCGAGAGAGCGATAAACCTTGAGACGTAATCTGTTGTCGTTAGCAATGTGATGAAGAGAGAAAAAAGTGAGTCAAGGTGGGAAACATGGTGTGTGCGTACATTGTTGCATCATCAGCCTCTCTCTCGCGGCGCACAGTCTCATCGCCTTCCAATCCTTGCGTCTCGAGCTCTGCCAGGCGTTCCTTTAGCATCTCCAAATCTCCCTCGAGCCGCTCAGACTCAATCTCCAGATCTGACGCGGCTTTCGCAAGACGGAATTTTTGCGCATCGAGCTCGAGAATCTCCTGAGCGTGGCGGGCCGGATCGTGTGAGGCTACCGTCTCGTCATAGTTTGCTTCTATAGATTTCAGGTTTCGAGAAAGTTTCCGCAGGGCAGTCTCTGCTTCGCGAATGCGCAGGTCACGCGATTGCTGCAACGTGGCCAGTGATTCATTGATGCGGGTTACTGCGAGTTTATCGGGGTTGATATTGAAGTTTCCAACAGTGTGTTGGATAAGCTGGACACGGGCATTAGTCGACCAAAACGCTAGTTCAAAACTTGAAATTCAGACAGAGTAGGCGACGTACCGTGGCAGGGTCTTCGTCGAGCAGCATGGTGGCTATGATTTGTATGGCTTAAAGTGTTCTGTTCTATCTAAAGACAAAACGCGTGGTAGAACTGCGCCGCTTGGTTGCGGGAGCAACAGCCACAGTGTTGCTGCCCATTGCGTCACTCAGCCTTTCTTCCGCGCTGCACCGCCACATGTTGAGCCTTTGATCCGCTGATCCAAATTGCTTCCCAGTCAGTCACAAGCAAAAAGCGTCATTTCTCTGTCCAACCCGCGCAACGTGATTGTTATACAGTCCACCGCTGCTCGACCACCGATCCTTGCCATTCAGGCACTTTTTTCAACATGGGATCTAATTTGCCATGTATGTACAATCCCGTTTACAGGACCTGAGTTGCCATGGCTGACTGCGACACCAACACATCAGACGCTGCGGATGCCGAGAGGCAAGTTCAACCATGATTAGTTCTATTCTCCATACTGACTTGTACCAGCCCTCTGAAGCCCGCAGAGCTCCAGGTTCTGCGCGCGCAGTACGAGAAGGAAGGGACGTATGTCGGAGTTCAGACCAAATTCAACTATGCCTGGGTATGCTCGATGGATGCTCCTCGGTAACGCCTCGGATATGGCATTCTGCTGACTGCCTGCCAACAGGGTCTGATCAAATCTGATAAGCGGTCCGAACAACAAGAAGGCGTCCGTCTACTCTCCGAAATCTTCCGTAGCGCTCCTGAACGTCGCCGTGAATGTCTCTACTACCTTGCTCTGGGAAACTTCAAGCTAGGAAACTACGGGGAAGCACGCAAATACAACGATCTGCTGCTCGACTATGAGCCGGGAAACCTTCAAGCCGCCAGTCTGCGACAGCTGATCGACGACAAGGTCTCCAGAGAGGGACTGATGGGGGTTGCCATTGTGGGCGGCGTCGCTCTTGCTGCTGGAGTGCTTGGTGGTCTCCTTGTGAGAGGGTCTCGCAGGCGATGAGAGCCGGGTAACGACAGAACGATGCTGCGATTACACGACAAGATCATATACCTCGTACATATTGGGTTTGCGTTTCTCTTTCTAAGTATTGTTTCTTCTTATTATTGTCCTTATCATTGCTATTTATCTATAATTGACTACGGCATGGGCGGCGGCGTTACTCCTCACTTCCATTGTATCTGTCCTTTATGTGCGCTATCTTCGCTGCTATTGTCTATTTGTCTATATATCAATGCGAATCTTGTCTGCCTTGTTCGCGAGGCATATTTCTGAGCTGAACAGCTGCTCGTAAATCTGCGTAACGTACAGTTTGAGTAGGCGTTGGTGTGGCGAAGTCGGCGTTATTTGGGCCGGGCGGCTGCTAACGTCATCCCGCCTTCTTGCATAACTTAACTAAGCATCGCAAGGCTTATTTTGACTCACTATCTCTCTCTCTCTCTATTGCCTCTTGTGCAAAGTCAAACTGCGATTTACCCTGGCGCTGGTGCTGATGCTGGTGTCTGGAACCCCTGCAGAGGAGTTGCTTATGTTTTGCAGAGCGCTGGTCAATGCGCCTCTTTGTCACCTACCGGCCTCACCAACTTGTCGGCCTTTAAATAGTCATTTGCCTGCTTAACTTTGTATCCATCATTGGCAGTCGTCATACATATATTGGCCTGGATTTATCTACGCCCTCTATTTTCCTTCAATCCACCTCACCGGTGATCTTTAATCTGTCGGTTTGTTATCGATATTTCTATTACCCCTCAGTATGCCGGAGACCGGAGAGGATGTTCTGTGCTATCATTGTAACAACGTCTTCCCCAAGGACCAGTTTGGTCTGATGTGCCCACGATGTGGCTCTGACTTCACCGAGATTGTAAGTACGCGCAGTCTTTGGCATCTTGCAAGATCAAGATTTTAACAGTCATGCAAGATCGAAGGGAGCGCCGAAGAACAACATCCAGCTGTCAATTATCAGTCGCATCCTTCAAGCCCATCGTGGCCTCCTTCGCTATCAACACGACCCCCTCAATCTCCACGATCACCTCGTCATGACACGAGGAACCCGTTTCTCGATCATAATCCTTGGGCAGAGACGCCTGATGATGAGCCACAGGCGCTTGGGAGCGGCCCCCGGGTTAGCCGTCAGTCTTACCGCTCGTCAGATGGGAGAGTTACGTTCACTAGCACAACGTTTACTACCGGCATGGGAGGTCGGCAAAGAAGTCCGGCATCACCTGAGCCATATGCTGCCGATCCTCTACTTCGGAGTGTCGGCTCTATCTTCCAAGAATTGGCCGGGGCGTACAATACGCCAAATCGGCACGTTCCTCCCCCAGATCGAGAAGACCCATGGGAGACTCCCGGCGCGACTCGGGGCCCTCACTTACATGAGGATATGTGGCGAAGGGACACAGACAGCCCACAACCACCAACCATACCTTTCGCAAATCTAGGCGAGTACGTTTATATCACTTCTTTCTTATGCAACTATACGGACTAGGCTTACACAAATGCAGCATACTTGATTTATTGCGAACAGGCCTAGCTGGAGATGGCTTTGAGCGTCCACGGGGAGGTATTCACATCATGGGAACCGCGGGAATGGGCCCGATGCATCCCCTTTCCTTACTGGCTGGCATGCTCGGAGGACGGTTCGGAGACGCCGTCTACTCACAAGAGGAACTAGATCGTGTCATTTCGCAGCTTGTCGATCAGAATATAAATCAAGGAGTGCCTCCTGCTGCTGAAACTGCGATACAGTCGTTGCCCAAGAAAACAGTTGACAAGGAGATGCTAGGCGTGGAAGGCAGAGCAGAGTGCTCTATTTGTATGGATGCGGTTGAGCTCGGGAGTGAAGTGACTGTGCTTCCATGCAAACATTGGTTTCACGGCGAATGTATTGAAATGTGGTTAAAGCAGCATAACACATGCCCCCATTGCAGACGGGGCATCGACCAAGGGTAGGCTGCAAACCTTGAATCAAAACGTTAGCATGAGGCTTGTTACTAATATTTCTCCCAGAGAAAATGCCCCTGGCACTAGAACCAATCCAGTTGTTATACCTAGCAGTCCGCCACAATCCCCTCCACGACGCCCATCCGATCACAATCGCGACTACAGCGGCTCATCCTACCGTACTCAGACCCACCGTAGCAGTAGTGGTTCATCGATCCAAGATCATCATCAGTCCTCTTCATATTCACGTCACACAGCTTCAGCTCCTCCAGAATCGCCACCAGAACCTTCCAGTGGAAGTGAACCTCAAACACAGTCACAGCCAAATAATGGCGGCGTTACTGGCTGGCTAAGAAGTCGTTTTGGTGGTAGCTGAGTAAATATCCAATATAATGAGGCCTTTTGTTTTATGCCTCCATTTCTTCACGACTTTTTTTGTGTGGGTTCAGTATCATTTCCCGGATATATTATTTGCATAGATGGCAGGTCAATGAATGATGCATCGCACTTTTCCTCTTCGTTTTCCATTGTTGACAGTAGTGTCATAGAATGCAGCATACTTTTGTTAAAACGCCAATCAGTGTGCTAAAATTGGGATTGAATTGCCCAGTAGTATGCATATGTCAAGAACGATGTAATTAGGGCTAATACACCGTGCAGACCTCGTATCTATACTCGCTAGTCCTATCAAAACTACCCCCAACGATATGATCAGTAAGAACACGATCAAGTCGAAACTCCTGATCAAATGACCACTCCGCCCAGTGCGTGAATATTGGCTGATTAAAGAGCCATCTCATAGTTACAGGCCCGTTAACGGTTTCATTTGCATCGCAAATCACCATGCTCATATGGCTGCAGCTACCACTACCACCACTATCTCCCCATCTGGTTTTACCGGAAACGAAGTAACCGCTTTCCTCCCAAATGGTATCATAACCGCGGCCGCCGCTGCTGCTATGCTTGCTGCTTTTGTTCTTGTGATCAGAATCATCGCTTCGAATGTACGAGTAAAGGTAGTATGCGACATAGGCTCTTCTATTACAGCAGGGAATGAGCAGCGATGAGACCCGTCGCTTGCACCGGTCAGTAGCGAAGTGCATCATCTCAGCACCGTTTGCGGCGCTAGGTAATTTCTCAAAATGGAGTAATGCCTCCAAGGTCATGGTATATATCTGACTGTTGAAAAGGCCCTCTTGCCCGATTTGACTCAGTTTGTGAGCTACCCATTCCATCCAGCTCGGTATGCGATAACAGGAATGACCCGCCAGGTATAAGAGGGGCGAAAATCCGATTTTTACGGATTCGCAAGCATGGTATTGCTCGTCGATTTCAGGGGTGTTGTTATTGTTGCCTTTAGCAGAGCTTAGATCTGTTGAGGCAAGTCGTAGTTGCTGATAGAAGTAGAAATATGTCTCGAGCTCGAATTTAGGATTGCCATCATCATCATCATCATCATCACTAAGAGAGCTCATCGCCCACTTGGTCCGAGCGACGTAAAAAGTGTATAGTGATAATATGAGGCGGAGCTGCATCGGAATGCCGGAATAGGGCAAGGGTGGGATGGGAAGCTGGTGAAGCATTTGCCATGTCAGATTCTGCGGCTCCGACAGCGGGAAGTCCACGTCGTATTTTAGTAGTATTGTGCCTAAGAGACCCTTCCATTCAGTCAGTTCGGCGCTGAATGCTCGAAGTTTCGCTATGGAGATTGGTCTGGGGAAGACTGTGACGGAGATCCATATGAGTTCCTGGACTTCATCGTCTGTGGAACTAAGATGCAGTAAGGCTTGGAGCATGTCTGTCCAACATGATGTGCTTGGTTTCAGAATTCTATCAAACGTTGGCATAACGTGACGTACTGGAGCCGGCTTTAAAATTTGCGTAGAAGTCGTCAAGTTGGGCAGAGGAAGGATTATACGACAGATGAGTCCCAGATCTTGCAGAGCATACTGTATTGGTGCCATGTGCGACTCTTTCTGTTGGGTGCTATCCGATATCAATCATCCAGCATAATATTTAGCTGTATGGAAGTGTCTAACTGTTGCCGGGATGTTTCCTGCAAAGCACTATATCAATCAATACTGGAGTTCTTAGGCTAAGCAAGACAGAGAAAATTTACCTCAAAGTATGCACAGAATATAATCACGCCTACAAAGCATGTTGTGGTCTTGTCTGCATTCGATAATTCTTGCAATGCCCTGGTATACGCTTGACAAGCGATTACCTTCGTATCCAAACCTCGAGTTCGCTCATTCTCACCTTCCTGAGACAGCAACAGGGTGGCACGATGCATACTTCCAAGCGCTGTTATAGTGTCGTACATATACTCCGTGTCAAAGCACTGCTCGCACATATAATCTCTCCAGAAAAACATATGACAGGAAGGAAAAAGAACGGATAAAGTCCGAAAGACGAACTGATGATACGCCAATAAGTGTCGCGCACGAGAATGTGGTAGCTGGAGAGGAGTTGGGTTGACGGGCAAGCCAACCAAGGGAAGTCCGTCCTCACGATGTTGCACATTGAGATCGAGCATAGCCTCTGCAGGAGGTGGGCAATGACTCTGCACGGCAGCTGCAGGTGAGCCAGCTGGCTGCCGTTTGGATGACCCACGTTTAAGCTTTCCAATGTCTAGTCGGCGTTTCTCCTCATATCCAGCGCACTCTATGGTTGCAGCTCCGCAGCGTTGACATACCGGCCGCCCTTCGTCACACTTGACTCGGCGCAATCGGCATGTCAGACAGCCCGTTTTCCTTCGCCGTTTTCTGTCTTCCATTGCTTATCCAACTAGGGTTTAGGGATCTATTATCTCCCCTCGAAGAACAAGTTCAGTTACTACAGACGATTTTGAAGCAGTCAATTGCGACAATTCTCAACTGCAATATGCATTAACAGAACTACGTACGAAACGACAGACCTCTAGTTACTGTGCAATGATTACAAATCCAATGACTTTCTCTTGCTACTTTGCAAGGAAAAGTCGCTAGTCATGGATGTCGTCGGATTAAGAATCTAAGATCGATCGAGGCGAGCTAGGCGAGCTTAGCGACGCCCAATAAACTTTATACTTCAGGCCCAGTTGCGGGTCTGCCCACTTTTAGTCCGCGAGCCTAATTTGCCGACTGCTTATTGGCCACTTGATCTATACCTTTCGAGAGCAACATAAACATAATGGCTACAAAGAGTGACTATACCAGAAAATAGAAAAATAATAAATTATAAAAGCTAATTGAAAGATTTCAGTGCCCTCGCAGACGTCCAGCTACTTTTTTATTTGTCACGAGTGTCAGAGAACGACAGACTACAGGGCATTCGCGAACTGCCGGAGAGAAGATCGCCGCAATGCGTTGAGATCATTTGGCGCTACCGCGTACACGTATCTAAACTACAAGTATTCGGAGCCACTAATAAAGCGGGATTCATCAAATCAAGAGAAGTGTGATACGACGCGCACTTGAATATCAAGTAGGCCTATTCAAACGAAGAGAATATCAGAATATCTAGCATTTGGTATTCGACGACATGCTAGACAAATATAGACATTGCCTCCTACGCAGTTCCCAGGCGATGTAGCAACCTAGCAAACAAGCAACCTGCTAAGCTAGTGGAAGAGATCCTGGACCTAGAATCTTTTCCTAAAATAACCCAATCTAATCATCCGAAACGGTGACTGAAGAATCATAGCAAGCCAGTATTAATCTCATGTCTATCAAAATTTACTATTATACATATTTTCGAGGTCGGCGTCGGGCTTTAGAGAACATGTTTTTGGAACATGCTCTTACCACAGTTGAATTTGGCAGCCTCCATTTTGTGAGGGGAAACCCTCTCAGCATGAGGATGCGTGATGAATTGAGAAAAATACAATCCAAGAATCGGGACTCAGACGTGTAGTATACTACCTGCGTCCGGACTAACTAACTAACCTACTAACTAACTAGTGCAATATGCTGGGAAATCCGGTGACAAGGTTCCCCCTACCGAAAGAGAGGTTGGTGCCCTCACCAGACCACTAGCTACATGGACCGTTAGTTACATGAATGCATAAACAAAACACCATGATAAGGTAAAGGAAAGTAAGAAATGATGTTAGAACCCGGAGTCTCCTTAGTTGCGTTGATGACAGTGATGAGCTTCGTATCTCGTAGAGAAGGGCATTCCGGCCTTGATCTTGTAAGCGTCCCGCATCGGGAGGAAGCCCTTCCGCTGGCTGCAGATTTCAACTAGTGTGTAGCTTGGTTGTTTAGTTAATGTCAACCTTGAAGACATTCCTAGACCGCATATCTAATGGTTCAAGAATCTTGCCGAAAGGTAGCCGCGCTTCCATGCAGATACGAATAGTCTTTTAGCCTTCACTTATATTTTGACTAGCCCAGGCAGCTGTGTTCCTGATGGACTACCTCAACTCAATTCAAAGGAGTCATTAATTGGTGGAATACAATAGGCAGGATCGAATAAGCAGACATTTAGATAAATCTTTCGGTTGTCTGAGAATTGAATGCAAATCTCGACGTCCATATTTGAGGCGCTGATAGAGATAATGATCGGAGGAATATCTGGGACTAAGAGGGCTCTATCCAAGCTGGTTTGGGAAGCAAAATAATCATTCCTAAGGCATCTCATCGAAATTGATAGGCTTCTCGCAAAGGAAACAGGGTTGAGATGGAGTCGTCGTCTTTTTTGACAGCTGATGAGTAGAGAAAGCCATCCGGTCCTTACTTGTCAAGAACCATTTGCTGTCATGCGTGGTAAAAGAGAAACTTCTCAGTATGTCTCGAGGAGTTTGACACGGTGCCTGGGGCTGTAATGGACAACTGGCACAAAGCAAGATAAAAGATCCAGCCATCAACCGACTGGATTTCTCTTGTCCCTGTGTTGTCATGTTGAGGTCCGCTAAATCAATATCCCGAGACAATGCAGCCAGCAGGACATTGCGATCGCAGACTTGTAGACCATTTTGATGCGAATGTGTCCTGGGTTTTCTGCTAGCATTGTATTTGAGAAATGTAATTATAGAGAATTGATATGGAACTTACCGTGATGGTAGCTGTAGTCTCTGGTCAGGAACTCAGCCGTCATCACCACTTGGGCAGGAGCGCTATCCACGTGCAATATCCTTTGGACTAATAGTAAGGTTTTCTTCCAGCTACTTATCCCTTTTATACTTTGATTTCGAGTCAACCTTGACCAGGACGTCCTTTTCTTCCAGCTACTTATCCCTTTTATACTTTGATTTCGAGTCAACCTTGACCAGGACGTCCGAACGGATGACTAGCAAAGGCATTGTTGACAATATGCGTGCTCTCTGGGCTTGGTTGTAACGACGGAATATTAACCAGTCAGCCACCAAAAGGGATCCCTTGGTGGGGCTTCTGGTAATGCTCATTTCATGTGTAGATAATGCCTTATATTCCGCTGTCAGGTTCCCACGGAAGAACTTGGTATCACCCAACCTTAGGATGGCATCCTTCACTTTGTTATCCAACTGCTCCATCTTCTTGAGATGGCTTCCATTCTGACACTCCGACGTCGATTCTATGCATGAAATTATCGGAAATATGAGCGATAGGTTGCGGGTTGGAAATTCCCCATAGGGAATCATGCTTTCGACGGATAACCAACGTCTACATCCTTTTGAAAGGTTTGCGGCAGTGTCTCCAGCCTCGCTTTGGCAGTGATACTTTTTTTTCGTTCGGCACTTGGAATTCAGTGATCATTGTATCTTTGTAGAGCCTTTCTCAGAATTCACAAACACGGTGTTTGTTACTCCGCTTGAACGTCGCGAATATGTCCATGCAGCTTAGTGTTTAAAACGCGGAGGAGTATCTAAGGCTGAAAATGCTCGATTGGAAGCTCCCACCTAATATCTAGAGAAGATGGAGAATCGTGTCTCGAGATACGCATTCGACGTGTGTGCGCTGCGGCACCCAGATAGGCACCGCCGGGGCGCAGGGGCCTGAGAAGCGAGATGAGAACCTGCGCTCATGGCCAAATCATAAAAGGCATTCAGCGGTCGATGTGCTTCGTTATCCTGATATAAATTCACTTCCTCGGGCCCTTTATAGGTGCCATAAGGGCCCTATTGATTAATTGGTTGGCGTAGTCGTATGAATAGTCGCTGTAGATATTTCGTAGTCAATCCCCTGGCGGTCGTAGAGCAGGCAACTGTACCCAAGGTGGCTTGCCTATTTGGAAAGAAAAAAGAAAAAAGGTAAAAAATAATATGCAAGTAGTAGCACCTGGATTTGAAAAATGTAATGGAATTGAGAATGCTCTTTTGTCCCCGGGGGGATGAGACTTTATATAGTAGTCTGTAGAGGGCTTCAGGGCAACAAGGATAGCTGCTTATTACCTAGTCTACAGCGACTCTCGAATGGAGCTTTGAGAGCTCACTCGCAGAGATTTCTCACATTGACCCTATGTGGGCGCCTCCTGGGGCGTTTCATTGTGAATCACCGAGGGAAAATGACTGTTAAGCTTACGTTTTAAATTGGCCAAAGGCGTTAAAATATATTTATTGGCTAGTGAGCGCTTCTTTCTCACCGTGATTTCCACAATTGGAACTGCCTCAACTATTGTGGTAGTCAACACGGTGCGGTACAGGCATGGTTACATAAACTGTGGGATAAGTAGACTTCAGGGCAACGCAGTCTTTCCAACATACCATACCATGGGTAATACCGCCACATTGACTTCCGCTTATTCAGTCCTTTGGAAGTAGGCCATCGGTGGTGGTATCTCGTATGCGTGCTATTAAAGTGAAAACAAGATAGGTCACCCAAACTTCTATTTGAAGGAACCTAATATCGATTATATTGGCTTGGTTTAATCTATATTGACAAGGTCCCGAACGTATATAGAGTAAATGCAACGCCCTCGAAGATATTTCATTTTTTTCTAGATCTCAGTTTCCATATCACAATGAACATTACTCCTCCGGCCAACGAGAAACTGGCGGAAAATATCAACGCACCGGAAAATCCAGTTGTTGGACCATTGGATATTGCTCCGCCAATAGGGCTCCCAATCAGAATTCTAACTCCTGCTAGAAAGAACGCCATACCCATCCATGTGCCCATCAAACGAACTTCTGGAACTAAAGCTGCAACAACACTAGCTTGAACAGAAACCACTGCGCCGGACGTGAACCCATAGAATATTGCAATAACAATTAACCCAGCCAGATAGTGCACGGCTAGCCAGGCATAAGCAAGAATGGCTGAGCTTAGTGTACACCCAATGAGTATCTCCAACGATCCATACCTGTCAGCCAGGAGACCGGAAATCGTTCGGCCAAAGGCTGAGCCCGCATTTAGAATCGACAGGAGATAGAATGACATATTCAGCCCTATACCCGCGTTCAACTGGGCAAACGAGACAATATCAAAGATCGGAATATAAAGTCCGATAAAGGTAAAGAATAAACCGAGACAGAAAACAGTATAAGAGCGGTTCTTGAAAGCCGCAAGATCAACCATCGCGCGCGCTGTCTCTGGGGCTTGCACGAGTGTCTTCATCAGAAGAATGCTGATCGATAGTGTACCAAGGGCAATAAAATCCCATAACTCTCGTGGCCCAGGGGAATCCAATTTTGGGCTGTAACTGGCGAAAAATGATCGGATACAAGGCACTGCCGATGCTTCCACCAGCAGCAAACAGGCCGATGGCAAGTCCTCGCTTGGTAGTGAAATACGTAGTCACGATGGCTACACTGGAAACCAACATGAAGCCGCCGCCGAGGCCAATGCAGAAGCCTTGTGCTAGGATAATTTGCCAATATTCACTTGCCAAACTGGTCATCATAACCCCGAAGACTGTCATGAAGGAACCGACGATGATCAAAGCTCGAAAATAGCCTCGGTCAAAGATTGGCCCGGTAATGATGCCCGTTCCTAGAAGACAAAAGGCTTGCACGGTTCCAACCCATGATATTGCTGAAGAACTATATGAAGATAAAAGTGTCGTCCTGTAGAATTCTTGGTATACTCCAAACGAGTTCACGATTCCCCTGTTGTGAGACAATTCAAGTTAGACATAGTATCTGGAATGAACACAGAATGAACACAATACAATCCTCGACATACCAAGAATTGAAAAATACTAGATGCCCTCCAAGAACCTGTAGCCATGCTGTCAACCCGCCATTCGGAGGCCTTTCTTCTTCAATCTGAGAGCTAATTTGTTGATTCGATGGGTTCGTTGGTTTTTCTGGCATCCTTGTTGTATCACAAAGTATGCCGAATAATCTGTTATCGATGTAGATGAGGTAGTAACAACGGACGCAGAATCTTGGACGTCCCGGCCAGCTGTAATTTAAGTCCAAGGTATTCCTAGTATACATTCGTCTAGTAACCAAAAAATCGATGAATAGGTGGATTATAAATAACGCATTATCTTCTTAGCGAAAAGAGACTCCGTAGTGAGTTCCTACTTAGTTATTGGCTGGTGGAGCTTTTTTAGCTACCTAGGTATGATCTAGCCCTAATCCCTGCCTAATGCCAGAGCCAGCACCCTTATTATTCACGCACTAGAGCCGTGTTTTAGGACACTTGGTGACTACGAAAGCTGATATAGAATTATAAGTACTAAATGAACTAAACTACTTGCCGTAAACTCTGATAATATTAAAGCTACAAAGGTGCACTTGGTGCAAAGCATCACAATTTTGGATAAAAGCCGTGATGAGTAATATATAAATCGACTACAATCTATCTGCATCATTTATGAGTTGTATAACTTTAAAGCAGCCCGAACGATTCGTCATCTAGCCAAAGCAGGAGGGAGAAAGAAGATTCGCTCGTGTAGCTCGCTTAGCTCGCCTAACTTGACCTGCTGGCCGATGATTCCGCTGCTGATGTTGCAGACTGGGCAGATTGCTGGATCTATATGCTTCTAGACTTTACTCCATCAGATACGTGCATGCTTGGTTCTTTTTCGCTTCCTCAAAGTAAGTCGCATTGCTACCGGCTCCCTGCCCAACTTGAAGTTGCTATCCATCCAATGGGATGAATTACAATGTCAAGGTCGATTAAGCTACAACTAAAACAAACAAGAGATCATCATGTGCTATGAAGACCCCACCACTGGGTTCATTCAAGGAGTCTGTCTTGATATACAAGGCGTACTAGAAGGGAAAAACGCAGAAGCAAAACCCGCCATTCAAAAATCAGGTATGATACAATAGTCAAGTGTGATGTCGAAACGACTCTTCTTATCTGGAGAAATATTTTGATATAGTATGTTCCACCACTGGCATTCATTCATTCGTACACATTGTAGGTTATTTTAAAAGATGTAGAATCTTTGTGTGGAACGGTAATACCATAGTTCTCCTTACCGAGCTGCAGCATTTACCGCTTGCCCTTCTTCTTGCCAGCAACAACCTTGAATGCAGCACTGGCATCTTCCTCTTGTTTAGCTTGGCTTGAAGACTTCTTAGCAACCTCACTCCAGCCACCGGAAGCAGCTTTCGGGTCCGTAAATGCACTGGTGCTGACAGGATCAACAATTCCCTTGTCCGCGAGCTTGCGACGGCGAATGAATTCCTCGGCAAAACGACGGCCATCCAAGGTCTGAGAATTGGCGTACACAGAATCAGAAATGATTTCTGCCTCGGCGGGAAGGAAGAGCAGTTGTTGCACAAAATCGTCCACTATTGTTATCTTTGCGTTAGCATATGATCAGAAAAGTAATTGGCAGAGTTTGAAGCCATACCGATTATTCCACTGTTAAGACCCTTGCCTAACGTGATCTTAGCCCACTTGGTAAACTCTTCGTTAGCGCGGTTGGGGTTCGTGGCTGGCGTGGTGCCAACAGTAGAAGTTCTAACAGGGGCTACGGGCCTCGGCTTTGCTGCTGGAGGAGTGGCAATGGTAGCGCTAGTAGAGCGAGGTCCAACTGGAGCAATTAGTGGTGCTTTCGCTTTGCCGCCTACGCCAACGGTAGTCCAGGCACCAGAGCCTGTCGATGCTGGTGACGCAGCTCCTTTACCGGCGAGGTCCGCATAGCGCTTACCAGCGGCGGTGGCAGTGGTAGTGGTGGTTACTGTAGGCTGGACAGCGCTAACTTGAGCCAATTTCTGTTTGCGTGCTTCCTCTTCCTTCTGAATTTGGGCAAGAGTCTTTGCAGGGGTGCCAGTGGCTTTCGCAACGGGCTTGGACCAAACGGAACTTGCAGAGCTAGGTGTAACTGGAGTCGCACTGCTGGCCCAATTGGCTGTTGATGGCAATCCAGGTGCAGCTGCCTGCTGAGCTTGCGATAGCCGTTCCTGTTCAGCCAAGAGTTGGGCACGACGAGCCTGCGCTGCAAGTTCTTCACGCTGAGCAGCACTGCGGGCTTCTGCTTCCTGGATCTCTTTCAGAGATGGTCCCTTTGGCGCCTCAATGCTGTCTTTAGCCCAAGGAGCTATAGAAGTGGATGGAGTTTCGACGGGTGTCTGGTTCTGAGAACGCGACGTAGCAGCAAGAGCATCGGCCACATGTTGACGGTTTCTCTGGGCTGCTGGCGCTGGAAGAGGGGACGAGGATGGAGGGGGTGGGAAAGGATGGGGAATGCCCGGATCGCCCTTTGCTGCCCACGCAGCTTCGGCTTGAGCTTGTTTCTGCTGTTGCTGTTGTTGTCTCTGCGCAGTGGCTGCCTTTTGCACTTGTTGCGAAAGAGAGAGAGGTTCATTGGTGGATGTCTCGAGCTCTTGCTGGACCGATTCATCCTCCTCTTGCGTCTGAGTAGTTTCAACCTGCTGTGTCAAGGCAGACGTAGCATGGGATGGTAATCCTTCATTGGCTCTCAGCAAGGCCTCATCGTCATCTGAACGAAGTGCATGAAATTGACGGAGACGTTCATCACGTGCTTGCTGTTCAAAAAGGCTGTCTGGATGCGTTTTATCATATTGCTCCTGCTCCTGTTGAAGACGGGCACGATCCTGCAATACCGAGCTGATCTGCTGTGGGTGTAGGCCAGCTTCTTGCTGACGTCCACTAAACGAACCCTGGGTGTTCAAGGGGAAGGGACCAGGGCGATTAATATTCAGACGATCAAGGAACCCTGGGAGTTCATCGTGTGAGCCAAAGTCTGTTCCGAGCATTTGGGGACCGAGAGGAAGGGCATTCTGCCTAAACGGTGCATCAAAGTATCCTGGCATTGTCTGTGGAGGCTGAATGGGTCCTTGAATTGGAGATTGCTGGTAACCACCTGTGGGGGAAGTGATACTACCGAAACTTGGCTGGCTGTGCAAACTATGAGCGCTTGAATGATGCTGAAGCTGAGGCGGTCCACCCTGCAGTTGCATTTGTTTCATCATAGCCTGCTGCTGAGCAAGATGTTCTTTTTGTCTAGCCATGAGATATTGCTCTTCCTGCTTTCTCCGCTCCAGTGCATTCTGTTGCTCCGCGGTGAGCGTTGTTCCGAAAGTCGGGAAACTGTTTGCAAACGGCGGCTGAGCAGTCCCAGGTTGTGAGGAACCACCCCAGGCTGCTGCTTGATTGGGCTCGGGGCCGTGAGGTATACCTATTTGAGGCACGAGGAATGGCTCACGCGAGTTTCCAATGCGACGAACAAGCTGTGCCAGAGGCTCAAATTCGGGATCTTCTAGCTTCTTGACCTGAAGTTCCGCGGTGAAGAATCCTGCTTTAAACCAATCATGCATTTCCAATCCTGACCAAGGCCCTTGAATGTTGCCCTGTGGATCACGATAGATCCATCGCATACGGTCAGGCATGACCATGGTCCTCTGTTGAGCGGCTGGTAGGGTATTCGAGCTACCAATGGAGGCGTTTTGTTGGCCTTGCAGACCATCTGATGAAGTAGCTAAAGGCGTTGGCAGCGCACTACCAGCAGAGGTAGCTGGAGCTTGTGAAGGCGTTGACACGGAAGCTTTCAGTTCTATTCCAACGTGAGTTTGTTTTTCTCCGACTGTGTTTTCGGCTCTCCTTTGATATATCTTACCTTGTGACCTAGTCAGATCCTCTTGTCGTCCGGCTTCACTCTGGACATGCTCTTGCATAGATGAAAACAGAGAACCCATTTTACTCGCTCTGCCGATGCTTCCAGTCCCACTGAGTCCTGCGTGTGAGCCGAAGAAACCGCCTCCGCCAAGAGTAGAAAGACTTGGAGACTGTATTTCACCCATGGAACCGAAAATGGGATCACCAAATCCACTGAAAGCTGGTCGTTCTCGTGTTGGTGTACCAATTGCCCCAGCAGAAGGCCATGCTGCTCCACCCCCTATACCAGGAAGAGCGCCCAATCCGCCAAGGTTGGAAAACCCTCTGCTAGGGCCCACGCTAGAAGTTTGACTACGGTCACCCGTCGACATATCTAGAGCAGATCCGCCACGCCGGATGGAGCCGAATGGAGGAGCGGTGGAATCATCGCGGAGCCCACTCAGGCCCGGATGCTGACTTCGCTGCACGTCAGATCCGTCAGTATCCACGTCGTCATCGACCTTCTCGCCTCGTGGGCTCTGATAAGGATTGGTGTTCGTCGGACTAGTTGGCTCTAAACCCTGAAGATGACTTGGAGAATCACGAACACCGTCCCCACGACCGAGTAAGTCTCGTAAGCCAGGGACTCCGGCGGTCATACCAAATGCACCGAAGCCGATTTCGTCTACATTAGATCCAACTTCTTCGGAGCCACCAAGAGCAGCACTGCCACTACGAGGTTCATCGAATGGATTTGTTTCACTGCGAGTGGCACGGGTCTTAAGAGGCTCATTCCATGGCGACTGCGAACGACTGACTCCCTCATCTTCGGTAAGACGATCAATTTCCTTCGGTAAGCCCTTCTCCTTGGCTAACAACCCAACGTCTTCTGAGCTATCTTTTGAAAGCAATCCTTTGAATCTGCTTTCGCCCCGAACACTACCAAAACCAGGTCTCTTCTCAGTGGCGGATGTTGTGGTTTGCGGATTGGAGGCACCAATTGAAAAGCTACCGAATGCACCCATCGGAGAAAGATTCGCGGTTTGAGAAGCCGATGTCCATGGAGAAGGGGGCCCAGCTAAACCACTGACAACTGGGTTCGTTGCGCTACGTTTCAAGGAGCCAAACGGCGAAGATATTTCAGCGTAATCCTTGGGTTTCTCTTTTTCTTCCAAAGGCTTCGTAGTCAACGTTGTATCACGGAGATCAGTTTTGCGGCGCAAAAGTGACGGGGGAGGGGTGGTTGTACTAGGTTCCTCTCGGAAAAAACGTGAACCGCCTGTTGGAGACATTGGATTACCGGTGGAGTCTTGAGTTTCTCGACGTCGGGTGCCAGGGCGGGCTGCACTTGGAGATGACGTGTTGTACGACGTAGAATGTGAGATGGATGCCTTGCGTCCGCCCACACCAGCAGTGTTATCCTTGGAGGCACTTGATGGTGGAGGCTTCAAGGGAGAATTAACGGTCGTCGTGAATAACTGAGAGTGGAGTCAGCGAAAGATGATCCTTGGGAGATCTTCAAGATGATATACCTCGCGTTCATCCTCAGTCATGTCTATTAACCCCAGCGGTTCGTGGCGTCCAAGATGATCCCAACAGACTTCGGGGCCCGGAGGGGATTCTTTCTGGTCCTCTTTCTTCCCCCAAGTACCATTCGTAGCTGGAGTCTCTTCGAGAGGGTTCCAAGATGCGAGAAAATGGTCACCCATCTGCTTTCCCAATGCTCCAGAATCTCGCTGGCCTCTAAAAATATTTAGAAGGTCTTCCTTGGAGTATCGGCTGTCACCAGCTGAACCATTGCGAGACTGGTAGCTGGAACTCATATGGGGAGGAATGTATGCGGCAGAGGTAGGAGTAGACGCAGTGACAAGTTGGTCACGATTGTGCGATAAATTCGTTGCGACAGAGGGGCGGCGGAAGGTTTGCGTTGCTCCATTCATGCGAGACCGTGTCCTAAGTGTAGGAGATGCTGCTCAGCAAAACAAGACTTTTTAAACCCTCAGGCATGTTACCAGCACAAGGTACCAATGTTTGAGTGAGTGGGGAGGGAAGAAGGGTAAAGAGAACCTACCATTCTCCGCTAATACCGCCATCTTTCTTTGAATCCTGGTTGATGCCTGCCGCGGCAGAGGCAAAACTCGAAGGTAGAGGTAAGGGCATTTTTACTATGAACAAGGAACACGGTGGTCAGCCCAGCTTCGACGAGCATGCAGAAAAGACTTACCAAGGTACGCGTTTCTTCGTGGCAACAAAGATAGCGTTGAAAAAAAAAAGGGAAGTTTGATTCCGCACACGGCACAAACAAAAAATACAGGCCGGGGGAACAGTCGCTGGCAAATTTGCAGAGAGATGCAACGGGGAGGCTGTTATGCAGCAGCAATGAGCGAGAAGCAGTTGACGATAGAAACGAGAACGTGGCCGTGACCGTGGGGTTGGTGTCGAGATCGATAACGCTTGAGAGACGTTGAAGATCAGAAGAAGAGGTTGTGCTAGCTTGCTGGTTTTGGCATTTGGCGGCGGTAGCGAATCACGCGCGGGCCGTGGCAGTACGGGGCCACAAAAATACCTGCAAGAAATGTGCACAAAACCAGCCACTCGCTTTGCATGGATTATTGATTATTGTGGGCTGCGGCCTGCCAGGCGAGCGTAGCTAAGCCAGCCCCTTTTCCTCAGGACTCCTTCTTACTGTGAACTTTGAAGATACAAGATCGATCCCACGCACTACGTCAGGACTTTCGAGACCGGCCTTGCAAACAAACTGAGCACAGCACGCGCGCGGTGCGTGGCGATAGTCTGCATGCTATTGCCACGCCTCCCTCGTGCGAAGTTAGCGAAGTGAGATACTCTGAGATAAGTATATACCGGAGACGACTCAGGAAACGCGCAGTCGAGCTTGTATGCAGGAAGATGTCAATCAAAGCATTGGCAAGAGGCGGTTAATGATCATCTACAAATGGATATGCACGGACAAGCAAGCTCTTCAAATATCCTACAGTACCCTTCGATCTCATCGTTCAATGAGCTGCTGACATGAGAAGCAAACAAAGAAAATTATTTCAAATCAGCCTTGCCTGACGCCAATAAATATAAGAAGACATGGAAGCACTCATGTAGACGTTAAGAATCTAGGGTTGTATTTTGCATTGTTTGTTCCAGCCGGGCCGACATTGTCCCGGGGAGTACATAAGTGCGTCAGGCATCAGCCTCTTGACGTAAATATGTAATCCATCTCAAGAACATCGAGAATATTCAGTCATATGTGAAAGAGCTCTTGCAAAGACAGTAGGACTCTTCTGCCTATGAAATGAATCACTATACCAGCAATATACACCATGTCTAGCTCGGAAGACACCACCCGCATCCTGGACGTTGCGCTCCAATCGCTGCGGGGCGATGGACAAACAGAGCCCGCCATCAAAAACGCCTACGAAGCAATCGCACTTATTGGGCATGCATCTATGGTAGCGGCGCACTTTCGATTAGTGGGATTGGGTGAGGAGCATAATATAGGTTCGACGACGCCCCGATCAACAGCGAAATGGATTACTGACTGACATCGCCACAGAAAGTAATACAGACGCCACCATTTTGCCAAAGGAATGGAACGCCCATAATAGCACTTACGCTTTTCGATATGCACACGAGCAATCGTCCACCGACTACTTACTGAAATTCAACCGGTTGGGCAATAATGCAGTCGTTATGGGACTGGCTGGCGAAGACAAGGCGACATCATTCGATATACCGGTCAACGAGTATATCTCGTCATCCGCCTTACCCGTTCAGCTACAACCGGACCAGCCAAATGATTTGAGGGCCATCTTTGTGACACGGGACCGCCTAGAAGACTTGATGAATCTCTTCAAGATCCATGTGATCCAGAAATTCACCGTTCTGAGCCAGCCCAAAGAGGGCGTTGGGGAAGCTAGACGCCAACGCGATCAACAACAGCAACAACAACCTGAAGGACCTCAACAGCGCGATCCCCTACGTGAAGGCCAGGCTCCTCAGCCTGCTCGCCCGTCTCCATTCGAGGACCCTTTGGCTGCTGCACCACGCCGTCCAGCTCCCGTTGGGGACTTTGCTCCGCCTGGCTTCGAGGATGAGTACGAAATGAACCAGCCCTCGCGCGGACTCGTGATGCCTTACGGACAAGGAAATTTGCCGCGTAGTGGTGATCGAGATTTGTATCCCCAAGGACTAGGTCCATATGATCCGTTGAGAGGATCATTTGGACCCGCAAGCGGTGGTGGTGGTGGGATGCACCCGACGCCAGATGATCCAATGTTCGGAGGCTCCGGAGGGCAACGAGGCGGCTATGACCCACGAGCACCTCCAGGATCTCGATATGACCCTGTCGGCCCTTGGGACACGCCGCCATCCGGTCGAGGGAAGGGGCCTGGAGGGGGCGGCTTTGGACAAGGAGGGTTCGGCGGGGGGTTCGGCGGAGGAGACATCATTTAAGGGGAATCTGATAGCATGGCTGTGATGATTAGTTGCTGTTATTTAATGTGTAATGAAAATTGTAAGAACCGTCGAAAATGAAGTCGAATACCTACATACAACAATGTTGTCGCCAAAGTCCTTCCATGAGGCGGGCGAGAGCCAGTGAGGGGCGCTCGGGCCCGCTGCCATTGGCTGTAGCTCCACGCAGCTGTGGCGCTCTGGCGTGGCGCAACCTCCGCGTCTTGTTTGGGAGTTGAGCCGTCCACCGTCCCAGACGCAACCTCGCAGGACACTGACAAAACCCGCATCCCCACCGCCACGACCTCGACAAAAACATTGAACCCCCGTTGTCACAGAATAATAACCCATCTTTCGCAAAAAATACTCTCCTCTTCGGTCACTTCCCCTTCCTTGCTTTCGTTGCTCGTGTTGTTAATCCGGGCTTAATCTCACGAGACCCTCGATCCGCCCCTCCTTCAGGTCTCGTTAGGCTGGCCTTCCTTCCACACGACACAAAATGGAGAACAACATGGAAATCGACACAGTCCGCTCTCCAGAACCTCATCATCTTTCGCCGACGACAGACCCAGGGTCTATTCCCACTCTTGATGGATGGATCGAAAATCTGATGAACTGCAAGCAGCTGGCGGAAAATGACGTGCAGCGACTATGTGATCGGGTACGCCCGCACTCGTGTGCTATGCAGTGCTTATGACTAATATTTCACTTTCTCACTAGGCAAGGGAGGTCCTTCAAGATGAGTCGAACGTACAGCCAGTGGTATGTATCCCTCGAGTGGATTTTGGGCAGCGGGAGGTTGACTTACAATTCCTCGAATCGCAGAAATGCCCCGTCACAGTTTGTGGAGATATCCATGGACAATTTCACGACTTAATGGAGCTGTTTCGTATTGGGGGACCAAATCCAGATACGAACTACCTTTTCATGGGTTAGTAAAGAGATCCTTTTCTTCGCATATTTTTCGCCTGGTGCGCATTGTTTCTACGTGGGCTTTTGTTTCCGTTATTTTCAGCAAAGCTGACTCACCACTGGTGCTTAGGTGACTATGTCGACCGTGGATATTACTCTGTCGAAACTGTCACACTTCTCGTGGCTTTGAAAATTCGTTACCCTCAACGCATCACAATCCTTCGTGGAAACCATGAGTCCCGACAGATCACCCAGGTCTACGGCTTCTATGACGAGTGTCTGCGCAAATATGGAAATGCAAACGTCTGGAAGTACTTTACTGATCTTTTCGACTACCTCCCTCTTACAGCCTTGATTGAGAATCAGATCTTCTGCCTTCACGGAGGTCTCAGTCCGTCAATCGATACTCTTGACAACATTCGATCTTTGGATCGCATTCAGGAAGTGCCTCACGAAGGCCCTATGTGTGATTTGCTCTGGAGTGATCCGGATGACCGATGTGGCTGGGGGATTTCTCCACGAGGTGCGGGCTATACATTTGGACAGGATATTTCAGAGGCATTCAATCACAACAACGGCTTGACTCTCGTTGCACGTGCTCATCAATTGGTGATGGAGGGCTACAACTGGTCTCAAGACAGAAACGTCGTTACCATTTTTTCAGGTATGAGCTAGCTCGCCGAGAAACAGTTAAGAGAACAGCATTGGCTAACTAAAGATATTAGCTCCTAATTATTGCTATCGCTGTGGTAACCAGGCTGCTATCATGGAGATAGACGAGCACTTGAAGTACACCTTGTATGTTTTTCTCTGCACGTCTGCTTCCTTATCTATAGAACAAGAACAAGAACTGACATGCTTTCAGCTTGCAATTTGATCCATGCCCCCGAGCCGGAGAGCCGATGGTTTCAAGACGAACACCCGATTATTTCCTTTAAGCCATGAATAGACTTACTCTCTTGAACAAATAACGATCCAATTGGTCTTATACCCGACTTCACTTTTTTTTTCCCTTGAATTCGCCTTTGTCCCACCTCGAAGCTGGATACAAACCGATCAAGCGCTTGGCATTGGGAGGAGATGGCCGGTCTTCTGGGAACGGCGCGTATTAGAAAATTGATCGACGCATGTGCCTCTCTACGCGTGCTGACTACTCGATTGTCGTTGATACCATACTTGAAGGAGTCAAATTTTATTTCACATACACACAACACACTTTCATGTTTCCTTTTCTCGTGAGGATAGCACCTATCACTTTAATCATTAGACCTAATGAGAGACCGATTTGTAAGAATACCCTTTTTTTTCTTTCCTGATTTACACTGTTGAAGGCGTTTTCAGCAAGATACCACCATCAACATGGAGAATCTGTCCATTCACATAGGTACCTGCTTTACTGCATAGAAAGAGAACCGCACTGCCGATATCAGTGTCTTTGCCTGGACGAGCTATATTTCAAGTCAAAAAAAAAAAAAACACCCTATAGTCAGCATCTTCATCATGATTAACTCCTTGGAATCGCCTCCAATGCACAATGAAGAAGCACCGGTACCTACAGGCAGGGATCTCATGTCCAATTTTCTGCAACCTCTCCCGCTGCGTCTCATCTCTCACACCTTCCCCCGGAAATATAGGAGGAAAGACACCCGGCGCAATACAGTTCACGCGAATTCTCAACGGGAGGAATGTATGCGCCCATTGCTTGGTTAGATGAATAAACGCAGCCTTTGCCGATGAAAAAGCGAATTGGCCATGGCTATGCGTCTTGGTCAAGCCGGAAGCAGAAGAGATATTCAGGATTACGCTCGAATGGCCCTGTGTATGCTGTCTACCCTTGTCGAGTAGCGGAAGCAATGCGGCTGTCAGGAAATGATGGGCAGCGACATTGCCTGCAAATGCGTCTTTCCAAGCGTCCGGCCCATCGGTCGTCATCCAGCTGGCAACGGCGGACACATCGCTGAAGTTGACGTCGTGAGTCTCGGAACGTGCGCGTTCTTCTGGAGATACGCTTCCATTGTTGATAAGGATGTTTACGCCCTTGGGCTCGAGTCGAGTCAGTTCGGACACCGCTTTGCGTCTATCGTCTGTGAGGGTGATGTCCGCTGGTAAACTTGAGATAAAACATTTAGTTCAAAAGCGAGGTAGTTATTGTAGCAGTGCTATAGGGGTGCAATGAACACATACGCAGTCGCTTTGCCGTCATTGCATTCCTCGGAGTTTATCACATCAGCTGCCTTTTGGAGAATATCCTGTCGTCGGCCGATAAGGTAGACACGCGCACCGTTGTTGGCTAGGGTTTGTGCTGCCATGAGGCCCATGCCAGTTGCAGCGCCTGTAATGACGGCAACATAGTCCTTGACGCCAAAGAGCGTCTGTGATCGGAGATCTCGACCGGTTGTCATCTTGCTTTCACCTGTGTTTATAACCTTGGAAGTATAGTATATTTGTTTTGCCTGGAAAGTAGTAGCGAGAAGAAGCTGGTTACGCCGAGAGCAGTGAAGAAAGAGTTGACTTCCAGGTTTTGCATTTGCTATAGAAATACCTACATGGTAGCCAAACCTTGAAATGCTAGGAAACGGTTTGCGGTAGCATCACAGTGACATATATTTTAGCAAGGCTCCACGAAACTGTCGGATTCGATGGAATCCATTGCCGGATTTGCCCACGGAGGTAGTAACATACCTATGTATGTTCTGAATGAGTTATTGGGAGAGATATATGTGTATATTCTGTAATTCTTCTGAAATGTAACGTAAGTCACCACCACCAACAGAAAATCCCGAGGTTAATACACAACTCTGTACATTTCATCAATGCGTATGTGATTTTGTCTGAATTATAATGCAGCGTCACGAGAAATATCCATGATTTCAATTGGATGTTGGTGGTCTTGTACATATCCGACGCCACTGAGAGCCTTGTCTGTTTAAAAGAAAAGGAAAAAAAAAAAAGGTCAAAACGATGAAATTCTGTAAAGCTGGTAGGTAGGAACTTACAATATCCGGCAAGTCTCAGAACGTCCTCTGGAAGTGTACGAGCGATTTCAATAGGCGTAGATAAGACTTCATCCTGGTCTTGTCGGAAATAGTCCCGTTGACTAAAAAAAGAAAAGACAGAACACGGTTAATTACCCGACTGACGCAGACTTCGATTCGAAAGGAAACGAGACTTACGCAAAGACAGCAAAAAGTGTTCGAAGTGCATCCGGATCCGTATACTCGGATATATTCTCGCCTGCACCGTGATATGTAGCTGCGAATTCATGAGCGGGGGAGTAATGCAGCAAAGTTGGCGCCAGATCACTTACATCCAAGGGTAAATAAAGCCGAGCCGGGTTCCATTTCTGCATATGTGCATTCTTCTTTCTTTGGTGCCCGGTCTGCACCCCATAGGTGACTTCCAGGAATGACGGCAGTGGCCTGTTTTAGGGTTGTCAGAAGGGTTCATACTGGAGGGCGTTCTTCCTTTGAGATGTTTACGCCATTCTTAAAAGTGCACCGAGACCCTGCAATCAAGCACCCTACCATCGGGGTGAAGAAGGGGCTGTTAGGATCAGGCCTAGTCTGGTATGCAATTTGATCCTGATCTTGTATGTAAGTACTTCATGACGAGTACACTTGATGGGGGGTTAAGGCATATACCCTGTGCAGTGGCTGTGATTTGGCTCCAGGTACCAAGCGGAGTGCTGCAGTTGATGCGAGCATATAACCGCTCTTTTGCGGTACGAGAGTCTCACCAGTATAGGAAGCGAATTCGTCACTAAAATACCATTGTTGGCATTGTCAAATGACCTATCGTAGGCCTTGTTGACTTACTTCAAAAAGCGGCCCATGATACTTTTCCAAACTGGAAGACGCACAATCTTAGTTAACTGTTGCGGTATTCTGGATAACAGTGCCTTTGCAAGGTGTTAATATCAAGCCGAATAAGATTAATGATAAAACCTGAACGCACATAGACACGCTGGGAGCCTTCGGGAAAGAAGTCTGCTCCGAGTTCATCGTGAGTAGCTTTTGAATCGTAGATCTTGCGGCCCTTGAAATGAGGCTCGACTATGGGCTAGGTCAGACTCTCCCTATCAACCAACGCCATGAAGCACCACCTACTAGCGTCATTGGTTTCCTTCAAAAGATCAGGGGAAAGAAAGTTTGAAATGATAACGCCGCCGTCCTTCTCAATTATCTTGATGATCGTATCGATAGGCTCAGAAGCATCGAGGGTGACAAGCGAGGAAGCCATGGTGAAGTGATACGATGGTCTCCTGATGGACTCTACATGTCTCCTGCCTGCGTCCTATCGAGAGGAGAACAGTATTTATGCCTGTAATGGCGCTCTTCTTTCGACGTCAGGAGTCGAGTCCGGTGTCACCGGGCCGGTTGTTGTGTTGAACAAGAACAGCCTAGCAATGATGATACCCTTTGATTGTCTTATCTGTCTGTCACAGGTGGGTCCATATACGCTAAGCGAGTCTAGAATCCTAGGTACTCTTAGCATCCTTGAATTGATTCCTTATCTCGCCCATCCTTGGCCTCGGAATGTTCTCGTGTTCGCTTCCATGAGCCCATACGTCCAAGATACCTAGGTATACATAGAAGAAGTACTGTGGACTACGCAGGTACAAGAAAAAGCTGAGTGTCACTTGGCCATAAATAAATAATTACATTCATTTATCATATTCATCATTTTGAGTTATCAGTCGTGATCATCCTATAGTTTCAGTACCAATTCATTCTACTTGCTTCAGCTCTGTGAGCAAACCGGCGCTACGCGACTCAGCTAGTGGAGAAGTATGCATTGTTTTAGCCACTGCAAAGCTCGGATTAAGAGCTGCACGGGGTAGAAGGCACGGGAGGCAGGTGAACGCGGTACCTTGTTTGCAATATTATAGAGCTAAATATCCATTCCCCACAGCTAGTGAATCCACTGATAGTGAATCCTTAGGCGCCACTCGGTGGATGGAGATCTCACTCCACACTGGATAGTCAAACACACCAGATAATCACCAATGTAATTCTAAGGATACTACTCACTCGAACCAAAATGAGGCATCTCTCTAACACATTACTTGCCTCAACACGCCTGTTTATTGTCCTTTGGCCGGGCCGGTTGACCTTATCTGTCCAAGGACGACAGAATGGACTCCGGCCAGAAAATATAGTCGCTCTTTGTTGGTAAACTTAGCCTATCTGTAATATCCATCTACAGTCAAATTGTTCTCTGCATCTGCCTAAGGCGAATATAAGTTCGATCTTCCTTTCACTTTATCCCCCTGTCATTTCCCGTATACTTCAAATCAAAATGGAAGACAACAGCAATTCAAAATCTCCTCTCAAGGTTTCTACAATGACCAACGACCAGGTAGAAGCAGCAGACGCATTTGGTGTCGGTGAAGTTACTTTTGTGTGTTGTTTCTTTTCTTGACAATTGTACTCCATATGCTAATTGATCTAGGCTACTGACGGCACGGAGCTCCCTTCTAAAGCGCAAGAAGCGGAATTCGCGGCAATTTTGAATGATGCTATAAATCATCGACGATTGAGACCCAGTCAAATCCAGTTTGCTGCCATTGCCGGTTCAATAGGGGCGTCAGTCCTCTTCGGACTATGTGTATTGCCTGATTTTATACTGATATAGATCGATTTTCTAGTGCTCTATTCGTGGCTATCGGCAGTGGAGTGTTGTCTGGACCTCTTTGTTTGCTCCTTGGCTTCATTTTTTGGGCTTCCGTTGTGTTTTGTGTTGCTCAATGTCGTAAGAACCACCAGCACATCTATCAGAATACTCCTGTATCTCCTATGAAACTCATACTTTTTTTTACCCTTTTTCGAAAGAGACCGAGATCATCACCCTTTTCCCTCTGGATGGTTCCTTCATTCGGTTGGCGGGGCGCATGGTCGACCCAGCTCTCGGTGTTGCAGTTGGTTGGAATTATTTTGTTTGTCAACCAGAACCTTGCCACCATATCAATGCTAACATTTAACATTATAGTTCTGTCAAACTTCGTACGTTATGTTCGAAGCCACTGTCATCAATACCCTTGTTGAGTATTGGGGCTACAATCAATCTCCTGCCATCCTTATTTCAGGTAGGCACTCCGCACGAAATGGCATACTTCTTCCATATATATTTACTCACAACTTCGTGTCAGTCACATTATTTATATTTCTAGCTCTCAATATTTATCGGGCAGACCTATTTGGCGAAGCAGAATGTATGTATATTGAACTTCGAATACGACGCCATGTATGCTGACGGGGATTTCAGTTTGGCTTGCCCTGGGCAAGATACTAATGGCTACTGGCCTTATCCTATATACCTTTATAGTGATGTTAGGTGGCAACCCACTTCATGAGTAAGACCCATAGATGAGTACGGAAAGCATAAATTCTTAAGCTGATTCCTGCAGTCGTTTCGGATTTCGTTACTGGAAAGACCCCGGTTTTTGGGCTGGAAGTAACCCATCTGCCCGCTTGGAGTCATTCATAAATGCCATCAATGTGGCCGGTTTCTGTATCGGGGGTCCCGAGTATATCTCAAGTAAGTTTGGCGTACAAAATGAACATAACGCAGCTTTACTAAATCCCCAAAGTCATTGCTGGAGAGGCTCGAGATCCCCGCAGAACAATGCCACGAGCTTTCAGCAGTCTCATGTTTCGACTACTGGTTTTCTTTATTGGCGGATCATTCTGTGTCGGTGTAAGTACTCTCAGCTTCCTGTTACCTCGAATGCTCGTATTGATCTTCTGCTTCAAGGTACTCATTCCATACAATGATAAGACGTAAGAGCCCACGTATTCACCGCTATGTTATATGTTCCCTGTTAACAATTTTCAGCCTAACTGATGGCTCGAACACCTATGCCGGCGGTTCCCCATAGTAAGTATCCCAATTTCAACGATCCATGGGTTTCCCACATACTTAGTGGCTTTCTCATCAGTGTCATCTCCATGGAACGTCTACAAATTCCGATTTTGCCGTCTATCGTCAATGCAGGACTCATCACAACTATTATCTCTGGTGGAAACGCATATACGTTCGGCGCTTCAAGATCACTTCATGCGTTGGCCCTCGATGGACAGGCGCCCAAGTTTCTACGCAGATTAAACAAGAAGTATGTGTCAATCGTTGGCTAGTCAAAACACATGCTAACATGGTCTCAGAGGAGTGCCTTACATGGCTGTAATTGTGGTTCTGCTCCTGGGTTGCCTTGCTTATCTTTCTGTAAGCGCAGGCACGGCCAAGGTGGTAAACTGGATTCTGAAGTAAGTTTTCTGCACATTTATGGTTCTGCCGAGTGTAATGCTGATGATATTCTTCCTGGTCGATTAGCTTTTGTACTGCTGCAACTATGTTGTAAGTATTCTTGGCCAGGTCCCAATCGGGGTTACTAATATTATATCGCTAGCAATTGGACTGTGATGTCTTTTACATGGATACGATTCAACGCGGCAATTAAGGCTCAAGGCATTGACAGGAATTCTTTTCTACCTAAAGTCTCCAAATACCAGCCTCTGGCGGGTTACTGGGCTTTATTCTGGGCCTTTTTGTTCCTATGGTAGGTTGATTCAGGAAAATATCCCATTAATTTTCAAGCAAATAATTTGAGAAACCGTAATCAGGGTCCAAGGCTACGCCGTCTTCACGAAAGGTAACTGGGAAGTATCCACTTTCATCTTCAACTACGGCATAGTGAGTTTCCATGACAGTATTTATTTCGAGATCAGAGACAGAGTATTTACCGTGCCGCAGATTGCTTTCGCTGGTGCCATCGGAATTGTCTGGAAAGTTGTTAAGCGAACCCGATTCTACAGAAGCACCGAGGTCGATTTGCGATCCGGCTTGGAATTGTTCGATGTTTTGACAGAGCACTACCAACAGGAGCGTGAGAATGTACCCTCTTCCCTCAAGGAGAGGATAATTGACAAACTATTTTGAAGCGATATATGTTTTCTCGATGGTCCCGTTGCTCGCTGGGACCAGAATCATTGTTTAATCTTGCACACCGTCGAAAGTAGTCTCCGACCGAATTGACGTTTTATCTACAACTACTCCGTTACTCATTTCAGCAACTAGTATCTGAAGCTGTTAGTTCGCAGATTTTCACCTCAAAGCCCAAGATACATAGTATTGAATTTGTCTTGATCAGATCTCCGATTTTTCTGATTGCTTCAATGTAGTATATAGACCAATAAGCGTAGCAAGCCCTGCGTACACTGTAGCAAAGTAATTAAAAAGACAAGACTTGGTAATAATAATATCCACAGCCGATATTACAATTGCAAAGTTGATCGACTAACTAACTGCTCTAGACCAAAGTGACCGCTGCATAGCGAGTTCCCGTCTCTTGGGTAAGTTGACAGAATCGCACGTGCCGAACCAAACCCTAGGATTCACGATGAGGATCGCCATTCAACAACTTGACTTTCTCCTGTTTCAGCGTGAACGTAACAGAAATAATCAGGTGAGTCAAACAAAATAGATCCCAGCATCAGCTAAGCTTGGTTATATGCAATATGAGTGTTGCTATTGAATGGTATTATTTCGTCAATTCTGTGCCCAGCTCCATAGGGTTTCATAGCTCACACGAAGCGTTTATTATGCCTTAGAGCCTTTAGGTAATGAGTTTCTTATAGTTTTGATATATCCACAGCGTCGCATGAGAGATTGTGAAATGGTGAATCACTACATCCCCCTAGGTTTGATACCGTATTGTATTTTATTCTGCGGACCTGGAATTCCGTTTTAAAATCTTTATTTCAAGCTTCTTTTCCGTTCTTTCCACCAAAAGCAAATCAGAGACAAAGTAGTATATTGTATTTGTTATATATTAGTAAATAGTCAGTTAATGCTAATTAGAAATGTCAACCGAATAATACTTAACTATATACTCACATCACGATACAAAACACACGCGTATAGACGAGTAACGGGAGCTAGCGCATTAGTGTAATAAAAGGTCTTGGCATATCCCGTCATATTTGATGGATTCATCGATATGTTTACGTCTTTGGTTAATTTATTCCACAGTTTTAATACTGCTTTAGTTCTGCTAGTAATAGACCATATATATAATTTTTAGAGAATTAATAAGATTGGAATTAAAGCATAGCTATAATAAGGAAAATAAAAACATGGTCACATTTTTTCCAACATAATTAGTGATAGGCTTAGTAAATTAATAGGTAGACAGAGGCCTCTAGGGATATGGATGGCCCCGCAAGGCGAGCAGACCCACGTGACGTCGGCAGCTGCAAGTCATCGAGCCCTGACTAATCACGGGCCCCGCCGTGCTCCATAACGAGCAGTCCCCCGCACGCGGCGGCCAATCTGCATTCCAGACTTCACGTCTTATCCGGTGAATCCACTCCGTTCTGCGACTGCTTTCCTCTTCATCCTCCCCAATTGTCGATATCGACTTGATGTTTCTTTGCCGGCCGTTCTGTCGCCTATAGATCAGCGCTATGCCTCAAGAGAGGATCGAGAGGGGCAAGAGAGTGCGCGCCTGCACCATTTGCGGCCGAACCTTCAAACGCACCGAGCACTGTATTCGACATGAGCGCGCACGTAAGAAGACTATGCACATCCTGTCTATGGCCATCAACGGTCACTTAGCTGATTGAATGGTTGCCAGATTTTCGCGAGCGTCCGTTCTCTTGCAGGTTCTGCGATAAGTCGTATGGCAGAAAGTAAGTGCCTCGGTAAAAGGTCCGATACGGTTCCGGTCGCTAAACAGTTCGTTTTCTTCTCTATAGAGACCTGCTCGTTCGACATGAGCGCACACTGCATGCCGATGAATGGGCTAATGCGCAATTAGCTGCTTCACCAAGTACCCCTGCGCGTCCAGGCCGCCGCCGTCAGAACCGGGATAGTTGGAGCCGCGTTCAACCATTGCCACAACCACTGTCACAGACAGAACCGCAATATAAAGAAGAACCCCCCACTGGCGTGCGAGTGAATGATGAAACAGTGATACAATTCGAAAGTTTCCTCCCGTCGCCTCGCGTTTCATCTTCGTCCGAAATCAGTGACCCAGAGTTAGTCACCGGCGTTTCTGATGGCATGGATGTCGAGTTTCCATTAGACCCGAATCTCTCAAATGGAATCCATATGCTTGTTGGAGATGTCGATAATACACCCCACGAATATGTCCCTACATATCCGATGGATCAACGTCACACCGCATATGAGTCATATCTACAACAGCATGACCTGGAACATTATAACTCCTATCAGGGCTTGCCAATTGACCCTAGCCTCACTACCGACATTCCCAAAAACAATGGGTTTCCTATTATACAGGATGAAACATTTTCTAGGGCGGAAAATGTAAATATCTTCGCTTTATTTCCGGATTTAACTCTCGACGACCAGAGTCTAACTCATTATTTTGACGGGTCATTCGATGATAAGGTCACGCCAGACCTACTCAAAGATACGTCAACCGATGACACAACGTCTTCAGATATGCCTCCTCCTGAATCTCGTCGTCGAGGACGACCATCTCGCAGTTTTAGGGCGCAAAGCGGCTCCCGGTTTCGTAAAGTTTATACGGAAGAGTGTCAATTAGCTCTTCTAGCAGATCTCCAAAATACCTTTGCCTGTCAAGTTCAAGAAAGTCAGTTGCCGCGGATACCGGCTTTTCAGTGTTTCATAAATCAGTATTTTCAGTCGTTCAACAATCGACTTCCGATACTCCATCTCCCGTCATTTGATGTTTCAGCAACTCCTGCTCCACTGCTATTGGCTATTTGCTCAATTGGCGCGTTATTTGGTTCTGAAAAGGACGTTGCCAATGATCTACGGAAACTCGCAAAGCAAGCCCTGCAGAGCATAGATTCAACATCGGATAGACCCATGTGGGTAGTACAATGCAAAATACTTCTTATTGCGCAGGCAGCTTTTGGTGGTGACTGCATTGCAGTAAATTGGGCACTGGAAAACGTGGGATTCTTCCATCGGGAATTTACTTCCCGTAGCGCGGCACTTTCAGCGACTCGAGATACCAAGCTCACCAGTTGGACTGCTTGGATCGAGAGGGAGTCTTCCAAGCGTTTACTCTTTGGCATGTTCATCATAAGCAGTCTTTTGACCCTGACTTATAACATCTCGCCCTGCTTGTCTACCACGGAAGATCTAAAGATTGAGATGCCCGCAGAAGAGTCTGCTTGGATTGCTGCTGATGAACATTGCTGGAAGAAAGAAATGGCTACGAAAGTGCCACCTAGCATGGACGTCTACCAGGCATTGACGAGAGTGCTTTTTGGAAAAGATTTCAACACCGACACTGAGAGCCAATGGCCCGCCTTTGCCGTCACAATTCTGATGCATGCTGTACATGTGCATATGTGGCATGTTACGCAGTCCACTCAGTCATTCATCAACTTCTCCGCCAATGTGAAAATAGAGGAGCAGATGAAATCTCTATGCACTAGTCAAACAGAAGAGGTACTGGAGAGGTGCTACATGATATTTGCGCACCGGCGTCCTTGTGATGAAGAGAAAACATGGGATGATGTCGAAGGCCCCCTACTTTTCAATGGCATGGCTGTGCTCCGTAGCTGCTATGTCCGTGCTTTCACCGGAAGTGGGAGCTTCAACCGCTCTATACTCTTCAGTGATGATGAAGAAGCGATTTTTAGAGTGGCAAAGGACTATATGCAAATCGAGCAAGTCCGAACTCCTTTTCTTTCGGCGGCCGTTGCACAAAGCTTTGATGGCTTGTTGACCCCGCTGCAGGCGGTACGTATGCAGTCGGAGAAGGAAGCTATTCTGGCGTGGAGCGTGGAACATGTGACCGCTGTGTGGGATTCTGGTAAGCAAACAAAAATTATTTTAGGAAAGTCACCCCCTGACCTTGTTGTAGCATTATTCTATACCAAATGGGTACACACAGTCGAAACGCAAAATGCATTTGCTCAGCCTGAAACGGAAGAAAAGAAGAACCTGGAGAAGTTGCTACAGATACTAGGAAGCAATGACCAAACTGAGAAAAGCCCTCAGTCGCTTGCTGCAAGTGCAGCTAGATTATGGGCTGACTTCATTGACAGCAACTGGACCTGGGAAGGTGCGTTTTGAAATTTATTGCATGTTTAGGTATTCTTGCTGACTTGCTTAGTGACACGGAGAATGGGCAAAGTGCTCCGAAAATTGGCAGTGGTTTATGAAATTAACAAAAACATGCCATAAAATTCAATTAACCATAGGACGGACAATGATCAACATTTCAATTTTCATATGCGAACCTAAATGGCTCGAGGTCGAGCCAGGTTCTCATCGCCCAGCATAGACACCTTATGGATTGATGAACTCCGTGAGGATCATACGATGGACCATTCCTGATCCTTATAAACGGCTTAATTGCGACTTTCCGAGTTCCAGGATACTCTTAATACACTTCTGTCCGTAACTGGTGATGCACGATAATAAGCATACCTGTCTCACTCATCCATCGATCTAGATGCACCGACAATGCCGTGTCAGAATTTATACCGTGATCCAGTCCATTTCAGAATACTCGCTCGTCTTCCTCAGTCGGTTATTTCGGTAGCCTCTCTACGTTGACTGATTTCAACTGAATAGAGCCAAGTACTGTTCAGCTCTTTTTTTTGGCGCGGAAATTTGTAACATCAACGATTATGATTTTGATTATTAATATTATTACCCATGATGAAGGCTATGATTTTGGAGCAATTGTTTTTAGGTTATATTACGATAGGATACGTTGCGCGAGAGCTATGTTGTTTTTTAGGTCCTTATAGTTAATGATGTGTATGTACTGTTGGCACTAGCTATTGTTATGATGCCCATGTTGGGATTGATTGTGTATGGCTTTAAGCCTCTTTTTCTTTTCCCTGAGTATATCCAGGAAATAACCAGGCGCACACCCCTCAGGTGTACCGTTTGGATCGTCTTTGGATTGAGAAATCTAGAGCAAAAGGAAAAACACAGCCACGGCAGTAATTAAATCATTGGATCATTTCACATTATGTTAGGGCTGTGTGCATATATCCAAGGAAGTTGTGTCTAATCATACCTAATTTTCCACAGACATTTGGGGGCGGTGCTCATCCCGGAAGCATTCACAAGGTAAGTGGTATTCCAGCCATGCTCCCCTTACTTGATTGGAGTATTCGCCTTCCAGGTTGTGTCTAGACATTCAGTTCCTCCTCAACTATCCAATAACCACTCCCGATGAGCCTACGGCCATTAGATTTTTACCTCTGGGTGTTTGGATCTGCCCGTCCATAGCGATCAGGGGCTTCAAAGGCCATGAAAGCACGATCTTTGTATTCCGCACAGATTCAGATGTGCCTCAGCGCCTGACCTCGCACTTCGCCAATACCGAGTCTACACGGTGGGCGCGACTACAAAAGCAACCGTTTTAAGATATTCGCAGATCTGCTCCATGTCTTCGGCGACTGGAGTCAAATCTGGAACATTGCCAAGCAAAACCTCGCCGTATACCACGATGAAATCCACGCATACCCTCTGAAACGTCCTTTACTCGATCTAACCCGGAGTCTACACGATGAGACTGCAAGGATCCTGTTGGTGCGCGAGCAGCTTCGGGTTCATTCTGGCGCACTTACCCAGTTCCTCCAGAGCAAAGAGATGGAGGGGCACCAGGAGCTTATTGAGCGGATACAAGAGCATGTTGACGACATCAACTATCACGAGGAGACTTCCCAAGTTATCCTCCGGCAACTTGAGAATATGATGAGCCTGGTAGCTAATCTTTCCGCAAGCTCGATAATATTCGCTAACAACATGGGCCCCAGGCCTTCAACATCGAAACCATTACTCAAGGCCAAGCCGTCGCGCGGTTGAATGTTCTCGCGCTTGCCTTTCTTCCGTTATCCTGGGTGGCGGTAGGTTGAACCCCCTCCTGTCCTCACCTCTCAATGACTTGTATTCTCATCAAGGACAACAATTTCCCGCAGAGTATTTTCGGAATGACCCAGTTCGCGATATCGGTCGCTTGGTATCCTTTTCTTTTGTGGGCGTTCGTCGCCCTGCTGGCCATCACCCTAGTGGCCTTTGCTCCCCCCGTGTCTAAAATCTATGGCTATGTGCTTGGCTTGTCGGCCTCACGGCCCTTAAGATCAAAGAGAACGATTTTCGCTTTCTACACACTCAAGCATCATTCACTACGATCAAACAGCTGCTCTGTTTGCGGATGCGGCCGGACTCTTGTACTCGTCAGGAGTGTCTCCTCCATTTATAGTGAAGAATTGATGGAGCCATGCCACTTCGTGCTCCTCGTGCTCCTCCTCCTGCTTTCCCTGTCAACTCGGCGAGAGAGGATAATGAGAAAGAGGGAAGCTCGGCTGTGTCAGATCTCGAAGCTCAGAGATCGAGTTCTTATATTCCGACAGTCGAGAACCTCGCAGTTTCTTCTTGATCCTTTATTCAGATGCGACTCAGGCGTACACCTCCTAATTTAGGAATGGATGTTGGCCGCTGTGCTGCTGTAATTGTCGACGTACGAATAACCTTCAAAAACATCCTCGGCCCCGAAGAGAAAACCGTCAAAATCGAAGCCTAGATCCTGGAAAATGTCGTCGTATAGAAGGCCAGATGTCCCCTCCCCGGGCGCCTCATTCACACTGCTATTTGAATTGGAATATCGCGTCCACAGAATCCTGGTCGAGAGCGTTTCAAACGTCCGCACACACTGTAGGACATATGTACTCAAATGCTCATGTGCGCGGAGGGCCGACACGACAATTTCCCAAGATCGCGATATCGACTCTGTAAATAAATCCGGTTCAAACATGGCTGCTAGAAAGTTTATGCCTGCGATGTGTAAATAATAGATCCGGTACCACCACGGTAAAAGTCCGATTGGCTCGTCTGGTGCAAGTGTCTCTGCGATTAGCGACGCGATCTTTTGTGCAGTTTCAATGCATATTTGAGCGCATTCTCTGAGAAGCCGATCGCTTAGATTAGGAGGATTAGGTGTTGCTGCTTGAGTTGGGTGGGATTTCAATAAGTAGAAGCGTGCGAGCATAGGTCTGTACAGAAAAATTCGAGTATGGAGAAGACTAGTACACCAGGATCAGCAAGAGTAAATACTATGTAAAGAAAGGACAAAACAAAAACTGGTACGATTACATACCGAAGATGGAGCAAATATCGTTCTGCTCGAGACGTACTATCGACAACATTTGGAAGGTTCTGCAACTTCCAGTCGCTAGGAAGATTGTTTTCCAATTTGTTGAGACAGGAGTCTAGCTGCACGGCGACGACATGGTATTCGTCTTGCTGATATAGACGTGGTAGGCCCAACCTGGAGGCGAGGCAGTTTCGAGTTTGTGTCTGAGCTAACTGGATTTGATTGCCAATTTCATGCAGCTCCAATCCCAATGTGAAATGATCAGCCTGCGAGCCGCTCTGTTGGTAGCTCTCGCGTGAGGTCATGGAGTCGGCCCTATGCGGCAAGAGAATCAGGGGTGGTGCTGATGTCCTGCTGAGTGACCAAGAAACACAGCTAAGCCAAAGTCAGCGATAGCCACATTGTGAAGTTTAGCTTCGTTGTTGTCTGGCATGAAAGCTTACCGGTCTAGAGCAACACAGCTAGCCCAAACTTGCTGTTTCGACTGCCTGTTGTTGATAGAATCCTTGGTTGAAGGCACTTCTGGGAGATGGCAACACATACCCTGGGCGATTCGCATAGCCAATCCCGCTGTCATCCATGTCTTTTGCTGGTTGTTAGTACAGTGGAGGTATCGGTTCATAAGCATTAGGCACTGTATCAGCTCGAGCGAGCCAGGCTTCCAAATAATTGTCTCGGGGCGAAGAAGTGCCCATGCACGCTGAAAATATCGATTCCCCTCTTCATCTCGTTTCTGTCGAGGTATGGCCTCCTGTCTCTGTACAGCTAGGGCAAAGACAGCATTAAGAATGCTAGGCCAGACGTCATGATCTGCGTGAAGCAATGCACCAGGTCTAGAGTAAGACGCCTCATAGTCATGAAAAAATAATTCTCGATTTAAAACAGGCTCCACATGATGTATATGTTGCCAGTAGATACCGACCAGTCTATCAGCATGCACTCGAGGAGGCAGGTCGGTAAGAACACCGCGTGGGTGATGCAGATCTATATCTCCGAACAAAGGTGCATCGACGAACGGAACAAGGTTGGAAGTGGCAACCGGGGCGAGCCCTGCCCTCATATCTATCGCTGCTGCGACATCGCCAGCAAACCGTCCATGGGCGGAATAGTACTCACGGTTTTGATCCGGATCTTGATCCTCATTCAAGTGCCCCGATCTGGACGATGGCCCAGTCGGCGGTGTATGAGTATCAGAGGATGCTTCAACCGTCAATGTCGATGGTGAGACTGGGATAGAACCGTGACTGCGAGTTGGTGGTGCGTATTTGACCGGAGGCTTGCTCTTTGTTTGTTGCCTGCCGGTGACAGAATCTCGACTATATATACATGTTTTTCGTCTATGCTGACATCTGGCACATGCTGCAGGTATGCCATGCATCAGTCACACAGGCGAGGCGCCCTTTGGGAGCGGAAAAGGAGTAAGTACCTGGGCGTCCGCCGTCGCATTTCACCTTCCTCAACCGGCAGGCTTGACACGCATTTGAGATTCTCAGTCGCTCTCTACGCATTGGCTTCCACGTTTCTTTGTGATATTCCTGATCAAGAATAGCGTCCATGGTATGAAGATGCTCACGGAGTTCCCATCTCATAAGCTTCAAGCTCCAGGTGTGTCAATCATGTTGTATCAAGAATGAAGCTCGCTGCTGGAGGTGCAAATGAAGCAATCAAAGTCTGTTCCGTCAGATTCTCGCCCCATAGCGGGAATGCTTGCTATTGGCTGGTTTTGGCGGGCCTGACGGGGCTTGCATTCGCCCGCGGGTAAAAGCAATGCAAAAAGTTAGTTTCTCGACAAATGCGGCGACCGTGCTGGAATTCTTGAAAGCTAAAGTCTTGGCGCTAATTATTGTTTACTCCCCGGCCCAATTTGAGCTCCGAAAGGGCCCACTACTATAGTTTTCAACCAATGAAGTCAGCATCCGCCAAAGAACTACTTCGGCCAATAAAACGCCTTTCCGTCCTCTTATATAGATGCTCTTCCGAGCTGGCATCACTATTAAAACCCAGACATTACGGCAATTCATGGATTGAAAACATAGAAATCTCTGTGTTTATCTTCAAATAAACCTTTGGCTACCCCTAGTCATCAAAATTATGTCTCAACAAACCAAATCCATGGCAGCAGCCGATCCTAGCGAGACCGAGAAAGCTCCTGTTTACAACGGCCAAGGCACCGAGGAAGACCCCTATGTGGTTGAGTTTCAGAAAATTGACCCTGGAAACCCCATGAACTGGTCCCAGTTTAGAAAATGGTTTATCACGACCATCGTGACCTTGTCTGTCTTCGCCGTCACGTTCACGTCTTCGGCATACTCCGAATCCTCTAACGAGGTCATTGCGGACTTTAACATCAGCCCCGAGGTGTTTATAGTCGGCGTTTCCCTTTTCGTTCTTGGATTTGCTGTTGGACCGGCTGTATGGGGCCCCTTGGTAAGTACATGCTCACATTTCTTTTGATTACCTTCAAATGCGCAAGCTAATCTTTTCTTCATTTTAGTAAGCCTCTCTCCGTAGCTATCATGCTCATATCTTGTCTTTGTTCTAATTATCAGCAATTGCTCCAAGGTCCGAACTATATGGCCGAAAAGTTCTCTGGATCATCTCACACGTCTCCATGGTAGCCTTCATCGGAGGTTCTGCCGGAAGCCGAAACATTACCACGCTTCTGATTTTGAGATTCCTAGGTGGCACCTTCGGTGCCTCTCCTCTCGTAAACTCCGGTGGCGCTATAGCAGATCTCTTTCCCCCAGCTCAGAGAGGCCTTGCCATGGCACTTTACTGTGCAGCGCCCTTTCTTGGTCCCGTCCTTGGCCCTGTCGTTGGCGGTTTCGTCTCTGAAAACGTTGGATGGAGATGGGTGCAGGGTGTATGCTGCATATTCATAGGGGTGATTGGTATTCTCGGCGTTATTTTCGTCCCTGAGACATATGGGCCGGTGCTGCTGAGCCAGAGGGCTGTCCATCTATCCAAAGTCAATGGCAAAGTCTACATTAGTGTTCTCGACAAGAGCCAGCCCAAAAAGACGCCGTCTGAAATCTTCCAGCGAGCTCTAGTACGACCGTGGGTTTTGCTCTTTCGGGAACCTATCGTGCTTTTCGCCTCGCTGTACATGGCTCTTATTTATGGGACTGTGTATATGTTCATGGCTGCAATGCCTATTGTCTACAATGAAGACCGTGGATGGAGTGAGGGTATAGGGGGGCTTGCATTTATGGGTATTGCAGTTGGTATTCTGCTCGGCTTAACCTATGCTCTCTACGACAATAATAGGCGTTATATGAAGCTATTTCTGGCTAAAAAGACAACTGCAGAATCTCGCTTACCACCAGCCATGATCGGCGCTATTGCTTTACCAGTGGGCATGTTTGCATTTGCATGGACCAACTACCCCAGCATCCACTGGTCAGCCAGCGTTATCCTCTCAGTGCCCTTTGGCTTTGGGTGTGTCCTTGTACTTCTGCCGATGATCAACTACCTCATCGATTCTTACACCATTTACGCGGCCTCTGTTCTTGCAGCAGCTGCCATTTTTCGCTCGATTGTTGGTGCCGTATTTCCCTTGTTCACCACTCAGATGTACGATAGCCTTGGAATCCACTGGGCATCCTCTGTGCCGGCTTTTCTGGTATCGGCTTGTGTGCCTTTTCCGTTGATTATGTATCGCTATGGTGGTGCGCTGAGGATGAAGTGCAAGTATGCTTTTGAGGCTGCGGAAATGATGAAACGGATGCAGATGCAACAAGCGTCGGTCCCGAGAAAGGAAGATGACAGTTCTTCTTCAGACTAAGCTCTAGCTGTCTCTGGCTTGGGCTTTGATATGATCTCGGAGCTTGTAATGGGGAAGGCTGGTGGTATTGTCCAACCTAGGTAGGTATGTTGGAAGGGAACATATTGTGGATTATTGTTCAACATTCCATAGTTTTTCTATGTATGCATGTGCATTGAGTGTTATTGCATAATATAATATTGATAGATTGCCTGGACATCTTCTGGAATATACTATGCACCTCAGAATAGTATTCCTATGGCGAGTAACTAGCTAAAAAGGCAAAGAAGACTCCAGTCAACTCATCCCATTTCACGTCTGTCTCGTCAAGTAATCTCGGAAGCACCCCTCTTCTCTGGCTATCCCCTCCATAAATATCCTTCACAAGCTTCTTTACCTGTTTCTCACTACTCGGACCGAAGACTCTTGCCCTGAAGCCATCACCCAGGTCCTTGCACGGCTCCCAAGGCGCTTCTCCTGCAACGAATCTGAGGATATCTTCAGCGAATGCGCGTGCAACTGCTTGCTGTTCTGTAGTGAGATGGTCATTAAAATTCTGATAGAAATAAGCCACGTCCAGAATGTGCGTTGATTGGCCCTTAAACGGTCCGTCGAACGGATTCGTTTCGTTGAAGTAGTACACATATACATTCCCATCTTCCGGCCAGCCAGAGGCATATGCGAGAACCGGGGCGTAGAAGAGAATGTCATTCGTAAACTCGAGAATGCGGGAAAACGCCTCTTCGTCTGGAGTCGTTGGAGATAGGCTGTACGAGGCGAGTAAGTTTGAGGTGACTTCAGCTGGGTGTGATGAGAGTGCGTTGGTGAGGGCAGAGATGAAGCGCGGAGCAGCGTTTTTGGCTTGATTTGGTAAACGGTAGCCAAAGATACTGGACTGTTACTGAATATCAGTATCTTCCCTATATGTAGCTAGATATCTCGGTCTTCCCGAGGTTACAAAATATATTTTGATGATGGGAAAAATTGTACTAACGTCATGCTGCGCATCTCCAATGAGTAACTCTTTGCACCAACTCTTTCCCACTGGGTAAATTGCTGCTGACTTATCTGACAGTTGAGCAAGGGTTGGTGCCGTGGGAATCATATCGCCATCTATAGCAAAACTAGGCGGAACAGGAAAGTTTTCAACAAGCTCCGCCGCAGGAGATTCGATGATAGCTTTTACACGGTCTTCTGGTGACATCTTGTCAAATCCCCATATATGAATGGCTGCGTCGTAGCCTTTCTCGTGTGCCTCAAATGAGATGGGGGCCATCAGGATATTTGTACCGCTCATCGAGAGAGCCCGTTTGCAAAGGGGTGTGGATGAATCAGAGTGAAGATGTTGGAGCGTAGAGCCTAGACCGATGTACAGTGCTATATTAGCGGTCTACATGTCTGAAAGAAGGGAGGATGATTTACCCCCGCCAGCGCTCATCCCTGCTAATGTGATGTTATTCGGATCGCCCCCGAAGTCACGAATATGCCTGTGCACCCATTCTATAGCGACTCGTTGATCACGAAGGCCATTGTTGGCTTTGTAGCCTGCAGAGCGAAGTTCTTCAGAAGTCAAGAAGCCAAAAGCACCAACTCGATAACTATGATCTTCTTAGTTCGCAGGCGTCTAGCAGTAAATCAGCAAAGAGTTGAGCTAGCAACATACTTTGGGCTGACAGCTAATATAGGAACCCCCTTTTCAACTGACAGCTTTATCACACGAGTCCAGTCAAACTGTGGCCAGGAATTGGCACCGAGAATCAAGCCTCCGCCATGGAGGAACAGCAAGACTGGCAATTTCGATGTCGATGATGTTCCCTCTGGTACGGCGATGTTTACATTAAGACATTCTGTATCAGACTGGGACAGCGGCTTCTTTGGCAACGACTTCTGAATGGCGCCCTGTTCGAATTCGCATCCATTGATTATTGAAGCTGTCGTTGGCCTATAGAACTTTCCATCTTAGCCAGTCCTTTCAACGAGAGGCTGATTAATGTTACCCGTCCTTTGTGGCATCCAGAATACCGTCTTCGGATGATCTGGAAGAAACCAACTCCGCATCTGCGAGTCTATTTCGCAGAGAAGCATACTTGATGCCACGATAATGCGTTACGCCGTCGGCCGTCTTGCCTTGGATTTGGCCCAAGAACGTCGTCTGAAGCAGGGCAGCCATTTGCATTTAGCAGGACTCCGAGAAATATGATTTGGAAGTGACCGACATTGAAATGCGGGGGAAATGCATTTATTTTATTCACCGAGGAAAAAGCAAAGAAAGTAGCTCGGGATATCCGAAGAAGCAGTCTGGTTGGGGGGAATCAGCCTATCCACGACTTTACGTAGCAAATCTCTCATCAAGAAAGTCCTAAAGGTGAATATATTTGGAAGAGCGAGAGGTATAAATATGACAGAACTATATCGAAACAGAAAAACGAACGAAGTAACTCCCCTGTTCATATCGTGAAGTACTAGCTCTAAGTAGGGAAAATTAGAAGATTTCCTTGCAAATTTTCTATATTCTTAATTAAATATTGAAAGTTTCAATCGCGTGATGTGTTATATCTAATTAGGCGTGTCATCTATCAGTCTCAGGATGACACAACACTAGTGTCCTCTAATGAGATGCATCTAAAGATACCGGGGCGGTTTCAGATTATATTGTGTCTGGAAGAAAATCTCAAACTTGAAAGGCAAGCTCTTTAAACTCAACAATAGAGAACGAAAGCAGACACGTGGAAACATGATTCCATGATAAGGATATGCTGTGCTAAGCTAAGAAGAAGAAGAAGAAGAAGAGATGCACGGTTGTTTCATAACCTCTTTGAAGATCATCTTCCTTGTCTGCGACAAAGAGATCTAGATACTGGCAAATGACTATAAAGGGTGAGGTCACATCTTGCTTGGTCGGAATTCAAATTCACATCAAGGGAAGACCTACATTCAGATCTCTAGGTAAGTCATTGTATTCTCAAGAATATATAGTCTTCTGGAGTCTTCTCAAGATTGCAATGATGCATACCTACTTCCAGCCTTTGCTGTTCATCTGCAAAACAAGATGGCACGGACGAGGGCTCGTACAACCAGAGCTGATCCAGCATGTAGGCTCAAATCCGCAAAGTCCAAATCGACGACTCTCAGACGGACAGGGTACAAATCGACGACGCTGAGGTCTCCAGAAGCAAATATGAGCCAGACCATTACTGTTGAACAGGTTGATACTCACTGGCCTCCGGGCAGGGTATCCCCGGCTCCTTCGCCCATCTGTGAGATCTGAACCCATCGCCAACAACGACGCCAACCCAATCACCGAAGCCAAATTTGAGGAACTGAAGTCACGTATCGACACGATTATTGACGCCCACAACATTCCTCGCGGACCAAATGATCCTGCCGTCATGTATCGAGCTCAACGATGGGGCACCTCCATGCTACCACGCGTCATTGTCGACTGTATCTACGACGAAGAAACAAGCAACAGTAAAATGTGGACAAATGCTGTAACCGAGATCTATGCAGCAGCAAAGCGGGCGGCTGAAGGCAGGGGAGAGATTGGCGTTGAGCTCTTTGACTGGAGATATACAAACACTTCTCATATCTGTACGCCCCCCGACTCCGACAGTCAAGAATTGAAGGCAAACAGGAACGAGGGACATTGCTATCGCCGGCAGATTCTTCAGTTATTTGAGAACCGTCCTCCCATGTTCCAGGCTATGATCCCCGTTGGCCGATGTGCAACAGGGGAACGCGCGTATGAGTGGACGACGGTTATTCTTTTTGACGCGATAAATGCAGAGGATGTTGTATGGGATTTCCTGGAAGAACGAATGCGTTCTATACTCCCAGCAAAGTTTCCTATTGAGATCCGCCAACGAGCAGGTCCATTGTTCTGTAATGGTGATTTGGAAGATGAGCGGCTGGTTGTTGTTGGAAGGTATATGAGACCTCCTATACCAGGTTGCGAAATCAGTCAGCAACACGAGTCATCACCGGCAGGAACAATGGGTGGCTACATTATTACAGAGGCGAAGGATACCAAGAGGAGAACAACGTTTGGAGTTACAAATGCGCATGTGGCACTTGCTAGTAAGTTTCAACCACTGTACACAATTGAAGCTTGCTAACATTAAACCCCCTACTAGGCTACGAAGAAACGTGTTTCAGCACGCCGGCTGCTGAAGAGATTAGTATTCAGTCGCCGGATGTGGAGTGTCGCAGGCAGCATGAAACTCTATTGCTCAATCGTATCACAAAGACCAAGGAAAGAATCCAGACAACACTAGACATAGTCGATGCAGTCAAAGAAACGGAACCCAGCCTCTCTCAAAGATTGGAGAATTCTCTGATACTCAACCAGCCGAGGCTTGCATCCCTGACCAGGGACCTTCAGGTAGTCCAAAGCGAATCCCTATATTGGATCAGTAAGCAGTGCAAAACTCGGCTGGAGAGAGTATGCAACAAGCTCATTGCAGACGGACAAACTCATGATGGACCTTGCATTGATCAAGGTGGATTGTTTAGCAGACAAGAGGCCCCAGGAGGTCTATTGGCAGAAGAGCGCCGTGAACCCCCCAATCTGGGAGGATACAACATGTAACTTTTGGGAGGTGGATTCATTGGCGGCCTCGAAGGATGCTGAGAAGCATATCAACGTCGTTGCAAAGCTATCTCGGTCAGGGGCTTACACCATGGGCGTTGTAAGCGGCTTCAAAGCTGATACTATTCCTTTTTACAAGAACGGCCAACCGACATTAAAGAAGGTAGAGGCATGGGCGATTACCTGCCCTCGTAGGCATGAGAGCGAGGGAGACTTTATGGCGTATCTGGCGATTGCAACTTAGCCTACTTCATTCCATTTGATGCAGTACAATCGGAAATCGAATCGATGACAGGGGAGAAGGTAGTATGGCCACAAAGGCGTTCGGAGTCCCTGTTGACATGGGAGAGAGGCTAGGATGGCAAATATGAATGAAGGCATATTGTGTTCAGAATGAAGCGGGATGGAATTTGGTATGAATACACATCCTAATCCTGAATTGGTGGAATTCAACATGTTGAATTCCCCTGATTCAATGTCGAATGATTCTATCAAGACCTTGTGTTTTATTACGAATGTCTACAACTACCTAGATAGGAAGAACTGGGATTGAATTTTTGCGCAGAATGTAGATCAACTTATTCGTTTGTAGATTCCTTCTAACTATAGCCACTCAACTTCTTTGGCAATACCTGAAAACCATGGTAGCCCGGGGCTTTCATAGGTACGCCTATAAAGATGTATACAATGTCACTCAATCAAGATTCAGCTGCGTGTCCAAGATTATATCGTTCATGGCTGTCCTCCCTGCTGAAATTGCATACTATATCCCCCGGTACTTTCATCCTTGATGAATTTAAAGTTATCCGTCGAAAGCCCAAAGGGCTTTAGGATGCCATTCCCAAGCTATTCATGAATCATCAGCAACAGCAGATATGTCTCGACGGGGATACCAAAAATCTCACATCCTTCAGCTTGCCCATCATCTCTCCCATTTCCTTCTCCCTCGCAGCCTGAATTCTTGACGGCAATTCACGCAAATTCCGCTGCACAATCTTTAGGTCTTGGGGAGGAAGATTATCCATGCTCGCTAGCTCCTTATAGTCTTCTTCTGCGCCCTGTAAATTCGCCCACCCATCCAGTTCTGTCTTTGCACGCGCTCGCCTGATGAGTGCCTTGGCACGGATTCTTTTAATATCGTCACGGCGCTTATCATCCAACTGAAGACGCTCCAGCTGCTTTGCTTCATCTTCTTCGTCGTCCAACAGCTCCACTACCGCGTCCTCTCCCTCGCTCGGCTCTTTTGCTGCGTTGTCATCCTTCTCGGTCTTTGTCGATTTGGGCAGACACCTGTCCAGGTTGTCAATGCATGCCGTCGCAGAGTCAACGGCGGACTTCCAGTCTTCTAATTTCAGGTAGCAAGCCGAAATGTTGCTCTTAAGAACGGCAATCTCGTAATCTAGGTAATTTGGACAAGAGGCAAGCGCGCGGTCATACGTCGAGATGGCATCTGAATAGGCGGCGGCAGCGAACTGTTTGTTTGCTTCGACTTTACACGTATTTGATTCCTCTAATAGTTTCTTCTCGGATTAGTAGTTGAGCAATCCTGCAGAGAGGTGAGACAGCAGACGTACAGCTTCTTCCTCGGCGGGGAAACGGGCATCGTGGAACTCATCCTCCGAGTCTGCATCGGTGGTGTGTTCGTGTTCTGGTTCGTTCGAGTCGGGTCTCGCCATGGGAGCGCGTGAAACGTTGTTGATCGTAGAATCGATTGGTGAAAGTTGCGGAGACGAAAACTTCCCCGCAGGCGGCAGCAGCTTGGCTGAGTCAGACAGCCAACTTCCAAGACTCGCAATTGCCTGGACGAGACACAAGATCTTTCTCACGCGTTACAGTCTTGAATTATTCGCCATGGCATCGCCAGAGTATGTAAACAGAATCACCGTCTCCCTCACAGCATGGCTACTAGCGTACTGACCCGCAATGCCCTGCGACAAGACTGCCCCGCATTCGAGCCTGTCTGTTCGACATGGATGGCCTCCTGCTGAACACCGAGGATATATACACGTTTATCACCAATTCTATTCTAGAGGAATATGGCAAGCCTAATTTGCCATGGTCCATCAAGGCTCAGCTACAAGGCAGACCTGCTCCCGAAGTACGTACTACTATTTCGCCCTCCGAAGAAGACACCTGACTGACCGGAGATATCAAGGCCGTCAAAATCTTCCATGACTGGGCAAAACTTCCAATCTCTCATGAGGAATACTCGCAGAAATTGGCTGTGTTGCAGCAAAAGCTTTTCCCTTCTGCCGCGCCGTTGCCCGGTGTGGTGAAACTGCTCAATGACCTCCATGCCACAACAAAGACCGGCCATCCAATCTACATTGCTCTAGCCACATCATCTCATAGAAAGAACTTTGAGCTTAAGACCGGCCATCTGAAGGAACTCTTCTCTCTATTCCCAAAATCAAACGAAGTCGTGGGCGACGATCCGCGAATTGGCAAGGGTCGCGGGAAACCCTTGCCAGATATATACTTGCTTGCTTTGGAAACCATTAATGAAGAGCTGAGCGCAAAAGGGGAGAGACCGATAAAACCAGAGGAATGTCTTGTTTTTGAGGATGCCGTTCCCGGTGTTGAGGCCGGTCGACGAGCCGGAATGCAGGTTGTCTGGTGTCCCCATCCCGGCTTGCTGAATGAATACAAGGGCCGCGAGGAGGAAGTCCTCGCTGGCCTTACTGGAGAACACAAGGAGGAAGAAAAGACGGATGCTGAAAAGGAAGCTGAGGCGTTGCAGGGGGAGCGCATTTCCCGTGGAAATGGTTCGGGTAAGCCTGGCAAGCTGAATGATGGATGGGGTCGTTTGCTTCCTACGCTGGAGAACTTCCCATACGAGCAGTACGGCATTGAGGTGCCTTAGAAGACATACAGCGCTTTGTGATTTGATCTTTCTTTCCTCTACACATATGCGAGTCTCCGGAAGTTATTACAGTGGACATGTAAATAGAGAATTGTTTCCAAGTCACAAAGACAAAATAACTTCATGCTGAACATAGAAATTAGGTATCTAGAAACTATAGTCAATGTCAATGGATGCTAAGGAAATTTGAAAGCCTTTCATCTCCATGGCTGCGAATACCAGTTGCTATCGAAGACCTTGAAGTGAGGAATATAACCAGTACCAGACTCAAGGACCGCCAGAGGAAAAAACCATGCGAAACATGAGAATCTGACTATCCTCATTCCATTTTCAAACCGAATACCTAGCTTTCTTGGCCTGCGCAATCTGAATTCCCCTTTTCTCATTAAGCTTTCGGTTTGCCAAAACCCTAGCGCCCTCGCTCATGGGATCGTCTATGAACACTCGGCTAGCAGGACGCGCGATGATGCGCTTGACGATGCTCTTGTGTGCCTGACAGACACTGCAAGTCAGTAAAAGACCTCGTAGCTGAATCCCTGATTTACTTACCGTTAAGGTGTGGAGAACATCATGCAGTCGTTCATTGAACGTTGGTGAACGGCTGGTGACTTTGCTAGTCTTTGGCTGAACTGGCTCAAAGAACTCCAGCTGCCCAAACCTGTGGCGCTTGATGAGAAGATCCTATTTACGAAATTAGTACAGCTCATTTTCCCAGCTTCAGCCTTGGCTCGGACTTACTAAGAGTTTCCACGCGTGATACTCGAAAACCAGATCACGTCGATTCTTATAGTGGCAGTTGATAGTATCCTTCCCATCAAGCGCGTATGCGGTACTCCACATAGCTGACTTGATGGCAGCCACAATCGCACGCTTGGAGTCTTCGTCCTCTGGGATATCAGTACCAGAGGGCTGCGGTGCATATTCCACCACGGTCCAGGCGTGTTTCTGCGCCTCTTCCCAGCTCTTCCAGATTGTCTGCGTGCTGGCACCAGATTCTCTGGGATTTCGAAGGTCATCGATGCACCACATGTCGAACTCAGGATCTCGTTTTGTGATGTTCATGTCCATTGCGGAGGATTCTGGGAGGCGCACTCGTGTCTTTGTCGGCTTTGAGGACGATTCTGAAAGAGTATTTTCGCGGCCTCGCTTCTCAGGAACGCCCCAGGCTTCAAAGCTGAAGCCCACTGCAGACGAAAAGTCGAGGAGCTCTGCACCCTCTTGGTAGTAGAGGCTTGGGAGGCAGTTCGGGTCACTGAAGGAGTCGCACATAATGAACGTCTTTGACTCGAAGCCGCTGAACGAGCTCAATGGAGGATCTCAACAAAGGAAAAAATGACCTGGAGCGTAGTGCCTCTAGCATTAGAATATAGAAATGAGGAATATGATGGTTGAACAGAGAAACGAACGGGATGAAGCAGGATTTCAATGGAATCGCGCCCAAGCAAAAGCAGGAGCAAGAGCAAGATGAGAGAGGGAACAACGGGGGGTTTATATAGGCGAGTCCTGTAACTGTTCGAGAATGGTCTAAGCAGACTACCCCAGCCATCCAAATTATGCTCTTATTGTTGTAATCAAGACAGCACAAAGAACAATTGGGATTGATGTTGTTGCTTGTGTAATTTGAAACGATTGGTTTGAATTCTGAGTCACCTGTCAATGGATGTCGCCAGCCATTGACCGCATTTAATAACACGGAACACATTCTGGCCAACATAAACAATCTGCCTTTTACATAATAAAGTGAGGAGTTGAGCCTGCCAAGGTATTGACGCTGACATCTAGAACTGGCGCAATAGAGCCGTCTCTACTTCTTATTGGTCTGTCTTATTGGTGACCTTTGTCTCGACGAAGGAATAAATACAGGAGGCTGGTATTGTCCTCGATTAGGCGTCTTTGTTTACTAATACAGTCTACTCAACTTTCATAATTCTATTTCGCGAGGCTGAGGTAGCTGTTTGGAAGTTATACCAAAGGTACTGCTGACAAACAGTTTTGAAACAGGTGCTCAGGTCTTATTGTAAGCAATTTTTAAGCTGCATGTAAAAGTCTTGTCTGAAAGCTAGCTCACTTGTGCAGAGACGTGAATGTCTGTTCTTTACTTTCGTCAATTAGCATTGTCTCTTAGCTTATGTCATGCTATGGTGGCGCACGGGAGATCATCCGTATGCATGACTAGCGGCAACTTTAATTCTAAGGATAGATTAGACTCTATATTTAACAACGTACAACAAGGATATACTTACTTTATATCTTCTACAACTTGCCTGCTCCTCGAAAGGAAGAGACTTGTATCGTACACACGGGACTGAAAACGGGTTCTGAAGGTCATCCAAGACAAAGCGTGCACATTATTGAATTGTTCATCCAGTCTGCTCGCAAATATATTCGGCGTCCATGTTATACACGATTGCGGTGGTACGGTAAGAATGTATATAAACATAATATTGTTCACATGGCAGATGCAATTTAACATTCAATGTCCTTATTCATAACAGCAGTAACCTACTGATAGGGGTTGTCCTTGCAGCAGCTGCGAGCAAATCGCACTATATGTTGACACCTAGAGCAGTTCCTTTTGAGATCCTGGCATAGAAGGCCACTCTCCCATAACACCCAGAGTAGACCTTTGGCAATGGCTCACTGCAATTAGTGATGCGGAACAAAGTCTCTGTCGCATGTTGTCACGTTCAGCTATGTGTTGCGTCAAAGTGTCCATATCTTCAAAGAGTTATCGCCTTTCAAGTAGACTGATTTTTGAACATCGCCATCACCGACATCATAAGCAGGAAATTGTTTTTGCCCTGAGCATGTTGCTAAAACACTGCCGCCTGGATGAAATACCGAGCTTGTAATCGGCTCTTCAATAGAAATTAGTAATATCCAGGAATATTCACGTTGCTCACAAATACTCACCATCATGCAATTTGAAAGTAAAATCCGGTTCGCTGCTACCAACACTGACATGGGGATTCCTCCACATGCGTACACCGCCATCTGTTCCTCCAGCCCATACCTCATGCGAGCCATCTTCACCAGTAGAAATAACATCTGCTTTCATTCGCTGGTTGCTGATAGCTTCCCTCCCCTCAAGCCATCCTAGAAGTTGACCCGTGACTCGGATATCGTATACCAGGATGCCTTTACTTTTACGTTCAACCACATACAAGTATTTTCCGCACGGACTCCACAGCAGCTGCGTAATCCCCGTACCTCCTATGTGCTTGTCGGCCTCGGATTTTGCAACGCTAAATGTTCCGATGAGCTCACCACTCCCTCTGGCGCCATACAAAGCAATGTGTCTGGTAAATGTACCAGCAGCTAGTATCCCGTCCTGGGCAGGATTCATAGCAAGCGCAGAGACAATTCCTTTCATACCGACACCACCACCAACGATCTGCTTTCGTTTACTTGGGATCGTCGGTAACCGAGAGATTGGCCCTTCATTCCCTGTGCGCGAAACATCAAAAATGCATACTAAGCAATCGGACCCTGTAATAAAACGAGAGCCCCCGAGATGGGACGGATACAAGATTGAATGCGGTGAAATAAAAGCTTCGGTCGATGGATTTACCAAAGAGTAAGTGCCCAGCGTCTGTGGGGACAACGCCGATGATAGCCTGATTGGGTGGTCTCGAACCGAAGCTAGTATGAGTGCTGTAGAGGGATCCTGAAGAGAAAAGAAAGGATATATTGCGGTTGCATTTACCGGCTCTGTGGATGGTATTGTTGAATAAGCGTCTATGTCGAGAGGCTTTTCTCTCTCCTCGAGTAGATCTGGCGGCCTGCCGTTTGTGAGCGAATGTTACAACTATTAAATCGGCGAAGGGGTGTAATACAAAATGAATGTTCTGATATGATTATCTGCAGAGGCAGTGACCACCGAGGTTCCGTCTGCGGTCCTATAGATAATTTTCATTAACGCTTGAGGGATTTGCCTTTGCATAACTGGACGGCTCACCATTCCGCACTCTTAAAAAAGTTGGAGTCTATTGTCTGTAACTGAGTCGATACATCACTTTGTGTGGATGTCGATATATTTGGGGCATTGTAAGTTGCTACACACGAGAGGTTCAACTCTGCAGAAGCATCAACACCCGCTTGTGCATCCTCAGATGTCATGGTTGCACGGAACGAGGAGAGTCGTCGAGGGCTGACGTTGTGCAACTGGCAAGGACATTTGTACTATTATACGTCCTTGACTGATCAGATATGAGTGCAATTTCCAGTCTGCAGCTATAGAATCATGGATGCTTCAAGACGTGCAGCATTCAACATGGACATTATTGTCACACTAGTCCATAAATGGCTTAGTAGAAATTCTTTAAGCTTCTACATTTACTTGTATTGCAAGATGCGACAAGTCGACATGCCAGAACAGGAGACTGAGCCTAGGTTAAAAGATACATGAAGAACCAATTATATATGAGCCAAGCAAATGGATAGTAATTTCATCTCTTTTTGGAGTGCTTTCAAAATCAGAATCAGAGCAAGCAAGCACATCTAAGCTAACCCTATTAGGCATGGCTGGACTCTGTTCTTGGCATTCTTGGTTCCTTCCGAGCTTTCAATAATTGTTGTTTCTTCCTTCGCGCAGGCACAAACCCAAGAGATTCATTCCAGCTGCCCAAGCAAGGGGCGAACCAGTCAGTTTTGCAGCACGCGCTGCTCCAGCATTTGATTTTGAAGCACGAAACCCGACTCCGCTCCGATATCTATAATGTTCTCTGCAAAACCGTCAACGCCAGCCTCGGGTGGCCTATCCATCAATACATCGACGGCCAATTCGTTATTGTGAGTGAACCGTCCCACCAATGCTTTGATACTGAGAGCTATGTGATTCTCTATTCTTTGCGACTGCAGACTCTGCTTTCGTGGAGCTGTCGTAGGCTGTGATGCTCAAGGGTTTTGTGTATACTTTCATAGCTATGGGCTTAACAAGAGAGGAAGAGCAAAAGGCTGGATGAAATTTTGAACATTTTATCGCTAACATATTCTATAGTGGTGGGAACACAGCAGCGGCACCCGCAACCACACAAACTGCCACAGCGAGCTTATTCTCAAATCAGCAGAAACCTGCCACCGGATCTCTCTTTGGAAACACAGCCCCTAGTAATACACAGACAAGTGGCGGAGGGTTGTTTGGTGGACAAACAAGTACTACCGGTACGCAGCAGAGCGGCATGGCTACCGGGGGGTTGTTTGGTGGTTCATCAGCTTCGACGCAACCGCAGAGCGGAGGTCTTTTTGGAAATACTGCGAAGCCTGCAACGCCCAGCTCAGGATTGTTTGGCAACACGAGTACACAGCAGACAGGAACCGCTGGGGGAGGCTTATTTGGTAATACCAATACCCAACAACAAAGCACGACAGGCGGAAGTAGTCTGTTCGGAGGAAATCAGGGAGCTGCGCCTCAAACTCAAACTAAATCGCTTTTTGGCACGAATCCATCTACTACTGGAACAACAAGTCTTTTGTAAGTAACTAGCACATCAACATCTACACATCTACTAACTGCTCATATAGTGGAAATACTCAAAGCACGGCTCAACAGCCGCAGCAGCAACAGCAGAAACCTACACTGTCTATCTTTGGATCTCAAAACACAACTACTCAACAACCACAATCCACCACAGCGACTCAAGGTGCCGTTGTTCAAGGAGTCAGAATAGATGCTAGCAATCTCCTGCCGACAACCAAGTATGATAGCTGCGCGGACGAAATAAAGAAAACAATTGAGCAGATCGATACATATGTCTTAAATCAACTGAACATGTGTAACGAAGTTTCAGATCTTATTCCTACAATTGCCAACCAAGGCAACACGATTCCGAATGACGTGGAATTTGTTGAAGGAAAACTTGAAACGATGCAACACGCTCTCGAGAACGATGCTCGCGAAATCGATGCTGTTCGCAAAATGGTAACTCGTAACGCAGCGGAAGCTCAAGTTGCATTCCGTGCGATTGACAACCTCAAGCTGCCGTTGCAGTATCAATCAACGAGCGGAGGCTGGTGGTCAGTATCAGAACAACAGCTGTCCGAGCGGCAGACACTTCGATCTTCTATCCAACATCGAAAGAGCACCCTGGCATTACCGGAAGGTGTCGAAGGCGACCCATCAACAAGCGATGCAATTAACGGTGTGCCCACTAACCTGGTAGCTTATTTCTCTCATCGCTCCGATGAGATGTCTAGTGTCCTTGATGGTTACAAGAGGAATCTTAGAGAAATCGAAGATCACCTCCACGGCGTGGAGGGTTCGCTGAACAGGCAAATCAACGACTTTCTCGCTTCACGCAATCGCAATGACGGTGCCCCCAGTGTTGGAACTGCCACGCGCCAACTGGCAGACCTGGCGGCCGCTCTGGGAGATGTGGAAGCTGGTATTCTAGGGGTTGCAAGCAGACTAGGCGGTGTGAAAGAGGAAATACAAGAGCTGGTTCTAGGACCGCCGACCCTTGGTTTTGGTCGACTGGGCTGATAGACTAGGATTGACGATTGTATATTATGTTACGATATAATTATATTGCACGGTATGGCCTGTTCGATTGACTGGGACATAGCATCTTTTTCTTTCTCCAAAAATCATTCAACCAGCCCTTCTTCAGCCTATTCTTAAGTATTGACTATCTACAACATTTGGAACCGCCTATGCTGATATTTGTTGATATGTAACGAGAAGTAACCACTGCAAGTAACAATTCTTCCGAAACATCCAATGCCTAATTTGTTGCTGCCTTGGGATCTATTGTTTGTGGTTGCATGAACCTAGCCCGTGACCGGCTGTCATCACGGTATTCCTGCCCACCTTCCCATACTTCAACCATCAACAGAATTGTCACTGCCGCCTGCCCAAGAACCCTCGCAATCTTCATCATGACAATGTACAGCATGGACAGCCTGGAAGAGTTATCTATCCTCGACTATGCCCGCTCCAAACGCATTGCAACTGACCATCTAAATCTCGATCCTTCAGATCTTCTTGGTCAACTTCGCGACTACGAACTCGCATACATAACCTCCACAACAGAAGACTTGACACCGAGTCCGTCCAACCTCGACCCCCCAACAGCAGGAAACGATAAACTAGAGCTTGACAGGGATGGTGCTAGATTTTTATCATCTGTTCTGAAGGACGTTTCTTCGCTACAAGCCGATGCCAGGTCTATTCCTGAAGAATTCGATTCTTTCGCATCCCTGAAATACAGCCCAAGGCATGATTTAAAAGTTGATATTCCATTGCTCACGTTCGAAGAGGAACGAGCAATGAAGACATTTGGCAAGGGGCATAATCCTATAGCTATAATGAACGAGCTGGTTCCTGAATTGGCCAATCGAGAAGAAGCAAATCTTGACGAAAGCCTGGAGTTCCCTGACTATTTCTGGGAATTGCCAAGTATGTTTGACAGAGACCTGAATACTGATAAATTGGACGCTTCAAGGGATACAGCGCGTATTCTGCAGTTGGCCATGGGATATTTGGACGAGAGGCGACACAAGGAGGAGATTGAAAGGCTGTACATCAAGTCAGATCTGGCTTCAGTGAGTACAAACATTCTTTCGGATAGTTGTATCAGTTCTCAGATTATCATCTAGGAGATTTTTCGACGACGACCTACTTCTCCCCTTTATATTGAACCTGAAGGGCAGGAAGAATACCGCCATAGCAGTGACAGTAGTGTTGATGTCATTTGGAGTCCTGATACCGAGAGGGACCTAGATTCTCGGAAGGATTCTCTAACATCATGTGAAACTGTGGGAGGCCATCCTATTAGAAACAATGTGCCGCAGAATATGACTCGTTGCTGTATAAGTCCAGAACAGGTAGGATACGTTGAAGCATCTATAGCCGGAGAATTATTGAAACATACGCCCAGACAACCTGTCACTGCCAATAATCCTACAGATTCTCCATCGTTTATAAAAACACAGACAGAGCAGGCCCCTAAACGAACGACACCGCTCTCTCAACCTACAGGGTTTCCGGTACCTCTTCCTGGTTCTCTGGGTACGCTGTCAGCATTTATGCAGACAAGACGTCAGAGAAATAAGCGCCGCAAGCTTGGAAGTGAAAGTCAGTATTTCAGCAGCCTGTCCGAGGACAGCAACGGGCTTCCTGGAACAGACGAAAGCAGTATCTTCAAGAAACCAGACCAACCTGTCAAGTTATCCTCGCCTCCACTCCACACACACGAAACCCAGAACCTCTACTCGTACCCCGGATCGATGAAGCCAACTGCTACACCGCTTACTCTGATCTTATCCACACACCTACTACGCACTGAGAGCGCCCTTGTCCGATCTTTCGAAAGCACAACCAGCTCTCAGTCTACGCGACTAATATTCCGCGACTTTACATATCCCTATCCACCCAAAGGGGGTATATCTAATCAGTCCCATGTCATCGAGGAAGCGGACCTGCTCGTCTCGCCAACAACGGGCATCATCCTATCTAGCTCGCATGAGACGACACAGAAATATCTTCCAGAGCAGGGAACCCCGGGAATAGAATCTCCATTAAAAGCGCGAATTGTTCGCGTCGTACCGCGGTACGAAATGCTCTATGTGCTAATTCGATCGCCCACTAAATTGTGTATCAATACACTATCGTCTATAAGGGAATTGACTGCATTCTGTATGTCTCTGGGTCGTCTGTGCACCGTCAGGGTATTGATTACTTCACCTGATCATGTCTTTGAATGGATCATGTCGATAGCTGCAAAGCACTTCATCTCACATGAGGTAGAGGGAATATCTTCATTGTGCCCCGATGAGCAGACCCAATGGGAAGTATTCCTTCGAAAGGCAGGTCTTAATTCATTCGCTGCGCAGGTCGTTCTCAGCACACTCAAGACTGGCCACGAATCGAATGGGCTATCAAGATTCGTTGAAATGCCTTCTACGATGAGAAGGGATATGTTTGAGAAAATCCTAGGCGACAGAGTGCTCAAAAGAGTTGACCAAACTCTTGAGATGGACTGGCAGGTCGACTGGTCGACTGGGCTGTTGATCTAACGTAATTATATATAAACTATATGTCTTCTGCTGAAAGTACAAGTAGATCAAATTTCATGACATGGATGGATATATTTAGAGAGGAGATTGTTAAGGTTGATTAGAGCCTGTTAGCAAACACATTCGAGGCTCTCCTTCCACGATGAAAGTACATGTATTGTTAGTCAAGGTTGAAGATTCAATGAAATATGCAAAAAAAAAAAAAATCCGCTGGAACGACAACACGTCAAGCATGCACATGGGCCGGAATCATTAGACTTTTCCCAGTGTAGATGTGTATTAAGTAGTAATTTTTCTTCTTTTTCCCGCCCCCCTTCTTCGCCGGGGATCTGTGAAGCTTTCTTTCCCCCCATTTTCCGGGCGTGATAATACAAGTTCAATATAGTACATTGTTCGAAAGGAAAAGGTGGGATAACGAGTGGAAGTATGTTTACTCGTTGATCTTAGCAAGGATCCTGGAAAGTAAGAAATCATTAGCATCTCGCCCAGTATAACCAATATTTGAAGGAAAACTTACTCGGAATCCCGGAAAAGGGTGTACTCCTCCTCGCCGACCTTGACGGGGCTACCACCGAACTGTACGCAATAAGTCAGTCCACAGCTCAAAACTAGACCCTAGGATCCTGACAACAACGTACCTGAGGAATCAAGACCTTATCACCGCTAGCAACGCTCATGGGAATCTTGTTTCCATTTCGGTCAAGAGCGCCAGGGCCAACGGAGAGAACAGTAGCTTGGTTGATCTCCTTGACGGTGCTCTCGGGCAGGAAGATGCCGCTGGCGGTCTTGGTCTCGGGCTTGATGCGCTGAACCAAGACACGATCCAGGAGGGGGACGAGGTTCTTGACGTTGCGAAGAGCCTAGAAAGTAGAAGAGGAAAGATAGTTAGTGAGAAATAATCATGGAGAGAAAGTTGTACAACGGTGATGAATGGAATCTCTGTAGCTCCCTCCCTCCCCTAAGGAAGGAGGTAGAAGAGCTTTGCGCGAAGCTTGCTTGAATGCTTGTATCGGAAGATATCGAGTGACGTACCATTGTGAATAAGTGGAAGAGTTTGCGGTAATTGGCAAATTGAAAGCTCGTGAAGCGAAAGAAAATGAAGTCAAAGGGAAATCGCAAGATGGAAGAAATCGAAAGGCTTCAGTTCAGGTAAGGCAAGGTTTACTCCGTGAGAAATTTCCAGAATGCCAAGACTTCCCCGGGCGGCGGCAGCTCGTAAGGCAGCGAGGCACCAACGGAAACTAAAGCCGAGGCTTGCCGGGTTGTTTTGGGCTAAACTACAACATTGAAACTCGATGAAGCCTGGCTGGTAAGCACGAGCAATACTTGGATGAGCACAGGAGGCCGGGTATATCTTCTGCAGTGAAATTATCAAGATCATATATCAAAACGCCAATAACTACCGTCAGTCCGTCCGGAACTATAAAACCTAGTATGGATATATTTTTTTTTCCATCACCATCTCCGACCTCCTCCGCCCCGTCCACGGCCTCCGCCATACCCTCCTCCCTGCTGATTGTAGCCCCCATAGCCGCCCATCTGCTGCTGGCTGCCTTGTGCTGGATATCCCTGATTCTGCTGGCCACCGCCAGGCTGTCCTCCCATCATCGCCTGCACATTTTGCATAAACGCCATCGGATCCATTGCCGACGGATCAAGACCCTGCGCCATCATATTGGCTAGCATTCCCTGCATCATATCCGGCGACATGTCTGGCATCCCCGGCATCCCCGGCATGGCCGGCATACCTCCAGCACTGGCGCTTGGAGCTGGCGGAGCTGGCGTCGGCGTTGGAGCCCCTGGCATCCCCGGCATGCCTCCCATAGACATAAAAGTTTGCATTTCTTCTAGTTGTTTCTTTTGATCTGTAACGTCTTTGCGCAGTTCCTGCTGCTTGAGGCAGTAACTCGCCCAGGAGAACTCGTCAAACCCGTAGTTGAAGAAATCCGTGATATCAGTGCCCGGGAGTCTCCATGGTTTGTCCTCCTCTGTCGGGAAATCCGCATCAAGGTCTGTGGATGTAATGGGTTTGCCGGTCGTTGGGTGGACTGGGTTGGCATTCACATCAATCGTTGATACATGTACGGGCGGATACGCCGTGCCAGACTTGAGTGTCGCTACGGGCCTACCCTGAACAGGCGCAGGAGTCACACTCTCGGCTTTCACAGGGATCGAAGGTGTTGAAGACGGTTTTATCTCGGCCGAGGCAGATCGCTGAGACTCGTTTATTAATGTGGCGTGTCGCGGATGTGCACTTCAAAAGATTAGCGAGCGACTCTCAAGGCATTCCACGACGACCGGACTCACAGATTCGGAGCTGCGTCTGCAGGAGCTTCGGTGATAATATTGAAATCGTCCTAGATACTAGTAAGCCTTGCGGGTCTTGCGACATCTTCACGGTGGAGGCTGCAAATTACTTCGTCTTCTTCCTCTTCTTCGAACTCGTACGAGTCCCCGCCGTTTGCTTCTGCGGTAGTCTGGTTATAGTTGCTCTGCTCTTGCTGGGGCGGGAACGAGTCCGCAGGGTCATAGAGATCGTCGTCGTCTTCCTCCATGCTGGGTACACGCAAAGATGGTCAATGGAAGAGCTGTGGTTGTTTGTTGTCTGTGCAGTTGGTCCCTGCGGAAGCGGGAGCTTCTTAGTTTTAGCACTTTATTTTTTGCCCCAGATCGCAGTTAGCGTCGATAAAGCTTCACATCTGTTTTGCCAGAGCGATTCCAGAGCTGTAAAGGATCCTATTTACTTTGGGTCAATTCGTCGCTTTGTCTTGATCTTTAGAGCTGCTAGATTTCAAGTCATCCCTCTGAAGTCACGTGGTCTCAGGCAAAACTTGGCGCTGCGGATCAGAAGAGCGAGCCTTCTTGCGCTTCATCGCGGAAAAAGAGCCGACAGACAACTCACCCATTCTCCATTCAGTGTACAAGCATGCCCTCCTCTACCGATCCACCTAGTCGCACGTCGACTCCACGATCATTCACCAATCAAACACTCTCCGCGGAGGACTTGCTGAAATCGCAAACGGTCGGTTTAGTGCATCTCTCGGAATTTCGCAAACGTCGAGCAGAGGTTCTTGAACAAAAAGAGAAAGAAGCGCATGATAAATCCCTGGGAATATATGCATCTGCAACCTCGAGGACAGGAACACCATCACAAGGCGACGTAACGGATGGGTGAGTTTGAGTGTTTTTCTGGTTTTGTGAAAAGTGCAGGAACAGTGCTAATGGACCAAGAACAGTGCGCTGACTCCCGGATCTGTCACCTCTGAAGGGGGTCGGCCGAAGAAGAAGAAAAAGGCCCTTGCAAAGAGCAAACTGTCGTTCGGAGACGACGAAGAAAGCAATGATACTGGCGAGGACTCGGCTACAGCGACGCCACGCGACTCGTCGTCGCAACCTGCGTCAACGACACGCCTAGCAGGAAGCCCTGCGCCACCGCCGCGCAAGATCACCGCCAACCCGAACGCTCCACCACCACCGAGGACGCTCACAAAAGCAGGGCTTGAAGCCGAGGCGCAGGCACGAGACGCATTGCGCAAAGAGTTTTTGGCAATGCAAGAGGCCACCAAGGCAACAGAAATTATAATACCGTTTGTCTTCTACGAGGGCACGATTATTCCCGCTGGACAAGTCCGGGTTAAAAAAGGAGACCATGTCTGGCTATTTCTCGACCGGTGTCGAAAAGTCGGCGCTGAGCTTGGAGTAGGAGGCTCACGGAAAAACAGTCGTGCAAAGCGTGATCAACGTCGAGAATGGGCACGGGTCGGTGTTGACGATCTCATGCTTGTCCGAGGAGATATTATAATACCTCATGTAAGCTCACTCAGTTCCCCGTTTGACTCCAATGCGTACTGACGCTGTCTCAGCATTATGAATTCTATTATTTTATCGTGAACAAGGTGCCTAGTTTTAGCAAAGCCGGGGGGTTGCTATTTGATTTTTCGGCAAATGCACCAGTTGCAAAGGACGGCGATGGCCCTATTTCACGGCCAAATGACGAGGAGCTTGAAGGCGCCAATGCAGACCCGTCATTGACAAAGGTGGTGGACCGACGATGGTACGAGAGGAACAAACACATCTTCCCAGCCAGTTTATGGCGGGAGTACGAGCCTGGGGAGGAATTTCTGGAGAAGATGACCTCGGCCAAGCGAGATGCTCAGGGAAATGCATTCTTTTTCTGATGTCTGACGAGGCGTTTGGCGAATATATTAACTAGTTACAGACTACAATCAAGATACCCAGCATCAACTTCGCAGTCATATACGAACATAGGCTACCGGCTGCAGTATATAGAAGCTATATAATGAATCCAGATCCTTCTTTCTTGTGGAAATACATGTCCTGTTCCTACGCAGTATAGTATAGAACGTAGATACGTCTTCGAATGTTTTGGTGGGGGCGCGAGGCGGGTGGAGTCTGGAGTCTGGACTCTGGACCAACTTTATCGTCATCTTCCCGCGCTGTCCGTCCGACACGCCTTCAACTACGCACTCATTATTATCCCTAACGCTCTATATTATTCCACATCTCCTGAACCGCTTGGAAACAGCGTGCACTGCGTACTGCTGCTCTGCTCTCTGACGAGATATGACCGAGGGAAGACGCCTCACAGGTGTCGGGCCCCAAGTCCTGCCCATTCCAGGCGAATGCTAATGGGCCATTGCTAATCCAGCGAGCGTGTCAGGTGAATCACAAACGCAAAATAGTTGACTCTGCGCTCGTTTGCCCAAGTTTCGTGACGCGTTTTAATCCGTGAGAGCAATGTCTGCTTTCAGTTCCTCCACGCCTTCACTGGCCGCGGCCTCCAATAATAATAGTACTGCTTCCAACGCCACTCTGGCTGGCAGCTTCTCATCATATCCACTCTTGCTTCTGAAAGCTCCCTGGAACGCAATCCAACAAGTTGAAGCCTTCTCCTTTGCTACGCTCCCACACAATGCTGCGCGCTTTCTTGGTCTAAACAATCTTATTAGCTTTGGGCACGGAAGAGAAGGCGATCTCGCAGCCGCAGCTGCGGCTACTGGGGCAAACCATCTGGCTGAGGGGATCGCAGACAATGCTATACCAGAAAGTCCGTTCAGCTTGACGGATATCTTGCAGACAATGAGAAGATTCAGCGGCTTTTTCAGTTACATGACTAGCCGATGGTCTTTGGCGTGCTTTTCCGTTGCTTTGATCCTCAACCGTGTGACAATATATGCATCCTCGAGACGCCACATTAGGCTTCATTGGCAGAAACGCCTTGCTCTTCGTATCGTACCGATTATTTTGTTTCTGGCCCAGATCGTGAATCTGTTGCGTGCAATTCGATGTCAAACGTCGCCGGAATACCCTACCATGAGATACGGTCACTCGGAAAAACACTTCTCCTTCGATCATGCTGCCGGTGGTGGATTTCTATACTCTGTGAGCTCTACGCTATTACCGTGGGAATCATATTCAGACTCTTGTAGTGCAGTAGCTATGAATAGGCGACAAGGCAGTACGGAAATTCCTCGTGGATCATTCAATCTTCTGTGGTCGGTCTTCATGATTCTTTGTCTTAGCCATTTCGTGGAGACACTCTCGTGTGCCCTGCAAGGTCGAACTGTCGTCACCGAGACTGGAATGTCAATTTTCGAACATTCTCTTGCGTTTGCAGAGGCAGAAACAATGGTCAGCCAGTCCATAGGTCTGGGCATATTCGGATTAGCAAAGCATAGCTCGGCGAGAGATGATTTACCCCTGACAGGAGATAATGCAACAACCTTACACTTGCTCAGCCGCAATCAAGTTTTGGAGAAGCTGAATGTAACGCCAGAGTTATTACTCATAATCCTCATCTCATGCTGCAATAGTCTTTGCTCCAACGCTCTCGATGTCCTTGGGAAGCAAAGCCGATACAGACTGATAAATACAACTATCTGGGGACTGTGTTACATGGCAGCTATGGCTTGGGGCTTCCTCGGTTCTTCGCCTCTCAGCGCTGACGCAGGGGTTCTCAAGTTCCCAACTGTTTGCATCGTGGGTTTCGTTCCTCATCTTCTAATACTAGTGGGAATTATAGTCTGCCTTTGTATATATGGACTCGCTATTCTAATCAGCGCATTCTCTTTGCCGCCGGGATTGCCAGAGCCATCGTCAATTCGTGAGCGGTTTGCGTTGGCTCACGAGAATATGCAAGGATCAAGTCAGATTCGCAATGTGCGTCTCAATATGCATGAAGACTTTTACACCACTTTACTACGCATTGGGTATACAGCCTTGACTGCTGCAAGCGATGCTGTCTTCTTGAATGAGGAACAAAGCGTAGTAGCTCGCCAGAGAACCTGGTTAGAGGAGGATCGACTTGCCGAGATTGATGCTGCCCACGGAAGAGCGTCAACAAGTCCAAGAACTTGGGGCGGTACTCCCGGTGCTCGCTGGGAAAACGCAGCCAGCTTCAAGTTCGAGATGCCTCTACCACATGCAGAAAACTGGGAGAGTGGATATGGACGGGAACAAAAGATTGAGAAATTAAAAAGCGCTAATCGCTCTCATTCACGGGCCAGTCTCGGCGGCGTTGGTACATTGCACGGCGCAAGTAGGTGTTATCATGGATTTGCATTTTTGAGGGGCACGTTTTATTTGGTGGCGAGATGGTTTGTTCTTGGCTTGAACAGAATCATGGACCTACTGGGCATCACCTTTCGTCCACAGTGGATGGCCCGCCTCATTGGGCTTAATAAAAGACGACAGAGGGCAAATATTATAGACAAACAAGCATCGCTGGACTTCTGGATCTTAACAGATGACGGTGAACTGGAGCTACCAGAGGATGATGAATTTGACGTGGAGAAGGAAATGCGCAAGAGAGAGGCCTACAGCCAATCGAACTGGGGGGATACAGATGAGACTCGCCTTGATAACAAGCTCTACAGCTGGTGGACAGCCGGTGGATCGTGGGGCAATCAGGATGAAACTGCCGATTACATGCCTTCAGATGATGGGCTTGAAGATACCACCAGTGTGATATCGATGCAAACCAATGATTCCGAATGGGAGGAATACGACAGCTCTGATGGCCGTCGCACTCCCACACAGAAGGAACCTTTCCCTCGCACCTATTCACGTGAAGGAACTCCAATACTAGAGTCATTATTGGACACATCCTCTCTTGCGCGCTTACTCGACCCTCGCGATCAAGAAAGTAAGAAAGAAGCGCGCATCCTCGCCGCGCATCTCCTCGCCGAGAAAGAAGGCCGCATAATGACCCGCAGCCGCTTCCGTCTTCACAACGAGCGCGAGCGAGCACGCATCCTCATGCCCGTGCGCTACCACCACCGTTCTGCTACATACAGCGACAACGGCGATAGCAACAATGAGAAAACTCGCCCGACAGCCGAAGAAGAAGCAGAAATCCTCGAAAGACTAATTCTCAATCGCCGCCAAGACGCAGCCATGCGAAGTCGAGAAGAAGCAGAAGAAGAAGCCACTCAAGAATCGTGGCAAACCGGCGCTGCGGGCCTGGGGAGTGACGGTCCTCAATGCGTGATATGCCAAACCAGTCCGCGTTCGATAATTACATGGCCCTGTCGATGTCTCTGCGTGTGCGAAGATTGCAGAATCAGTCTTGCCATGAATAATTTTGGGACTTGCGTTACGTGTCGTCAGGAGGTCACTGGGTTTGTCAGGCTGTGGGTTCCTTGACGTGTGTTTTTTTCCCGTTTGTTGTTGATTGTTTGACTACTCGATTTGTATACATTCTCATGTGATGGAAGCTGTGTATACGGCGAATTTGTATCGTGCGAGTGCTCATTGAAATAGATTTTTTACTATTTGCTGGCGCGGGGCTCATTGGGAAATCTCTTTTCACATCTCCTCTTACTCTCTGATAGTGTAGTATACAATGTCATGCGTGCGTATCTCAGTCATCCATATTTAGATATGTCAAGTATATCATGCAGTAAGAAAAGTCCTTATATCAGTGGAATCAGACCACGTACCAAATCCGGTTCTCTTCAGCCAGGATTGTAACTGAAATCTCTAAAACGTCCATGATTCGGAATGTACGGTGTTTCTTCCATTCGTTCCAATCTTTCTGGCACAAACGCTGCGCGTGGGGGAGCAGGAAGACGTGTCCGATGATGCGAGGGGGTGGGTAGTTGGTTTTGGGCAACTAGTACCAATCAATTAATGTAAGTCTCTCTGTTTTGTATAACTAGGGTAAATGCAGGTTTAGGAATTACCAGAAAACGGCAGTTGCGGAAGAGGCATCCCCATAGCGTCAGCAGTCAATCTGTCCTCTTTGCTTTTCGAGCTTGCACTGCCACTTCTTTGATGTCTAAACAGCTGCTGCTTACTATTTCTTATAGGTGGCTTCTCGGTTGAAGACAAAGCATTGAAATGTCGTGAGGCGGCCATCGCTGTCTGTGGCATCATCGGTCCTCCAGGTCGCGCAGCGCTCGCATGAGGCAGTGATTTCAGGGTTTGAGATACCGAGTCTGATGCCGCAGTCTGGATTTGCGAACGCATGGCTTGACTTTTCAGAAGATTGTACAGATTTGTCATTTGTGTGTGCTTTTTGCACTTGTCTTGATACAGAGAACTGAGCTCTTCGATTTTCTTTTGTAGTTGGTCTTGGGTCAATTGCATGTCTGGGTAGCATTTGACGATTAGACAGAATTATTTGTATAGAAACGTAAAAAGCACAAGAACGGACCGGCAATCTTGCCCTGGAGACCTAGTATCTCGGTATTGGCACTGTTGATCACTTTTTCTTTCTCGGTGTTCAGCGTGCTGTATTTTTCCGTGAGCCCTTTGCTCAGATATTCTTGGTAGCATCTGGTGATGGCAATCTTGTCAAATTCAGACTCTGTAAACAGTCAAAAAGGAAGAGTACATTTCTTGAGTCGTCTGATAAGCCCAGAAAGAAAGCGCTCGTCCGGCGCATTCTATAATGGTTGTTGGGTCCAAGCCACTGAGCACGCTTGTCTTGTAATCTTCTGTAGGGTTAAGTGTCGTTGAAACAACGTCGTCCGGGTTGGGCAGATTCGCTTGACACGCTGGACAGGTCCGGTTCTGCTGTGGTCGTCGAGACAGACCGAGACTTTCTGCACAAGGTAAACAGAAGATGTGCCTAGCCAAGTCCGAGGTGGTCAGCATGGTTTCTCGAGCGGTGTGAATGGAGGGCTACGAACGAACAAGTCGTGACGACCGCTCTGTCATTCAGAGTATTCCTGCAAGTGAGGGAGTTGCAGCGGAGCGAGAAGTCCAATGTCTGCGCCATCGATTCGACAGTTTAGTTTCTTGGGGAGGTATATTCCAGTCTATGAAAGTTCGTGTTTCTCTCAGGGGTTGCTCTATAGCACCTGGTGTTTGCCCGTAAGGAAGGCACGAGGGCACCTTCCGTGTTGATAGAAATGGAAGGAGCATTACCGCATTTGGTAATGACAGGAGACATCCATATGCCACGATGAATCTAATATGTCTGTAAATATATGTATAAATAAATACATATATATATCTATATCTATATCTATATCTATATCTATAGATTATATGTAAGCATGTAAGTATGTAAGTATACAAGTAACTTATAAAAGTATGCATCACGAATAGCGATGGCCACTGAGTGCCCTCGTAGGATAGGAGAAACATTATGTAAGCGGTGAGCCAGAACAAATCCCGCACCAATCAGCTCGTGCAATCTGGAAGCGATCGTCCCAAAACGTGCTGCCCTCTGCCGTGCGGCCAATCACAGCGCTTGCAGGGGCGTGTTTCCCCACCGATTGACCGTGGATCCGTGCACTTGGGGAAGGCGCCAGCTTCCTTCCTTATCCTCCCTATTCTGGACGGATACGTAGTTGGAGTGTCAGGCCAACGTCCAACTTCGACCTCGCATCCCCGTCGAGTCTCCTTCCCCTCCCCCAGGCGCCCCTTCTCGGCCATGCTGGCATTCCCCGACTCATACCAATTGAGGGCTGCTTTTCGACCGTAATTGCCATTAATGTTGACACTTTGCCTCAACCCACGCTCATTTCACCTCACCTTTTGAGCACATCCTGCTTCCAGCGCAATCGGCCATGCCGAGCCGACTTTTAGGCCAGGCCCTTATAGTCGGCTGTTTTCTATTTGCTTTGATATACTTTCTCTATCAGCCTTATGAGACATATCCTGCATCGAGGTCGTCGTCCAGATCACGCTCATCCGGTGCGGATTTAATAAACGATGCCAAGAATTCCACCTTAGGGGTGAGTGACAACAGGAGAAGAACCCTCGTGTGCTCCTAGCAGAATAACGCTGACCTTTTCGCTCAACATCGCAGTTCGGTGCCATTTATGTTATCAACCTGCCTACTCGGTCAGACCGTCGTGATGCCCTCGCGCTTATGTCGTCCATGTCGGACTTGAAGTTGGATTACATTGAGGGTAAAATGGGCAGTGAAGTTCTGGATAAGTCACTTCCTCCGCCAGCAAGCCATACAAGTCAGAGATCGGGCAATATTGGTAGTTGGAGGAGTCACCTAGACGCAGTGAGAGCGTAAGCTGCAGTCATCTACATTCCGCAGTTTTTCTCTAAACCATTCAAAGCTAACGGCATTTTCTTTAACTAACAACAGAGTCGTCGAGAACAATCTGGACTCCGCCCTCATTCTCGAAGATGACGCCGACTGGGACGTGCGCATCCACGATCAAATGTATGATTTCGCCGAAACCACCAGAGTCTTGACACAACCACTTGCAGGATCATTCAAAACCTACGCAGACCCTTCGTTCAATGACCCATCCCAAGGTGGCCAGCCGGAAGAGCTTGTTTTCGGCCAGCTCCCCCGCACTGTATTGCCAAAAGTGTCACCGTACGGTGATGACTGGGATGTACTCTGGATTGGCCATTGCGGTACTGAAGCCCCAAATATCAACCTCGAGGATGAAGACAAGGCGAAGAAGTCTCAAACTTTACCCCGCGGCCGTGTGATACATTACGATGACGAAACTGTGCCACAGAATGACCATTTGCACGTAATGGAGCAGGAGCGTGATCCACGTGAAATATTCCCTGATCATACTCGAACAACTCACCATGTCATGGGGCAGATCTGTTCCTTGGTCTATGCCGTCTCCCAAAGAGGCGCTCGCCGCATTCTTTATGAGATGGGCGTGAACAAGTTCGACGGACCCTACGACATCATGCTGCGCGATATCTGCGAAGGCGTCAACGAGCGGCCCAAGGGTGCTGTGTGTCTGTCCGTCGAGCCCGGTATCTTCAACCACCATCGCCCTGTCGGTCTATCCGCCTACCACAGCGACATCTCCGAACATCTCGCTCCTCCGGTTGAGGTTGCATTCACCGAGAATATCCGGTATAGTGCCCGTTTGGCATTACCAAAATTCGCTATTGGCGAAACCGAGTTAGAAGATCAATGGCCGGACAAATTCACATCGTCATCATATACATCATCATAAAAAAGGCAGTTGATTGCACCCTTGAAATATCCAACCTTCAGCTTTGCATCCTCCCATCTTCCGAAAATTTAACGTATCATTTGGATTATCACGCGCCAGATACCACCATTTTTCGCTTCATCGAACTTTGCACAAAGTTTCATTTTGTGTGTGACATATATCTATACTATCCATACCGAACACCCGTTGATATTAAATAACTTTCTTGTTTTCATCTTCTCTTCACCTCGGCCAGGTTAGGTGGGGGGTTTTATTTTTCGCTTTCCATTCCTGTACTCTATCTTTGTATATTTGATGCTTTTATTTTCTCCCTTCTGGATAGTGACTTTTTGGGACCTTGCTAGTCATCAAGACTGTATACACTTCATGAACATGGGTGTATGTGCTTTTTTATCGTTGGTTACGTTTTAGATCTTGGGGTGTACAGGCAGGCGCAAGAATTGCTTTTATACGTGTCGAAGAACCATATCTTCTCTCTATGAAAATAGCTTTTGAGTTCTTTTCTTTTTGGTTTTTTTTTTTTTTTTTTTTTTATTTTTTTTTTTTTTTGCATATAGGAAGGATTTAGGAATTGAGGACATTTATTCAGTCGTTTGTTCTATTTATCTTTAGGCATGCTTCTGCTTTCTGGCTTATGAAGAAACCCTTATCTATCATAGCCGAAACATCTCACTGCGACTACCAATACCATCAAATAAGCAGGTATTATCCAAAGGCACGTACTGCCTGGTCAACACTTTGAGAGCTTCCTGGGAGACCAATCCACCAGTCAGAGAGGAAATATTGTGCAATTCACCCCCTTCGGTGCGACGCAACTCCTTGGCTGCTTTGCTTACACGATCGCGCACATCCTCATCCTCACTCAGTGACTTCTCGTCTTCTGCAATTGTGAGTAGTAATCGTTCAATAGTTGCATCCCACGTAGCGTCATCGTCTAGGGCTGTGGCGGGTAGACGTCCATTCTGGATGCCATCGACAATAGCGTCTAGAGCCTCGAAGGCGACATAGACCGAGATCACGGAATCCGGGTTTCCGAAGTTTGAGCGGGTGGCCTTGAGCGTTTGACTGGCATCAATGGTGATATGAGGTATTCGGTGACCACAAATTACTTTCACGTGAGATGCATTCTTGCAAAAGACCTCTATTTCTTTCTCTGCAATGGGCACGGTTCGTGAACATAGTCGTGTTTCTATGGCACGAACAGTGTCTAGAACTTCCTTTATATCCTCGCTTGCCTTGCTTTTGTAGATGTTTTGTAGGGCAATGTAATCTGCGGACTTTGCCTTCATGTCGGGTAGCGATCCGGGAAGGGGGAGAACGGCATGTTTTGTGTAGAATTCTTTCAGTGCAGAAGCGATGATCCAAAAATTATCGGAATCCGCGTCCAGATTCTTGCATTTATCCATCTCAAATATTTCGCGGATATTGCTTCGCAATGACCAAGGGTTGATGCTCTTGAGGACGGCCGCAACGGCTTCATCAAAATTCTCCTCGCCCCCCTCTGGTGTATTTGTTCTTGCCCCGGCCCTGACGTATTCCCTGAAGGCAGTCTTCTCTTTATAATTCTCTGGTGCTTTGCCACCATGTTCAGCTTTCCACTTATCCAAGTAGTGTAATAATATAAGGATATAAGGCACGTGGCCGTGATCATGATCATCTAGTGCATCAAGGTTCGTAATTGCTGAAGCTGCCGAGTGCAGCTCAGGCCATGGGTTGAGCAGACGCAGGTCTTGCGTAGACTCGGGGTCTGGATGTGTTTCGACAATAGGGAATTCGGAGGGAAGTTGTAATGAGAAGACGGAGTAAAAACCGACAGAGCGTACATAGATCAGAGGGATGCCGAGGCTCTCAGCAGCATCGGTGAGAGCATCGAGGGAGGATCGTTTTATAGGGCCAGAAACAACCACTATTTTATAATCGGAAAGGAAATCGGGTTGCTTCAGAAGCTCTAATATTGGCTGTAAGATAAGAATATAGATAAAGAAGAGCAGACATTAGCAACAAGCAAAACAGATCGAACGGAAATTCAAAATAGTTCAATTAGGAGCAACGCACCTCAGATCTATAGTCTCCAGCCACGTCCGGATTCAGTTCCGTAAGAAACGCGCATGTTTCCTGTGCTCGCGATTTGCCTAAACTGCTTTCCTCGAGAAAAAAGTTCACACCCAAATCGGCCTCGGTCACGATAGCGGGATCAACAATCGTAAAGCCGCTCACCCCAGGCAAGACTAGGTTCTTCAGTGTTTCGACACCAGCAACACCTCCAACTGTAGTATTTCTGCCGTCAATAGCACCATCCGAGTTCACTAGCAGCACTCGCGACTGCTCGAGCGCTTGTTGGCCGCTGGCCGCCCATAGACGCAGCTGTCGGTCATACTTCCTCTCTTTAGAGGATGGCCCCACCAAGGCAATGGGAAACGCGTCGGTCATTATCAGGCTCAGACGTGTATTTGAGTGGAAGCAGAGGGGAACAATGAGGCGGGGAAGAAAGTGGATTGCACCGCTTTGCCAGGGCGAACTGCCAACTGCAAAGAAATCCTGTATTGCTGCTATTCGATGATGTTGATGTTAGCTGTTGGATCAGATCGGATCGAATCGAGCAGCAGCGATAACCTTGGGAACTAACCAGATGCGGCTTAGTGGCTAGCCCCTCCTTCAGGATTCTCAGGCTCCTAGGCTCCAACTTCCAGGCATCAAATAAAATGCTATAGGCCATAACGAGACGAGGCATTTCATCTACACTAGAAAATAGACTAGTTGGCAATTGCTTGATGATTCAAGGAATAGCATCCAATCGAAGTTATACGTGTTCAGCTCTATTGATATCTTCATGTGCCCATGGGCTTGATGTTCATCATACAAGTTATTGGCTACTGTGAAACAGTCATAGTCATCGGTGGATTGTTTCTTTTTTTTTCCTTTTCTTTTGGTACCCGGCTAGGTAGGCTTTCTTCTCAGCGCGCTAGAGATATATAACTTTGATTGTGTTAAGAATCTCTGTTGAAATTAGTTGCTATCGTAGTTATACAGTATAAAGCTTCTTTTCCCGTCAGCATACCGTGTAGAAAAAGACTTTATCAAGATGTTCAATCGCCTCCGGTCCGCTGGGGCCGAGGTCATGGTCCGTAGGTCTTCTCTGGTCCTAGGGCCGTGGGTTTACACCCATGTTGAATATCTCGGTCGTTGTGATGTTCTGATAAGGACATGATGTATATAACCAGTCCTTCGGCCCCTCAAGAGTAGAAGAATAACGAACAATTGAAAAACTATCACAACAGCCCGATATGGAGTATTCTAGAAATAAGTTTCTAGAATCGCATTCCTACTAGAGAGATCCCAGGTACTTATCGAATCTAGGTTACGTGGCCCATGTTTCAACCCACCCTGGGACTTATCGCCCAGAACCACCAAAGATCCAGGATTACTACCTATGATTTTGACCTTCATAGGAATAACTTCATAAAACTCAGAATATAGGACGGACTTCGATTCTATAGGGTCTCACACATTAACCCAATAGAATACCTCAACTCTGTACGTCTGACGTGTCAGATAGACACCCTTGTAGAACAACTCATACTTGCATTTCCTCTCTTTTTGCGGCGCAGTCGTCTTCATGAAACCAGCCCTTTTGTTTATTCCGTGTCACTAAACACCTTCTTCCTTCATTCTTGTTTGCCAACACGCTGTCACGTCGAGTATGGGTAAAAAACAGAGAACTAAAAAGGCTCAGTCCCTTAAAAAGGCCAAGAGTGCAATGTCTATTGTCGTCATGGAGGAGGAAGATATGGTGATGGAAGAAGCATCTCTGAAGATTGACTATCATCAACCCTTATCATCGTAAGCGCTGTCAACTCGTTTACGTTACAGTAACATCATCATTAACTATTTATATTGGCCCTATGAAACGTCTCCCGTTGCCCTGTTGATCGGAGATAAAATACACAGCATTCCAGAAGGAATTCTTCAGAAATACCCTCAAATTCCACAGCCATCAGCATATTCTTCAGTAACATTATATGGTATCCATGAGGATGCTCGTCATTCTCTGGTGCACTTTTTATACACAGGAAATTATGAGACGATAAACTCGCCACTCGACAAGGGCGTATCTGAAATCGCAAGAGAGTATAGACGAAGTATCCTTGTTTGTCATGCATCAAGGAAGTATGGTATAGCGGGTCTAAAAACTTACGCACAACACTATATGCAGCTCTTCGGTGACGAGCTTTCCTTCCCTGATCTACTCCGGGAAGCCAGGGATGCATTTTCAAAGCTCCCTAAAGATGAAGCATGGATTCCATATCCTATCAAAATAAGATTAGAACAGATGTTGCAGTCTGCCGAAGTAGCATCCAATCTGGACGAGCTAAACACTATCCTTGGCCAGAATGACCAGTTTGATGTCATTGTGTTGAAAATGGCACTAGAGATTCTCCCCGTTCACTTGCGTTCTCTGACGAATGGTCAGTAAGGATCACAAGTTTTGGCACTTTGGAAAGTATCTAATAGACTGAAGAAATTGATAAAGACGCGGCTCCTGCTGAAGAAGCCCCATACGCAGAGCAGACTCTTGAAGAAGCCCCATACGCAGAGCAGACTCTTGAAGAACCTACCTACAAAGAGCCAACTCCTGAAGAAGCTCCGTGCGAGGAGGAGATTCCCTCCGGAACTATCCGGACTTACGTAGTTAGGGTCTCGCCTGCAGACTTTGCGTTATATAAAGAGTGGGAAAATCTAAGTTATTCAAAGAAGAAAATACTGCTCAAGAAGAGCAAGCCTTATCAATCTTTGTGGCCTGAGGAATTTTGAAATGTGCAATGATTTGTTAGTTAATTATATATTTTTCTTTAGTCTTGCAATGCAGTAATAATTTTTCAAACTTGTCGACTTAATTATTTATACTTCTTTGTAGAGGAAGTATATGTATATTATAAATTCTGGCTTATGGCACTACGGAGTCCTAATCTTAGTCATATTTATCTAGTCCGCAATAGTCTCTCAGGCTGATAGTCAAGAACAGCCATGTTCACTTTTTAGTCTACATAGTCTCGAAGGATGAGTGGAGCTTGGTCAGGGATGAGGTTGATGGAGGTAACAGACTTATCTTAGGTAATTTATGGTAAATCTATCTATAAAAATTTCCTAGTGTACTCACTAGATACTTCTGTACTTAAAGTAGCTTATTGAGTATTTTCATGTTATCTCAGCAACTCAGGACCCATCCGCGCAACTTCCTGGTATATCTTCCGGAGCGTCTTTCATGGTAAACGTCGCTGCGTTTCCAGAAGTAGTAGAGATAGAAAAATATGATTCGGAGCGGTGTCAGGTCTATAGGCGAGATCGCGCTTCTGGTATGGACTGTTTTGTCAACGCAGCTCGGGCCTGGGTATTCTTCCTCTTCCACATGGCCTTCCTACGCTTATGTCCGTCCATAAACGCCTTTACCCACTCCGGACAGAATATTGGTAGCTGGCGGCCTTTCCCGCCTTCACCCTCTCCCGCGAGGTGCCGGACGGTCTCGAAGTAGTCTTCGAAATCCGGAAAGATCAAGCTGAATTTCAAGCCGTCCCCACGTGCTGCTACACGGTCCTTTTCCCAGCGTTGCATCGCCTCTAGGGACGGAAGGGTGGCCCGTCCCGCAAGCAATCGCGCCGCGAGGACTGCCTGCCACTCGAAAATTTTAAAAGTCAGGCCAGCGCCGACGGCGCCGACAAACAGAAGCGTTGGGTCTTGCATCCAAACCACATGCTGATACAGCCCGGGCACCCGATTATTGCGGACGGGCACCGACGGCAAAAAGGGGAGCGTCCAGCTATAGCCCGTGCCAAAGATGATCGTGTCGACGCCTTGAATCTCGCCCTGGTCTTCCAAGAACACTGTGCGGCCTGAGACACGGCGGAGCGACGGGTGCTTGTGGATTCTCGGGTGATTGAACGCCTCATCGCCAAAATAGCCGTTGGGAGTATGACCGATGACGACCGCGTGAACTTCTGCGGTGGTCGACTCGGCCAAATCAAACGCGATGTCGGCTGCTGACACCGAGGCCCCGACGACGACGACTCGCTACAGGGTCCGTTAGCAATCATACTTTTTCTTTTCTTTTTCCTTTTTTTGCTTTTCCCAAAGCGAGCGTGGTATCAGCGCTCCCGTGTTTCCACTTGACCTGCCTTTCCATTGTATTTCTCCCTACCGCGGAAATGCTTGCTGTGAATGACACTGCCGGGCCGCTGGTTTTCGAACTCTTCGAGGCCCTCAATGGGCGGCACATATGGCACCCAGTAATGGCCGCTGGCGACGACCACGGCGTCGAATTTCTCCACCCACCAGTAATCGCTCTTTGAGCCATCTCGTCGCAGGGTGACTTCCCATTCCGACCCAACCTTGGTCACTAACTCCACCGTCGTGTTGTACGAAATCAGATCGCTGTAGCCGTTGCGTTCCACCAGGCTGGTGATGTATCCTTTAATCACGTCCCATCTGCGGAACGGGGTATCTGGTCCATGGTTCTGCACGGATTGTTCGCTCCGCACGACAGGAATGGGTTCCTGGCTGAACTCCATTGGCAGCGCATCGACGTTGGTCTCCAGGTAGGGGTAAACGGACGATTCCGTGAACCGAGGCTGGTCCTGCTTTGGGGTTTGCGCCGGGAGGGTCGCAGGAATGGGCAATGCAGGATCCGCAGACCGCTCGGCAAGCGCCTTCAGGTCTGAGATGGCGGGCGGTTTCGTGACGTCGCCAATCCTAAAGCCGTGAGCTTCTTTCTTTTGCTCTTGCTAGCGAGTCGCGCACACACCAGCATCCACCGGGCCCTTCGCGACGCTCAAACACGCGAATGATGTCAAAGTGTTTCTCCTGGGCCAGGGCATCCACCGCAATGGCTCCCGCCGGCCCAGTGCCAATGACCGCTACGCGCTTGATTGGAGAGCCCGCCATTCTGCAGATGCAGCAGGAAAACCGAAACGCGAGAGTGTTGGAGAGTGCATCTTATATCCTGGTGAGCTTCCGCTTCCCTCCAGGATTACAGATCAACTCGAAGGTGGGGCAGAAGCTGGCGCCAAACCGATTGGTTATCACGCCATTTTATGTTAGATTTTCCCTCTTGGGATTAGTCCTTTCCGAACTCATTTAGGGCTATGTACACATCGGGAAGTATTGGTTTACCACCAGGATAAAAAGAGCTTACCCTAACTACAGTTCTAACGCATCACCCTTCGCTTAAGTAAAGCAACGGCTATTTCACTCGGTCTAGGATTACGCTCGGAATTTATAGAGCTTTATCACCTTACTTCTAGGACCTTGTAAGGCTTTGAGTACCTTGCAGGGCAGTTACACTCAATTTCCCAGCTTTACCCTAATAGTAGACTAGCCTAATACGAGGCTGTTTTAATTTCGTTTGACAAAGTCTCTCTGACTGCTGAACTTTCCTATTCATGTTGCGCAATGTTAATAAAGACCTAGCATCGGCCTCGATTCAGTATGGGCGTCCAGGGCAAGGAAGCCGACGATAGCGATCCTTCGGTGTGGTCTCGGTCATCGCTGGATCGTAGTAGCGAGAAAAAGGCGCGGACAAAGTGAGGGCCAATTAACACTGGAAATGGGAAACCTTGAAAGCCGGCGTCGTGCTTACATATGCTTTTTTTTTCTTGACCTTCAGGGTGGATTTCTCGGTGTTGCCCTTGCTGTATCTGGGCTTCTTCGTCTTCCAACTGGACCGCATGAATATTGCCAGTGCCATTACGGACGGCTTTGCAACAGACATCCATGTCACGCAGTCCACAATCAACCTAGGAAATCAGATTCTGTTTGCTGGGATTGTGGCGTTTGAAATCCCATGCAACATGGCCCAGCAAAGGGTGAGCCAAAAGGATGCCGGTAACGAGACATTGGCTGACCAGAATAGGTTGGGCCTCGCAAATGGCTGGCTGGCCAAATCTTCGTGTTTGGCCTACTCGCCACAATGCAAGTGTTCGTGCGAAACCGAGGGTCGTTCCTGGCCCTGAAAATGCTGCTCGGAGTGGCCGAAGCCGGGTACATTCCGGGCGCCATTTACACGCTGTCGACGTGGTACCGAAAAGAGGAACTGGCCACGCGCGTGGCTGTTTTCTTCTTCGGGATGTTCTCCGGCAATGCCTTGAATCCTCTCATCGCATCGGGGATTCTGCAACTGGACGGCTGTCGTGGTCTCAAAGGGTGGCAATGGCTGTTCCTGAGTATGACTTTCCCCACGCAACGAACGAGAACATCGCGATTCTTTGTCTAACGCCGCAGAGACGTAGTTGAGGGCCTCTTCACCATTTCCGTCTTCTTTCTGTTTCTTCTGTTCTTGCCTGGGTCCCCGGCCGTTCCCCGGCCGTTACTGTCCTCGGGCTTGGTGAAGTTCTCTGACTCGGACAAAGAGATTCTGACTGCGAGATTGAACAACCCTGATGAGGGAAACCCCGAAGACAATCGTGGTGCAAGGATTTCGCTGCAGATTGTGTGGAAGACTGTGTCGAACTATCGTCGCTGGCTACACTTTGTGTCGAGTTTCGCCGTGTTTTCAACGTGGAGCCCGCTGACGACATACACCCCGTCTATCATCATGTAAAGAATAGAACCATGTCTTTTTTTTCTATGAGGATTCTGATAACTCGGTTTAGGTCACTCGGATTTGACCGGACTGACGCCAATGCCCTTGCCGCGGTAGGTGCCTTGCTCGCGCTCGCAGTCGTGTTCGGGTTTGCCTATCTCAGCGACCGGGTCAAGCTGCGCGGAGCTATAATAGTTATGGCCCAGCTTTGTTACCTGATCACCCTGATCGTGGCTCTGACGGTCCAGCCGCATGTGAACAGGTGGTCTCGCTGGGGGCTCTGGACTGCAGTGAACAGCTTTGCAGTGGGCTACCACCCGCTGCACAATACGTGGGTGCAGGTCAACTGTCGAGACCCGAGGGAGCGAAGTATCAGCATTGCGTGAGTCCTTTTCCTCTTGAATGATGCTCTATCTGGGTCTTCGGCTAAGAGCCATTATCAATCAAATATAGCTTATGGGTTATGTTTTCGAACAGCGGCTTGGTGGCTGGAGCACAGTACTTCCAAGCGACAGACAAGCCACTGTAAGTCTCTAATAACGCAGATACTAGGATACATACACAGCACGCATGCCCGCGCATTAAAGCTAACCATCCTCGCAGCTACGAGAACGGGCTGCGCGTCATGATTGCGATGGTGTCGGTAGGGATGCTCGCTGCTCTGGCGCAGATAGGTATCTATTTTGTGCACAACAGACGTGTCTCTCAGGGCAAGCATCGGCCGCGAGACAAATCTGCGCCTTTCATGCATGTGTTGTGAGCGGGATACATTTCATGCATTTGTTCAAGAAGTGCTGCTCATGAATATGAGCATCCAGCGTCGAGGCCTCGTTCAACACTGCCACCGTGGGCGATATCTAATCCGGGAAACACTGAGGCACGGTTTCTTGGGTTCCTTGGGATATGAGACTAACTGAGATTCTGTCCATAGTATTGTCTTCGCATTCCAACGCCCGAGGACGTGTGGAATAACTCAGAAGCTTGCAAGCTGGAGATCTCTTTAACCCGTTTCCCAGCACCCTCGCTTGGAGATGGGAAATTGCAGCGTCCTTGCATTCTCCACAAGATCTGCTATGCTTTAAATCTAGTAGTAGTTCATGTTTTTTCGAGCCTTTTAATAGCCAGATTTGACGAGATTAGACATTATATGTTCTATTCAGCAATATATAGCTTTTACCTAGGTATCCTCAGATACCGGTATGGGTAATTTTCTTTTCTTTGGGCACTGTATTGACTTACACAGCATATAAAGATTAAATTTTGGAAGTGAATCAATCATATCTAAGACTGTAGCTTGCTTCGGCCTCACTCTTCAGGCCCCAAGGCCCCACGCAGAAGTAAAGGGCCCGCCGGAACGCCAGTCGGCCCGGCGGCGGTCCTGTCAAGGGACGCTATGACGCCACAGCGCGGCAGGAATTTCTCCGACGCTTCCCCGCCATCATAAGCCATTTGAGCATCAACCCCAATCGAAAAGAACAACCCCGGTCTTTGCCCCTGTCCCGCGGGGTTCCACGGCCATTGACGGATCTGTATATATTGATCGGCGGTGCTGACGTGTAGGAAGCACGCTTGAAAAGATATAATCCCCACCTCGGTCAGCTACGTGCCTTATGAGACTAGTTGCTCTGCCATTTTCTCCTTCGATACGCTTGTCAACGTGAGTCTCTTGCTGCTTCTTTGCTTGTGTTTCTTTTCGGATTGCCTGGTTATTCGACTGCTTGTCCTGTTCTCAATGCGCCAGCCGGTGTTTTAAAAACGCCGTTCTCGGAGACTAGAAACGCTAACGAACACAAATATTAGACGATATCGAACAAGCTGTGCGCCAATACTCAATCCCAGCGCATTTGTACTTTCACCAGCATCTAATAAAGTCACCTACGGTCGAAGGTCCTTCTCACACCCAGGCAAACACCGGCAGCACAACATGGACAGCGTCGAAGCGTCCAAACAGGCAGCCGCCAAGGTTGCAGTCCAGAACCACTATCCAGCCGACGCAAAGTGGGTTGGGATTGGGAGTGGAACAACCATTGTTTACGTTGTCGATGCAATCAAAGCGTTGGGCGTTGATACAAGTCTGACCCGATTCGTCCCTACTGGTTATCAATCGAAACAACTCATTACCAAGGCCGGGTTGACAGCTGTCGAATTCGACTCCATCCCACAGGGTACTGTGCTTGATATCGCATTCGATGGTGCTGACGAAGTGGATGATGACCTGAACTGCATCAAGGGAGGTGGTGCTTGTCTTTTCCAAGAAAAGCTAGTCGCTCTGCAAGCAAAGGCTTTTATCTGTGTTGCTGGTACGTATTCAGATCTCGAGGTATGTATATTTATGCTCCATGGCCTAATGAAACATCGTTGGAAACAGACTCTAGGAAATCACAAAGCCGTCTTTTAACAAACTGGAAATACATCCCCATCGAAGTGGCGCCGATCGCGGCCTATCGCGTTCTCAACAAATTGATTGAATTGGGCAGCATCAAACCAGCTATTCGTCTTAGTTCCACAGCCAAAGAAGGACCGCTCAAGACAGACCAGGGATTCTTCATTATTGATGCCCCCTTCAAGCCGTTGCTTCTTCCGTCTGATGTCAAGGCCGGCAAGGATGGGAGTGGTGTCGCCGGTGTATGGGAAGTTGAGACCCTCGCACGAAAGATCAAGGCTATCCCCGGTGTTCTCGAGGTGGGTATCTTCAGCGGACTTACTGCCCCGCAGGCTCAGGCTGTGGGATCAATTGGAGGACAGAAGCCTGTTGCTGCATACTTTGGTATGCCAGATGGCTCGGTGTCGGTACGAAAAGCCGCCGTCTAATCATGGGACTCTAAAATACCTCCTCTCTTTCTTGTCAATACCCGCATAGCTTCCAAAGATTGCATGATTTAATAATTTTTGATGATCTGTGCTTACAGATTCATATATATATGTTTTTTTTAACCCCCTAAATCATCTGATCCTTTGAGTATATTTGATCTATACATACAACAATGCGAGACGCCGATTTTTGTAAACATACCAGAAATGTTTCGCCTACCCGCCAATAGAAGAAATAATCTATTATAAACTTGTAAGAAGTAATAGCTTGTCAATTTTTATTTCGGTCCCTTGCCCTTGGCTTCAGTTTCACCGAGTTCGCGCACAAATATCTGCACCAAACCAGGCTCAATAACGTCCTTTCCATCCTCAAAGCCGGGACTAGCGGCAATAGCAAGATACTTCCCATTCGAACTAAAACTCAACGCAGCAACGCTAGCCGGATACTTTTGATACTGACGAATCCTCCTTTTCGCAATGCCGTCCCACAGAGCAACCACGCCGTCACCACCACCAGAAGCAAACGTTCCATGGATGGGATGAAACGAGAGAGCGTTAACGGGGTACACAACATCTACGTCGTCGACGGTTTGTCGATGGCACTTGAATGCATACTTGCGGGCTTGCGATTCGGTAGATGGATCGAACCATTCCACCGCAACTCGGCCCTCGATACTCGAAGAGGCATACCCAGCGTCGTCAGGCATGCATGCAACGGCCCGCGTCATGAATTTGAGACTGCTTTCGCGGCGCTGCCAGGGCTCAATCTCGACTTTGTTGACTGACGGTGGTTGCATGTCGGCTTGGTCGGTTATGAGGGTGAGTGATTTGAGATCGTAGATGTGTAGTGCTCGAGAAGCCATGGCGACCACGAGCTTTGTGGGGGAGAGTGAAAGGGAGAATGGCTTTGACGGCAGTGGGATTACCGCCGGTGTAGAGTCTGCGTTTAGTCTGTGGACGTGAAGTGTTGAATCCCATGAGGCCGAGATCACAATTGAATGTTCCTTGCTGTATACGACGGATTTGACACCTGCTTCGTGACTGGAAAGTACGGTCTGCGTAGATGTATTCACATCGATCCTGAAAGTGTGTAAGAGCTTACTTTCCATATAATAGTAAGTTAATCTTGAAGAAACAAGCTTACTTTCTGACGTCCCAATCCAACCCTGCCGTGATGATTTCATCCTCGTTTGCACCGAAACAAACATCTAACACTGGCGCTCGGTGTTCAAATTTCTGGAGGAGCTTCCCCGTACCAACGACCCCATTCTCGTCGCGTAGATCATACAAATAAACATTCTTGTCCCATGACGAGACGACTATTCTGGTGGAGTCTGGAGCGGTAGAGAACTTGAGCGCGGAGATCGCATCCGTCGGCGGAGATGCGACGGTGAATTGATCTGGAATTTCCGAATCGCAGTCAGTTATTTCAAGCTCTCTGTCAAACAAACATGCATTCCAAGAATGAAAGGGACATACTAGAATGTGACATGGCGCGAATGTACAGCTATAGGTAGAATGGCAATTGTTTTCTGCAGTTGCGTTTTGTGAAGCTCACCCGCGGTGATCGACCCGCGCGGCCAATCGAAGCTTCCATTTTGCGGGACACTTTTCTGCCGCTCGATACCGCCTGAATATTATCGCCATGTTCTCGCTCTTTCTTTTGCCTCTTGTCAGTTGCTCTAGACTTGCTTTGCGCTTTTCCGTGGAATTTGTTCGAACAGGAGAGTCGAGTCGTACTGTTATGCCTCGCTGAGTGTTATATAGCCAGGAAATACAGCATGCCTTTCGCCCAGCTGGTTATCGGGCCTCCGGGAGCGGGGAAGTCGACTTATTGCAATGGAATGCATCAATTCATGGGAGCTATTGGGCGGAGATGCTCCGTCGTGAATTTGGATCCTGCTAATGATCATACATCATATCCGTGTGCGCTGGACGTGCGCGACCTGGTGACCTTGGAAGAGATTATGGCAGAAGATACTCTTGGGCCGAATGGCGGGGTTCTATATGCGCTGGAAGAGCTTGAGAATAACTTTGAATGGCTGGAGAAAGGGCTAAAGGGGCTAGAGGGTGAGTTTTTCTGCTTTACAATTTCTAATTCCAGTGACTAATGGATATGACGTCTGGACAGAGGATTATATTATCTTCGACTGCCCTGGCCAGGTCGAGCTATTCACACATCACTCGTCACTACGGAATATATTCTTTCGAATATCGAAGCTTGGATACCGAGTATGTCCGCCTTTGCCATACGTTTTTTTTAATAAAGCAGTTGTGTTTTAGCTAACGGGAAGAACAGTTAATAGTCATTCACCTCGTCGATTCATATAGTCTAACGCTACCATCAATGTATATTTCCGCGCTGCTCCTATCACTCCGATCCATGCTCCAAATGGACCTCCCACACATCAACGTGCTCACAAAAATTGATAACCTAAGCAATTACTCCGCTCTTCCTTTCAATCTCGATTTTTACACAGAGGTCCAAGACCTCAACTATCTCCTACCGCATCTCGAAGCCGAAACATCGCGCCTATCACATGCAAAATTCGGTGCCTTGAACCAGGCCATTGTTGACTTGGTACAGGAATTTGCTCTGGTGGCATTTGAGACCCTGGCTGTCGAGGATAAGAAAAGCATGATGCATTTGTTGCAGGTTATTGATCGCGCCAGTGGATATGCGTTTGGGCCGGCTGAAGGTGCGAATGATTCGATATGGCAGGTTGCCGTGAGGGAAGGGTGGGGAGACTTGAATATTCATGATGTACAGGAGAGGTGGCTGGATGCTAAAGAGGAATATGATGAGCATGAGAGAAGAGCGTTGGAAGAGGAGGCCAAAGCTAAACAGGCCTCGGCTCAGAGTCAGGATGAGGACGAGCTTGATTTTCAAGGAATGATAGCTGACAGCGGTACAAAAGTTATTCGGAAGTCGTGATACAGATACACAATATGCCAGGGAGGTATATTCATGTATATAAATAATAATATCTATCCATCAACAGGATAGTTTGACATCAATATTTGCACAAGGGGGTATCTCGCATAATAAACAACTGACACAAACAAACAAGCAATAAAAAAAAAATTACCCATTTAATCCTCGTCCTCGTCATCTTCCTCCTCGTCATCAACATCCATCCCAAACACAGCCCCATCATCATCCTCGTCATCCTTCTCCCTGTCCCCAGAAACAGCATCCCTACCAAACAAACCCTCCAACCCATCATACCCGCGTTTCGTCCTCCCAATCTCCCTCCTCGCCCTCCTAATAGCCTCCTCCTCCGCCTTACGCATAGTTCCCGAGACCCTCACAACCCTAAACACCGCACTTCTCACCGTATCCGCTTTCTTTGCTGAAGCAGAAGGAGCCGGCGCAGGTATGGAATTGATATACGTAAGCGCGGCCCAGACCAATCTATACGCGGCGCGAGGACACCGTATGATCACAGTCGATGTCGCGGGGGATAAATATTTGACTACCAATGTGACACCACCAAAATATTAGTACAAAAAGCTCCTTCTCTCTGAGAAATGAAATGAAACAAAACAAAAAAAAAAAAAAAAAAGCCATACTGATCAAATTACCCGTCGAAGCTCCCCCTAGCTTCCCCACCCCATAATCACCGAATAAATCTGACACGGTGTCGCGTAGTAGTCGTGCCAGAACACTTGAGCTTAACGTATCTGGTGTTGGAGGGTGGAAGCGAAGATGTTGTGGGAGGGAGGATGCTGTTGTTATTGTTGCTGCTGATGAGGGTTCTGGGTAGAGGATGTCGACTAGTAGGTAGCGATGCTTGATGCGGACCATTGTTGGTTTGGTTTTATATTTGTGTCTTTTATGCTAGATAGTCAGTTGCATGCGTTGCATGGCAAGTTAGTCCGTCCCACGTCGTTTCGGAGTGTAACTTTTTTTTGCCCGCCTACGGCTCCGGAGCCAACGAGCGGGAAGTGGAAACCCAAGCTGCAACTTGACTAGCGGCTGGCAGCTGCAGCTGGCCAATGAGAACGAATCTACGTACTAAAACACTTTTTGGATTTATTGTTTACGCATCATTGGAAACTCGTCAGATTAACCATTCTACCCATCATTATATAATTCTACGCCGAGTACATGCGCACCTCGTGCCATCCCCATTGTCATGCCACGTACAGGACTACATCGTGTAGTTCAGGAACACCCGGTGAGCTGTCATAAACATAAGGACAAAGGAAATTGGGGAAAAAAAAAAGATTTTCGAAATGAAAAACCAAAATAGGCATTAAAATGCTGAAACAGTTCGGTGCTGGAAACAGGGAAACGAAAAAAAAAGAACAAAACGCTTTAAATGCTGACCTCAACACGGCCCTCCGCACCAGGAGCACCCTTGGAGACGTTGGGGAGTAGGTAGGTGATGTCGTCCCATGGGTGACGGTACAAGCCAGTGCGCAGTCTCTTCTGGTCGAGGTAGTGGGCAATGAGACCGATGCTACGTCCAAGGACGAAAAGGCCGTTCAAGACACCCATCTTCAGGTAGTCTTCAGCCTCTTCGGCGGAGAAAGCACCCGAGTTACGGAGGAGGTCAACAAAGGCAACGGCGACACATCCGTCGACGTTGAGAATGAGGTTGTCCTTCTTGGAAGTCGTGACAGTCTCGACAGCGATGGCGTAATCTAGGAGCTTGTGTGAGGGGAAGTTCTTGGTCACATATTCCTTGACCAACTCGACACGAAGATCAGGATTGTTACGAGACTTGACCTTGTGGCCAATACCGGGAACTGTTCATGTTAGCTCTTTTCTTCTTGTTCCACGTACAACAGGTGAAGACATACTGAGTTTGTTCTCTTTGCGCATTGTATCAACGAACTCACGAGGGCTGAGGCCCCGGTCGAACGCCTTGGTGAACTCCTCAGCAGCACCGTCAAGAGCACCACCGAAACGAGAACCGATGGTAAGCAGACCAGAGACCAAGGCACTGATCAAGTCCTTTCCAGCACGGGTAGTAATGATGGTGTTCATGGCACCAGAGACGGCCGGACCGTGGTCAGCAGTCAACATAAGAACCATCTCCAAGAACTTGCTAGCATATGGAGGCAAGCGGCGGCGGAACCACAGCAGAGACATGACACCACCGATACCAATATCCTCACGGAAAACATCGGAGATGGGCAAGCCGGCGTACAAAAGTTCCTGACCACGGTCATCGGAGATGGTGGAAATGAAAGCAGCAGGCTTACGGATAAGACCGAGCTCCTGGGCCCAAGAGTAGTCCATGGGGATCTTGGGGGGAACAGGCTCCTTGAAGGTAGCGATGGTGCCATCAGCGACGAGGTTCTTGTAGACATTAGCCAGGACCTGGGGGAGTTCTTCGAATGTGTCGGGAACGTGGAAGCCAGCTTCCCGCATGTGTCTGTTCTTCTCGACGGCAGTTTCAAGCTGGGAGTTGGCGGAGGCACCGGCGTGACCGAACTGGACCTCAGTCTTGAACATGCTGGCGCAAGTACCGATAGCCCAAGCGACAATAGGCTTGGTAATGACGCCGCTCTTCACGGCCTCAATCACACGGTATTCCTCCACACCACCGACTTCACCGAGAAGCATCAAAATCTTGCACTCGGGGTCCGCTTGGTAACGCAGGAGATGGTCAATGAAGGTAGTACCGGGGTAACGGTCACCACCAATGGCAACACCCTCGTGCACACCGTCGGTGGTCTGGGAGATGATGTTGTTCAACTCGTTAGACATACCACCGGACTTGGAGACGTAACCGACAGAACCCTTGCGGTAGAGCTTGGAGGCAACAATGTTGTCCATCATACCACCGGTGTTACCAATCTTGAAAGCACCAGGCTTGATTCCACCAACGGTGGCGGGTCCAATGATGGTGATACCCTTCTCCTTGGCGACAACCAAGATTTCACGTGCCCTCTGTTAGGGGAAAAAAAAGCAAAACGAGTCAGCGTACAGCTCATTTGACGTTAATGATTAGCTGATAGTTAGGTAGCACGTACTCGCTCAGGGACACCCTCAGCAATGATGGCAATGGTTCTGATTTGAGGCAATTCCATCAACTCCATTGTGGAACTATAGACGGATCGTGAAGAGGCGAAGTTGACGACGGTGTCGACATCGCTGTGCTTGGCGAAAGCCTTTTCAACGTCCTGGTAGACTGGAAGCAGGGTCTCGCTAGTTCCCCAGTACCTATATTTTTGCGACAAGCCGAGTTAGTTCCTTTCCCAACATGAAAAATCAAGGTTGGGCTGCGCTCACATTTTGCTGACGAACTGACCGCCAAAGGTGTAGATGATACCGGCAACGGAGGGGGTGCTACGCTTGCAGATAAAGTCGAAGTCGAGCATACCCTGCACCGCACGGGGTTGCATACCACTGTATTTGGTCAATCGCATGGCCATTTCGACTAGCGCACAAAGACAAAACTCACTAGACGAAGCATCGTGTCTTGTTGTGGAACAGAGTGTGCTGGGCGACGGGGCTGAGGAGACGAGAAGGAGGGTCGAAGCGGGTGATGTTGTCGTTGGCGCTCGTCACGCCAGCTGCAGGAGCAATGGAAGGCATCTTGGATCAAATATATTGCGCTGCTGAACGAGTAGAATGGTGTAAGCAAGACGGTCACCAAATCCTGGATTTTGAAGCCATTGGCACCATGGAAAGAATTGTGCAGCAGAACGCCGAGGGAGGGGGTTACAGCTCACCCTTACTTGACAGCAACGCTCTTTTCTCCTTTCTTTTCTTTTCCTTGTTGGATCAACAACACCGACAGATGGCGGATGACAGACAGAGAATGAATAAGAAGCAAGAGGACAAGCTTCCAGATGGAGGAGGAGGGAGGAGTGAGTCGAATGGACCAGAAAGGCAAGCCCGATGGACGAGGGACGATAGTTTAGGTCGAGGAAGGAAGCTAACTCAGCTGGGCGAAAAAAATGGCGGCCGCAGCAGGACTAGCGCGGTACGGTGGTTGGCGCGCCGGCCGAGAATGATTGGCGCAAGGAGGCTGGCGTATTACCGCAGGGTATCGACACCGTATTTTATCCACGGAGATCGCACTCCGTCGCCCGCCTGGCTCAACAGTTTGTCCCCACAGAAACTCGCTGTTTTGGTGGGAAGCTGGCTGTATTTTTTTGTTGGTGCCTGGGGCTCCTCACTCAGAGCCGATCGCCGTCAAGTTCAACTAGTGCGACACGGACCAGCTGGGTGTCTGTCGTACGAGCAAACCTACGTAACCATACAGAGTAACTACGCAGTGAGTATGTTGTACGGCGTAGTGAATGGCATTCATCGCATCGGGCATCCTTGCGGAGTGAGTACCCGTCGATACAGTCTGACAATGGCCCCCCCCCCCCCGAGCTATGGAAGGCATTCTGGAAGCCTCTCCCAGAGAGGAATAGTCGGCCCTAACATACTCCGGGCCCGCGCCGTCTCTGACGCTTTCCTAGCTCTGTGTCGGAGTTTCTCGTCGAAGGATTGAGAGATGGCTGATGAGTATCTCGACTTTTATTTCACGATATAGATCGGTGACCGATGAATGTTGCTTTGCACGCGTCTTGACCCGAGGAACTTCAGGCTGTGTACGAAGTACTAATGTTGATATATAGTAATCCATTCATCCTGGACAAGATCTGTCATATCCTTTTTTTTTTCTCTGAGATATCAAACTGACTCGGTATTGGAAACATGTGATCGCACATACTTAGCTCCGATTCGTTAGAATAGTGACTAGATGGTGAGTTAACTAGATAGTAGATGCAATGTCAATAGAAGTAGGCTCTGGGGCCAAGCGGCCCGTCAAGTATCCAGGTCAAGTTCCCTTCTCTCGCAGCCCAACCAATATCACACTTATAAGCAGCGGTGCCGCTAAGCCCGAGGGGGCCGCCACTAAACTAGCACCAGCTGTATAATTCCCGACGTCGTAACGAGCATGGAAGGATTCCCTGATATCTGTCGTCGTATCAATTCAATGGATTTCAAGAATACGTCGTTGCCTGAGGTTGGGGACGGGTGGGACCGCCCCTTGCTCAACGAAAGCTGTACTGGCGCGTTACGCTCTTTACACCGCGCGGCGTGCCACGGACAGCAAGGTGCGCGGTATCCGTACGGTAACGCTAGGCCCAAAGGGGCAACGGTGAAACAAAAACACCGTTTCTGCTCTTTTGACGGGCCCTGGCTGGCTCTTGCCCAATGCGCGCTAGTGGCCTTCCTGCTTCCGATGCGCTCTCTAAACAATTTCACTTCAAACTCCCTCCGCCAGCTTGAAATCCAGTCCCGTATACCCTTTTCCCTCCCATCCAGCGTTGCGTTTGTCTGTTGTGCAGCTTGCTGTCGCTGTCTACTCCTGCTACTGCTGTTGCTTCCGTTGCTGCGTCTACTGCTCTGCAACAATCAAGTGTGGTCCTGCGAATAATCTCATAGCCACCCCTCACCCCCCATCCATCACATACACACCATGTCCGCCAAATCCATTCTCGAAGCCGATGGCAAGGCCATCTTGAACTACCACCTCACTCGTGCTCCAGTCATCAAGCCCACGCCGCTCCCTCGTGCTTCTACTCACAACCCTCCTCCCAAGCTCGCCTCCCTGTACTTCCCTGAGGATGCCGACGTAAACGGTGTCCTTGACCAGGCTGAGGCCACATACCCATGGCTGCTGGCCAAAGACGCCAAGTTCGTCGCCAAGCCAGATCAATTGATCAAGCGTCGAGGCAAGAGCGGCCTGCTCGCCCTGAACAAGACCTGGGCCGAAGCCCGAGCTTGGATTGAAGCCCGCGCTGGCAAGGAAATCCAGGTCGAGACTGTCAAGGGTTATCTGCGACAATTCTTGGTTGAGCCATTTGTGCCTCATCCCCAGGAAACTGAATACTACGTCAACATCCACTCTGTGCGAGAGGTAAGTAAACAATGAAGAAAACAACAGAGATTTTCGGCATGCAAATGAAGAAATCTAAAGTGAAAAAAAAAAAAAAAAAAAGAACGACACGATGATCTGACATACCATCTTATTTCTGTTTAGGGCGACTGGATTCTCTTCACCCACGAGGGTGGTGTCGATGTCGGTGATGTCGACGCAAAGGCTGAGAAGCTTTTGATCCCTGTCAACCTCAAGAAATACCCCTCCAATGAAGAAATTGCAGCTACTCTACTGAAGAAGGTTCCCTCGGGTGTCCACAACGTCTTGGTTGATTTCATTTCTCGTCTGTACGCTGTCTACGTTGACTCCCAGTTCACCTACCTCGAGATCAACCCTCTCGTTGTCATCCCCAACGCCGACGCCACCTCCGCCGAGGTCCACTTCCTCGACTTGGCCGCTAAGCTCGACCAAACCGCCGAGTTCGAGTGCGGTACCAAATGGGCCATCGCTCGTAGCCCGTCTGCTTTGGGCCTGCCCGCCCCCAAGGGTGACGGCAAGGTCAACGTTGACGCTGGCCCGCCGATTGAATTCCCAGCTCCTTTCGGTCGTGAACTTAGCAAGGAGGAAAAGTTCATTTCCGACATGGACGCCAAGACTGGTGCTTCCTTGAAGCTGACTATCCTCAACTCCACTGGCCGTATCTGGACCTTGGTCGCTGGTGGTGGTGCCTCGGTTGTCTACGCAGACGCTATTGCGTCCGCTGGCTACGTGAGTGAGCTCGCCAACTACGGTGAATACTCTGGAGCTCCCACCGAGACACAGACTTTCAACTACGCCCGCACAGTCTTGGATCTCATGCTGCGCGCCCCTCAACACCCCGAAGGAAAGGTTCTCTTCATCGGCGGTGGTATTGCCAACTTCACCAACGTCGCCAGCACCTTCAAGGGTGTCATCCGCGCCCTGCGGGAGGTCGCCTCTACTCTCAACGAGCACAAGGTCCAGATCTGGGTTCGTCGTGCCGGTCCTAACTACCAGGAAGGTCTGAAGAACATCAAGGCCGTCGGTGAGGAATTGGGTCTCAACATGCACGTCTACGGACCCGAAATGCACGTCAGTGGTATTGTTCCTCTGGCCTTGAATGGCAAGAAGACCGATGTCAAGGAATTCGGATCTGCTTAAATATATTAGAGTAATTTGAGATCTATTTCCTTTGTTGCATGATCTTCTTAATGCCTCTTTTTTATCTTGCCCTCTTTCTTATTCTCTCTCTGTGGATGCGCCTCCTCTGGTTTTTTTTCTCGCCTTTTTCTTTATAATCGTATCATGTACTTGGTGTTTGCAATAATTTTCATGGGCATGGCATGGTTCATGATTGGATTTGATTCATGGTTTATGTGACAGGAGGGAGAGAGAACAGCGACGATGACATGACTCGGAATTCCAGAAATCCAACAAGCACGGAATAGTAATTTTCTACTAGAATTCACACAAAGGCAAAAAGTTGATTAGATAGAAAATCTACGGCAGAACTTGTTTGGGCCTGTTTCTGGTACATTTTTTCGTTGAACTGATATAGATTGCGTTCGATTGATTCGGGAGAGACGTCTTTATGCATAGTAACCTTATCCGGCAGGTTGGGAAACCATCCCAAGGTATGATTCTCTCTTAACCCTAACCGTTAGGGTCTCTGGGTAAGAACCCATCTTTTCCAGCATGCTTCCTAATTTTTTTCAGTATAGCGCATATAAACTGGTGAGATAAGACATCAAGCGCTTTTCTTGTCCCTGAACGTCGAAAGCGGACGGATGATGAATGAATCATCGACAGAAACGGCTGTGGCTGCGATCCAAGTCAAGGATTTCCGGTTATTTGCGATAAAAAGGTTGCACCAGGACTTTCATCCATAGTATGCAATGGCAATATGGCACATACTAGATAGAATACTACTACAAACTTACTTCATATCGGGGAACCAGATTGACGCGCGTCATCGTCGTGCATGCGGGTGGCTCCAGATGGCTGGCTCGCTCTCTGCCAGCTGCAATTCGCCTTTCTTACCAAATTTTTTTTCCTGTCTACTTCTCTTGTAAATGTTCTAATTCATGATTCGAATTTCTACTCAATCACATATTCTTTCTGACGTCGGCTTTTCTTCTGATGTGAGCTTCGGTCATGTCGGAGAAATAACGTCATGCAGCTGCAACCGCCTCTGCACCGGCTGCGCTCGCGCACCTGGATTCTCGTTATCGCGCCAATTCTCAGCCTGGGACTGCTCTGGTCATGGCTGCGCAGGCCAGATTCTCTCTTGCTCCAGCAATTCCTCGTTGCGGACTCAAATAACCTGCCACTAGCTGCTGCCAGTGACGACGGCCATGCTGCTTCGTCTGGTTCCGCTGCCGGCGACGGCGGCGGCAGCAGCATGATGAACAATCACAATGCCAACCTCCCCGGCATGGATGACATTCTGGTTATTCTCAAGACCGGCGTGACAGAAGCACTAGGCAAGGTGCCTGTCCATCTCGAAACAACATTTTCCTCCGTCCCCAACTTCGCCATCTTCTCCGACTATAAAGAAACGATTGCAGGCGTTGAGACGCACGATGTCCTGAGTCGAATCAATGAACATGTAAAACGCAACATTCCAGAATTCGAACTGTACAATCGCATACATGCGCAGGGCCGCGAGGCTCTGACCCCGGCAGACTATGGCGATGACTCCAACGGACCATTCGGAAGACAGAACAATCCTGGTTGGAAACTGGATAAATGGAAATTCCTGCCTATGATCCCCGCCGCGCTGGAACTGAAACCAGATGCGAAGTGGTTTGTCTTCATGGAGGCCGACTCGTATTTCTTATGGCCTAACCTTGTCGCCTGGTTGTCGCAGCTGGACCCCCAGCGAGACTGGTATTTGGGGTTCCCCATGCAAATTGGAGATATTATATTTGCCTATGGTGGCGCTGGGTTTGTGATTTCGAATCCCGTCATGCAGAAAGTATCGGAGTATCTGGCTACCAATGCAGCGGAGCTTGATGAGTTCACTGCTTCGCAATGGGCGGGTGATTGTGTGTTGGGTAAAGTTTTTGCTGATGCTGGCGTTGGGCTTAATTGGTCCTGGCCGACATTGCAGAATGATAAGCCCTGGGAGTTAGACCACTTTGCGAGTATCTATGATAAACGAGCCTGGTGCTATCCTCTGGTGTCCTATCATCACATGCAGCCGGACGACATTCGCGAGATGTGGGAGTTTGATAGAGATTGGTTCAAGCTGGTGTGTAATTTCCTTCGTCCTTCTAATTTTCCCAGCCCCATCTTGATTTATATCTCCTTCCACATACTAACAAAGCATGTGTAGGACGACCCCACAACAAAGTTACTACTATATAGCGACGCATTCCGTCGTATGATTCTTCCCGATATCCTATCCCTTCGCATTGGATGGGACAATGGCGCCAAAGACGAGGTCGCCAACGAGGAAAGATCACCAAAACTCGGATTGACACTGGAAGGCTGTGGTCAGCGTTGTGCTGATGACGAGAACTGTCTTCAATACCGCTACCACGAAGACGATGGGAGTTGCTTCACCTCATCAGCCGCTATGAGAGGCATAGCAGCTCCCAGGACTGTGAAATCGAACTGGATGATTGATCGGATTTTCGATAAAATGAAGACATATGGACAGAGGTGTACGAAAGCAGAGTTTGTGTTGTGATGTTACTCTTCTTTTTCTGTTCTGTGTCTAGGGCTGTTTAATGATTTATGACATGATGAACAGGGAATATGACTAGTTTATTTAATAGGTAGGACGATGTCGTGCAAGACATGTTAGATAGTCATTTTCAATGTCCCGGAGTATATTGGCTTGATTTCAAGGGCATATGGAATGTTTTTATTTAGGTGTCTTACATTGATAGCAGCAAACATGACGCTGCTGGCAAACGCAAACTCTAAGAATTCTAACTCGGTACAAAATGCAGCACGGGCTTGCGGTGATGATACCCATGTGGGGACGAGCCCTAACATTTCTCAATTAGGAAGGTAACTTGGAAAATGATTCTTTTTACATGCCCTTGACAATTAACAATCCGTAAATCTGCTCTAAGTATTGACAAACTCTAATTGACATCTGACCATAACATAGGCCTTCGCAAAAGTATCTGATTCTGTCGTATGTTTCCTTTCCCTTCTTTACTGCCCTTTGTATGAACCGTCCCTCTTGTTCACCGCTCCCCTCTCCCCTAGTTTGTTCTTGCTGGCGATGGACGTGGGCCCTAGGAGGTCTAGCATATCTTGGTAGTCGAGACAAGCTTCAAGGTCACTGCCAGAGATTGCGATATGCTGGGAGTAGGTTCGTCTCCTCCACTGAGGGTCAATATCCGTGTCAGAGTCGGATGGGCCCGATAAAGCCGAATGGAATCCCTCGCGGTACTCTGCAGATTTATACGCAAGCCTCGGTAGCCGTCTGGTCAAGGTCTGCGTTGAGACATTTGCAGCTGGTTCAATGACTACTGATGCATGTTGTGCACGACGCTCCGCCACCCCTCATTCGGCTCTGCCTCAAAGATGTAGGCTCTGCGTAGAAGATCATCAGGTATTCTTTCGTAGGTAACCATCCCTTGACTTCGCAGTGATGCAAGATAGTCTGCAAGCCTCTCTGAAAATGTAAAATAAGCGGTGTGTCTGTTGGGATTTGGGTGAAAACCCCTGGAATTTCAGTCCTGATATGTACCGCGATAGATTAGTCGGCCTGGACTGTTTAGATAAATTAGTATCTTTTTTACTGTTCCTCTGCAGATTATGCCTGTCGAACTAGAAACAGATACATACTTGCCGCCTTCGGGTACTGGGAAGTAGACGGTGGATGACTTGCAATATAGCGATCTCCGATTTCACTGGCTCAAAATTTCAGCTGCATTCTAAACGTAAGTTTATTAGGATACTGACTAGAATGTAGGTCTAGTTGGCGCCCTAGTTTGTGCCCCAAATGTAAGCCCAGAAATAGAGTCGGGCGTAGACCCAGGTACATCCTGGAAAGATGTCTTCCCTCACGAGGGAACGGGAACATCTGGGATTCTTTCGATGGAGAACTGAGATTGCTTGAAGTCAATGCCTCGATCTTGTATTTTCTAGTTGAAGAAGTTTAGAGGAGAAGATGCCTTTCCAGCGTAGTTATTTACTAGCTATGTTTCACTTATATAACTAGCGTATGCTTAGTATACAAGATGCACAGTTTGGTCATAAAGAATACATGAAACTGTTTGTAGAATTTCTTTGATCAGCGATATGTATGTGTCGTTTTTACAGTCTTAGTTGCTGTACAGAAACTGCGGGATACATGTTCTTTGGAGCATTGTGAATGTCTTGATTTCTCTTTCCCTGTTGTTTAGGACTTAGGGCTAGTGCCTGGCTGAGCGCACATGGTGTGATCATCTGCTCCGATAATCTGGTTAGAATAACCTAAGTATCATTGTTATAGGTGAATAGTAAGATGAGTATAGAAAATTGTCTTTATTCTCTTTGATCCTTCCTTGCATCAACTGAGAACCCCAGACATGTTTTACGCAGTTCCCCCAGAAGGCCTCATGTGTAATCCCAAATGAATGCCATGTCGCAACTAGGTAGGGTTCTTCTAATTGAATCTTGGAGTTTGCAGGTAAAGGTCACTATACTAATATTTATTACAACGGCCACTGCCAAAATGTTGCAGCGTTGTCTTCGCTTTTTATTTGAGAGTAACGGTCTAGGATGAGCTCCTCACTAGGTGGCAGCCTGAGTTATAGATTTCCCCTAATACTTTCGAAAGGAAGATCAAAAATTTCATAGGAAAATCCTCCATATTCGTTGACGCATCACTTATAATATTCTCTTACCCCAAGCAGCATAATATGGTTTATCAATCCCTATATCATTGGCCTCATGTACAATCTGCGGTCGTATCTCATCAAGATTCGCTGGAGTTATAGGCCAATCTTTCAGATCTGGTATTATCGTTAGTGAGAAGGACTTGCAAAAGTCGAGAAACAACAGACAACAGACCCTCTAGTTTTGGTTTCAGTGTATCCACCATCTTGACCAAGTTATGAACTCCATCATTAGCCAATTCATTAGTTGACGCACCCTTGCCCAGCTTCGCGACAACTTTCCTGCTTTGAATATCCGATAATCTGCCCGAGTTGACTAAGAGTGGCTTGATCCGAACCCCGGCGTTGGTATCTTGGCCTCTATGTTTCAGCATGTGTGCCATAGACTTGAACAATTTTGCACTGGGTTTGTCATCATCCACAATATCTCCAGTTAACAATGTGCTATCGACGAGTTGTATCCACCCCCCGGGTTTTACAAGATTGATGAGTCGGTCTACAGCCATCTCTGCCTCTGCAGGATCGGCCAGTCCAGCAACACAGAAGCGCATATGGACTATATCGAAGGAACTCTGCCAAGACGCTGGCCAAGAATCTTTATAAGATTGTATGAATAGTGTCATATTGTCTGGCATTACGAATGAGTTTGATGGAAATGATGCAATATCCGTTCCAACGAGAGTTGAGGACGAATCAACTTCTTTCGACAGGTCATACAACCAATAACCGTCCGCGGTACCGCAGTCAAGTATTCGGAGACGAGGTGTTTTGAGATCAATTGGAGCTAGCACAAGCCCGCCCAGTGCTGCCTTGGAGACATTATGCTGTGCACGGAGGCGTGATGCAGCTGCAACCGTCCGATCACCAGGATATACATCCTTGGATATTTTTGGCCGCTTAGAAAGTTGAACAGGAACTATAAAGCGCTTTGGAGTACCAGCAAGTTCAAGCTTTTCAAGCAAATCAGTTAGATCCTTTATATCTGAGAATAATGACTCTTAAATCACATACCTTATATTGACCCATGACTGATGCAACGACTTTAAACAATTCTAGATGCGTGAAGCTCTTGCCAATAAAAGCCCGTGAGCCCTGACTGAAGGTCAAGTCGGCCTTGTCCATGCATGTCCGGCGAGCTTTCCAGTCATCAATATCCTCCCCATCAGCCCTCATCCATCGTTCTGGTTTGAAAATGTGGGGCTCATCTCCAAATGCTGCACAGACACGAATAGATGGGCTACTCATAGCGATATCGTAGCCCACTGGGATAAATCGTCCATCCGGAAGGGTAGCACCATTAGGGCCTACTTTACGCTCAATAGCGATATCGCCACCATGATGTAGTCGGTACCCTTCTCTAATCACCCCTTCTAGATATGGCATATTGGCAGTGTCATCTAATGAGACGGGGAAGCTTTTGGTGTTCCGTACAATTTCCTCGTAGAGACGATTCTGTTCTTGTGGATGCTGCGCTAGCCATGATAGCACGCTGTCGAGCACACGCGACGGGCTCAGAGATCCAGCCAATGAGTTTGTAGCACAGTAGAGGCGGATTTGTGTGTCATCTACTACCTCTGGATATCGGGACTTTGCATCTACAAAATGTTGCAATAGTGTTCGTTTGGGTACTTCATCAGGCGTGGGCTTTTCTAGTTCCTGTTGGATTCGCTGAACAGCGAAACGAAAGAAGGGCGATTCTTTATGTGACTTAAATGCCAACACTATCGGATTCGTCCGCAGCACATAGTCTAGCGCTGGCCATTAGGTAAGCTGTCAGATGTGAGCTTGATGACAGTCAATATTACGCGTTTCTGGGAATATGAGATAAGTACCACTCGAACGTAGGCGACATGCTTAACCTGGTTCGCGATTAAGTCATACATATCTTTAGCATTGTCGAGAAACCCAATGGTGATCCAAACGTGATGTTCATGATTGTATCGTAAGCAACTAGTTGGGAGGTTAACACTATTGCTTTCCGGTAAATACCGACATGCTTAGGAAGGAAGCTCACAAAAATGACACCATTCTGTAACATTGATGACGCTTTTATTTTCACTCTTCTCATCAAAGATACCCGTCAGTTCGTTAATCATGTCGTCGATAGCCGGTTCGTAAAGCTTCAAACTTGACAATGAATAGGCACCCTGTATAGGACGGCGGTAGGCGGCATGTTTTTGTTCATTTCGGATTCCAACAATCGAAGTTGGCTTGCCTGGTTGCATGAACGGAATAACAGAATCAGTCTTCTCGAGACGATCTTTGAATCCAAGGACCACTGGGATAGCAGCAGGATCATTGATGAAGACTGTTCTGGGCCCTACTCGAACCACATCTCCGTACTTCTTGTGAATAACCTCATGATACGTGACACCGCCGGGTCGTTCACTGTATTTCCAAGCCAGGTAGCATCGCCATGCATTCGTGTATCTAGCTATTAATGGTCCCGGAATGCCACGCAGCACGCTGTGCTTGATTTCAACGTATGTAATCCGAGCAATGATAGAGATGATAATTAATAATATGATGTGCTGCAGCAATGAGAGCTCAGGAAACTGTTCCGTGATCATGTTGGGCTAAAAACTTCTGCTGAATATAATCCGGGTGTAAAGGGACCTTTAGTATAATACAAAACGACGATCGATATATGCAGGAAAGGCTTTTGTGGGCCGGTCTCGAGATTTACATGCTGCCTCCCTGGGACTTGTAATGAAGCGTCCTATGTCTCTGTTGTTGGTATCAGTCCGTCATCTATACTTTGATACGGTATTGGAAGTTCCAACTTCAGATTACAGAACGAGAAAGGATCAAACCTACCCCTCATTTCTTCAACATGTAAGCTGACATGCATCGGATATAATTACTGCATTATCTATGTTACGGTACTTCCAACTTGTGGGGCATTAATCGCAGGCTTTGGTGTTTATCGTGGCGGTGTATTGAGACGGTAACACATATATCATATAGAAGTCTATGTAATACGTTCGTTATACATCTCCAAACTACTAAAACATCAGGGTTACCGGGAACAATAGTAATAAAGAACTCCTAACAAGCAAATCGCAGTAGTAGCACCGATTCTATTCATTGTCAAGAATGAGTCTCTCCGTCGTTGATCTTCAATAGTTTCTCCCCGCTTGAAGTTTGCTTTGGACACCAATTTCTTCTGTCCCTTATGGTCACCGTACGGAGGGAAACGGAACGCGAGGGATCTATGAAGCCAGCCAGGAGAGACCATGACTGTCCGAAAATGCGTGAAGCTTTCAAACCCATATCTACCGTGGTAGTAACCATGACCACTACCCCCAACACCGCCAAAAGGGGCGTTAGGAAAGCCCGCGTGCAGGATCACTTCGTTAACGGTGACGCCACCACTGTTTGTATTTTGGAGTACTATTGCGTTTTGTTAGTGGACATGTAATGAGGTGGAAGTCCTCGGTGGTGGATAACGCAACTCTCTTCAATCTCCTGATTGTCTTTGCTGTAAATATACATCGCGAGTGGGTTATCCTTTCTTCAGAATGTCAACGCTTTGCCTGGTTGATTGTATTTACCTACGTATGTAGCCATTCGATACGTACTGATTGATCACATTATAGGCACTGCGATAGTCACTTTTTAAAACGGGGCATATAGGACCGAATATCTCTTCTCTCAACAGTATGTCTATATTTATGTTAGCAGATGCTCGCTTGTTTAGGTAGGACATAGGGCATTTACCATCCATATCAACGTCTAGTACCACAGTCGGCTCCATTCGCCGTGATTCAAGATCCCCCCTTCCACCGCAAGCGATAATCCCCTTCGTATTGCGTAGAAGGTTGGCAAGCCTATCGAAATGCTGGCTATTCACAATTGCTGTATCAATTGTTTCTTGGCCATTCAAGAATTGGAGAAACCAGTATTTCAGGCGCCGAGAAAACTCATAATACACAGATGGATCGACAAAGACGTGATTGACTGATAAACATATTTGCCCGGCGTTAAGGAATTTGGAAAACGCTATACATTTTGCTGCGAGATCAAGGTCTGCGGACTTGCACACGATGGCCGGAGATTGTCCTCCTAATTCCAAAGTTGCCGGAGTCAAATGCCTCGCAGCCGACGCACCAATAATACGACCAACAGTTGCAGAGCCTGTAAAAAAGATGTGATTGAAGCGGAATTCTAGGAGCTGCGTCATCTCTGCTACACCGCCACAAACTAGTTCAATGGCGCTGTTGTCGAGGTAGGCTGATACCAAACTTTTGAGAAGGTTCATGCAAGCCGGAGTGAGTTCAGATGGTTTCAGAATTGCGCAGCAACCAGCTGTTATAGCTGCAATAAGCGGTTGCAGGACAAGAAGCAGAGGAAAATTCCATGCACCTATAATAAGCACTACGCCCAGGGGCTCTTTGCGTATCCTTGCAAGACCGAGTTTTCTCGCTACATAACTGTTTCCAAGTGGCTCATCTGCCGTCCATTGATCAATATGATCCAGATGGGTTAAAATATCCTTCCGAGCTCCGGCCAAGTCAGTTATCAGTGACTCCATATTTGATCTATTTAGATCTTGTTCCATTGCTGCCATGATCTCCTTCTCGTTGTCCTCGATCATCCACCACAACTGCTTGAGCTGCCATTTCCTCCACGCTAGGTCTTTTGTCTTCCGTGACTTGAAAGTGCTGACAAGCTTAGTGTAGAGATGATTTATCTCCCCAGCATTGACATACCGCGTTTCATCCACGGACATAATGGTATTTCTTTAGATTCGGGCAGTTTATGTCTGCGTACGATATTGGTCGCTGTCACTTTTTTTGTCCAATATCGAAGGTATGTGTGGGTGCTCCAATTATTCCTAAGTCTCGTGCGACGTGGAATTTGTTTCTTTTTGTTGTTCGTGTCTTTTCAGATTCCTATGCAAATAAATTAGTATTTTCAATACTCAGAAGTACTATACCCGTTATGTGAGGCCTTGTATATACGGTGATTGTACCCAGTAATATTTCACTACCTAAATACCGCTAATGCAACTAGCCTTCCCCGGATGTGGGGGATGCCCTAACTTTATTGCAACTTCTTGGCTCAGATGCTATCATGAAATCGGCATGGCCCTAATGAATCGGCTAAAACCTCTAATTCGATTGCTTTTTTCATATCTTACAAATAGAGTTCATCTCAATGCCGCACTATATTATGCTGGCTGGTCATTATAGTCCTTGGCGACTGGTTTATATCTCGTGTTAGGCTTTGGAACAACCTGAATCCTACACTGAAACCATATGAGGATTTTAGCCATGGCGTTAATCCTCCTCACCTTGTCCTGAGGCCTCGTATAGCTCATGTTCTAGGCTCGCTATCATGTAACACTTCAATGTAACTTCTTGATTGTGATATTTTGGGCTCTTGCTTTTAAGTGACACGTTTGAATACGCCGAGAGAACAGCGTTTCCTTGTTCAATAGGCTCTATCAATTGTGGACTTTCGTTAGCCCCAGAAGAAACAACCAAGATGTCTACCAACGCTGACCCTACTACTTTTTCCGATAAATCACCGTTTATTAACGTAAGCGGCGTTGTCAATTTTCGTGATCTGGGCGGTTACTCATGTCTCACTCCTCTCACCCCTGTCTCAAATGGTTCACCGGTGATAGCGTCAAAGGGATCCCCCTCATCATACATTCGCCCCGGCTTCTTGTTCCGTTCAGCACAGCCTTCACAAATTACCGAGACTGGTATCGAAGTTCTGACGCACAAGCTTAATATCGGAGCTATATTTGACTTTCGGTCACAGACAGAAATCCAGCTTGTTGCGACTCGATATCCAGATTCCCTGCTCGAAATACCATTTACTAGCCGATACGCTGTTCCAGTGTTCGAACATTGCGACTTTTCTCCGGTCTCGCTGTCTAAGAAGTATGGGGCTCCGTCAAACGCTCCTCCTACAGAAGCCGAGCACGGTAGCTTCGTCCAGGCTTATGAAGATATCGCCCGCAGTGCAGCGGAAAATGGAAGTTTTCGCAGCATAACAGATCATATTCTGCGATATCCCGACATGCCAATTCTTTTTCATTGTACGGTTGGCAAAGACAGAACTGGTGTGTTTGCAGCATTGTTGTTGAAGCTGTGTGGAGTGTCTGATGAAGTAGTTATTCAAGACTACGCACTCACTACTCAAGGCCTAGGTGCATGGCGCGAACACCTGATTCAGCGCCTGCTGCAAAGGAATGATGTTGCTACCCGTGAGGATGCCGAGTTCATACTCGCTAGCCGACCAGAGACTATGAAGTCATTCTTGGCAGATGTGGTGGAAACCAAATTTGGAGGAGCTCGCAACTATTTTACTCTGCTGTGCGGATTGACCGAGGACGATGTCAATAACTTGATCTCCCTTGTAGTTATTCATAATACAAATTAGAGGCATTTTGAACATATCATATAATCATCGCCATGAGTTCAATATATTGTTCTTTGAAATTAGAAAGGAGACTTTATAACTAGTTTAAAAGAGAACGTTCTGAATGACCAATGTTATATCACAGCTCAAGAGATATTCGAGCAAGTAGCTTTCGGATCGCCATGTTCTCCTCCAGGTCCTGTTTCTCAAGGCAATGAATCATGTTAAATGCTTCTTCTTTCAATTTGTTGACAACACCACGAGTGTAGTTGAAAGAATCTGTCCCTTCCATATAGGAAAGAGCATAGCGTTTGAGGTCATCTTCACGTGGTTTTTGTTTCAAGATGTTAATGAGCTGTCTATTCCCTGGATTTTTTCGTATGCTGTGGATGATAGGAAAAGAGAATTTCCCTTCAGTTAGATCTTCACACAATCCTTTATTGTCGGTATATGCTGTAGATTGTAAATTCAGGTAGTCATCGCAAATCTGAAATATAATTCCAAGCAGGCGGACAAGAGGTACAAAGTCCACTTCAACTGTTGTTTCAACTTGCATTAGCTGGACAGCAAGGCAGAACAGACCACCCGTCTTGTTCGCTACCATATCGAGATATTCCTCTTCTGTAGGACACATGAGAGAATCTCTCCAGAATAGTTCCATTCCCTGACCGCGATGAAGATCGATCAATGAGTTGACATAGATATCGATAGCCTGTGGATTATTCAGTTGCTGAATTTCTCGAAGGGCTGTGAAGTAAATGTAATTGCCGGAGTTCATTGTCTGAGCTGTGCCAAATATGCTATGCGCCACAGGCTGTCCTCGTCGAAGCAACGACTGGTCTTGAATGTCATCAATCAGAAGTGAGGCAGTATGTAGCATACTTATGACGTTTTCAATAACTGTCAAGCTCTTCTCAGGGACTTTAAGCCATTTGTTGAAGGCTTGGATCAGTTGAGACCGTATGTTTTTACCCGGTAGGCTCTCGAGATAATCGAAAGGTCCTAAGAGGATTTGTTCTTGATCAGCCGTCCATTCACTACGCTGATAATAACCATTTGCAGTTCCGTTTGTATGGATTATGGTTGAGCTGTCGTTCTCGATGCCGCCATTCTTGACTGGTTCTTCGTCATGACTGCCGTTGCCATTTGTTTGCAAGGAGTGTTGAACCACATCGCTATGTGTATGGTTAGGCAAAGCTGAATGTTCATTTACTCCAATTTTATACACTCCGTTAGCATTATGATTAGAGATATTGTCTCTAGTCAGATCTGCTGCTCGTTTCAAGGCAGCCAGAACATATGCTTCTGCCAAAACTTCCGATTTATACGTGACCTTCTCAATCCAAAGCCAGCCAGAAGCAAATTCTGCGGTTGAATCTAGGAGAACTGAGCAGCCGCTACTGATTGCTTTCTCAATTTCCTGACGTAACGAAGGATCTATAGCATGGTAGTCCATCACGTATGTGAGAATAAGAACTACGTACGCAGTCTCTTCTTTTGGGGCTCGTTCTCCCCATGAACCATCAGGCTTCTGATTTCTGACGACAACAGAAGCTATTTCCTGTAACATTACAGCCAGGTCATTATTTATCATTTTCTGTAGTGAAGATGATGACTCAAAGCTATTTTGAAGAGTACACAGCTGCATGATTGCTTGTGTCATGAGCATCCAGGAATAATAAGGAGATAAATTCTGCCTAGAAGTCAGTCTAACAGAAACATTTTTGATGGGTCATTATATCTGCTTACCCATTTATCCTGGACATCCAAGTCAGAGTCTGTAAATTTCTTGTACAAGAATGCTGTCGCTTTCTCAATTTGAGAGGTATAAACAGATGGATCCGGAGTATAGAGCAAAGCAAGAAGAACGTTACAATTTGCCGAAAAGCTAGGGTTACGCTCTTGTGAATATGTCTTGAAATGGTGATCTTCTTCAAACTCGTTCAGCATGGCTTCAACGGAAACTGATTGATTTAACAGATTGAGTACCAACGCTGTGGTGGCAGTATCATCGGCGTCAGCTGTGACCAATGGCGTGAATCCCACTACTCCCTTCTCGGCGGTAAATGTGTTGTGTAAATATGATCGAATCTTCTGAACAGCAGGTTCTATTTCCGCATTGAATACGTATCCCACCTTGAGTAGAGTTGCCAATGGCCATGTACATTCGAAGATCGTCGAGGGAAACGCGCTTGGCACACCTCCTGATCCTTGTCCAGATGAAGATGAAATGGCATTTTTTAAATAGTTTTCGCACTCATCGTCCCATTGCAATGCATGCATCAAAAATGCAGCCGTGGAAGACGGTGATGCCATGAATGAACCATTAGCCTTGTGATGTCCGACTTTATCAAAGTCAATGACACCTATGAATGCTTCGAGAGAATGCAACGCTGATAATTTTATCGGAAGATAGAGGTGCTCGGCTTTGAACTTGGACAATTTCTGCTTCTCGATCTCCAATAGGCGCTCCCGTGCAGGAAACGAGAAGGTAATGCCCTCTTCCTCAAGGTATCTTAACAGTGCTGGGACCAAGATTTCAAATCCAACGTGGAGCGTGCTTTCAACGTTCCAACCGTTCAGAAGGTTTCCAAGAAATACTCGAGCTCGATCAATGCGGTCTGTAAGATCCCGTTGCGAGACCGATATGATCTGGTAGGGATTGTCCAAATGCTTTTTCAGTGCCAGCAATGATGCTCCGGTGTTTAGAATTCCGTCTATTTCAGAGGCATACGTTGCCCAGCCACCATCCTCCAGCTGGTGGAAGAGGATATACTCGAAGCATTCTGGAAAGAGCCACATCTTTTGATCGTTTTCTGTCTTGCTAACCATGGAAACCCATGCCGTATCGTATACAGCTGGGCTCATGAATCCGAGCCCATGCACGTCTTCAATTCGCTCTCCAAGGCGCTGCACTAAAGCCAGCGCTGATTCTCGTAGAGAAAATGAATACATCATCGTAGACCAATCTACAGCTCAAGGCAAAACTTATTGTTCGAGTATTCAACAATGAATGCCCACGCTGATCGGGAACCCACGACCTTGTAAAAGCAGTAAAAATCACATACAAGATTTACTAAATACACATTTTTACATCAGAACAGTCTATGCTTTTCCTGGACGGATAGTTACTAGCCGAATAAGTCCGATAACCGCTCAACTTTATCATTGATATACAAAATTTACATACTGCTGGAGACTTGGGTATCTCTAGACTAGTCGTATTTATCATACTTACTCAGATGAACTTAAAATATAAGAGACAATACTCCTAGTATTAAGGCAGAGAATATTACTTCTCTGTTATAATACGCTTGGTCCGATAAGTAAGACAAGCAACAAAGTTGGAGCAGGGCTATGTTGCAGTGGATTAGAAAGGATGGGCCCAGTTGATAAAGTACTAGGGCTTACAGGTGAAGAAAAGTAAACCTTGAAGGTATACATGATTTTTATACAGTATAGATTACACACTAGTCCACTAATTTCTTAGATGCATGCATGTAATCCCCCTCATAACTAATCCTGCAGCCAGATCCCTGAAGCAACTCTGCGTATTTCCCCACACCTTATCTAGCATTTTCAAGGGTCAACTAGTTGTCAGCGTTTACGGGGTTAGCTCCGGGGACTAAATGTCTGACTGGTTGTGATTTCTTATTCAGTACGAAGACGTTCTAGAGAAAACATTTGTCTGGTCTAAGTCGTATTTACTTGTTCTGTTGATGTGCAACTTATGCTAGTCGAAATTTCGTGAGGGGTGTCTTTCTCATACGTTGTGGGAACTGTGACACAGCTACAGCAAGTACCTAAGACAACAGTGGCCCCAACAAAGAGTGTAAATACCCAAACCGCAGGTCTATAGATTTTCAACCAAATCCATGTTTTCATTTTGGCCTTTACATGTTGATGCTCTCGTGATCACCATGGCTCCGAGAATTAGTCTATCTACAATCTCCCTGACACAGGCAGCAGCCTTGTTGTCTGCGTTGGTACATTCTATTCTTTCTATATTTCTCGAATTATACTAAGCTCTGATATAGGCTGTTGCGTATACAGTCGCTGCTGTTGTGTATAGAATTTACTTCCATCCACTATCTAAATACCCCGGTCCCAAGCTCGCCGCAGCTACTCGTCTGTGGTGGATGAAGCAGCAGCTCGGTGGTCGTTTCCCGTTCATTGTCCATGAACTGCATCTTAAATATGGTGAGATCGTACGTATTGCACCAAGCGAGCTTTCCTTCACGAGCGCAGATGCATGGAAGGAAATTTACGGCTTCCGTAATGGACTCCCTGAGAATCGCAAGGACCCCGGTGAAAATACAGACGCCGACAAGTCACATCCTACCATCATCAATGCCGATCGTAAGACACACGGAAACTTACGCAAGTTACTCTCCAACGCGTTCTCGGACAAGGTGCTGAAGGGACAAGAACCCGTGCTATTGCACTATATCGATCTCCTGGTCAGTCGTTTGCATGAGGTGGCTGATAAAGAGGAACCTGCGGACATTGTTCGATGGTTTAATGTAAGGTACTCCCTTTGCCGAACTTAACTAGGTGCAATTTGAAATTAATGAGGATGAATGTAGTATGTAACTTTCGATATCATTGGTCACCTGGCATTCTACGAGCCTTTTGACTGCCTCAAGAACACCGATTATCACCCCTGGATGTCCATGATTTTTAATGCTATTGTTTACGTGCACTATATCCGCACTTTGCAAAGGTTTGTCGACGTCAGATCAATAATCCTAGCCATCATGCCGAAGAGAATTGTCGAACGTCGCAAATGGCACATTGGCCTCGTTGAAGAAAAAGTCAAACGACGCAAAACACGTCATCCAGATTACATTGATTTCATGAGTCACCTACTTCAGGCAGAGGAGAGTGGCCACCTAACATTACCAGACCTGGTAGCTAATGCCAATTTGATGGTCATTGCAGGCAGCGAGACGACAGCTACAATCCTTTCGGGAACTATCTACTACTTGTGTACACATCCGCGTGTGATGGAGAAGCTCCTGGAAGAAGTTCGCACGTCATTCAATGCTAGCGACGAGATAAATATTGCGCGAATTAGTCAACTCAAGTACATAAATGCTGTTATTGATGAGTCCTTCCGCCTCTATCCGCCAGCAGCAGGTAGTCATCCGCGCATTACGCCACCAGAGGGCGCATTTATTCTTGGCCAATGGCTTCCGGGTAATGTATGAATGCTTTATTTTGATTATAATGAGTTTATTCGTCCTTTTTGTTGCGATTTCAAAGTTCTAATAATCAAGTATAGACGTCCATGGGTATGGCACAATATGCTGTCTTCCGTTCTCCATACAACTTTAAAGATCCTGAGCGCTACCTACCTGAACGATGGCTAGACAAGGAAGGGCCATATGCAAACGATCGTCGAGAGGCCCTACAGCCATTCTCATTTGGACCTCGCAATTGTATTGGTCGAAAGTACGTTTCTACTTAACTCAGCCAAAGAGGAAATGCTGATCAATTGTTGTTTAGCCTGGCCAATATCGAGATGAGACTCATCCTTGCTAAAATGCTTTGGCATTTCGACTTTTTGTTGGCCCCTGAATGCGCCAACTGGCCTAAAGATCAGTATATCTATACATCATGGGAGAAGATCCCACTCAAGGTCCGCATAACAACGAGGTCTATAAAGGCTTGATTAGCTGGTGGGATATAGTTGGTGCGACAGGTCTGCTAGAGGCCTTGGGATTAATAATCAATGATGACTGGTATTTCTTTTGTCATCATGTATACGGATTCCGTCCTTTAAGCCTTTAATAAAGCTGTTTACTAGCATGCAAAGATAGTAAGCCAACTAAAGAAAATCAACGAGTCACTCGTATTGCCCTCCAACTATCCCCGCACTTCACATGCACGGTAATATCTAAGTACCTGCCACGTCAGCGAGAAGGCTGAGGCTCAAGCAGCGCGATGTAACTCTCCGCGATGCATGAATGCAAATCTAGAACGCACTTCAATTATGGCTTGAAATTAGGTTTGGCGGGTCTAGATCCTTGTACAAATACCTGGGCGGTATCTGTAATACCGGTACCGAAATTTGAGGCGTGTCTTTTTAAATTATATAGGTCACAAGACCATGGTCTAATTTTCGAGATGAGAATATCACTATCTGAGGAAAGACTGTTTACAATGTCCGCAGCTATTGCCACCATTGCGACAGTTTTCATATCCTTCGTCAGTCTAAGCATCTGGAAGGTTTACCTGAAGCCGTTCTTCTTCAGCGCACTACGAAGTTTGCCTGAGCCGGAGGTAAGCAAGGGCTTTATGTAAGAGAAAAGATTTTGAGCAGAAGCTAAATTCTTCTAGGGGGGTAAACTCTTTAGCGGCCATGCCAAGCTTCTTCCCAATGAGCGTTCTGGGATGCCTCTCCAGGAGTGGATCAATGAGGTACCCAACAATGGTCTCATTCGGTATCGAATGTGGTTCAACAAAGAGGTTGTATTTGTGACGAGCCCAAAGGCACTTTCAGAAGTGCTGGTACTAAAGAACTACGATTTCTCGAAGCCGTACAAACTAAGACAGGGGCTGGGAAGAATACTTGGGGTAGGGTTGATTATCGCAGAGGGCGAAGAACATAAAGTATGATTTCTTCTTGTGCTTCCACCTTTTCGAATAGAAATAAAGAACCGAGCTAACTGGAGTATACAGAAACAACGCAAAATGTTGATGCCAGCTTTTTCGCACCGACACGTCAAGGATTTATACCCGATATTCTGGGAGAAGGCCGCCCTCTTAGCTAAGGAGCTCGAACGCGAGATTAAGCGCGATCCTGAAGAATCAAGCAAAGTGTTTGATGTTGCTGATTGGCTTGCTCGTACAACACTGGACATCTTGGGAGCAGCAGGATTTGGGAGGGAATTCGACACGTTACATCATCCAGATAATGAAATAGTCACCGCCTATCAAAATGTATTCGAGCTAAAGCCACCAAAGGGGATATTTGGGATCCTCATTTTCATTGCTCGCCAACAGATCATGAATCTTCTGAATATAAAGCGCAATGATAGCATCGCTGCTGCTACAGAAGTTCTGACTGGCGTTGCTCGCAGATTGATTGAAGATAAAAAATCTGAGAAGGAGCACCATCATAGTGAAGACGCCTCAAATGGTGAATCAGACAGGGACATTATATCCGTCGCTCTTGACTCTGGCAGTTTCACTGATACAATGCTCGAAAACCATCTTCTGACATTCCTTGCCGCTGGGCACGAGACCACCGCGACATCAATGACATGGGCGATGTATGCTTTATGTCTGTATCCAACTGTGCAAAAAAGGCTCCGAGAGGAAGTACGAGCCAGACTGCCCTTTGGAGCAAATGCTAGTGCAGAAATGCTATTAGTCACGGCAGAGTTGGTAGATAGTCTACCATATCTACATGCTGTTTGTAACGAGGTCTTCCGCATTTACCCACCAGCTGGGCTGACAAGAAGGGTATCTGTAAAGGATACAACTATTGCAGAGCAGCACATTCCAAAGGGGACAGTGGTTGTGATCTCACCGCGTGCAATTAACGTTTCGAAACAACTCTGGGGAGATGATGCAACGGTGTTCAATCCTGATCGATGGATGGGATCCCTCCAAGCTAATAGCGGCGGTGGTTTGACAAACTTCTCGTTCATGACTTTTTTGCATGGTAAGTTAGGTTACTGCATACTATTCTTTCCATCTTGAGATTATGGCTAGCAATCATATCCGTCTCAAATCTAACATCCATTCAAGGACCTCGTTCGTGCATCGGTCAAGGCTTTGCCCGTGGAGAGTTTGCGTGTTTACTGGCTGCTTTGGTGGGAACATTTGAAATGGAGTTGGAGGACAAGGATTCTGATATTGTCATTGAGACAGGGCTCACTTCCAGGCCTCAGGGAGGATTAAGACTACGGCTACGACCGGTTTAATATGATCTCAATTTTAGGCAAGTGTTACCTAGATAAAGCAAATAGAATTGATTTCATTGCATTACCACACAACTTGTGCAACTTCCATTTCATCGGAAAGAAAATGCATTCCGACAGTATGAAAGTTATGGAGGCTGTCGAGATGTAGACTCTATACCAAAGAGATAGCTCCTGGTAAACTAACAATTCAGCCTAGTGGCTTATGAGGGTTCAGGTTGATCATAACATCCTTTCCAAAATCCTGCAACCCAATTCGCAGCCAATCCGGAAGTGCTCGAATGATTGGAGAAATGCATGCGGAAGAGGGCATCATCATATTCTGCGCCCGTCCGCTTCGTAAAATCTTCACCACAGCTGAACCAACATCTGCAGGTTTCAGGGGTTGAATTGATGACGGTAGCTGAATGCCTGTGAACATCTTGGTGTTTACCGCTGATGGTGCCACGCATGATACGCGCACCGCAGGGGCTTTATACACATGGCGTAACTCTGTCTGGAGTCCCTCATAAATAGCTAGGGCAGCCGCTTTAGTGGCCGCGTAGTCTACCACGCCTGCTGTTGCCAGATACCCTGTTTGAGAGGCGAGTATCACAAAATGGCCATGATTATGAGATGCAAGAGACGGGACAAACGCTTTCACCGTCCACAAAAGCCCTAGGCTATTTACTCCGAACGTTCTAATTATCTCAGAGAAGGAAATCAGAATACCAATGTTGCAGCAATACGATAATATGTTGAACAAGTCTTTCTGCTTACAGTTCAATGTCCCGTTTGGTGGCTTGAAGCAACGATTTTCCGCGGCATATTCCTGCGTTTGCTACAACGCATGTAGGCTCTCCAATTTGCCTAGTTGAGAGTTGTCAAAACTGGACATGTGAGATAAGACACTACAGGTAGGAGAACAAACCGCCTAATAGATGCAGCAACAGCAAGAACATCGTCTTGGTTGGTCAGATCACATCGATAATAGTGCAAGTGTTTGGCTTTAGAAATGTTAGCCACGAGCAAAGCCTCTCTACTTATGCTTAAACAGTGGAATAATTTCTCACGAGCATCATAAGTCAATGGCAATACATCAAGCACAACTACCTGGGTCCCTTCCGAGGCTAGTTGTTGCGCACATGCTGCCCCTATTCCATTTGATCCGCCTGTCACAAGGACGATTTCCTTGTTCCAGTCAAATGAGGCGGCAACGCCGTTGTTCATTGCTCGGTGGCTTAAATATCGGTTCAACTTATATAGTATCCATGGCAGCCCTACCCAGCAGCCAAGTCTCCAGGATGCTAGTAGTCGATGTGCATACTCTTGCCAAATCATGCTCAAATCAGGTGCCATAATAGCCGTCTCTCCCAGGCGTTACCTAGTAAACAAATCGAATACAATATATACTTAAGATCTCAGGTGGGTGACGATTGGGCTTAAATAGCGACTCCAGATACTGCGTTACGCCTGGTTGACAGCAAGTGGTAAGTTACGTGTATTCACACCGGAGAAATAATACCGTATCGTACCCAGCTCATACGTTTCAGGTATCCGCATGAATACTCCCTAGGAGGCATGTGTGGTAAAATCCTGTATTTTGTGTTCAATACGCTGGATATAGAGACTCAAAGAACATCCGAATATGGATAGTACCTACCTAGGTAAATGACGACTACACTATTTGATTTAGTCCATGGCATGCAATTACTTAGTTAGAATTTAAAATATGAAACCTAGATATTCTCCCTTCCAATTTTTTCTCTTCTTTACCACTTTGCTCAATTGCTTTTCTACTGTAAATGCAATCTCAGCATGGATCTTCGGGCCGAATTTTACTCCATTTTCTGGAAGCGTCAGAAATATCAAGCCAACATTGCAAAAGATCTTCCGCCAGAACCATTGAATCTGATTCTCGAATATCTCTCTACTCCTGATCAAATATGCCTTGCATAAACCTGCAAAGAACTATACAAGTTGTATCTTTTATTTCGATCAGCTCGGGGTCTACAATTTTTGCTCCTTTTCCAAACCTAAAAACGGCCAGCACGAAGCCCAAGAATCGAGACGAAAAACATATCAGGGTTACCAGCACAAAATGTGCTGCTCTGTCAACTTGAGGACAGCCGTTGGAAATACTGTGATCGATGCTGGAAACTTCATAGGCTTCGGCATGGTCTGATTCTTGGCATATGTGTCTACCGTGCAAGCCGGAACGTGGAATGGTTTAAATGTGTCCTTGTGTGGCTCTGACATATTGGGAAGCGGTGGGCTTGGTACGGTGCGGGCCAATTTTCCAACAATTCATGTATAATTGCAATTTCAAGGGTCATCCAGCTACAGAAGTCTCTATCGTTAGTAGAGTTTCCTGGGACCTAACGGGTCAGAGACTGATGGTGAAAAATAAATATACATTCGAGCTGCTATTAGTCGGTCAAAGATCCCCGGTGTGGAAAAAGTTGTTGTTTTAGGGACCACAACTCTATTGAGTTCACTCGAGAATATCAAAGCTTGGCTCCGATGGTTCTTCGATGAAACTGGTTCAAGTTTTTATAGATGGCGTGATATCCATTCACTCGATGTATCTTTGTCTCGCTCTGACACAGTCATTAAAGAATGCAAGATAGATGGCAGATGGTGCTTTCTCGAGATAATTATCGAGCGCAACCTTGGAAAATTCTCTACTGAATCGCCTTGGAAGCACAACAGTGTGAGCAACAGACTACCACAGCCATGGGCTGTAGTCAGAACTGGAGGATAAGGCAGTTTGAATGACGATTTCAGAGGTGATAGCCTCTAGATACACTACTTAGAATTCAAGTATACAATATCTAAGCGCACTTCTAAATTTGTTTGTAAATTCTACAGGCCATACTCACCCTTGATAAAAGAAGGGCCTGTCTTAAGAACAACCTTAGAAGCTTTACAGCACAAGCCGGAATCAGCCATTGTCTTCAAGCGCGTTAATTACCTGAGTGAGCAGGTATTCTATGATGAATGCAAGAGATGTGACTTACAGGAGCATTTGGTCCATAACTTACAACATTAGAGCTTTACATATACCGCAATTTATATTTCCGACAGTGATTGTCAGATTTTGCATGTCTTCTCCCAGAGCAGTACTAGCCACTGACAAATAGATTTGATTTCATAGTAAGGGCTCTGCTTTCAAGAATTTCCGCGGGAAAAGAGAGATGATGTTCTGAATTGCATTAGAATTAGGTGGCTGGGAAGACCATAACGATTCCTGCAGATTTATGAGTCGTACAGTGTCGCACCTAGGTATACGGAGTATGTCACTTGGGAGATGCGAGAGAACAATTGCTATGGCCAATGAACAACCACTCACTGCAAAGTTCGAAAAATTGCCTAAATAGGCAATTTCTCAACCGTCCAATCGGAATAAAGACACATTTGCAATCCTGAATCCACTAGATGTGGGTATGATCGGCGGCACCCGCACTCAAAAACTATAGCCAAAATCTCAATTTTCACTTGCAGTCGATGATCCGTCTGTCCATGTGTGTATGTATATATGCTTGTAGCTATCTATCTACAGAGGTTATTTCCGTTTAAAACTCCGTCGAATCATATCTACCCTTCCCTAGATATAAAATAATCCACGTCGAGTCTAAAGATGACTTGGCTCCATCCTAACTAAGCACTAACCCGCAGCTAGATTTCCGCAATGTAACGTCCTTCACTGCGAGCCCATCAAGTGCCATGCTTTCCTGTGTTTTCTCATTCGAGGTCAAAATGGCATCATTCTGGAATTCTGGTTGCATGAGGAGGCAAAATAAGAAGGGGAAAAAAGGCAGAAAAGAAACGTAATGTGGAGCAAAGAAGGGTGATATAATTAATATTCAAATATTTATAGGTCTTGGAAGTGCTTCTTGAGTTCCCGCGTTCCTTTTTCTGTCAGTGACAGGCGGCCCCAAATTTCACCTGAAAATGTCTGACGGGATCATGGCTCCTACAAACAATGTGGACAACCGCAAAGGAGTCGAGGTTGCCGATGACTCTGTTGAAACCACCAGCCGCGATCAGAAAGTCAAGAACGTTGTGGACGAGAAGACCGGAGAGGTGTCGATCGAGTCGCCGCAGGATGACGATACAGAATACGTCAAAGGGCATCCCGTTATTCGCACTGGTAACCACTGAAAATACCTGCTTTCTACTGTTAGTGCATCACTAATCTCTCATTTAAAGGTCTCGACGTGTCGAAATACATCGTATCATTGCGAGACGATGGCGATCCTTCTTTGACCTTTCGTTCCATCGTCCTGGGCTCGATTTTTACCGCGCTTTCAAGCGTCATCACGATGTTGTACACGTTCAAACCGTACCAGGCCCAAGTATCTGCCACCTTTTTGCAACGTACGGCGTCCCTTTTTGTCCTCCCTTCAAGATGGCCTGTCTGCTCACGCACACAAATCCCACAGTTCTCATCTACGTATTCGGCCAGGCATGGGCTCTGTTGACTCCCAGTCCAGAAAGGTTCAAACAAAGATGGGTACGAAGCACACTTCGCTTCCTCAACTTTGGGCAGGGCTTTGGGATTAAGGAGCACGTGGTTGCCGCACTAATCGCCTCCTCTGGCAACAACGGCCTTGCTGGAGTAGAGATTTATGCCATTGAGAATTTATTCTACGACATCAGTGTCAATGCCACCACTGCAGTCCTGGGTACCTTTTCGATATCTCTCTGTGGATTTGTGCTGGCTGGCGTGTTACGGCCACTCATCGTCTACCCTGCTGAAATGGTGTATTGGTCGACCTTGCCCCAGGTTGTGCTATTCCAGAACCTCCATTTTGACACGCGTGCGAACAGGGACCGCTTAACCAAATTTATCTGGGCATTGGTGGCGTCGGGCGTCTGGGAGTTTTTTCCTGCCTACATCGTAACTTGGTTTGGGGGCATCTCGATCTTTTGCCTGGCTTCCATGAACGCCCCTGTTCATATCCGGACTATCTTCACCAACGTCTTCGGAGGCGCTTCATCAAACGAGGGCTTGGGGATATTAAATTTCAGTCTAGATTGGCAATATATTCAGAGTACATACCTGTCACTGCCATTCAAACAACAACTGAATTCTTGGATTGGCTATCTTATTTACTACGCCGTCATGATTGGGGTTTACTACGGAAATGCTTGGAACGCGAAGAATTTCCCTTTCATGTCGAGCTCTCTCTTCCAGTCCAACGGTTCCGTGTATACTACGACCTCCATCATGAATGACCGAGGTACTATCGACTATAACAAGGTTGACGACGTGGGCCTACCTTCTTTGACCGCCACTACTGTCTGGGGGTTCATGACGCAGAACCTGGCCATCGGAGCCTTGATCACGCACGTCCTCATATTCTATAGCAAAGATATGTGGACCGCATGGAAGCAGGCACGCAGCAGAAGTCAGCCCGATCCGCACTACCAAGCTATGCTCAAGTACAAGGAAGTCCCACTGTGGTGGTATTGGGCGCTTTTTGCGCTAGCTTTCTTCGCCGGATTGATTGTCAATCTCAAAGGTCAAACCACCCTACCAGTTTGGGGTTACATTATCGCCCTTCTTCTAGGTGCTTTCATTGCCCCCTTCTCCTGCGTTCTCTACGGTCTATATGGAAGTGGCGTATCAACTAATCAGCTTTCCAAAATGGTTGCAGGCGCTCTACACCCAGGGCGGCCTCTTGCCAATCTCTACTTTGCGTCTTGGTCGCACCAAGTCATCCTGCTATCCGTCAACCTGGCCAACTGGCTTGTTGTAGGCCAGTATCTCAAGATACCACATAGAGTGATGTTTATTACTCAGATTTACGCCACTCTTCTAGGAGCCGGGCTCAACTATGCCGTGATGACAACGATTGTGTCCAATCAACGAGAAATCCTCCTTGACCCCATAGGAAACAATGTGTGGAGTGGCGCATACATGCAGAGTCTAAACTCTGATGCTATCACATGGGCACTTGCAAAGGAAATCTATGGAGTCAATGGACAATACTTCATAGTGCCCATGGGTCTAATTATCGGCCTCGCACTTCCAGTTATTCACTCGGGTGCGATCAAACTGTTCCCCAGACTCGACAGGTGGGAGCTCAATACAGCCATCATCATTGCTTATGCTGGCACAACCTACTATGGAAACACATCATGGATTTGCTCCTCAATTGCTGTGGGAATCTTTTCTCAGTTCTGGCTTCGACGCCGCAAGCCTCGGATCTACAACAAGTACAACTATCTCATTGGGGCCGCTATGGATGGTGGTTCTCAGATCGTCATTTTCATATTATCTTTCGCCGTCTTCGGTGCAAGTAGCAAAGAGGTTCCCTTTCCTTCATGGTGGGGAAGTCCAGCTGCAGGTAATCCTGATCATTGCTATGCCGGAAACTAAAGCTGCCGTGGATTTACATTTATTACCATGGAATTGTAGTTCCTCATGGTTTGAACAAGCATTCGTCGGGTAGGCCTTCAAAACAATTCAAATAGATGGCATGTTAAAATCAGTAAAAGGAAATAGGGTATGTGAGTATAATAAATCCTATAAACGCCGTTTAACAATAATGTACATATCTGCTCAAGAAAATGTCACGAAAGGAGTTCATCCATGTATGCGCGTTCACTGACAGGAGCTCCGCGCTTTTTCAAAAGAATAGCTAGAACCTCAATCGGTGGATCAAGCTCGAGTAGATGTGCTCGGCGCCAGCGCTTGATTCTTGAAATCCCGATACAAGGCTGTGTGAATTGTTGATTAGCGCTATTCTCAGTAGATATTCGTAGGTCACAGATGAAAATCCACATACTCCATACTGACTCGACAGGTCAAAGTGACGTAAAACCTTTTCGTCGATATCAAGATCCTTTTGGTGCACTGCCGAACACATCAGATATCAAATTCACACAAGCCCCGCCAAACTCAAAACACATACCTCTTTGCGCAATCCTATTATGCTCTTCGTTATTCCAGTACTGTGTAATCTGTGCCTCACTGATCTCCAATGCTTTCCGGTCCTCCTTGCTTGCGGGTTGGCTGAGTTCGTCCTTTGCTTGTTCGCGAATGGCTACCTCCGCAACGTGAGGCTCCGAAGACGCTGCCGATGACGAAACGGGGATTTGTTGGGGAAGTGCGGTGTCGGGCGGTGATGTCTTGGAGATCTCCTGGACTATTGGTACGGTGTTCTTGACTTGTTTCCCTGGCGCTGTGGTGGAAGGCTTCGTTACTCTCGACTGGGCGCCGAAGGACAGTTTGGACTGCCCACTGCTTGCAGTCGTTCTAGTGGCGCGGCGTGGCGGCATGGTTAATATATTGGAAGTGTTATTTGTAGTTGGAAATCAGCTTTCTCGTGAGTATCAACTGGTTGCGGCCTGGAGCTTGAGACGAGGTGTAGTCGGAAGTGAAGAAAGTCGATGTCATTCGTTGCGGAGGCAACCATCCGTACTGAGTTAGCGTCGGTTGCACGTTAACCGCGTCTCTCTCGCGTCTCTCAATATAACCGTTTTGGGAACAGCTAAGAAATCTCCTCCTCGTCCTGACTGAACTTCATCTGCTCCCTCTATCGATATATTTATAGTATATACGCTCCGCGAGATGAATAACCAAAGACCTGTCGAACGAGCGCTTGTCACCCTACTACCAACCCACGAAAACGAACTTCCCTCCGAACTCCTGACTCTCGCCCAGTCTCTCCTGGCGCAGTCTCGGAGTTACTCGTCTAGCTTGAAGCCCGAGGAGGAAATAGCGAGACCTTTTGCGTGTGCCGAAATTGCTTGTCGACGGTAGGTATTCACTTTTTACATGTCAATTGTCGGTGAATAGGCGAGGTTAATGGTTCTGTTGGCCATAGACTATCACGCTCATTGAAACTCCCGCCTCTCCTCGGCCACCCGCCATGTCCTCCGCGTGTTTATAAGAAGCTATATACCTTTCTCGAAAGGTCTATCGGAGGAAATGCAGCATCAAGCAATAGATCTACTCGTGCAACACCGAATAAACCAACGTCAATACCAAAGAAAAACGGCGTCGATACTACACCTTCCCGCACACCATCCAAACAGGCAAATCAAGATACCACTCCGTCCAAAAACACGCCTCTCGGCAAGAGAACTTTTAATGAAGGCTCTCATAATAAAACACTGTCTAGGGCGACCTCAGTAAAGCGTGCGCGCTTCACTCAAGAATCACCAAAGTTACTACAAAATATCAAAGATGCTCCACAATGGGTCATGCCATCCATCAGATCAGTCTGCAGAATCTTATCCACGCCTGCTCCCAGAATGTCTCTGTGGTCCCGGCCACCTATTTCGCGGACACTGCCGCCTCATATTTACGCTGGCGTTTCGTCCATTTTGCACTTTGTCTCATCCATGACGAATAAAGATATCAGTAAACTGGATGAAGAGATTTCCGACTTTCTCAGCATTCTTCGCATGCCAGAAGAAGAGAATACCGATGATTATAAGGAAGTAGTGATGGCGCTCATAGTAGCCGTTTATTTCCTTGTCCTTGCTCGCCGACGCAGTCCCAGCCCGGGCACTGCAGCAATCAACACAAACAATGTCGATGCCGCCGCGGCAACAAGTCCCGGTGGTCGTCCGCCAACATCTCCATCCAAGGAAGGAGAAGCTCGCAAAATGGACAAGAAAACCTTTTCCGAAATGCGACAAACCGCCCTGTCTAGTCTAGGACTATCTTCAGGCGACAGACGGCATGCTGAAGATGTTGATTCATGGATTGCCCTGATTATGGGCCAACAATGGGCCAAAGGGCAGGAGTGGTTTGATAATATTCCGATGGCTGGCGAAAGAGAAGAAGAGTTTGGAAATGAATCTAATCCTGATGGTGATGACGAGGGGGGTGATATCCGGGGCTCCAAAAGGACGAATATCTTTTTACATGCTGGTAAGGACGAAGAAGGTTTGTTGTTACCTGGTCTCGGTACGATGATGCAGGATCGAGTTGATTATTTGAGCGAAAATCGAAGAGAAGACTATTTAGAGTGGAAGGCAGATATGTTACAGAGGATAAGCAAGATGAAGAAAATGGCTAACAGCAACAGAGGTAGTAGTAAGGCGGTTGCTACAGCCTAATTATAACATTCACCCATTGATATTTGTTTAATTCATACGTACATCATTCATCCTGTCGTCGGTCTATAAATGCATTTAATACACCAAGAGCAGTGTCTATAAAGAGTAACCCTTCCACCCACAGGGGATGACAGATTGAGGATTGGTTTTTCTCACACATAACCGCCGTTTCATCTATAAATGCGTGAAATCTAAGCCATGACGATATAAATCCTAATACCAGATGCTCCTAGTCCGATGATGGGGAATAGTTTCACAACCATCACACTCTAATTCTTTCATCGTATCGTAGAGGAAAAAGTCGATTAAAATAGCGTTTATACCGAAGACTTTGCGTGTTGCTGCCTTCTTCAACTCTGGTTGTGATGCCGTCCCGTCTCCGTTTCTATCTTTTTCTTTTTCTTCTTCTCTTGCTCCTTCTTGTTCTTTTGACTGTTCCTCTGTCTCAATATCTGCGACGTCGTCTTTATCATCGAGATTAGTGCCATAGATTGAAGACTGTTCTGTAGAGTACGCTGTCTTCGATTCCGGATGGCGACGCTCTATTTCCTGTTTGATGAGTTCGACGCACCAAATGCTAGCACCGCGGAGCTCTAGTTCCCATTTTGAACCTGGCTTGATGGGCTGCAGGCGACGGATATGGCTCTCTAATGGTGGAGAGTAAAGAAGACATCCGAGCTGATAGAGCATTTGGGGGATGCGGTAGTCTTGAACATGTTAGAAAAACAATATACTTCGTCTCTTGGGAAACATATGAAAGAACATACCGGCAAACATTGTAATTTTCTCAATATCATTGAAATCGCCATACGACTGACCGTCAAAGCAGGCCCATAGATCGGCAACTAAGATTTGAGCGCGCTTATAGAATCGCACCGTGCGTCCATCAAAGGACGACTCGTCACGAAAGCATGGAAAGTTATTAGCCAGGAGATTAACAAGACCAGGTGCCGATTGATTAGCATCATAGATGCAGTTGACAAAACTGCCATCGAACTTTTCGTCCAAGACCTGCCCAGCTTCGCGCAGACAGTCGAATCGCTCTTCCAACAGAGGTATCTCTTCCTCTGTTGCGGAGCGGAAAACATGTTTTAATAAATCTTCGTTAAACTCATCCTCGTCCAGCCAGAAATCGGGACTTGTAATGGGAATGCCTATGGAATTTTGGTGAGACAACCGTTTTTCTAAAGCAAGCGAGAGGGAAAATGCTCACCTTCATCTAATGCCCTCTGCAGAGCAGCAACCAAACTCCAATAACCAGTCCATTTCCTACCACGATACTCAATGGCAAACCGCTTACTTTCGTCCGTCTGCTCAGACCAGAAGCTGAAATTCAGAAGATCCATAGTGAAGATAAAATCCACTGTACTCTCGTCCTTGGTCTTGGGATGCAGTTCATGCTCAGTCCATGTTGAAGTAGAGTAATTTTTCTTCTGTAATTGCTGCCAAATCGTCTCAGCAGCTAATTTGGTCTGTCTAGGTTCCAGGGCAACATCGATGGCATTATCAAAGATGTATCGAGCATTTTGCAGTACTTTAGTGTCTTGCACGTCGGAAGCGCCCTTCTTGCCCAGGCCTAAGGATTGTCGGAGAAGCTCCAAGAGCTCGGGATCGGCTTCGTCGTCCGACATGCTGCAGTGTATCCTCTATTTAGAATGGCCTACGTCTTCGATAGAGTCGGAATCAGGAGCGTCTTTTGTTGGCTGTCGTCGGGGATCTTATTGATATTGATAAGAAGTCGCTAATGAGTCATTTTCTCAACACCGCAAGGCCAGTCCGGAACAAAGATCTGTTCTAAGAGTGACCTCTCAGAGGATCAATGGGGTTGCTGACATGATTCAAAGACACTGCTGGCTTTTCTTCACAGCGCCAGTCTACTAGGACTATCGTGTGCCTTTTTGGTGGAAAAATTGTTTTTGAGCGTTACATAAGCAAGCTTCTAGGTTGTGATTGGCTGTTATTCTTCTCCGGCGGCAGCGATATCAAGCGATGTATAACGAACTACCTAAGCTATTGCCTGCGTATGTAGACTGAAGTATAAATATAGACTGTCGTTTTACGGATAGGTAGTAGACACATGTCTGCACGTTCTATAGAATATAAATCTCTCATTCCCTGAAACAAACACCTCTGCTGCAGCGATATCAAAAGTGATGGCATCTCTCCATGAGTCTTCGAGCGTGAATAGCATCGCTCATGACCACGCGGTGAGAGAAAGAGAGTTCCATTTTGAGCTATCAAATAACCAATAGTATCATCGATTTCATTCAGAACTAAAACATCCGTCTTCCGCGCCATGGATTGATCAGCAGTCAGGGAGCTGCAGTAGATCCATGCAGGCTTGGCTGCGGTGCAAGCTCACGACCAACGAAGCCGGAGATAACATGCGATGCATGAGCCAATGAATACCGGTAGTTAGTCGAGATGGAGTCTGAGTCGGTTGGGAGAGCTGAAGGTGAAGGTGAGCGAGCGAACGAACGAATGAGGCTCGGCGCATCCGTCCCAATCGGGTCTAATTAGGTCATCATCTCTCACCACCGCTTCGTTGCTCTCCTGCTGCCTTTGTGCTTGCTTGCGTTCTCTTCTTCTCCGTGCTACCATCATTTTCTTTTTTCTTTTTCTTTTTCTTCTCTTCTTTACTTTCTTTTATCTTTCTCAGTTTGTCTCCTACTCCTCGCATTCCTCAAGCCTTCATTGCGGCAGCGGAGAAACCTCGCCCGTCAGTTCGCGGCTCTTCCTCTCTCGTTCTCTTCTGCTTCACATTTCCATTTCTTCTTGGGTTACCTTTTGCCCTTCTACTCTTTTCACGAGCAAATTCTGCGGTTTAGGATGATACAACTCCTTGTCTGCCTCGCCTAGAGATGGATTCAACGTTAAACGCTAGGCCTGCGCCTCGAGACGCCTACCTCAAGCGCTCACTGGGCACCTTGTCCAGGCGCATCCGCGAGGTAAGCCTGTTTTTGATAGCAATTGAATCGCAAAATACAATACCCTAATCTCCATGCATTTAAACTTGTTTACTGATTGATTTGGGCTTGCTAGTCTCGGGTTCTTTTAGTCGGCGCCGGTGGAATCGGCTGCGAGCTCCTCAAAAACCTCCTCCTCACGGGCTTCGGTGAAATCCATATCGTGGACCTCGACACAATCGACCTTAGTAATTTGAATCGGCAGTTTCTATTCCGCCATGAACATATCAAAAAGTCGAAGGCACTGGTAAGCTTGACAAAGATGAGGGATGTCGCGCAAGGTCTCATCCATTCTCTCTACAGGTAGCAAAGGAAGTCGCTGGCAAATTTCGACCCGATTCGAAACTAGAGGCCTACCATGCCAACATCAAAGACTTGCAGTTCAATGTTGACTGGTTCGCAACTTTTGATGTCGTCTTCAATGCCCTCGATAACTTGGATGCTCGTCGCCATGTCAACCGCATGTGCCTTACTGCGGATGTACCTTTAGTGGAGAGCGGTACAACAGGCTTCAATGGGCAGGTCCAGGTTATCAAAAAGGTGCGAAGATTCCGTGTTTCTTGCTTTATAAAGTCCCCGCTAATGGAAAATCTAGTCTCGTACAGAATGTTACGATTGCACGTCTAAAGAAGTACCAAAGACATTCCCAGTTTGTACTATCCGGAGTACGCCAAGTCAGCCTATACACTGCATTGTGTGGGCTAAGAGCTATCTTCTACCGTGAATATTCTCAATGATCGTTTGGAAACGTGCCTTATGCTAACTGCTAGTAGGGAGCTGTTCGGTGTAAGTGAAACCGATGGTGACGAGGATGGATTTGATCACAGCGAGGACGCAGAGAACGGTACTGTTTTACAAATATATGGCTTCTAAAATGAGAACATCCTGCTAATTACATATAGCGGAGGAAATTGAGAACTTGCGACGTGAGGCACAGGCGCTAAAAGCTATCCGGGCATCCATTGGGTCTGAAGGATTTGCGCAACGAGTGTTTGACAAGGTTTTCAAAGACGATATTGAGCGACTACGTGGGATGGAAGATATGTGGAAGACGCGCAAACCGCCCACTGCCCTCAAGTATGAATCTTTACAAGAAAAGACTCCTTCAGAAAAGGCTCCTTCAGTTGAAGCTGGCGTCTCGCAGGACGATCAGAGAGTTTGGACACTAGAAGAAAATTTCTCTGTCTTCAAAGACAGGCAAGTCGTTTGGTTCCGGCCTTCTGTTAAGGCAGATAGACTAACCAGATTGACAGTCTCGATCGTCTAAGCAAGCGATTGAAAGATCTTCAAGCAAATAAAACAGGCGATATCGAACCGATAATCACATTTGACAAGGATGACGTCGACACGCTAGACTTTGTTGCGTGCAGCGCAAATCTGCGGTCTGCCATTTTTGATATTGAGTCAAAATCAAAGTTTGACATCAAGCGTGCGCCCATCTTTTCGTAATTTTTGAAGTTAGATTTCGTGCTAACGCAGATGAACCACAGAAATGGCTGGCAATATCATTCCTGCAATTGCTACAACTAACGCTATGACTGCCGGACTTTGTGTCCTACAGGCTTTCAAAGTCTTGAGAGACGACTACGATCATGCCAAGATGGTATTCCTTGAACGATCTGGCGTTCGAGCCATCAACTCTGAAATTCTGCGACCGCCCAACCCATTTTGTGCCGTTTGCTCGGTAGCTCAGGGTAAGGTCTTGGTGGACCTTGAACATGCGACATTGAAGGATCTGGTTGAAGATACAATCCGCGGCAAACTTGGATACGGCGAGGAATTTTCGATCAATACAGATGCTGGCATGATTTATGATCCAGATTTAGAAGACAATTTGCCCAAGAAACTCATCGATTTCGGTATCCAAGCAGAGACTCTACTCACAGTCATTGATGAGAACGATGAAAGCCCGTTTGTCAATCTAGAGCTCGTTGTCGAGGGAAGGTGAGAAGCAACTCAAATCACATTCGTGGTTTTTATAGTCGTCCAAGCTAATAGCCCTTCAGAACCAAGGCAGCTGCCGACGAAAAATCAATCACTCTAGCTAGAGAGATTGACATCCCCAAGAAGCCTAAGCAGGTGCCCGCAGTCAACGGCACCATTACGAATGGCACTATTGGTCACAAAAGGAAGCGAGATGCGGAAGAAGTTGCTCTTCCGGGGGAGCCTGAAAGCAAGCGTGTTGCTGCTGACGGTGACAACAACGAACCAATTGTGCTTGATGACCCCGATACAGGCGCCATTGTAATTGACGACTAGACGATTTCTTGCAAAAAATGATAATAACGCCGGGAGTCCCTTATATCCTAATTATGCCTTTCCATAAATGTAATTAATAACTAGATGATTTCTCATAAAATGATAATAACAGCAGGAGTCCTTCATATCATAATTATAGTCAATTTCTTAAAAATAATATTAACGACTGGAGTCCCTCATATTCTTCATCCTCTCCCGCCTCATGGATTTATAGGTTGAAATGGTGCGGGCGTGATGTATTCAATCAAGGATTGGTCTGCACGCATGAATGGGAGGGAGACAGCGATTATGATGGCGCTGTTAGGTACCTTTTGCTCCACAAGCACCGTAGTAACAAGCATTTTGAGCACATGCCCAGGTATAAAATATAATATTATATGCATGGGTGGTATATTAACGTGTGTGGCCTGTTCCTGGCCTCACTCACCCCCGTGCCCTCGAAAACGTAGAGGAGAGGCTGTGTACGGGGCGGGCCAGCTTGGAATTCCTTCTGCCTCCTCATTTCCTTCTTTGCCCCTTGTCGGAGTCCTTCATCCCACATTCCAGAGTCGGAATCTTCGTATCGAATTGAGAAGTGAGTAAATATTCTATGCGGGGATGAGCCTCTTGTTGGTGGGGAGCTTAGCTTGACGGATAATGTATTGCGGATGTTGGTGAGTTTGCATTGTTTGTTTGCAGAAGCCTTCACCTATAGCAAAATTTTGGTATTGTGAAGCATGTCTCGATTGGACCTAATCCAGACTGGGATCTAGTTTGCTAGGTGTGCTTTCATCACAGAAGCAAATGGTAATTCTTATAAAGACAATGGGCAACTTCATTCTAGAGACATGCAGGTAGCGAGGTTCATTGGGACAGGCACCCTCGTCTCGCCCTTTGTTACTTTGGTTTAGGTATATTGTGGTAGGCTATCATGTTATGACTATCAATCAGGTGCAACTAGCGACGCGTTGACAGACCTATATACTTTTATTCTTACCTATTGCATCCAGGAACTAAGTGCGTATCTTCTCTGCTAAACAACATTCTGATTCCGAGTCTATTGAGAACTTAGTGTGGGAATAGAAAGAATCAAACTCCATCATCATTCAAATCATTTCTCACACCGCGCTCAAGCCGCCATCAAGGTTCAAAACGCAATTGTTCGCGTATTCATTCGTGGCAAGAAAGACTGCAGCATCAGCAACTTCTTCAGGATGGCCAAATCTGTTGATGGGGATCAGAGCTCGTAGAGCGTTGACTCTATCGTTGCTAAAATCTATAGTGTTTCATACAGATTTTTTTGTTTCACTCTTGTTTCAGCCCTTGTGTTTGCATTTTCAAAAAGAATAAAGAGGATTTAAGAAAATAGATTAACGCACCTTGAATCATCGGCGTATCTATGTATCCAGGTAGTATGGCATTGCATCTTAGCATCACATTACTCCCTTTCAACACGTCTCCGGCTTCGACGGCCATGGTCTTTGTTAACCCCAGTAGTCCGGCTTTTGAAGCTGCATATGTGACTGTCCCAGTCACTCCTTTTAATGCTAGTAATGAGGAGATGTTGATGATGCATTTTGATACCGGCGGAGAGTTGCCATTGCTTGTTTCCTTCGAGTTGACTGGGGCATTTTTCCTCTTCAGGCGTGCACGCATACACGCTTTTAGCATTGCTCGACAAGTGTATATTGAGCCTTCGAGATTTATCTTGAGCATTTGTGAAATGTTATCTGTCGATGTTCTGGAGAGCAGGTTCGGCATGGATATTCCCGCCGAGTTTATTAGAATGTCTACGTTTGCCTGGATAGACTATTAGCATAAACACGGAGACAATCTGGTTGTAGAAGAGAAAATACCATTTCTTTCTCGAGTTCGCTCATCCACTCATTGGCCACAGAGACATCCCCGACTACAAATCCGACTCTCGGATTTGCTTCCACCTCCCTATCATCCTCCGGCGCGCGCGTAGCAATTTCTCCGTCTCCGTTATAAGTTGCCTGACCAAGCATCGACTCAGACAAGCGCCTCGAGGCATCTTGAAGTTTTTCAAGTTGTCGCCCAACGAGAATTACCTTACTGGCGCCTTCTTGCAGGAAACGCTCGGCGATGGCATAGCCGATGCCGGAAGAGCCTCCTGTTATCATGGCCGTACGGCCATGAAGGTGGCTTCTTTGTAGATATTTGTTTTTTGAATTTGACGAGTATCTTGCTTTCAGAGTGTGTGAGATCCTGTTTGCTGGATGGAATGTCGCTGTATGAGAGTGAGAACTTATATAGAACAGAGAGTGCCTGATGCCAAAGCAGTGGACAGTTCTTAGTTTGCGCATTGTGATTATTGCTTGTCTGTGCTTTTCCCCCTTCCTGTATCAGTGTGTATAGAAATAAGTCAAAAAAAGCTCATCACTGGCATGGTGAAGTGAAGCAGAGGAAGCTTGAGCACGGGCCAGCAGCTTCCCTTCCTGATTAGCGCGCAATCTTGCATCTTCCCATAAAACCATCTGAACTTTTCATCCATCTTCACGCTTTTGATATTGACACTCACCAGTTTATACTAAGGCTATTCAGGCTGTTAACAATGGCAAATCCTTCGCCTGCCACTCACGACTTTGTCACACTTGTCTCTAGCGATGGCTTTGAGTTTGTCATCCCCCGCAGCACAGCCTGTGTCTCTGGCACGATACGTCGCATGCTAGACTCTAGCAGTATGAGTCCGATTCATCTGATCTTTGCTTCTCTAATAGTAACATCTCTCTGTCTAGGTAAATTCTCTGAGGCAATCACAGGTCGCTGTGTTTTTGAAGATATCAAGTTCGTCGTCCCTGCAAAGCAGCGATAATTGAACTAAGGCTTGAACGAAATATCCCAACTAACGAGCAAATTCTGCCTTCTACAGTAGCGCTGTCCTCGAAAAAGTCTGCGAATATTTCTGCTACAACGAAAAGAATCAAGACCAGAGCAATGTCCCCGATATGGATATCTCTCCCGAACTGTGTCTGGAGTTATTGAATGCGGCAGATTATTTAGATGCCTAGTTGAGATTTCGTTTATTAAGCCGGCTCTCTTTGTCACCCTACGATAACTCTTAGAGCGAAGGCGTTAGGCTATGATTTTACGGTGTTTTACGATATTCAACGATTTCCATTTTGGTGGTCTTCTGTTCTTTTGGAGTTCCATGTGGATCGGGGGTTAAGGAATTAGCAACTGGGAATAGGAACTAGGGCAGGGATTCATAGTTTTGTCATATTCATTCAGCTGCTTCTGTCATACCGCTTGCACTTTTCGACTGGCTCGTCGTTCTTTTCCATACCGCCATCCGAAGCATCGTCGTCCTGTCTCATCTTCCCATAGACGGACGACCTAAAGACGGTGGCAGATCAATACCTACCTACCTTCATTGGACCAAGTTCACCATTGGTCAATGCGGTCCTTGCGGTTGGCTTCCCTTCTATTCAGCCTCAGTCCTCTCTTCTGGGCTCGCAGGCCTTATTCCTGGGGAAACAAAATCTGTAAGGAACTCTCGTAGGTCCGGGAAACGGATCGAAAGCCTTTTTCAACATAGATAAAATGTTGGCTGACGCATGCACGAACCATCTTACATAACATCTTACTACCGACCCCTGCCCCTGTTATTCTTTGAAAAACCGCCCGTCTTCGGCCCCCTCGGCGGTCCTTGTGTCTCAAATATCTTCTCTTTCGAGAACCCAGCGTCGCCAAAACGGAGATAACTGACCACGCCCTGGTCAACAATAGCAAGAATCGCGCTGCGATATCCCTGGCGTAGACGTGCGTAGAGGTGACGCTCCATCTTCTCACCCTTGGGTGGATCATATGGGCTTGTCGCAAGGAGTGCTCGAATCTGCCGGAGCGTGGGAATAGACGTCTGAATGCGTGCGTCGACTACTGCGATGCGAAAATCTGGCGCTGGAGGAGCGGACTTTTTGAACGGGGTGTTCGGCTTGTAAACATGATATACGAACTGGAAGGGGGCTTCTGTTTGTTTCCTAGAAGGTCTTTTGACTGCTGCGTCTTCGGTGGGAATCAAGGCCAGCTTGCGAAAGACGGCATCTATGGTTCTTTTTTAGTATATATAGAAAGTATATCTTTCTCAATGCACTCACTGTAAGTTCGAGGAGCCCGAAATCCAATCAAGGGGCCCTGCGCTGAGTAGTCCGACTCCCAAATGTTGGGAATGGAATTGTAAAATCGACTCCAGCAATTCGAGATGCCCTTGGCATATGAGACAATCCTACTTTCACCATCCGGCTCAGTCTCCGGCTCATCCTGAGCGCCGTACCACGCAGGAGCACGCCTCAATGTGTATCCCAGTCGTTTCAAGCCAGTGTAGACGATATATCTTTCCAAGGTCAGCCCCCCGCGACCCATCAAACAGGCATACGCCGCTTGCAAGCTCATCGGTATATCCATCTCTTCGGCATCCGTCTCCGTTTGAACAGTGCCTGTAATCGAAGCGGGCCACCTGATATCAAGGGTGCCTCTTTCAAGGAGATAGAGCGCCTCTTCCGGCAGAAGCCATGTGCGATTCCAACGATCCGTCTTGCCGACTGTTTTGAAAAATGGTCCCTTCGAATTGGTAACATGAACACATGCATCGGACGGAATGCCGCTCATTGGATCTTTGACAACCGGCTTCGGCTTTGCAGGTGTTTTCCCATCTTCCTCCGCCGCCACTTCTTGATTCGTATCAGTGACAAGCGGCGTTGGTCCTTCCGGGCAATAAATGCCAACGATGCGATTCTTAGACGACCCTAAGCGCGGATGTGATATTGCATTGTGCATTGCATTTCGCGACGTGGCTAGTGTATCTGACTGTAAGATGGTGGGATTGGGCTCAAAGTCCTTTTCACCGCGGCGAGGGATGGTGACTTGCGAAGGGTCGGTGACGCTGTGCGGAAACCCCCAAATCATCGGCGGGTTAGCAAGTCATTCAATGAGATCTAGTATAATATCTTTCATGTACTTACAGGCTGACAGTGTTCAGAAACCGAAAGTCCTGCACTTCATCTGAAAGATCGATCTCGGCCTGCGGCGCAGAGACGGTAGAGGTAGGGTGAAAGACGACATCCTCGTCGGCATCGGCCATGGCCAGCGTAGTTACCGATATATCTATCTTTTTTTTTTGTAAAAGAAAAGAAAAATGTTGAGTAAACTTCGAGATTGACGCCGGCGTACTGTGCAGTGGAGGTATAACAGAAGTGTGAAGATTTCAATGAGAGCTTTCGGCCTTATCCAAAAATCCTTATCGACCTTCGCCGGCCCCACCAAAACTGTAGTTACATCCAGCGACAACCACATAGCACCTAGCTAGGTATTGATGGAACATACCTAGTTATATATCTTCAATATTCTATACCTAGGTCTCTCAATATGTCCATTCCAGCTACTGAGACAAACTACAACGATCTACTTCTTCAAGTCAGTCTCTCTCCCCTCTCTGTCTATATCCCTATAACTCATTTATGTATATAGATATCAACAAACCTCCGAAACACGTTGAATACATTCGGAGCCTCGTCGCATCAGTACCAAGCGGTTCTGCAATCCCTCAAAGATCTTCTTCAACGTATAGAGCAAGGCAATGCGCTGCCGGTCAAACCTCCGCCCCCTGACCCCGATATGTTGAGTCAGGCAATGGAGTTTCTCAACTTGGAAGAATAGAGATTAGATTTGTACGCAGTGCTTTGGGAAGGAAATTTGAACATTTGTAGGATCCTTATTTATAGCCTTTGTTCTCCGTTTCTCTTTTCACGTTTCAAGATATATACCCAAATATCAACTGGTTATGTCAAATCAAGAATCTCGAGTCAGGTGTATATTTATGCCGGTACCAGAGATCTCGACGAATTGCTTCTCGCTTCAATAAAAGTCATTTCCCATCCTCTCCTTCTATCAAATTGGGCGTATTAGGGATACTGAAACATCATATCAACGCCGTTTAAGAAACTTTGATGCCTCAACTCCGATCCATGCTTGTTTGTTTCCGCCAAAACCTATGAATTAGAAAAAAGAGAGAGAGAGAGAGAGAGAGAGAGAGTATGTCGCGTCGTCCTGCCGTCGTTCGCTAACGCTAACTGGTTTATTATATTCAGAACCAGAATGCGGTGTCCGTCAAGGAGGCGATATTATCATTGCCTCATATCGCATTAGAAAGTATGTGCGTTTTCAAGTGTGTGGTCAGCGAGATACCGGTGAAAACCGTGCTGCTCCCGGATTATAACAATAGCTAATTTGGATTAGCCGAAGCTGGCATGCCGCGTTGACTATTTTCTCAAACGTGCTTGCTAGCAAGTTCCATGATCTCCGCCATGCTTTTCAAGGATTGCCAGCCATTGGACAGTGTCCAGTAATTCAGTCAATCAAAGGCTTCTTCTGTTTCCCAACTATGGCCACTCCAAGTGCAGCTAGTGCATTGTGATCGTGGAATCGAATTATCGTCGGGTGCGGCAACATCGGATTCTCCGGGTTGATCAAGGCAGCATCACGAGCACATTGCTCTATTGCTTCCATTTCTTCTTTGCACCCGGCATGGTCAATCGGACATACCACGATAGGTTGTCGAATGATGATATCTCTTGCAGAGATTAAGTGCGCCTAGGATTAACACTGTGAGCAACGAAACTTTCTCCTGTGTCAGCTAGGGGATAACAAGTCATATACCTTCACAGTGAGATAGTACTCAATCTTATACAAACTGGCGGTAGTCGTAAATCCACCCACTGCATAAGCTGGAAACGCAGCTTTCCCTCGCGGTAAGATTCCGTCTGCATCCCGAAGGTCTTTTGCAGGGAATACTAGTCCCAAATTTGCTGCCCAACCTACATCGGGGAGTCTCATACCAACTGTTTCGGTTTTCTTAATGATGGTTTTCACTTTACGTTGAGGTTCGTCTCCCTCGTGGTTGTATATTATCTCCTCGTCAATTCCGATGGTGATTTTGTTGATGGTAACTTTCCTGGCTTTTCCTAGCCAATCCGGATTCGGTGACAGCCTGACGTATACACTCACGGGGTCGAGAGGACCATAAGATCCCCGTGGAAGTGAAATACCGAGCGTCACTAGATGATCTGTCACCTTCTCTGCGGTCTCTGGTCTATTGTACATTCCAAATGTTGAAAGCGTATCGTACCGGCACACGGGAACCGGAAAGGCGTATTTTCGTTGTTCTGACGGGCCCTGTTGTACCGTTACAACAATCTCATAAAATGTTTCTGCTGTTCGACTGGGGAGCTGTAAACTGGCTGCAGGGATTCGCCGAGATGCCTCTTGAGCCCCTCGTCCAAATGGAATGAACAAAACAAAGGGAAGGTCCATTGAAATCACTTCCTCATAATCTCGTCCAGCGGGGCACCGAAACAGGAGCATTTCCTTCCCAACCAACTCCGTGACTTCTTTTCGAGGGGGTGCGAGGTGTTTCTTCGTAACAGAGTCTGCGGAAGGGTGGATGGTTTCCTTGCGTTGAAGACATACGGTAACAAGCGAGATGTTGACAGGGGCGGTGATGCCAACACTAGGACGTATCTCGACTCGGCCCTCAACTCGAGGCTAGGTAGTGTTCAGTCTACTGCATGTACAGTACGTAGTAGGAAACGTGTAGAGCTACTTACCAGCGTCGCAGATATTCCAGGATAGCCGATGAGAAAATTACCATTGGGCGGTCCGGACACTCGCACGAATGCGGCCATGTTCAAGGAGCGTTGACCGGGCCACCATGGGCGAGCGCCGGTTCAAGGATAAGCGCGACAGACTTTATGTCCAGCAGACGAGCAATCGCAAATCTCGCGTATGGATAGAATTGTTGCATAAGTTGCGAGGAGACGGGATGAAATCGCACTGCGGCTGTGAGGCTGGCTCTGAAGCTTGTATGGGAACAGCTTTCCCTTCCTGCTTGATGCGAGTACAGTGCGGGCAGGCTGGCGGCTATGCTGATGGGAGAGATTTCGAGTAAGCGTCCACTGATCTGACCGGCGTCATGCACATCTCTTCTGAAATGACACCAGCCCGAGGTGCGAAAGAAGGTGGACTAAGCTGAGCCGGCTCGGTTGCCCAGTTCTTCGCAGGACCAAGTAAGTGGCTTGGTGATGTTGGAAAGTGTGGAGTAATCTTAGAGTCTTAGCCGCCTGAGGATGCCTGCCTGCATGTGGCCTGTGAACTTTCAATCTGGACTAGCAACGCCCGTCAGCTGAGGATCCAGGCTGTGTTGAATGTCGATAATCACAACGTAGAAAAGTATGTACTATGTATGTATCGCGTAGTTCGAGGTGGCTTTCGATCGTCCTTGGACAGTTAGTTACTTTGTATGGCTTCCTGCCTCAGGCGCGCGCTTTCCTCACGGTCCAAAAAAGTGGAGCCATGCAGAGTGCTCTTTTCTCTTTGGGACTTCGTCAATCACCACCGACTTTTTCTTCCCCCACCCCCCGGCGATATTCTTGACAGGGAGTCGACCATCATGTCTGTTACTGTACGAGCTTTCTTCTAGTCTGTTCCGCAATTGCATACTGACTACGCGCCTAGCTACACACCACCCATGGCGACCTAAAGGTCGAAATATTCTGCGAGACTGTCCCTCAGACCGCCGAGGTGTGTTGCCTTGAAACCGAGTAACTATGCAAATGTCGCAATCGCTCACTAGGGGTTCTCTCTAGAATTTCCTCGCATTATGTGCATCTGGTGCATATGACAACACGCCGTTTCATCGCTTCATGCCGGGATTCATGATACAAGGGGGCGACATCTCGCTCAGTCCCGCAGCCACATCTGCAAGCCATCCCATTCTCCCATTTGACGATATCCCCAAGGGCGGCACATCGATAAACCACCCTTCTGCTCTGAACCAAGAAATTCACGTCCCGGCCCTTCGACATAATGCGCGCGGTGTCTTGTCAATGGCTTCAAGACCAGTGAAAGACCGCACAGCGCCCGGCATGCAAAACGCCGCTGGGCCCACCGTTAATGGAAGTCAATTCTTCATCACGTTTGCCCCAGCGCCGCATCTTGATGGCGAGAGTACGGTTTTCGGGAAAGTGCTGAATCTGACGGCGCAGGATGAAGGCGGTGATATATTAGGAAAATTGGAGCGGGCGAATGCGAAAGTGGACAAGAAAGGCCGTGTCGTACAGCCTAAAGAAGGTCAAGAAATTGAAGGAGAATGGGAGGCTTTGAGGATAAATTCAGTCACGATACACGCCAATCCATTTGCGAAGTGAGTGAGCCTAGACGTTGTTTCGACGTTGTCAAATCTGCATCTCCAGGATGGGAAAGGGAAACCCACTTTATAGCACGACACATGAACGAAGGCCTGTTTGTGTGAAGAACACATTTTCCGACGGGTCCTAAACAGCGCTTCGTAAGGAATAGCCACCGTCGCCGTTGCAGCAATACCTTCCTTCGGTACTAAAGACTCCGAAAGCTGCCGTCAAATGCTACGCATACATACATTGATCAGTGCGGCATTGGAATGAGCTGTGCACGAATAGAAAGTTGATCGTCCCCAGAAGCCTTTTTTATACCAATTGGGTCATGTTCAGTAATTGTATTTACATCAGACAGGTAGACTCTGATCAACACCTATCTGTTCCTGATATCATAATGCATCATGACGAAAATGCTTATTACAAGACACTCTGCAAACATAGCTTACTTCAAATTAAAAGAACAAACAACACGCCATCTCATGCTTTTCGAACAGACTCCGTCTCGCGCCCTGAAAGAAGCACCACCAAGAAGAAGAGAAGTTATATACGATTTATTCCGTGGCTTCCTCCTTTTCGGCATTCTCATCGTCTTTCTCATACCCCTCAGTCTTCATGTCCCTCAAGCCAAGATCCTCCTCTTCCTCTTCGGTACGTGTGTATTCCTCCTCGTGGAGCTGAGGATCGGGGTCCGGCAGATGCAAGTTCTGCACATAACTGTTGGCCAGAGGGTCCTCGAGTGTAATAACAAATTTGAATTCGCCCTTGATTGCAGAGTCCAATCGGTCGAAGAAACGCGTCCATGTCTCTTTATCCGAGGATGAGAGCGAATCTCCGGCGCCAGTGTCTCCTACATCAAAGATCTGGCCATGCAACTGATCGCGAACCTCGGTCAAAAGACCCTCGACAGTGGTGAATCGACCACCGAGTGTCCCAGGTTGCACAGACATCTCCAGTTCGTGGCTATACAACGCACATGTATCCGACTTTAGAATATCTCGTGATAGGTCCTCGGTGGATTCCACTTTGAGAACCAGCCGTTTGCCCTTTTCTGGCACTTCACCGCCAGTTTTGACTTCGTTTGTTTTGTATCCGCAATGGTCACAAATGGTGGCCCAGATGAAGACTTCCTTGAAATAAGGAATGCTGACTTTCTGCATGTTCACAACGCATGATTTCGCGCATCCAGGGCACTCCGCAGGGAGAGTATAGACTTGTCCATCGATAATATCGAGATCTTCGGGATTACCGGCACTCTGAACCATGTTCTGGGCTTCGGTCTTCTGTGCATCTGGGTCTGCTGCAATGCCAAGCTCCTCGTTTTGTTCATGAGATCGGGGGTAATCCCGACGCTTGTACTTGTTGCCAGTGTCGTGTGCGGTAGGGGCAATGTATGAATTGCCTGTCATATCATCGAGCGAAATGGTGAATGGGAAAGCCTCTCGCTTTAGCATCAGGGCGATCTTGCCAATAATAACCTCCAGGGCGTTATAGAGTTCTGGCGCTTGTGTTTTTCTTAAGTCCTGCTCGCTCTCTAGGGTAGAGTGGATCTTTTGAAGCACGCCTTCCACATTGGTAAGCTGGCTTTCTCCCTTTGGCATTTCAATCTCGAGCGTCTCTAGCTTGAAGATAGCAGTGTCGCTCTTGATAACCTGTCGCTGAAGATCCTCCTCATTTTCCACCACCAGCGTATATTTGGTGCCGAAGACTTGAATTTGAGACGCCGACTTCACGGAATTGTCTTTGAAATAGCAATGCGGACATTCGAAAGACTCCAAGATGATATCGTGGAAAAATGCGACACGGAGAAGCAAAAGTCGAGTAGTACCCTACTAACATTAGCAGTTGCTACAACCTAAAGTAAGAGGGCAAACATACGTTTTCGTGGCAGTTCATGCAAAGACTTTCAACCTCAACAACACCATTGTCATCTTCGCCCTCGACCACATCCCCAAGCTTTTGGAATTGGGATTCGTTTCCCTCCTTCTTCTGGGTCATTGAATCAAGCATGCGATCCATCTGCTCGGCTGGGCCTGCGGCGGCGGCAGCCGTGGCGGTGTTGTCCTCTTTGGACATTGTAGCAAGTATTCTGTGAACAGAGGAGTGAAAATGACGTTGAGAAGAAGAGGTTGCAGTCAGAAAAAAAAAAAAAAAAAAAAAGGCTCTAGCGGCGAATAGAAGATTCGCCGTGGTTCGCTGCGGCTGCCCTTGGCGGGGTAGGCCTCTGATTGAATGCCTGCATTTTGAGGAACCCCGCCTTGCCTTCTGGCTAGATCCATCTGTATGGAATCAAATCAAACATGCTCACTGTCAGGGACTTGTGCCTACCAGGCTCCGGCTCTCTTATATACTTCAAGTAATAACCTTGACTTATTTATTATATAACAAGCAAGCTCTTTCGTGTATTATTACTCTTCAAACCACGCAAAATGGCTGCCATGTCAGCGTAAGCTGCACCTACACTATATACAAGCAAGCTCTTCAAACCAAGCAAAATGGCTGAGCCAGCTAATTTTACTATATCGGAGTGAGTTGCCTAGGTAATACCAATAAAACGACTGCTTAGATTGCTTAACAGTGTCGCACTTCCATACTATGTTCTATCTAATTCCATAAGGAGTAGAATCCTCCATGCTCATCCTTTACAATACATCATGTAGCAGGGCAGCGTAGCGCGGCCTCAGGCACCTACGGGGGCCGCGACATAAATTACTCGAATGTACCGATAAAAACTTCATCATATAAGACGTTTACTAAATGTATTAATGAAAATGAAATCATTATTCAAATCATGTATAAATGTAACTGTTGGAAATGCTCTTGATTCTTACTATTTGAATCTTTCAAGTTCAGCCACTCTACCACCTCTTTTATGCTGTCAGTCCTGCAGATTTTATAGTTAATGCTTATCTTATTCTTATAGGATAACTATATAACCAAACTCTTTTGGGTGTTACTACCCATTTACCCTTCAAATCACACAAGAATTAATGTCAACAATGCTTTGAAAAGACGAGAACTCATCAATGTTATAGCGATGATAGCGATCTTTTTGCTTGTTCACTGCTATCGGGATCGAAAATAGGACCAACAAAGGCATTGAAGTAAATGCTGCTTCTCATACCAGCGATGTGAAAACCCTAGCATCAGGTTTAGAGGACTACCTATGGTATCCTACTCCATTGCTTTTTATGTAGTTGCCCTCTGGTGAGGCAACATTTTCCGCATAGCGAAATCAATACTACCACTTATCAAGTAAAAACTAAATGGCATGTTTTATTATAACCCAAGCTTTCGCCTAGACAAGGAAAAATCACTAATAATATGCAGGCTCTTGCAGAAAACAAAAATTTCGCGCTTTTCTCGGTCGCTCAGTTTATCCGACGCGCGTAAGGCAACAAGGCATTCAACAAATTTTACACTAGCAGACAGCGTCACTGTTGCAAGAAGTCAAAGAGATCCAAAGACGATGCCGATGGCTTCGACTCTTGTGCGCGCTGCTTGGACGCTAACAGAGCTTGAAGCCCCCCTTGTTTTCTTGCCTTGGCTCTCTTTTTGCTGCTTGCATTTTCCAACGTAGTCCTGGAGGAGACCTCAGATGTAGAAGAAGATATAGTTGAAGAGCCCAATAACGACGTAGATGCATCAACACTTGAAGCAGCTTGTGAGGCTATCGAAACGCCACTCGTTTGATGCGGTTGTACTCGAGTTTGAGCTCGTCGATCTTGTATAGTTCGCCGGGAACAGCGCAGGCACTTTAATACAAACGCCCCGTTTGAAGCGCCTTTCAACGACAGACGAGTCTTCTCCTTGCGATTTCTTTGTTTGAGTTTCACGACTTTTGTGTGACTTGGCTTTCTGGGAGAACCGCATGCACCGCACCAGGACTTGTGCTGTCGGGCTTTTATTGTCTTTGAATTTTCATGGAGTATGTGGTTGTGCAGTGCCATCAAATGCGCAGCAGTGGCGGTGCTTTGAGTCCTCAGCAGACTCGCAGAGTCCTGTAGAAATTTGAGCCGTAACGAAGACTCGTGTGAAGCCATTATTGTGAGATGTCGTTCTGACAGAGAGTGTTGAAGGACGCTTGCCGGGAGTGAGAGAGAGCAAACCGACTGCCGGCAGGCACTTGACCAACGACTTGCCGCTCACCTCACCTCACTTCACTCTCTCGCACCTCTTCTCTGCGCAGAGGACTCGCACCTTCCAACTCACCACAACCCTTTTCTGAACCTCTCCATTATTTCATTAGTAACACACGTCGACTGCACATCTTGAATTCATTTCCCTTCGCATTCGGTGGTACGAACTCAAAAGCTGGCTCTATTCTTCTGCTGACTTTGACAAAGCGTACTCTCATCACATCTTCTTCTCAGGCAATGTCTCAAGGCACACCACCGCCAGGTGGCGGGGTGCGAATTGCACTCGAAGGCTGTGTAAGTCTGGAAAAATCGTTCTCGAGAATTCCAAAAATTAATGCATCAAAAGGGACATGGCAAACTGCACGATATTTATTCCAAAGTCTCTGAGAGCGCAGCCGCCAAGGGGTGGACAGGCGTTGATCTTGTCATCATCGGAGGTGATTTTCAGGTAAGGCCTTCATTTGCTCTTCACAAAATGCCCTTGTACTCACGGACTCTAGTCTGTACGCAATACTCATGACCTCAGTGGTATGTCTGTGCCGGTGAGGTACCGCGAAATCGGCGACTTCCATGAGTACTACAGTGGCAAGCGCATTGCTCCGTATCTTACCATCTTCATTGGAGGCAATCACGAGGCCAGCAACTACCTCTTCGAACTCTATTACGGTGGCTGGGTGGCTCCCAATATTTACTACCTGGGCGCCGCCAATGTTCTCCGCTTTGGACCATTACGAATTGCAGGCCTTTCTGGAATTTGGAAGGGCTACGACTATCATAAGCCGCATTTTGAACGTCTGCCCTACAATGCAGATGACGTCAAGTCTATCTATCATACCAGAGAACTGGATGTACGCAAGCTCATGCAAGTTCGCACCCAAGTTGACATAGGCCTATCACACGACTGGCCGAAAGGCATTGAGCGGCACGGTGATTATGAACGTCTTTTCAGAATCAAGCGGGGTTTCCGAGAAGACTCAGAGGCTGGAAAGTTGGGAAGCACAGCTGCCAAGTATGTTTTGGACAGGCTGCGTCCACCGTACTGGTTTTCGGCTCATCTACACGCCCGATACCCTGCTCTTGTTCTACACGGTGATTACATACACCCAAAGAAACCACCCATGGCAAACAAACGACATCACCGCTTTCCCCAAGGTTTAGATGGGCCGTCAGATTTAACCCCTTCATTTGAAACACCAAACACAAACTTCGTACCGCAAGAGAAAACTTCTCCAGACAACCTTATGGCATGGAACAATTTTGCAAATATTGCCGCGAAACAAGATGCCGAAGAGAATGAGAAGTTTCTTCAAGAGCGATCTCAACCAGGAGAAAATCATTCGCTTGATCTGGACGCGATCTCATGCACTTGGCGGCAAATTCAAGCAGACGACCCTAACAGAAAAGTGATTACCGTTGAGAAGAACAATCCTGTTGAAGAAGGCGCCATCGTTAAGAATAGTGATGAGATTGATCTTGACTTAGACAGTGAAGATGAAGGGACTAATGTCAAGATGGACGTCGATTCTGGGGCGAAAGCAGAGACAACAAATGCTAGCCAGTTGCGTCAGACTAATGAACCCCGGAAAACTTCATTAACGGAAGATCCTGAGGGTGTTTCTGAGAGTGTTCGTGAACAATTGCCTGAAGGATTCAAACGCCAACAACCCGAACCCGCCGTTTACGGTCCACTTCCTGAAGCAATTTCAAACACCAAGACACAATTTTTAGCTTTGGGCAAGTGCGAAGAACATCGTGACTGCAGTGACTATCTTGAGCTCATGGAAATATTCCCAAACTCGGAAGAAGCTGCCAACATTCAGCGCCCTTATGAGCTGCAATACGACAAGGAATGGCTTGCGCTCTCTCGTGCATTAGAGCATAACCTTGTGATTGGCGATCCTACGAGCCAAGTCCCCTCAGACCCGGGTGATGAGAAATATAAAGTCGACATTGAAGCGGAAGAAGCCTGGGTCCAGGAACATATCGTTGCCAAGGGCAAGATGACCATTCCGCAAAACTTTGAGATTACTGCTCCAGTATACGACCCAGAAGTCCCAATTGATACTACGGATATGCCTCCCGAGTATAATAATCCCCAAACGGCTGCTTTTTGTGAGTTGTTATGCATAGAGAACAAATTCTACCTTTCCGCAATTGAACGTGAGCAACGTATCATTGCAGGGCCTCGACCAGTGAATAATATGCGTTCATCAAACAGCCATGGACGATGGTCACATCGAGGACGGGATACCTCCAGGCGTGGCGGTAGAGGCGGTAGAGGTGGAGGCCGTGGACGGGGAGGAGCCTTTCGACACGGTCAAAATAGGCCATTTTAAAACTTCGTTTTCTCAAAGCTGGTCTTCTCCCGTGCTCTAAACTGTGAGTATGTGGCTGAAGGCTTGAACGTTGCTATGTTAATCAAAGGTTTGTTCAAGCTTTAAAATTCATGAAAGTGGAGAAAAAAAAGTTATTTACCCTCATGATGTGTACGATAGCGTATCTAGTTGTATGAAAGACTTTTTATGACATAGAATTGCCAATGTATGTATCATCAGAAATGAAAAAAAGCATTTAGCTACAACTCGCCCCCATCCATCACTATCAAAGACGCCCAATACATTTTGTTAGTCACTACCTAACTCAAGCCTTTTGATCGCCTCTCTACAAAGGATCTTGGCACTTCTCTAGCCAACGACATACAGCGTGCCCGCAGACTAGGAACGAGGATTTCACAAAAACCCTCGCTTTAAATATTCACTCAATCTCTTCTATTCTTGGCCGGTTTGTAGAACTGCGCGTAGCCAATGGGTTAAGATCCAATCCAGCAATCCTATCACCAAGTTGCAGTCTTGGTTCATCGTCGCTTAACATCGATGACTGCGCATTAATGCCCCATAACAGGGACTTCTCCATCCACGTCTCGAGATTCTCCATCAACACTCTGATATGCCCCCGTACAAGAGCATCTGTCTCCTGGCTATCCACATAGGACAACGTGTTTAATGTAGTCGGAATGCTGCCGATTGTCGTAGGGCCGCGTGAGGAAATGGAGTCACCTGAAGAATCTGCTATCAGAGAGAAGCCAAACCCAATTTTCTTTGAGCCACTCTGCAGTTCCGAGTCCATAGCTTTGACAAGGTCGAGTAGAAGAACGGCGCTGGCGCGACGTAAGATGGCGCTTTCAGGACTCTTCTCGAGCCTCAAGGTCGAGAGAGCAAGATCAACAGCGGAAGATGCTAGAGAAGGACCCAAGCCGGCCAAGTTCGTTTGGATAGCGCTTGCTAATATGGATATTGCTGAAGCCCTGACTCGGATATCATCTGGCTCAACGTCTGACGCGGCACCAGCAGCCCAGGCGGATAGGATGTTGGCCGAAATAGCCGCTTGTTCCGGGGTTTCGGCATCAGGGTCCTCGTTGTTAGGAAGCAATGTATCGATTTCTTCTGTATCAGGCAATGCCGGCGATGAGACTTTCCAGCCAGACGGCAGATTGATACCTTTCTCTCTTTCTTTGCGCTCGTTGTCCCTTTTCTCTTTTTCGACCTGCTCCCTCCGAGCTTTCTGGGTTTCGGGTTTATTCCCGCGTCGTCCAGCCACGGCTATCATGCTTTCCCCAATAATACGCATGACCTCACCAGTCAGCGCTTCTCCTAGATCTTCCACTGTTCGGAGTAATGACTCGCCGATTTTCAGTCGTTGGTCCAATGTCCTTTCTTCGTTTCTATCGGCGTATTGATCGACAAGCGTTTTCACAACGGTGCGCGGGTGGTTTGATGCTAATTGGCCTATGAGTTTTATTGCATTCAGATAAATAAACTCTTCATTTGCAGCAGTCTCCGAGCTCTGTCCAAGTATAATCGACAGTAGCAGCGTCATGGTGGATGGTATGTCGAGTACAGGCGAGGAGTTAGATATCAGTTTCGAAAGTAGCGAAAGTCCCTCCGCTTGCACTGGTGGAAGGGGAGATGTAATATCCTTCAAGGCTTGTCGGTGCGTCTCGAGATCTGCAGCTTGTGGGGATTTCAACTCATCTGTTTGTTGCGTGCCGTCGGGTGATTTGATCTGAATTTCGAGCAGCATTGAGGCGGTAAAAGCTGGGTTGGATAGAGCGGGTGGAAGGTTAGGTCGTAGTTTATCTAACTGTGACTTGATTTCGTCAAGCTTTGGGAGAAGTGTCTGTGTCATGGGAAACTCGGGGGAGGCTAAAATTGTAGATAGAAGACTGAAAGTGGTTGATAATGTTTCCGATGTATTCTGTTGATCGTCGTGCGCAGTGGTTTCGTTCTCAACCGGTCTTGCAATATTGGCTAGAGACTCTAGAGACGCTCGTCCTCTCTCGCGTGCTTTTCTTCTCCGTTCCCTCTCATCCACTGCTTTCAGCTCGCTTTCAATAATGTGCTGTGCAAGTTCTAGGATTTTCAACGGGCGTCTGGATAGAGTATCCTTGAAATCACTGAGAAGTCTTTCTGCTATTTTGGCACTGACAACTTTTGCCACGATGGCGTTTGAATCTGTACTAGGGTCGTAGTTTAACTTATCTAGGAGCGTTGGAGCCATCGGTGTTTGTCTTGATGTATCGACAAGCCACCTCTCGCTGACATGCAGGAAAACGTCTGCTGTCCGGTCCTCGCTTTGAGGATCACAGCCAAGCAGCTTGGAGAAATTGTCTGCACGCGAGTCGAGTGTATCCAACATTCGAACTATATCGACGTCGGAATTGCTACGTTTGACAATAGTCACGCCGCCATCTTGGCTTTCCTGAAACGTCCAATTGGCACCTCCATCCCAGAGAAGATTGTCTGCCAGTTTCAGAAAAGGCGGGAATCCTGGTGATAAAGTGAAAAATGTCTGCAACAGTGCCCAACTTCTTTCATGCCAGGCCCCTTTACCCTTCTGGGCCTGAGTACAACACGTTAATCCCCACAATGGAAGTAATATCGGCTGCACCAATCGTTTGACGAGTCCTGGGTTAGGATGTTGCAGGGCTATGACGCTCAGTCTTTCGAGAGCCAATAGAAGTGTTGGCTCATCGACCAAGACATCCTTCGGAATAGTTTGTGGAGTTGGTTGCGCCGCGGCCTGGCTTACGGGGTTGAATGACTTAAGCCATTTCCCGGAATTTGGATCAATCGTTGCAGTAATTGCCTTGAATAAAGGCTCTACGAAGATAGAATGCCCTATCGTGCCTGGTGCACCGTATGCCCTTTTCCCCAAAATCCCGCTGCCTACCACATATGCTGCGGTCCGTCTGAGATCAGGCTCATCGCTGTCAATCAAGGCTAGCAATTTTGGAGCGATGTTCTCGAAGTATGGCGTAGACTCCATATCTTGGGGGACAGAAGATAGCAATTTGGAGATTTGCATGATGGCTTGAACAGTAATCGGCGGTCCATTAGGCGAGGACTCGGAGACACCTTCCCCAAGAGCAGGGGCGAATTGAGATGCAAGAAACCATATGATATGAATAATACCATCGTCTCGTAAGGCAATTTTCGATACACGACTGGATATAATAGCTTTGAACCATGACGCTGCATCTGGCTGCAAGAAAGAGGAAAGCGTTGGTAGTAAACCGGAAGTGGGAGACCTATACACTATCTTAATAATTCTGCTCATTTGTGTGTACATACATCCAGATGGAGGAGAATACCCTGTGATTAATTTGTCTAGTACTTCCCGCACTGCAAGCCTTTCTTCGCTGGATATTTCTCGAGAATTGAATGCAAGATCTGCAGCAGCGCTGATAATATCGCTCAAAACTCGTCCCCGGACCATTGATTGGATTCCTTCACCACGCTCGTCGAGTAATACACCGGTCAGCGTGGTTAGGATACGGTATAGAAGTCTTTCATTCTGAGGTTTATCACTTGTCATCTCAGGTGCCTGTCTAGCTATTACGCCGGTGGGCAAGTTGGAGATCACCCTCTTTTCCAATGGTATCCCAACCCCTGAGGACAAACAAGGATATACACCTTCGATGGAAATCAAGTCCAGCAATGTATACACTACTCGACGCCTTTTCGCATCTTCTCGTGCATCTTCTGATTGGTGGAGCACCTCACTCCCAGGATCTACTGGGAGGATCAAGGCACTATGTATGTTTTGAAGACATTGCAGCGCTTTTTCTACAACCGCAAAGCGAGCCAGGGTGTCATCTGTAGACGAGGTTGGCAGGTTACGGCTAAGAATTTCGATCAGCGAGCCCCCGGGATTTTTGCGAAGTTCATCTTATAGTGAGGTCAGCTCCATACTAGTATTTACAAGGGAATCTTTCATATTTGCCTGCCTCGGTCTAGGATAGGATGTAAGAATTGATTGGCCGCATCGAAAGCAGCCTGGATCTGTATATTGTCTGCCATTTCGAGGACTTGGCATGCTGCATCATGTTATATCATATACGTGCCTGAACATCTTAAAAGTCGAATGTCTTCGAAGGCAAGTTCTCTGATGGGTTTTTTAACTTTGCCTCCACCAGCGGCAACGGATGACCTAAACTCAGCCTGCCTCGAGCGCACGTGACTACGCGTCAGCCGCGGCGCGTCACGGAAACAAGTCCAGCAGTCTTGTCAACGTCTTCTTTTATTCTTCTCCAACTCTCTTGGTTTCTCTAGCTGCCCTCAAGCTGCACCCTCGAAAAACAAAACGTTGTTCGCGTTACTTTACTTGATTGAATGAATACTCATTGTATATTGGCTTCTCTATTGGCTCTAAGCTACCTCGCATCCAACTCCTTGAACCTCGGTCACCTATCTGCATCGCTCACTTGGTCTTGTCCTTCGCTCTCTTGCCAGCAATGGCATTTTGTACGGTTTCATTCTCCGAATAGTTTCCCAATCTTCATCTCACGCTTTCAACGCCCCTTGATGAGGCTTGGTTTCTACTATGCTTACTGCCTGAAGTGCGAACCAAAGATGATTCAAGGTGGATGAAGATTGGAACTTAACCCTAAGAACTCAATCGGGTTTCAGTTTCGCGGTTTATGGTTATCGAACTCTCGACTAGCCGATTCTGACTTTGCGGTCTGGAATGGGTCAAAGAGAGTCGAGACTACGTCCAGACAATAGGTTGCGCCATACGTATTTCCAAGTTCCCAAAAGGGGCGCGTGTCGGTCTTCCTAGCCTGGTACAACCCGGATCGCAATGGAATGTTGGATATTCTGGCACAGTTGAGGGGAAAAGTGGGAGAGATCTGGAGGAACACTATGAGTTGTCTCTTCACTTGGCCGGCTCTTGGAAGGTGGACGAAGTACAAACTGCACTGCGTTGAGCACAGCGAATCGCCTACAAACAACTGAGAACTGCCTTTGTTTCTTTCTGAATCCACTCGTCGGAACCGATGGTGTTTCTCGTCCAATCCCCACTTGTCCGAGTGCGTCTTCGTAGCGAGGTTCAGAGAGTTCAAAGAAGGTTTTGGTTTTCCTTGCTCTGTGTATGCGTATATACTTGTGTATATGCTACCTGAGCTTTTTGGCTCGTTGTCTGGTCCAGTCGCGGCTATGTTGTCTTCGCTATACTAGCCTTCAAGGCAGTGTTTCATAACCCGGGAACTTTGGGAATTTCCGCCCCTTTTCTCGAACCCACCCTCTTTTTGGACCATTATTCAACCTTTGATTACGGCATCAGCCAACAATCAAGCTTCATAGAAGGTTCCGATCCGCCGCGTTAGCTATCTCTTCGCAAGTCCAGCTTGCGAATCGATTGATAGACACCGATATTAGTGGCAAGTTTTTAACAACTCGTCCAACCCCCTTCGACAGGCGATTTTTGAGGATGTCCTTTGTTCGCCCCACCAATACCCTCCGTGACCTTTGAGTCTGGGAGAGGAAACAAAGACCAGTCTCTGAGAATGCCGTATTACGCACAAGAGAGACGTATTCTGCTTTGCGGGGTATGAGGGCGTGACCATTTGACTGTGCAAGATCTGGACCGATGAGCTGCTTGCGAGACTTGGAAGATAGTCAATGCCAGGCAGGAAGTATGATTGAGCATGAAGTGCGCTACACATGTTGTTTCTAGTTGCGTTGCGGACTTGGAAGGGTATTGTTAGGTCTTGAGTAGCTCGTTCTCAGTCTGCCTCCCTTGTCAATGCTCTTGTGGATCGTTATCACGTAGCTCCCTAACAGCTTCGGTTGAAATATATGCTATCCATGGGGGCAATATGCGCATCGATCAATCATTAGCTCTCATGTTGGATATCGGTCGCGACTTTTGTTGATCAAATGGCAGGCCACCAGGGAAGGACCTCTCTAGAGTGAGGATCAAAGCTTGGGCTTGTCTGAACTGGGCAGCTCTGTCCATCGATCTCGAGGGTCGTAGTCGGCTGTCTGCATGAAAAGGTTGGTTAGCGTTCGGCGCATACTGTGCAGATCAATGCAGAGGCGTCTCTGGCGCTCTGAAGCGATCACCTATGAAGTCGAAGTATATGATATCGGCGTTAGAACGGACAGCTAGGGTGCGAGCCACGGACAAGAAGGGCTGCGGTGGAGGACCGCCGTTCTCTTCAGGGAGAACGGCTCCTTGATTTTTTATAAGTTGCCCTGACCGTTCTCTCTCACAAAGCTTGGCTAACTGCGTTGACAGGATGTTCAGGCCCAGACCCTCGTGTGCTCTTGTGCTAGATCGCAAGATCTCAGCATGTGCCTTGAGGTTGTTTGTATGTAGTTGGCTATTGTGTACATAAGGTCATGTGAACTCAGGCGTCCACTCTTGCCTTATGTCAGCCTTCAATCACTCGCGCCTTCCCAGACGCGTTGCTCTCCCCTTGGTTCTGCCCATTTCCTCTCGCCCCAACACTTCATCCCCTCTCGAGAACTGCATTGCTCCTCACACCCCATAGTTTATCTCTATTTTGACAGTTCGTGGCTCTTCAGTACTCAATTTTACTTCAAAACATCTTCAACATGCACTTCCTCTTGACCCTCCTCCTTTTATACGCTTCTGTGTCCCGTGCTCTCTACGTGCAGTTGTTGCCACATTTGCTGCCTGGGAGAAATCTGCAGCGAGACAATAGCACTTACAGAATCGCCCATGTAGAGGACATAAATGACAATGACGAAACATTCGCTTCCAACGCTCGCCCCGGTGAACGATGTGGCCCTGGTAAATCAAGGTGCCAAAGCCACCTCTGCTGCTCTCCAGCAGGTAATGTTCACAGCCTAGATCCACCCACCAATTATTCTAACCACCAATTATTCCAGGGTTTTGCGGCATAACAGCGGCACATTGCAATTCTCCGGATTGTCAACTTGGGTACGGCACTTGCGATGCTGATAAGACCCCCCAGGGCCCTCCCACGAAGCATATCATACGGCCAAGACTTGGCTCTGTCCCTTATGGTGAAGCCATCATGTCATGCAAAGCTTCATTGACATTCGCAATGACATTCGATGATGGCCCCAATGAATATACTAGCGATCTACTTGACATTCTTGACAAGTTCCAAGCAAAGGCAACGTTCTTCATTACTGGCGTCAACTCCGGGAAAGGTCAAATAGACGACTTCTCACGCCCTTGGGGCTCGTTGATCCAGCGCATGCACCGTGATGGCCACCAACTCGCCAGTCATACTTGGTCTCATCAAGACCTTAACAAAATTACACACAGACAACGTCGTGATCAGCTACTGAAAAATGAAGCTGCTCTTCGCAACATCATGGGTGGCATCCCAACTTACATGCGGCCTCCATACTCGAATTGTAACAAATCTTGCATGAAAGACATGGCAAAGCTGGGTTATCATGTCGTTTACTTTGATCTCGACACAGCTGATTATCTAAACGATAGCCCTGAAAAGATCCAAGTATCTAAAGCCATTGTCAATGACGCACTGTCAAACACGCAGAAATCAAACAACAAACCGTTTTTAGCCATTGGACATGATACACATGCCCAGACTGTTTACAACTTGACCGCTCATATCCTACAACGCGTGAATGAGACAGGCTACCGCGCTGTTACTGTCGGCGAATGCTTGAACGATCCTCGTGACAACTGGTATCGCTGGGATTATCGGAACAGCACATGAACACTTTACTAAAGGCTTTGCTTGCTTGCATCATGTACAGCATGTCAACGAGTTGTTGGGTAGTTGGCATTCTTTTCTTTTAGACGATTCTCCATTCTGGACGATATCAAGGCCGTTATTGTATATATTATCGTTCCACCGGCATTTTCTCCTTGTATACTTTTATTCCTGTCTCTTCATTGAAAGAGTTATTTTATTGCCTTACATGTTTGTCATTGCAAGAGACTGCATTAAGCTCATTCATTGATAAACACTCAAAGTCACCGTGCTCATATTGAAACAATCATCATACTCATTCCGTAAACATAAGGTAGTCATATCATAATAATATATACATAGATCAACCGCGATGAATATCGGAACTTATCATCGAATTATGCCACGAACTATTACTCTTGCTTACTTCTTTACCACTTTTAGCAATGGCGCAATCCTTGCCCGGCGACTCAAACCCACCCTGAAAGGAACCTTGCCTGTGCTGGATACAGGTGTTTGCTTTACTGGCTGCATTGCGCTAGCTATAGTAGGAGTCTCAACACCAGCTTCTTGGCCAATGTTCCCTTCGTTGCTTGCGGCATCTGCACTAGGACCAGTAGAAGAAGTGTCACGGCTTTTAGGCGTTTTGGGGATGTGTGTACTGTCTAGCCCGCTAGTCAGGCTGTCAGACTTCATCTCCATGTCATTGCCCTTCGCTTTGTCTTGTGGTGTTGATGGTGCATGTGGTATGTTAGAAATGTCCTGGAGAACACCTTGGCTTTCAGTGGAGGGAGCTGGTCCTTCGGTCGTCTCTTTTCTCTTACGGCCACGCTTTTTGGAAGCTTTGGGTTGTTCGTCGGTAAGTTGTCCGTCTTTCGTAGTATCAAGGTCCGTTGATTCCCTCTCTGAACGAGCGTAGAGTATAGGTTCATTCTCCATGGCCCCGGAATCTTGCACACACTCTACCGGGCGACTTTCTACCCAGATCACGTCACTTTCCGTTTGTAATTCACCAGGTTTGTTCGGTATGTCTGATGTTGTCTTGCTACGTTTGATTTTCTTCTTCGATGATTTTGAAACGCTGGGGCTCAGTGTTCGCTCGCTCGAGGTTTCTGTTACTCCGTCCTTGAAGGTATCAAGTGCGGTGTCATTTTCTTGCTTCTTTGGTCTGCCGGGTTTTTTCTTGATTGCCTGCTCGGAGACTTCGGCGGTGTCGTCTGGAGCAGTTTTGATTTCCGTATCTGCGGGATCCGTTGCTATTTGCTTTTTCGGACGCCCCCTTTTCTTCTTAGCGCCCAAGGCTTCGGTCTCTGTTTCGGATAACGGCTGTCTGGGATCGCTTTCCTGGATATAAGATTGTGGAATTGGCGCCGTTATCGTCTGTCCGTGTTCATATGGAGGATCTTCAGAGAATGGTATAGTAGGTGGAGGGGATTCAGCTGGTATCAGTAGGGAGTTAAGCACAGTCGTTGTTGCGCCATGGCTCTCATCAGTTGTCAGAGGCAGAAGAAGGGTTGTCGCTGCCTGAGATGTGTCACTCGGACCGGAAGATGCGAAGTAATTGTAGGATGAAGTTGTTTCTGTACTCTTTTCAAGTTCTTTGTGTGATGTTTCTTGAGAAGGCGAGATTCTCCGTCTTTTTGAAGGATGATCAGAGTAACCTGCGACCATGCCATATTCTGCGGCATCGGCTGTTGGTGGCAAGGCATTGTGGGTAGCATTGATGGTGCATGGAAGACTGTCGTCGCGTAATTGTTCTGTACGATCTTTTCCAACATGGACGACTATAAATTGGTCAATTCGTTAAATTTCAATGACGGGGTTTGGCAATAGTGTGCTAAACTGCCTACCATGAGCCGAGCTTGAATTCGCAGTCGACACCCATCTTTCATCCTCATAATCGCCCGCCATTATAGAAGACTCTGATCGCAAAAATCGATCAAAATCTACTTGAGGCAGGTCACTAGCTGAGAAAGGAATCGGAAAGTCCGGGTTGCTCTCATCAACGCGCGCCATTCCTGCGTCTGTTCGTCCGGGTGCAACTGACGGATCTTGGAGAGGGTCACAAGAGGATGCGACTTCGGATCGCACATCTCCACCCTCGTCGTCTGAATCTTGTATTATACGCTGAGAGGACATGATCGCTGCTCAGTGACTAAAGCAAAGGTAGTTGGGGTCACGCGCCTGCTAACAAACAATCGCCGCGTGTACACGTGCTGATAAGATAAAGAGATGGAGATAGAAGCATCTTTAACTTTATACAACTGACAAGGCACGGTGGAGTGATTCGGTGCTAGCACGATTCTTGTGTATAGGATACTCATTATTTATATACATATTGTGAGACCAATGTGTGCCAGACTATTCGGTACCTGACCCCATCACCCCTCGGCCAAAAAATTCGCTCACGGTTCCAAACCGATCCTTACTACGCTTCAGTTCGTCCGTGAAGAGACTATGTTGATCGGCAGACTCTACTTGGCGCCGCCGAATGGCTTTAATGGTCGCATTTTGGGGCGCACAAATGGGGCATTCGGCATCTTCGCCTGTCTTGTTGAGGCAACGCTGATGGAATGAGTGTTTGCAGAGAAAGTGAACAACAGGTAGCTCAAGGGATCCGCCACAAGATTGACAGCGACGAGCTTGGAACACGGCTGGCTGCGAGCTAAGTTGCTCAAGTTCCTTTTTCTTTGCCTCTGTCTCAGTAGTGTAACTTGTTATCAACCGGCGATTCTTTAAAAAAAAATAGCATTAGCGTCATGGTAGGATTTCATATTTCATGTAGCGATCTAAGCTTACCGTTGATATATCTTTTCGTTCCCGGTCAATATTCTCACTGAGATATCTTTTAATCATACCCATTGTAACAACTGCGTTAGTGCTCAACGCCTGGATGACTTGCAAGGGTGCCATCAATCCATCTTCATCGATCTTCTTGAGAACAACATTCAATTCATCGCCAACTTCCGATAGAATCTTAGGACTTGACGCAAAGTAAGCTAGAGCATCCACATATAGTTGAGGCTCTTCAGGTCCGTATTTTCGTAGAGCTCTGATCACTCCCTGGGTGTCTTTGGCGGTAGTATACGAGCGGAAAATGTCTGACCGCAAGCCTGCCTGTTCCTTGACTAGTGTCGTTCCTTCTTCGAAGTTTGACAGGTCCGAAAGAAGTAGAACGTTCGACGTCGAAATAGGAATCTTGGATCCGTCAGATGCAAAGGTATTGCTAGTGGAGATATCTCTACTTACATCCTTTCCCTGTATCAAATCCTTGGCTTTTGTCTCCCACTCATTTCTAGCGCCTAGGTCCTTCGATTTCTTCGCATTGTCAAGATACATCTCGAACAGTGTAGTGTATAGATCAATTCTGTCCTGTTCTTTCCAGGCCTTTTCTGATATGAGAGCCTCGAGGAAGCGAATAAATTCGGCTGGATGATCAACAAATGCCGAAAAAGCCGTTCGTGGTTTGGGAATATTGTAGCTCGGAATATCATCGGCATTATTAGAATCCTGTGACAGCTCGGGTTCAGACGGTTGAGCCTTTGTAGCTGCACTCGCGCCTACGTAGGGAAGCGGAATGAAGGCAGCTAGGCTGAGGACCACGCTGGGCTGTTGTGTTTGCGACTCTGAGGGAGGCTCTATCTCTTTCTTTGGGCGATATTTTCCGGTATAGAATGTTATGAAAAGCTGGGCTGTATCTTGTGGGCAATGCCCTAGCAATACCCGAGCATATTTCATAAGATTGGAATAGGCCTTTGATGATTAGAAATCAATCATCTAAATTGGATAGAGTCAACATACCACGTCGGCTTCAAGTCGTGAGATGAATTCCAAGGCTTCGGCATATTTCTGAGAGTCTTCAACGAGAATGCTAACGACCATGTCATTTTCGCCGTGTTTTGTGGCTAAATATGCGGCTTGTTCAAAATATCCTCCTTGACGACACATCGCAATAGCTGTTTCAAGATCGAATTTCAATTCCCCGGGAGCCTTGATGAACGAATCTAATTTGGACGTGTCTTTGAGTTTCGCATAACAATTTAGAAGTAGCGTCGTGTGGTCTGCTGTGGCTTTGTCATGGTCGTGGAGCTCCTCCAAATATTCTATAAGATTATGGATTCGCTGGGTATCCAGGAACTGCGGCCTATTAGATCTTCCCGAGCTAGCTAGGGAACAATAATGATGCATACCTTGCGAATGACCTGCGACGGTTCAGTATTTTCTATGGCTCTCAGGTACTGCTGCATGGCTGTGTCATAATCTCCTTTCTGATAGAGATAGTCTCCATATTTACGGAAGATGACATTCTGCTGTAGGGTATCAATGCCAGCCTTTTGAGCCAGGTTGATTGCCAATATATAAAGGTTCCTCTGGTATAGAATCTCAAGTTTCTGCTGCAGATTCTTTTCATGATAGCGAGTAATCTTCAAGCCGATGTTAGTCACTTTTTCATTCAGTATGAGATGAGTTAATCCCCTACCTTGCCATCCAAACTCATCAGGAATAGATCACCCCATATGGCAAAAGTACATTTGACGGGGGAAATAAGAGCCTCCGAGTGTGCAATGAAATTCAGATCGGTATCAAGAAGAGTAAATGTGGACGTATTAAATATATCATCTGTTTGACCTACGCTAAACCTTCGCAATGAGTCGGACTTTGATGTTGCTGTCCTTGGCGGGCATACGAGTGCCACATAACCTCTGAAAAGATTTAAAGATGTCTTCGGGCTATCGAAAGCATAGCTAGGACCTCGCCCTCGTAGACCATATGTATGTATGGCATCTTCCCGTGCGATCAACAGGTCACCTGTATTCTTATCGAGTGCCATGCATCCAAGAGCACAGCCTGCATCTTCGAGTACGCGGGCAGGCTGGCCCTGGCCCCTGCCGGCAATGGTGAGTGTGAGGATACGACTTGTAGTGGCAATAAATAGTGTCGTAGTGCTGTGGCCATTTTGGATCTCTAGACCGGTTATAGGTTCCTGCGACTCAAAGACAATACGCTGTCTGGCGCCGCGATCATTAATAAGGTCCCCTCGAATAATAGCAACCGAGCCATTCGCAAAACCAACGGCGACCTGAGACAAGTCTTCGAGGGTAACAAATGTAGATACCTATTGTCCCACACATAAGCAAGTATGTCGAAACCAAGATATAGTGGTTTACTGACTGGAAAGGGTCGTCTGCCATTCTGGACAGACAAAGTTGAAAGACAACGTGGTGCGCCAGTTTTCTTTTCAACCTTGTCAAGAGCCCAGACTTTAAGAACAGGCTCATTCGGCAAGTCCTCCGCAATTGTCACCAAGAGAGATGTGCCCTCGATCTGTTTCATGTGTCGAATGACTCCGGCATCGTACGCGTTGAACGAGCGAACGACTTTGAACGCAGGCGATACTATGTGCACTTTTCCATCGTTGCTTCCGATAAACAGATTATCGGATCCAGTACATATACAGTCGACATCGTCCTAAGATAGTTGAACAGTTAGGGCTGTTCTGAGGTTATGAGAATGGGCGGGGAAATCACGTTGATGACGGAAGAGCTATCTTCTGAAAGCTGGACTTGAGAAACCTCAAAGAAATTGAAAGCCTTCTTCTTTTGGATCTGTTAGTGGCATTCCCGAAGCAAACAAATTAGATTATTCATACCGAAGTTAAAGCCATTTGCCTTGGGCCCACGCCATCAGCCGGCGATGAGGTATGAGGAGGTTGTAAATTGAAGCTCTTAGGGTGGAGCGGCTGGGATCCATCATCATCCCGATCTGAGCCACGCTAGGCAACATCCGTACTTACTTCTAAACAGTGGTATTTCAAAGCATTGTATTTACTGTGATACTTTTTCTGGCCAATAATTATACTATGTATTTTCTACCCTCTTTGAAACCTTCAATATACAACACAATGGAAGAGACATCAATTGATGAGATCATGTCGCTTTCTGTGCCGGGTCCTCAAACTCGAATATCGAGCTCATTGTGAGAGACTTAATTCATGGAGTGAACTTGGTGGCGATGATTGTGTCTCTTTTCCAGTGCTTCTAATTCCTCTTTTGACTTCATTGCCGATATCACAACTTTGCTGGAGCCAGCTTCCAGCATCTTGTATTACTTGGCTCACATCAAACGCGTCCATACCGAACAGGAATCCTTGACCGTCCTGTTGATTTGTTGCAGGAGTAGTCCCAGATAAAGTCAGTGGGAGAGGTGGTAGAGAGTCGTGTTCAGAATCTTTTGTCTCTTTGAATGATGACCTGTCAAGAGATATCGACCGAGAAGAGGGGCGCGGTGACGCAGCGAAACTGATTGTCTTCTTTGTCTGAGAATTCATGGCATCTGCTTTGTGAAAAGGCTTCCGCCGCGCCCCCATTCCTGAATTTGGCGAGGTAGCTTCACTGAAAGGTGTAATCGCATCAATCATGGCTTGGGTATTTATGTTGTGACTTGTCCCTGGGGTATCTTTTGGGTCAATCTTAATATCGAACATTTGTTGAGATGCATTAATGTTAGCAAATGGTGTGATTCTTTTGACGGAAGAGTGGCCTATTTTTGTTGTCGGCTGCGCAGATGGGAAACCTCTTTGCGGCGTAGCAAGGTCGTCTTGAAATGATTTTTGTGCGAGCTCGAAAGCTGCCTGAGTTGATAGTTCTCCATCCACACTCGCTGTACCACTCCCAGCAGCACCGATGCCACATATTTCGGTAGAGTGCAATGAAATGAAGCAATCGGAGATCCCTGGATGCTTGGGTACAATTTGAGCCGATGGTATCTTCTCGCTTTCGGTAAAGTTTTCGTTTTGGTTCTGCACAGACCCAAGAGTTACGGTACTCGTCCGAATCGTAACAGAAGTTTGATCCTGACGCTCATCTTGAATGATAGGTCTTGATGAGGACAATCCGATCTCTGCTTTCAGAATTTCCGGAATGCTTTCACCATAGGCAGCCCTGCCAGATTCCAAAGGGGGTTGCTCGCGTTTTTTTTCAGAACCTTTATTTGACTGAGTTTTTGCAAGGCGGTATTGAAATTCAGGGAGGTGTGATGATGGAGGAATCAGGATAGAAGATGCACTATTTGGCACAGTTGTTTTTGGAGGCAAAATTTCAGCCATCGGTGAAATGGCTTCGGCATTTTTGGCTAGACTTTCGGAGACCCTTCCACCTGTCTCGTTCTTAAGTTTCGGTAATATTTTAGTTCCCTCCATTTTGGAGCGAGGACGGCGGTTGTGCTCTCTGGATTCGTATGAGGTGGGCTCATATGAGCTTGGCGAACTGCCATTTGTCCCTACTCGGAGATGCTTCTCCTGTGAATCACCTGAAATAGACTTACCCCTTCTCACGTTGCGTAAATTTGTTTGGTGAGACTTGATTGTCCGAGGAAAGGTCGGCTCAGCTTTTAGGCGTGAACTCTTGGGACGTTTAGCTGCGCCGCTTACTCCCAAGCTCGTGTATCGGGTGGATGGTGATTTCGGTGGTTCATAATTCTGAATATTGATAGACAAATTTTCCCTTTTGAGCCAGTTTTGTACCGGTGGAACATCAGATGAGGACCTTCCTGGTTCCCGCGGTGTTGAGGATTGACGTATCCACGATGATTTCGACAGTCTTCCCTCAGAGGGCGAGGCGGACATTAGCGACGTTGAATACTGCCGTAAATCGCTTGAACGGATACTCTTGCCTCCTATAATGTTGTTCGTGCTCTTGTCTGTCTCTGGTATTACGTCTTGGACAAGGCGAATCCCTGACCTCGTGCTGGCGGTCGCTATTTCATGATGCTTCCTATGCTTTCTCCATGGGTTTACCCAACCATCATCAAACGGCCCTCGAAGCGAAGCACAAGAGATGAATAGCGGTTTACCGCGCAGGTAAGATTCGCCGAGGGCCTCGATTCTTCTCCTTTTCACCGCCCGGGCTGTTTCATCCAGCTCGTCGTCAGAGCCTTGAGGTAAGTGTTCATCGTAGTCGTACGTTGTGGCATCCTCCAATGTGAGCCGGGGGATCTCTCGGCGAGTAGGCATGAGGGGCAAAGGAGTGCAGATTATGATGCTGCTCCTACTGCTGCGGCAGGGGGGCGTGCGCCGGCGGCAGCAGAAACGATGCAAGAGCGAGAGACCACAGCATACATGTCCTAGCAAGTAGTTAATACCAATGGAGAAAGGAAAGAGGAAAGATTGATTGCCCGCCAGAATCAACATGCACCAAGGCAGGCTTCACAATCTCGGACCACGTGAGACGGTGAGTGAGAGTCAATCAAGACTAATTTATCCCGATTTGGCAATCACTGACGCTCCCCAGCAACGCGTCGGCGTCGCCTGTTTCTATTGGTTGCATCACGCGCCGGCCACATGCGACGAGGCGATTGGCGGGCGAGCTCAGTCACGGGCGCCTTAGCGGAACCTTGTTTCTCCGGCCCGCGTCCCCACCAAGGGGCTTGGCCTCGGGAAATTTGGCAGCTGCCAAATCGGGTAAGATGTTGTTTCCACCTTGCCGCCCGCCCTGGCATAAAAACAAAAAAGTTGCTAACGCTACTCCCGCTACGAGTCTAGGGGCCCGCGGCGGTGACAGTCCACTGCTAGTCCTGGTTCCGCCATGCATAAATATCAATATTGATACCAAACCGGTCGTGTACAGAGTATTGGGATTTTGTTTGTCACTGCGACCTCCCATGAGTATATGGCATTTGTTGCTCAGTTGCTCTCTGAATGCCACCAACCCATTACGAACCACAGAATGACCCACCTCTAACCCAGCTCCGTTCCATGGGACAACGCGACGAAGGCGTGCATATACTCGATGGCCACAACAAACGACGCGAATCCTGCCAGAATGACGAAAGAGCCATGGCTGGCGGGATTGGATGAGGACTGGGTATCGCAACCGTCATCGCCATGCTCACTACGCCATTCGCCCACCCTGCCAACAAGTGGCCATCAACACTCCGCGCGCAAATGCATTGGATGTTCTGAGCGAAGCCGAATACCGAAACCTCCCCCAGCTGCGTCGCCAAAGGTCAGAGGGAAAATCACACCCAGGGCCGCTAGGCAAAGCCAGATAAGACGAGGCGGCAGTACGACTCCTATAAGTACACGGACATCGCCTTCGCCGCGTCAAACTCCATCACCACGAACTGCACGAACTTCGATTAGTCCTTCCAAGCCTTCACCCAAATCAAATGGAAAGCAACCGACGCCCGCTCGAAAGAAACCATCATCTACACCTTTGAAAAATGTGATGTCAGTCAAATCGACGAGTTCCATAGCTTCAGTTCGCACCGAGGACCAGGGAACGATTCAAATCCGAGCTAGCAAAGAGGATACGCAGGAGACCCCGGAATGGAAACGACGCCTAGTTCGCGGAGAGATGTCTGCCGACGAACAATGTGATCTCTTTGCACCCATAGGATTAGAAAATATCTTCAGACAACCTACAACAGCCGCCACTACCGACGCTCGGTCGTCATTGACAGTTGTTAACCATCCTAGCAACGAGGCCAAAGCTCAAGTAGTAGGCACTATGGCGCAGAAGAGTGTTCAACACAGAGTGTCCTTCAAACATGATCACGAAAAGGGAAATCATCAAGAGCAATCCACACACCTCAATGTTCATATGACGTCTTCGAAACACGCCAAATTCGGCTTAGACGGTGTCGTTGATACAGACATACGTTTGCGTTCGGCCAGCGGAGAGGAGGAACTTCGCAACGAAGATCTAACGCCTATTTTCTTATCAGCAAGCAATAACACTGTCGACCGTCGGACTGGCTCTGGCATTCTTCAGTCTGCTTTAAGGCAACTCAACGGTATATCAGATAGCCCTGAAAATGATGGCATGAAAGAACACCAAGGAAACGGCGAAGTGTCATCCTTCCAGCCGAATGAACTTCTTGGTGTCAGCAGTCCCTTCATGCCCGAAGATCTCTCGACAGGCACAGAAGAAGAGGCAATGCAGACTCAGCCGTTCGTCACTTTCGAGCGAGGCGGTTACTCCGAAGGTTCCTTCCGTCTGCAGCAGCTCAGCCCATCGTCCTTCCCATCCCACCTCCAGTCTTCGGTTCTTACAGATTCCAAAATTCGCAGTTCGCCTCCAGCTTCTAATCAAGACGACATCCCTCAGTCCCCTCAAAATAGTATTGCAGTACCTGCTATCACATTTTCTCCGACGGGAGGGCCTGATTCAGAGAGGCCGCAAACTGCTAACATGAGCAGCCCATTGAAGTTATTCGGCAATCATGACACATTTACGAATAAGAAACTCCTACGGCGCATGAGCCAATTTGAGGAGACGTATCAAGACATATCTGAAGACGATGAACCTGCTTCGCCGTCCTTGGTTGCAAGGAGGATGCGGACAGCCAAACGCAGTTTACCAAATCTTAGGCGGGGGCAATCTCAATCACACAGGGCCAGTGCGCGTCCTGTTACTCAGGATGCAGTTGATCCTCGCATGAACCGCTTCGGTTATGGCCAGTTAGACGAGTTTGGTTTTGCCAACCGACTTATTGAACCTTCCACTATTCCAAGCCTATCTTTCGAACACACAGATCTCCATGAACATCAACAAGGGCGAAGATTATTATCTCAAAACGTGCGGAATGAAAATTTACGGAAAGCTAAAAGTTTCGATGATCTACCTGAGAACAAGTCATCAATCAGAGCTTTGCAGAGGAGGATCTCTCGCCGCTCTGGCAGTCGCCAGTCTAGTTTGGGCATTTACTATCAATCGAATGCGAATGTGAGGCGTGTAACCCACATGTCAAGCAGAACTACAGCTCCAAAGCGACGACGGACCATACAACAAACCGAAGAGCAAGCTTTAGACGCAACTGAGTTGATTGATTCAATATTAAATCTAAGCCTCGAAGACAGGGCGACGAGACATCAGTCTCAAACAAGTGATCATCTTTCACATGCGATACAAGGCGCTCAAAATTCAGAGCAGACGCGAAATCGATGGAATAGAGTTACATCAGAGAATGCCCTTTCAATTTCTGATGAATCTAAAGAGGATGTCTTAGGCCTGGATGGTCATAAGCGCTCTTTGACCACTCAAGATTTCCTTGACGAAGCCACCAAAGTCATGAGTATAATTCGAGCAAAGAGTAAATACAAGAATGGGTTAGCTAGCGTGGAGGAATCGGACGTCACAGGGCTTGATGAGGAGGAGGACGAACGGTTAACTGATGTATCCAGTCGAGAAAATCTTTCACGACCCCCGAGCCGTGAAGGCGTGGACATGCGAAAATTTAGAGAGCCTCGTCCACTGCACCCACGTGTTGTCAGTCATCTGAAAAAGTTCGCTGATAAAGAGGACACGGAACAACTCATGGCATCGGTTATGTCGGACCTGTGTAAGGAACAACACTCTGTTACTTGTGAAAGAACAGACTACTCGAAGCTTAGCGGAGAGACAATGAGCAGCCTACAGAACGTGCGAATCTTGCCACGGCGAAAGCGTAAACACTCTGATGATGATCCTCCAATGCATTCAATCCCAACGATTTCATCCAACGGCTCAAATACCAAAGGGGTGATTGCTTCTGATATGGTTTCACATCTCATTCCAGAACATGTTAACGGCATGAATTACGATAAGGCAAACAAATCTTGGGTCAAGCAAAGAATAGGCCGTGCAGCTGGGGTAATTCGAAGCGAAGATAGCGAGGATGATCCATTTGGCAGCATCCCGGACTTGAGTGTTGATGAACTCGAAGAGATCAAAAGAGTCCAAGAATCCGCTTCTCCCAGCAAGAGCATCGAAGAAGTGAATAATCGACAAATCGTAAGAGCAAATCCTGAGGAAGAAACCGCATTTGCAGGAGCTCAGCGACCTGCTACACGGGATGGTGCTCCTTTCGTTCCTGATTCTAGCTCTGTGCAATCCAAGACGACACGGTTCACTTCCAGTGGCCCACAGCCAGAAACTCGGGCTACATCCTGGGGAACCGAGGATATGACTGTTAATATCAATCAAATTTCAAGCCCGAACTCAACAAAGCCCAAGATTCGGACGACACTCCAACAGGGTCATATAGGCGTACAGTCGAAGCAACCCAAGGGATCTGGTGCGAAGAGAGTTTCTACAATCAGCTTCTCTTCTCCGCTAGTATCGCATATTTCATATGCTGATGATATTGAATACGCCAAGACAACAGGGATGAGCGCGGATGAACAACACGGCGAGCACCAGGTCGATAGCAAGAGTGTTACTGTTGCTCCATCCCGGCGAACCTCATTTGATGGAAGACCGTTTATAGGCCGTCCCATATCACGCATAGACGAGCAAAATGAAGATAGTGTCGTCGAAATGAGATTGGATCGCCGAAATTCAACGGGGCAGCTCGCCTCCACGCCGCCATCGCACCTCCTGGAGAAATCCATAGTCTATCCATCATCTGCCGGAGGCGATAACTATAGTTTCTATCTCAGCCCACTTGCCGATTTCACAGTCAATCAGACAGATGATCCTAAGCATCCTGAGCTCAGTTACGTTGCCCAGCGTGCTCATCCCACTGCGTTACGCCAAATACATGGGACATTTTCACTGGCTACTGAAGATCTCATCAGACACATCACTGATGTAGAGCCGACCGAAATTTATTGGGAACATCTACGTCGACTGTCCCTGAGGGACAAAGGCATCATTACGCTTCACTGCCTGGACAAATTTTGCCCGCGCTTAGAAGGTTTGGATGTCTCGGAGAATGAACTGGGACAGCTTGATGGCGCCCCCTCAACACTCCGCGACCTACGAGTGCAGCATAATTGCCTTACGAATATGACGGCATGGGGCCATCTCATCAACCTTCAGTATCTGGATGTCTCTGGCAATCAGCTTGAGTCTTTGGATGGCTTCTCGGGGTTAGTTCATCTGCGTGAGCTCCGTGCAAACAATAATAGGATACGCAACATTAAGGGAATATTCGGCCTCAACGGTCTTTTGCGTCTGGAGCTGAAGCACAACAACTTGACTACGGTAGATTTCGAAGGTTCAGAATTGTGGGTTCCTCAGCCTGTCATGGTATGCAGTATTTGACTGACATGCTTTGCTCTAGGACCCGTTTAGGTGAAATTGACTTCAGTAGCAACCAGATCAATGCGATTCAACATCTTGAATATCTCCCGGCTATGGAGACGTTAGATGTAAGCGCAAATCAGCTAAGAGAACTTCAAACGCCTGAACCATTACGAAGTCTGCGTACCCTGAAAGCGTCCAGTAACCGTTTGTCCGCTTTTGATGCATCACATTATCCAAAATTGCAGCTCCTTTATCTTGATAATAACTATCTGACCACGGTTTTTGGGTTGTCTGGATGCAGCGGGATTGAAGTTTTCTCGGTACGAGAGCAGTTCGCTGGACAATCACCGGAATTGGGGGCTTCTCTGGATATCGATCTCGGTTCTCTGAATGATACTCGCAAGATCTTTCTATCTTCTAATCGGCTTTCCGAACGAACTTTAGCCCCATCTGTTCCATTGTTAGCTTTGCAGCTACTCGATATTGCCTCTTGCGGGATTCAGAGACTACCCAACAACTTTGATAAAAAATTTCCCAATCTCCGTGTTCTCAATTTGAACTCCAATTGCGTCAGCGACCTTGGAGGAATTGTGAATATGAAAGGTTTGAGCCGATTGACAGTGGCTGGGAACCGAATCAACAGACTGCGAACGCTCTGCCAGGTTGTCGCAAGAGTTGGTCGATCGAGTCAGCACGGCTACAGTTCCCTAAAGACCATTGATCTTCGAAACAACCCCCTCACAGTTGGATTCTATCCGCCCCAGGTTTCTGGAAGCGGGCGTGCTGATTCGCATCTGAAAATGATAGAAGACAAGCTTCAGCGAGCGCAGAAGCGCCAACGCCGAATCGAAACTGGTGTTGATCTCATAGCAACAACATCTGAGGAAACAGAAGATCACGCAGTCATTGGATTCGCAAGTAAAGTGCATGGTGGAGGAAGAGCTGGAGAAGTGGAAATTGATGACCCCTATACTCTTCCTCCGGCAGATGCAGAGACGGATCGGAAATATCGATCACGTTTGGACGCGTCAACCAAAACAAAGCGTATAACGGCGGAAGTTATGCTGTATGCCGGAACCGGGGGTTCGCTAAGAGTACTGAATGGCCTGGACCTGAGGCCGGTTTTGGAGGATGAGCGAGCAGAGGTGGATCGAATCTGGGACAAACTGGAGCAGTTGGGTGTTTTCACGAAAAGAAACACCCGCGCACTGTGCCAATAATGCGTTTTTTTTTAGAGATCTTTGTGTGCTGCATTTCCTGCTTGGTGTTTTCCATTGTGGTTCGGCGTGCGTTTGGTTCATTAGAAGCATGCATGGGCGGAGCCTGTTTTTATGTTAAACATATGATTTTTGTTGGCTTTGTCATGGTTTCTATAATCATTATTACTATCATTATTAGTTGTTAGGCTATTAATGCACCGGCATTGTTCGAGTATGAACTCGATATTATATTTGGCAAGCAGCTCTATTATGGACGTTCGTATTTTCATTGTGTCCACATTCCTTCATCTGCTTTTCGCTATTGAATCTCGCCTATATATGTCGTTGTCGACTTCATTCACCGCCCCTAGCCAAGGCCATAGCATCGGCGTCGACTAGGGCATTCAGACGGACAGGACACAACTCTTTACAACATCTCCTTTGGGACTATCCCGTGCAAGGAAATGTGAGGGATAGCCTACTATATACTAATAATGTAGGATCTAGACCCATGGATGATATCGATGGACGAACACGGCTAGGCGCAGGCACATGGCTCGCTCCTGATTGGTCGACGGCAGCGGCACGTTGTTGGGTGATTGGCAAGTCGCGCCTTGCTTGGAAGGAGAAGGAAGGATCACATAAATTAATTGTCACGGCAATTGCCTACTTGGCTCTAAGCTGGACGCCCGCTAGAACATAGTGTATAGCTAGCTACGCACAGAGGACAAAACGCATGGTCTATTTGGGCACGAATATCGACGTGCTGCAGCCTTAAAGCCCAGGCAGCCTAAAGCTTGCTTTAATTCTGCGCGCTAAGCCATATCGAGACTAGCACCGGGGGGAGGTTCTCCATCTGCAGCCATCAATCCTCCTCCTTATCCTGAATCCTTAATAGCGCTATTATATTCTATGCCGTCCTTCGCGCTCGATCTCTTGCTTTGTCTTCCCTTTCCAGAGCAAGCGCGCTCCTCTGCTATACTCTTCTTCCTCCCAGACCACTCGTCGTAGCCCGGCGGACTACTCTTTAGTGTGTTCGGCACCCGATCCGTGACGGGCCACCCGCGTCATACGTGATAGACCATACATCATCAGCGCCTTACCGCTCTTCCAGTCGGATACTTCGTGATATCTGCAGAGTGCGTACTACGGAGTGCACCAAGATCGATCCATAGGACAGACGCGCGAAGCCTCCACCCAGACAGCTGACACTGAGAGCCAAGCGCACAAGCGGCCTTCCTTTTCGTCGATATTGTCGCATTCTGCTTGTCCACCCCCGCAATCTATTAAATTGATATTAATCGGATCCAGCAATTGAGTTAGCTATTTTAACGCTGCCTTACTAAGTTAGCACGGCATATTGCCGTTCCAGACTCTTTCCCTGTTTGGGCCTCCATCCCGGAAAAGAAAAAAAAAAAAAAAAAGGCTGTCCAATCTCCGCCGCGCTTTCTCCTCCTTCACTTCTTCCCTCGTCTTCGCTCTGTTATGCAGCAGCAGCAGCAGCACTAATCTGATCCTTCCATTCCACCCAGCGACTCTGACTCGCCAGCCCCGTTATCAGCCAGCTCAGTCCTGCGTAATCAACGCACATACACACATACATCCACGTCCTCCCTCTGCTCGCCCGCCTCGCCTGCTCTCCTACGAGGCGGTCTGACCAATGTGTCCCCCATGTCCAGACCTGGTTCCGAGACTGGCCATGCCCCGCTTGGATTGCCGGTGACGCCTGCGACTCATGATGATTGCGGCCGCGATGATCGTGGCCCCAGCCCTAGCTTTGCCCACCTCGTCCATCCCCGGCCCGAGTTCGAGCACGAGCGAATCCCAATGGACAGGAACAACTCACCCTTTAATAGTACCAATGATAATGCTATTCCCGCGGCCTTCCCTGCACCGTGGGCCACCACAAACCCAATTCCACCGCCGGACGCGTCTCTGAAGAGAGCCACTACAGCTCCCCCCGCTGAGCAGCTGCGCCCTTCTCGCGCTTTCTCGTTAACACACCTCTCTGCTGAGCCCTTTCGTTCCCAGGTGCCTCAGCTCTCCGAAAGAGACAGTATCTTCGCGACTCACTATCTGCCTTCGGACAACAATGATGCCATCGCTTCTTCTCCCCCGTCGTCGCTTCTTGGCCCAACGCTCCATCGTCTCGACCATGCACCGAGCCTAGGACAACCGAAGCCTGGAGGTGCTCCTGCTCCCCCGTTGTCGACAGTGCCTGTGTCTGGCTTGGTGAATCCCCGCGAACTGCTGCTGCCCGTCGGCGACAATCCGCCACGCTCATCCGCCAGGGACGACGCTACCTCGCCGCCTCGGAAGTTCATGTCGCGGCCAGCCGTGTTTCGCCGTGCTTCTGACTTAGTGCTACAGGCCCCTCCCGTGTCTTTGACTGGCTCTCATGTTGGTTGGGTGAAGCAGCAAGAGACTGTAGAGAGTTCCAAAGTCGCCGGTTCTCATCGAATTGCCATACGGGAAACTTTTCATCCGCTCAGGAAAATTGTATCAGAAGGCCCGGACTCTGAGAATCATCTCCCACCCGATCTTGGCCCTGCTCAAACCATAAGCGATTCCCGCCCACGCCCTCACGATCCCCCTATGTTACATCCTTCTTATACGGAGCACGAAATTGCACTAGCCGATTCATGGCATGCCGCACGGCATCTGAGAAACGGGGACAGAACAGTAGCTTGGGACGATGATTTGACTCGTAACTCAAGCCGCGGCCGTGGTACTCGAGTAGAGGAATCAATTGAAGCTAATTTAACCAACGCAGAGCCCGCCTCCAATGTTCGAAGCCGCAAGTCTAGTCATTATTTAGGTTTATTTAAAGAAAACACCACATCGCCGGATCGCAAGAGGCGCGAAGCTAGAGACCGTCCTCCGGATTTTACCCAAGTCACCAAGGAGTCAAATGATGATGACGATGATGAAATGGTCGCGGAGGGCCAAGCTGCGCCCTCTACCCCCCGTCCAAGCCATGCGGCTTTACATAGGCAGCTAGTACAAGAGGACCCCGAACGAACCACTTCCCTCGGAAATGACGCTGCTCCACCATCTGAGCACATGGAGCAGCGATTACTTGGCGTTGATGTTGAACTGTCACCCCATTCCATTCGCACTATACCTCGAAGCTTATCAGAGGAAATACGCAACTTTCATTTAACATCGGGTGGCACCCGCGGCAGTTCATTCTCTCCTAGTATCCCGACTCTCTATGCAGAGAAACTTCGAAACAAGGCCCGGGACAAAGGCCTACCACCACCATTTGTTGACGGACACACTCCTCCATCTCGTGGACTTCGCACGTCCGTTATCGCACCGGATGAAGAAGACGACGAGCATATTTCGTCTGCGTTGTATTTTCCGCACGAAGTCGCTCCTTCTGAAGAGAAAGGTTCTTTCTCGGCATACCGACATGAAGAGGAAGCATATGATCGCTTGGGACCGGCAGGCCGTGATCAAGCGGAAGCTGATCATGGTGGCCATGTTGATATATCTCTCCTTTCTAAAAAGGACAGTTCCAGTATCCTCCATGGAGATTATGAACCATATAGTGACGCTGAAGACAAATCTTTGGCAACAATATCAGAATACAGTCATGAAACCACATCGGAGTCTGATGCCGAAAGTGCGTTGTCTACGCTTGACGAGCTTTCCAGTTTGACAGACGATGCAGAACACCTAGCAATGACGCCTACCCAGAGCCAGCGTGCGGTACGCCATCGCCGCAAGCATACGAAAACAGGGCCTATTGGCGCCGTGGAATTGAAACCTTATCGACATCAGGTGGGTGGGCATACCACGGTCTTTCGATTTTCACGGCGAGCTGTGTGCAAGCAACTCAACAATCGTGAAAACGAGTTCTATGAACGCATAGAAAGGCGGCATCCTGAAATGCTTGTATTTTTGCCTAGGTAGGTCAAGTCTATCTTTTCTTTGCATTCCCAACATTGATATCAAAAAGGCGAATGCCCAACAACGTCCTTTACAAGTCGCTTTGCGATTGGCTCGCTATACTTGATCATCGTTGCTTTATTGTTCATACTCTTATGACAACTCGTAGCTAATGTGCATTCTAGGTACATTGGGGTTTTGAATGTCACTTTCTCCAAAAAGCCAAAACATTCTAAGAAAAGAAGCAATGGCGCTGTGCAGAAAACCAATGGATCTACTACTGTCCTGGAACAATCTTCTGATCACAGCTTTAAGAAGGAAATGATCGATAGTCTGTCCAAGAGTTCAGAACAGCCAAGAATTTTCAGCCAGCAGCAAACTACTGGCATAATTCCCAAGGTTACAATTGAGAACAACAGACATATCATTCCGTCGGATCTTTTTCTATCCTCTGTGTCGCGAAATCTCGGTGAACCCAAATCAATGGACCTTATTCCGGTCGATGACCTTTCAAAGTCCGCGGAGAATACACCGCGAAATTCATTCGCCGAGATTGATCGACCGATGATGTCGCAACTCGGAAGGCATAAAATCTGGGGCGCAACTACCGTCAATCGGAAACTTAAGGAGCAGGTTCTCCGTGAAGTATTCAGTCCTCCTCCCATTCACCATCACCGACGACTAGCGCGTAACCACCCTGGTTTGCCACGGTATCGCTCCGATACGGGTCGAGGCAACGGTGCTATTGCAGAGGACCAGAAGCCCAGTCAGAGCACAAGCGGCGGGAAGTCACCGCCGAAAAGTCTCGCGATTGATATTGCAAAGAGCGCCGCCCAAGATGGACCCAATCTTTCTTCTTCCGTTTCTAGTGCCATAGAAAGGCATTCAAACCCGTTGGACAAGCTCAGGTCATCTGAAACGCCGGTTCGAGCGAGCTCCTTGAACAGTGATCGCCGCGTAAGACGGCGACATTCTGGCAGCGGTCTGCAAAGACGCCGGAGCATTACTGGTGGTGACGGCGACCTGTTGTTTTTCGACGATGATGGTTATGGAGGCGACCATGAAGATGGAATTTTTACCATGGAAGGCGATGCATCCATCGAGCCTTCTTCAGCTCCACAATCAAGTGAGAGGGGATCTCTGAAAAAGTCGTCTTCCAAACTTGGGTCACCTCTTCAATTTGCCAGTGCTCCGCCTGAAATAGATCCTGAACCAATCCACGTGCCAACCAATCCCAAAGAAGCTCAAACGAAACAAGACGACCGAGTTCAGTTCTTCATTCTTCTGGAGGATCTGACAGCTGGCATGAATAAGCCATGTGTGCTTGACTTGAAAATGGGAACGCGGCAATATGGGTTGTACGCAGATGAGAAGAAAAAGAAATCTCAACGACGAAAATGTCAAACAACAACGTCACAGCAACTTGGAGTACGACTATGCGGCATGCAAACTTGGAATGTCAAAAAGCAGGAGTATTTATTTGAAGATAAATATTATGGACGGGACTTGTCGTCTGGTCGTGAGTTTCAAGATGCTCTAACGCGATTTCTCTATGATGGTGTCAGTCATAGAAGTGTTGCCAGGAAGATTCCAAGCATTCTGCAGCAGCTCAGCAAACTTGAGCACATGATCAGGAAGCTCCATAGCTACCGCTTCTACGCTAGCAGCCTTCTGATTCTTTACGACGGAGATGTAGCCAACAAAGAGAAGGGCTCGGGGGATGGCAACAAGGATCCACAATCGAATGGAAACCATCCTCGTATTACGCGACGAGCATCGGAGGATTGGCATAATGAAGACGACGTGAAACTGAAGATTGTGGATTTTGCAAACTGCGTGACCGGCGAGGACGAACTTCCGGCTGATGTGTCTTGCCCACCGCATCATCCAAACGACGTAGATCGCGGGTATCTCCGGGGTCTTCGCACGCTTCGGATGTATTTCCAACGAATCTTGAAAGAGGTAGGGCAAGATGACATTGTCGAGCGCGGCGAAGGCGAAGCTCTTGCCCCGGGACCCCGAATCTCGAGTCGGGAAAATTTGGCAGACGGATTTTGGATGGAGAGTGTGGTCGAGAGCGATCCGGGTGAAGTCAGCTTTTGATAAATTTACTTATTTTTTTCCCTTCCCCCTCTCTTTCTTTTTTTACTTGCATTGTGATACATGCATGATACCCGATGCGCACTTCACTTTTTTTTTTTGTCTTTTTCTTGATATTTCTCACATTCTAATTTGTTTTCTACTCCTTTCTCATCGTTACTACTAACCATTTTAGGTATTTATTTTTCGTTTCCCCTTACCATCATGATTTATGACAAATTCATGTGACATGCGCAACGGGCGTAAGGATCCGGGCCTTTTATATATATCTCTTTCATCTGTTCATTTTCGGCTCCTCTTTATGGAATTGGCATTGGTCATACATAGTCTCGCAGAATGGCGTTTCTCTGCTCTTTGATCGGAAGTCCGTTATTTTTAGAAGTGGCAGGGAGGAGACTTATCTTTTTTTTTTGTTATAATTGATGATATGTAACAATGTACTAGTGTGATCAATTTATTTCTTCTTACCTATCTAAATTGTTATCGAAAAAAAAGTCACATATTACCCAACATGATAGGTAGAAAGAGCTACACAACAACACCCCTCTTCCTCCACCCTCTCCAAGCAACCATCCAAACAACAATCGCCATCCACACACTAATCATACAACCCACAGCCCAAAACCCAAAACATCTCCACCCAATACACTGTCCCAGCCGATCTACAGGCTCGTTTATCGGGTCAATAGCACCCTGATACGCTTTTGAGTAGACAAACCCCCAGAATGCAGCTCCCGCAGCAGGCACCATAGCTACAATACCCCAATTAGTGCCGAAATTCTCAACGCCCCATACCACGGAGATTATGATGGGCATTAGGGCAAAGGAGGCACCATAACCAAAGCCTACGAAAGCGCTGGTGAGGTGGAATAGGGCCGGGTGGGCTGTTATCAGTGGGGAGGCGAGAATGAGGAAGCCCAGAGAAAGTATGAAGGCGGAGGGAAGAAGGAAAGTGAGGCGGGACATGGTGATGCCTTTGTATCCTCGGTTGGTGGGGTGTGGTACCGGCTGGCGATTTGGGTTGTCAAGGCTATATATGAATTGGTGGGTGGCTGGAGGCGCGAAGATGTCTGTGATCGAGCCGACAAAGAGACGCGCTATTGTTGATGTGATGGCGATTATGCTAACGTGTGTTGAGGCTGAGCCGGCTGGTGGTGGTGACAGGAGAGGGTATGATATTGGGGTTAAGGAATGGATAACCGTCCCCAGCTATAACGACGTTAGTTTTCTTTTTTGGAAGGAAAGACAGGTCTATAGACAGTACACACGTTGTTCAGATATGCTTCTCCCGGGCCGGTCACAAGGAAAAACCCTGCAGCGAGCCACCACATAGTATGATCCTTGAAGAACAGCCTGGTCTCTTGGTTCAGAAGCCAATTCTTCTTCTGACGCTCTTCTTCCGAGAGCGTCATAGACCTGTTATCATCATCGTCGTCGGCCGCGGAAGCATCATTATCTTCTCTTTGAAACGTCCCATATGCCGCTCTAACTTCTTCACGGGGACGGAAAAAGCCATCCTCTCCCAATATACCACTCCGCTCCAATTCCGACACAGCCTCGTCGATATACTTCTCTTCTTCCTCATCGTCGACTATACGCAGCGCTACAGTGCCGCCTAGACCAATGACGAGTAACATGACAGACAAAAAGATGAAGTAGCGAAAGACATCTACCGCATCACCACATGAGCCATCCGGCCGTCTCTCACACAACAGACGACTACCAATCTGGCTCTGCCACATGCCACTCAATCCAAACGCCGCGATAGGCACTGCCAACATGATACCCTTGTATTTCCCCCTGCCAAAGTTCTTCGCGCAAGCCGTCACGGCGGCACCATAGAGACAACAGGTTCCCATGCCCACCAAGACAAAAGCTGCAACCATGACCCAATATGGCCACCCGGATCCGCCCACGTCTACGGGAGGACCGCTCCTATAAGCCAGTGCAGCAAGTAGATATCCCGCGCCAAAGAAGATGCCGGCAAGCAGCGAAACGGGCGACGGAGAGTACCGATCGCACATGTACCCGAATATCGGCACGGGTAGGTACATGGCCACCTCGGCGGCAACGGCTACTCCATTAACGCGGTCTTGCGAATAATGTAAGCGGGTGAGTAGGAGCGGTCCGTACAAAGAAAACGCGGTGATGCTACCGGCACCGAGACTGTCACCGGATAAGTCAGTCAGTCAGTTTAATTGTTTGCAAGTTGATGGAAGAGACGGGGACAGGCTTTATTTCATACCAGCTTACGACACTCCATACAAAGCTCAGTATTCGGATGATTTCCTTCTTCATCTTTTGCCGGTCTCGCTCAACTATGTTCTCAACCACATGGTTGAGCAAGCCTTCGCCCGGTTGATCTGTGGCATCGCTGTCTGCAGATAGTCTGGATATCGGTGCGGTCTCCTCATCCATACTGTCATGGTCGGCTAAAAGAGGCCTGTTGGCGTCGAAGTCGCGCTTATCGATCTTGTTCTTGTTCCTCGCGCCATTCTGAGGGTGCATGCTGGCAACTCACGAGAACAATTCAGTAGACAGAAAGCGAGCGCCTGTGCTTACACATGTATATGGATAGATAGCAGCTACCTGCTGCTGTCCAGCAACGACAGAGTTGATGCAGCTGAGGTTGAGGTTGAGTTAGGCTGGTGAGCCGCTGGCCCCACCCGGTGGACGTCATTCCGAGCTCCGCACTGTCTAGTTAGTTAACTTCCTACTATGAGAGTGACAAAGCATACTCATCCTCCATTGAGACAGACATACAGAAATGTAATTCCAAGATAGAGGAGACGAAAGAAGCTGCAGCCTACCTTTAACTCGGGCAAATCCGTTCAATTACTTGACTGAGTTGGGCTCCTTCGGATCGAAGACATTCCCAATGCCAGACGGAGGTGTCTGAACCAAGCCTAGGCTTGCTTGTATTGCAGAATCATTTCCAGTATATAACATTCTCGCTTACCAATGCGGATTCGAGAATTTGTTCGTCTCGAGATCTAAAATATGGATAGTTCTCGGAGATGTGACTAATGGAGGTATGAGATAAAATGTGACAATACACGATTGAGCTTATGATGTTGAATTTTAGTAAAAAGTGCCAACTTCACCAAGCCCAAGACCAAGTTTTTGTGTAATAATATCAACAGGGAACATCAAATATCCACCGAGGTCTCATCCAAGCCCATAAAAACCTTGTACAGTCTCTTGCTAACGGCCGGCCCAATCCTGGAATCCGTCAACGCGCCATTCTTGTTAGCCGACTTGCGAACATTCTCTAGCATCGTCGGGCCTTGTCTCTTCATTGCATCTAGCAGATCAACCGCACTAGGGTACCTGTTAGCTATACCGTATGCCATGGGCGCCGTGACGCGGTTGACTTCTTGTAGCATTTTGACGAAAGTGTCGAGTTTGTCTTCGCCTGTCTTTACCTGGCCCGTTTCCATGCAGAATGCGGCGCCGTCGTAGTTCTCCATTTGCACACGCCGATACGGGATGGTGGAGATGTGTTCGCTGTAGTTTTTAATCCATTCTGCCGTCTCGCCTGGCGTGCTTGTGTGGTAGATTAGGCAGTTGTGAGTCACCTGCAGTTCGAGAAGCGCGTCTTCAATCGTATCATCAGCTACAAGAGGGGTGTCCTCGGGTTTTTTGGACGTCTTAGTTTTCCGACCGCGCTTGCTAGTGGTAGTAGCAGCATTTCCGGAAGGGTCACTCAAGCTGCTGATGTTGTTGATTTGCCGCAGCACCTCAGCTTGATAGGCCCTGTTGCGGGAATTCTGGTTCCTTCGCATCCATGCTGTCAAACCTTCAATCAGGTATATAGGTTTGCAATTAGAATATGCGGTTTTCAGAGTTCGTACATGACCGTTAAGTGTTTCTGTTTCATCGGCGTATGACGCCGACGGATCGGAGACAACCATATTAACGAATTCTTGAGCCGAGAGCATGCACAATACGTGATCCTCCGATGCGATATACGGCTGACATGGTTCCCAGCGCCCTGCGTCTTCATTATAGTTGGATTTCTTCTTCCGACGCCACTTGACGACGTTCGCTATCGCGCTCTGAAAGAAGTTATGTTCAGCGCCCAGGTTTTTCACGTATTCAATCACCTGATTTCCAACACTAGTTCCCTCGAAAGTCCTTGCCATGTCTACAATCATTTCAGGCATCGACTCCTTCTTGTGAGACTTTGATTTGTTCACTTCGGCGATATCCGCAGCCAACTGCTTTTCTTTGGCTTTCTCCTCTTTCTGCAGCCGCTTTCGTTCCTTTTCTGCCTCCTTCTCGGCCTCCTTTTCTCGCTTGCGTTGCTCTTTGTTTGCCTCGCGCTCCTTCGCCTTAGCCGCTTTGTCCTCCGTATTATTAATCTTAGGTTTCCTCTTCGCCTTATGTTGTTTTTCAAGATGTACATCCGAGAGTGATTCGCTGTCGGAGCCGAAATCAAAATTTCCTCTAGACACGGGCTTCCTCGATGATCTTGATGAAGTAGTAGCGGGGTTCTTGACTTTATCCTCATTGCGGAGGTCCGCTAACAACGCTGCAGTCCGCTCAGAATAAGATGGTTTCAATGAAGGCCGCATATTGTCCAAGAGTTTATCTGATGAATCCTCCGGCAATGTATTGAAAGGGTCACTCCATTCCTCAATCTCATCCCCGTCGTCAATTATATCGATGACCGACGGCGCAGTTTTGGTGGTGTTGCTGACAGCTTTAGAGCCATTACTCGATGGCTTTCCGAGTCTTGTCTGCTGCCTTTCTCTTGTTGTCGTTCGCTCCGGCGCAGAAGACGTGAACACAATTGGATCCGATTCATCGCCATCCCATTTGTACGTTTTCGCTCTGGTTGCTGATTTACCCGTCTCAACACCAGTAGTAATAGCAGCAACAGCGGCGGTAGTATTCGTTGTCCTGCTTACGTAGGGTAAAGCCGGCGAGTCAATGTCATCAGAAAATGTAAAGAGGGAATAATCGCTGGCGATATGCTGCGACGCCCTGGTTTGAGGGGGGCCTGTCTCGGTGGGCGGAGTTAATTTTCGCTTCTTCACTGAGCGCGCAGGATCGTCAAAGGCGAATAAAGATGAGTCGACATCATCAGATAGGAAGTGTGGTGAGCTTGCTGGAACTGCGCCAGACCTGTGAGGGGAGAGGAAAGCTCGCGGCTGGGTTGATGGCGGAGGCTGCGACTGTGAGGGATGCGGCGGCGTTGAGTTGATCAGGTCAATGACCTCGGGCATTTTCTGCTGTGCTGCACGTACTTGATGGATTTCCAAAGATCTGGCAAGCAAACAGATCCAACGGCTTGTCAAATTGAAGTCTAGATAAACTCGGAGACGCGACGCGGCGACGGCAGTTACGTGATCACGTGTCAATTCCAGAGCTTCCAAAATGAAGCAAGATGTTAATTATAATTCTCTGAGTTAATATTGTAAAATGCTATATATACACATTTGACTGTCGTCAAATCAACCTTTGAACACCAAATTGAAGAAAATATAGTACAGCCGAAGCGAAATTACCGTCTCCGCAGAAATAGAGCAACACTAATTGCGCCAACAATACCCAGCAAGAAGAAAGCAATTAGAAAATATTGCAGACTCTCAAACGGCCGTCTGGACGACTCAAGCATATCCTTAATCTCATCTTCGAGCTTATCCTCCAACGCGCGTAGTGAGAATTCGTCTTCAACCCTCCTTTTGCCGTTGGCAGCCATCCTCGCGAATTCTTCGTCTGTCGTCTCTAATAGCACTTTGTGCATGATGGCAGTCCAATCATCGACTTGTGTAGCGTCTCGCAACCAACCCGTCTCGCCCTCGATAACACTCTCTAACGGACCACCGGTGTTCGAAGCTAGAACAGGTAAACCGGCATGCATTGCCTCGACGGGGACGATGCCGAAATGCTCGTTGACAGGAGTGTAAAGAAGTAACTTTGCATTGTGAAGCAGTGTATCTCTGAATGCAGAGGGCACTGAAAGGAGAAACAGAACGTCAATCGAGTCCGGTATTGAAAGCGCTGATATGACGGTTGTGGAGGTGGCTGTCTGCAAGCCTAGCCCGGTTGCTAGCTCGTCGAGCTCCTTGTGATATTGGACGTTTTCCTGAACGCGATTATCATAACCACCTTTTCACATATCAGTATGTAGCCATGAAACCAGTAAGAGGGGG